TATTTACATTTATCTATATTCATTAGATTTTCCAATCATACTTCCCATCTACTTACCTCTTACCATTAATATTTAATTTCACCATTATAAGTGACTTATTTAATATTATAAGCCCTTCATCTAATTCTACCCATTTTTTAATTTTTTTCTTATTCAACAACACATAAGTTGCAAAAATCTCCCTTAATCTTAATGATAGACTTCAATAAAAAGTATTGTTAGAGGGAAAAGAATTAATATCTTCTTAAAATCCAATTCATATCATTAATTCTGTATAATAAAGTATTAATTGAAACAGCAGCTAAATAAGATTCAGACTATCCAATAACTTTCAAAATGTAAATCAAATAATATAAAATATTCAACATTTATAAAGATGAAAAAAACATATATAGTTAGGATTAATTATGATTTCAATTATTGTTGTGCCAATTATTGATATTGTCACAAGATTTGAGGATGGAAGTTTAAAATTTAATGAACTAGATCAATGAAAAATCGTTATTTTGCAAAAAAATTATTTTTTTGGAAAAAAGTGATCTAAGTTGAATAGATTCTTAGCAAAAAGAAGCAGAAGAAGGAATAAAAGTTTAATAAAATAAAGCCAATATTAATTAAATCTTGTCAAATTAACTTAGAAAATTGTATCTTAAGGATTAGAAGTCGAGAAAAGTTTATATTATAAGAAATGAACAAAATTTTAATTCTTTCATAATATGTACTCCTTAAAGTACCAGTTTACAGAATTGGAAATTCAGAATAATTGGGATTATTTAATTTAATATGAGTTTAAAATTACTCTATAAATTTTAATTCAGAAGTCCAAAAAATATGAAGTATGATAAATGACCATGAGTACACAATACACAATAACTATTTGATATATTGAATTATAATTTAAAAATTAATTTAAGGAATAAGGATATAATGTATAGGGGTTGTGATAAATAAAGATTTTTCCTTTTTATTTTTTCAATATATTTAAACTCAGCACATTTATTTAAAGGAACATTATTTAAAATTTTCTGATAGAATTGTAAACTTCAAGAAATTAGTTGTCTTTCTTACTAAAAAAAGCAGTGAAAAAAGACTTAACTATAAGAAAAGGTGAAATTGTAGCAATACTTGCCCCTGAAATCTAAATGAATTGGATACTCTAATTTATGATGCCTCTCTCATAAATTTTGTTCTAAACCCTCTCTCAATTAGTTTATGATGACTTACTTTATGACTTCAATTATATTAGTGAAATTTTCAGTTAAGAAAATTTTTTATAGTAGAATTTACTATCAAGTAGAACCTAGTTGTATTAAGTTTGTATAAATCACAGCTTTATGTTAAAGTGCCTCTTTCAAAAATCTAATTGAATAGAATACACCCGTTATATATCATCTTGACTCTCTGCAAGGATCAACCTAGTAAATTTTTACAATGATGTCATTAAGTAGAGCGTGAGGAGAATTCAAGGTAGCAAATGACCTCGTTTATTAACCACGAAAGAAGAATTAGCTAAGTTTAAAACGTTTTTTACGCCAATGCTCCTGGACAATTTTATTATATGTTCCACGATTGTTCATATAAATTGAAAAAAACTTTTTAAAATGGTTACCAATCCTATTTCTCAATATACATAGGGACTGGGCTTTAAAAAGTAGATTTAAATTACAGAATGTTGATAAATATCATTGATATTTAAATTTAAAATATATACAGAATAAAATAGAATATTAATGATGAAACATAGATAATAATAATAGAAAGAAATAAATATTATAGCCTTAATTTCTAATTATTTTTGAAAAAAATATTTATTGGAGTATGTAAAACAAAATATAAAATATTACAGATATATATCTATTATTAGATGAAATTATTGTGTTTCAGTTATATCATCCTTAAGGATTAATCTTTTTTACCTTGGTGTGAAAATCTCAGCATTAAAATATTAGAAATTATTATATTCATTTATTTTTTGAAAATTTTTTTTCCATAATTATATAATTAAGCTTTCATAATCTTTTTAAATTTTGCAAATTTTATTAAAAAGTAGTTGTTTTTCATTCTTGACTTTTAAGAGTAGTTCATTTCTATTAAAATATTCATACAAAAATGAAAATTGAAACATATTAACTTTTCATGTTGAAATATTGTACATTTTTTATACATTTCCAAAAATATAATTAAACTAATAATGCCTAGGCAAATATTTCATCTAATTGCACTTTTATTATTGTAGAGTGCGAATTGCATTTAACACTCTTCTTACGAAGAATTTAATAATAAAAAGATTGTATTTACTAATACAAATTGGAAATGTGATAATTAAATTCCTCCTTTAAGTTAAGTATTGAATTGTAGCAAAGGAATGGATTTAGTAATGGTTTAAGAAATAGGGATTTTATGCAATATATTTATGAACATAATTGACAATGTTCTGCCTCACTTTAAGATCTAACTGTATATTGATGTATATGGATTTCATTCAATTGATACAAATGAATGTTTTTGGGTAAGTATATTGGAAAATTCTTTTGAAGCTTCTTTGTGCCTCTCTCCTTCAACACATGGTATATTATTATAATAGTGTTCTGTATAGAATAAAAAGTTGGTTCGCAAGTCCTTTTTTAAAGAAATTGATCATAATTAATAAAAAGTGAGTCTTAAAATATGGAGTACAACGAATTAAAACATTGCTGATGAAGCCTATTTATTTAGAAGTGTCTAAGTGATTTTAGATCGATGTTACAAAACCTGTAAGACTTGTTCAGGCTAATGAAAAGAATAGTGCTTAACTTGTTATGATAACATGCATTTGAGTTCTAACAATTCTTGTGATTCTTGTAAAGATAAAATTGGTTAAAGTTTCCTTCAAATTCCAGATGGATGTAGAGATAAATGTAATAATAATTAAGATTATGATGAAGATAAAGTATGTATTGAAGATATTAGTAATAAATAATAATATTTCTTAGATTTTTAAAATAAATGTGAAGATGATTGCCAATAATGTACTACTACCTAAAGTTGTATAATTTGTAAACCATAAAAATATCTCTATTTTGGATAATGTATGGATCAATGCCCTGAGTACACAAAAGTATATGGAACTAACTGCCTAAGCACCATTGATATTATTTTAAAGAATAAAAATTTAAGAATTACTCAATTATCAAGAGAATTTCATGATTTATCAACAACAAATAGCTTTATCAATTCAATATTTTAGCTTATATCAACAGGAAATCAATATAGTTTCTAAAAAGGTAATGATATTTATTATAGCTATTTTTCAAATAAGAGAATATTTGGAGGACCATTAGTTTGGATTAATGCTTAATTTAAATCTACTTATAGTTGGAGCTAATAGTTTTAATTTATAAGAATATTTTTTGAAGTGATTTTAGGAGATATTGTTTTATAAAAAAACAAATTTACTTTTAAGTTTAATAATCAATAATAGGAAACCATAACTTTAAATTAAATGTATTTAGGAAATAATTCAAATATATAGGATTAAATATGGCCTAATGATTATAAATTTAATATTTATAAAGTAGATAAATCTATTAATTACTAAATATCAACAAATAAGGAATTAACTGTGGAGATTGCATGTTAAAATGATAATTAACTCGGATTTTGTGGGATTTAGAATATGGTTGTAGTAGGACTTTCCGATTGTTTACCTGAATATAACTTTGACTTGTATAATTATGAAACTGGTAGAAATCCTTGCATTCCAATTTGTGGTGATAAAATAACTGTTGGAGACGAATAATGTGATGATGGCAATAATGATCCTTTTGATGGATGTTTTAATTGTAGATACTAATGTGAAGATCCTTGTTCTAATTGTGTATATGGTTAGTGTATTGTTAAAAAAACAATATAAAAGTCTTTTGAAATATAGATAGAGATGGTTGAATACATATTGTCCTATGATTTGGATGTCATTTAATTATCATGTATATTTTAATGTAGCATATGCATAAGACATCTTTGTCTGTAATGCAATTATGGGTATTATTTAAACACATATAATAATTTATGTGAAAGTGTAGAAGATCAATCTCGGAAATAAGTGAATCAAATTTAATCAATAGAACGTGGAAATGGAATAATCGAAGGATTTGAATAGTGTGATGATTAAAATATTATTAATGACGATGATTGCGATAATTTTTGTAAACTTTCATGTTATCCAAATTGTGAAATATGTATTAAGGGATTTTGTGTTAAATGTGAAATTGGATGGATTTTAGGAAATATGGGATGTTAATCTGTCTGTGGAGATTCTTAAATTCAAGGTCATGAATAATGTGATGATGGTAACTCAGACGACTATGATGGTTGTTCTAAATGTGAATTGGTTTAATATGAAAAATGTGATATAGGAATGGAGATCCAATAATATCGTTGCGCTGTCTGTCATTATGGCAAATGCATAAAGTGCAATGATGGATTTTTATTAGAAAGTGATCATTGTGTTTAAATATGTGGCGATGGTTTGCTAAATCTATAAGAAGAAGAATGTGATATTTAAAGTGGAGATGGATGTATCGATTGTAAAATATAGGATGGTTATGTTTGTGGAAAATAAAACTATTCAATATGTAACACATGTGATAATGAATGTACTTAATGCAAAAGTTTAGATAATTTCAAATTAATTTGCAAATCATGTCTTGATGGTTATTATCCTGTGGAAGATAAATGTTAATAATGTGATTTAAATTGTATTACTTGCAATTTTTAATCAAATTTATGTACATCTTGCTATAGACCTTGTGATTATTGTGAATCCATTCCTGGTCTTTATTCAGACAAAACAACTAAAAAATGCAATTCTATTTGTGGTGATGGAATTGTTGTTGAAACATATGAATAGTGTGATGATTATAATCAAAATAATGGAGATGGCTGTGATTCTCAATGTAATTTAGAAATCTCAGATCAAGAAGTGAATTAAATAAAGGATTATCAATCCTACGCTAATAATACATATCATTTGAAATTAATTGCTGATTATCAATTCTAAATTTTATGCAATACTGCTAATATAACAATAGACAATATGGATATTTAAAATTATAATTATAATTGCACTTAAATTGATATTTAAACTTGTAATTTATAATTTGATTTCAAGAAATCCATCTTTAAATTTAATACAATTCATGCAATAATATAATATACAAATTCTATAAACAGATTACTTTTTGAAGTTAAAAGTGTTTAATATGATATAACACCTTCCGAGTATCTTGTTTTGGAAAATAATAACAAAAAATAACAAGGATATATCTAAAGTGCTCAATAATCTTTTAATTTAACATTTTTATTCTTAATACCTATATCTATTATTTTTAATCTTTTTAATTGCTTATGGGCAGTTCTAGAAATATTAAGTTGGATCAATAATTTCTATTTTCTTAATGTTAAATATCCTTTCAATGTAGAATTATTCTTCTTAAATAGTGATTGGTCAAACCTCATAGGCTTTCCAACTTATTAAGGATTGAATCAACCTGATTGTAATTATTACTTTGAAGCTCCAAAAAGATTCAAAGATAAAGGAATCGACCCATTGTTCTTTAAAAACATATAAACTCCATTTATGTTTTTACTAACTTTTATCATCATTTTTCTTATAAACTATCTATTTTATTCATTCTTTTCTCTACTTGATAATACTTTGAAACGAAAAATACCTTAAAACAACAAAAAGTTTAGCATTTTTAATATTTAAATAAAAAAATAAGCCTATTAAAATTCAATCAAAGTTTAACAATAAATGGTAGTATAAAATCCATATATGAAGTATATTACTAATCTTCTGAAGAGAAATTCAGTTAACCTCATAAAATAATTTAAATAAACAATTTCATTATGTTTATTAGATATTACATTAGCTATTTTGCTTTAGTTATCATATTCAAAAAATAATTCAAATATCATAGTCGGTCTAAATCAATTTTTTGCAATAATAACAATTGGTATAATCATATTTTAATTGTACATGCAATATTAAATTTTGAATATTCATAAACTTAAAGCTAAAAATAAACATTTTGAGGAATTATATGGAGTTTATTATGAAAACATCAATCTTGAAAATTCATTTGGATATTATTATGAGTTTTTTGGATAAATAAGCAAAATCTTATATATCTTTTTCATGGTTAATTAATACTATACCCCTATTTTGTAAGTAACTTTATGTTATCTATCCTCATCTTTAAATTTTGTTTTCTTATTATATTAAAATCCATATCATTCCAAAAAGGAATATGTGATATAGATTATATTAAATTTTTGTATAAGTTTCATAATATTCATAGTTATTTCATTTGCAATTAATGATCAAATAACTGTAGAATTTATTGAGAAAAACAAAAATACTTTAGGTTGGATAATTATTGCTTTAGTCATCCTAGCAATTTTAACTGAATTTTGCATTTTAATTTTTGGTTTACTTAAACGTATTTTCGAAATTTTTAAAACTGTACAGGATCTACATAAAAAGGATAAAATTAAAAATAAAAGCAATTAACATTAAGAAGAATAATTTGAGTAATCAGAAATATAAGTTTATATTAAAAATATTAGTATGAATTAAGGAAGCTAATTAAATCCAAGATGTTAAATTGTATTATTTTGAATATTATCAGAAATATACAAAAATATATTACACAATCAAAATCAAACAATCTGATATGCTCTTTTATTTAATTTTTTAAATCTACAATCCATTTTTATGATAATTCTATTCAGCCTCCTTTACATCTAGAAATTCTTTAAGCCCTGATGGACTTGGACTAATTCTGATGTAAATTTAGAATGAATGGAGTTAGATTTTAGTTTTTCCTTAACTGGTTATTATTAAGAATTTCTTCGAATCAAACCTAATTATTCTTTGTATGATGTCTAGGATAATGCTTTATATCAATCATAATATTTTAATAATTAAAATCTCTATGAACTAATCTATTTTAATAATTCAAAGCTTACAAAAATTTAATGAAAAAATACTTCCCAATTCCAAGAGCTACAACACTTGCATATTGAGATTTAAATCAGCTCCAAGCTCAAATACATTTATTGCCAGGGTTCACTAAAATGTAAAGAAATCATTTAAATACTATACTTATATTTACAATAGGATTTCCTAAAATTTAGCTTTACATTGTTATTTTCTATTGTTTGATTTAGAAGAAAATAAAGTGGAAATTTATAATTAGTTTTATTTATATAATTAAATATATTATTTTTTATTTTCAGATTTTACATGGAATAATTGACAATAAAATATTTAAACCATTAATAATTGTAAAAAGTTATCAACAATTTAATGGTCTTTTTTAATTAAATACAATACATAGTTTCATATTTATTAATTGATTTATGAAATATAAAATGCTTTTAAGATAACAAAAAAAAATATTTAATAAGTAATTCTATTAAATGAATCAATTTGATTTTAATTTGAATGAGACATTTTATGGCTATCATAATCAAGTTAATATTTATTGAATATAATTGAATATCAGAACAAGAAAAGATATTCGCTTACCCCTGACCTTAAAATTTCATTGTTGAAATACTGCAACATATTAATTAAAAGAAAATACATAAAAGCATGACTCAGTTACAAATTTTTTCTCAATATATTAATGCACTTGAAATCTGAAAAAATTTTGAAAATAATTTAAATTCAAAATAAATAAATAATTTAGTTAATAATATGAATAAATTTTATAAAATGTTAGATAAATTATGTAAAAACTTTCAAACAAAAAGCATCGATGATGCTTATAATTCTTCCTATTACTTATCATTGCAAAAAATCTATCTTAATTTTTTTCCCAAAACTTTGAACTGCTGATAAACATCAATAATTAATGATGTAGATAAAATTGCTGAAAAGGTGATAATATGAAACCAACCTAAATTAATTCGAAAAGATTAAGATAAACCAATATCCATAAAATAGTCATAAAGAATAAATGTGACTGTATTGATAATAGTAATAGACTCAGTAACAATAATTTTTAATTACTCACAATAACTACGTAAAGGTTTATTCAAAATAAAATAGGATAAAAATAAAGTTTCATTTGTTGCAATAAGCAGAGATTAAAGTTTTCCTTCTTTTTACATAAAAACAATAAGACATATGAAAATAAACTTCTTAATTAATTAAATTGAATTGTATTATGCGATCCAAACATTTTTTTCATCTCTAACTTCTTCTAATAATGCTTCATATTATTTCCTATTTTTTAATGTATTTTATTTAGACAACTTTTGCAAAATATTAAAAATGTAAATGATAACCGATATATAAAAAGTAAAAACAACAAGAGATATATATGATGTAACAGATTAGTTAAAGCTATTGTTCTAAAAATATGCTATTTGTATTGTCATTGCAAAAGAAATGTCAAATGCATTTGACATAACAATTCTTAAGATGCCATTATAGAAAAACTCTTTCGACTATTACAAACATTTTTTTCTTATTTAGTACAATAGTTTAGCAATTGTAAAATTCATTCTTAATAATATATAAGGTTGGATTTTATATAAAAATAAAGTAAAAAGATTTTATAAAAAGTGGCCTAAATACGCACCAATCATGCAAAATAAGAAACTTTTAAAGTTTGCAAAGAAATGTACATTAATATCATCATTCAAAAATTTAATATCAGTTGGAGGTTGATTATATTCTTCTTGATAAATTAGATTAAAAAAACTATCAATTCTCAAGGCTTGAAATATTGGTTCAATTGTGATCATTTTAAAAACTTCAAAGTAAATATCAAGATTAGGAGGAAAAAGAATATTTACATATTTGACATATGATAAATACTATAATTAATCCATTAAATTCCAAAATAATTCAGAGGATCCTGTTAACAAACAAATAGAAGACAAGCCTATTAAGAAATAGATTACCGCCTCATTAAAAGCTGCTGCACTTTATGCTACATTTATTTAAGTTTAACTGAGCACAGCAGGAGAAAGTAATTATGTAGTTTTGACTGATTCTTTGAGGGGAAGATCGTATTCTGAAACAATTACATCGTCTAAAAATGATACTTTCAATATTGGCCTTTCTATTGGAGCATAAAAATTAACTCTTAAGTGAATAGTTATATCACTTATTTCCTAATTCGGATTTTTCTTAATTAATTATTTCTCTACAAAATACTTAGTATTCTCAAAATTGATAATTTCAAAAAGAATTAATGAAAATAATTGTTTATCATCGATTTATGAATATTTCATTTTTTAATCGAAATTGATTTAAACATCTTAAAATTAGCCAAAATAATTAGGAAGAACAGTAAGTTAGAATTATGGTTATTTTGAATAAGCACAAAAAGAGAAGCTACCTTCCACATTCTTACATAAATAATTAGTTTCTACTTTGCAATTACTATCGCAACCATCTCCATTTTAGACATTACCATCATCACAACTTTCAACAGATTTTACATAATTACCATCCCCACATTGAGAGAGACAAACATTTTAAGAAAGAAACCTTCCTAATTCACATTGTTAACAGATTCCTTATTAACAATCAATGCAGTATTAATCGCAAGCAAATTAGCATAAATGGCAACCATCATTTTTATTATCGTTCATATCATCGCATTATTCATAACCAAGTACAATTCCATCTCCACAAAATGGTTTACATACATGATTTTCAATCATCCAACCTAAATAGTCACATTCATAACAAATGCCTAACTAACATAGAGTGCACATTTCTTAACATTGAAATTAACATTAATAGCAACCATCATATTTTAAAAAATTGCCATCGTCACATTCTTCTTAAAATTGAACAATATATCCATCTCCACAAACTGATTGACATTCACTATTTGTTAATTACCAACCTTAAATTCCACATTCATAACATACTCCAGATTAACAATCAGTACACTCAAATTAACATTAAAATTAGCATTAAAAGCAACCATCATATGGAATTGTATTACCGTCATCGCATTCTTCTTTATCTACAACAATCAAATCTCCACAATATGATACACAATAATTTTCATATAATATCCAACCTGGAGTATCACATTCTATACAAAATCCTGATAAACATTTAGTACATTACTCTTAGCATTGAAATTCACATTAATAACATCCATCATTTTCAATTTCATTGCCATCATCACACTACTCTTTACCTACAATTATGCCATCACCACATTTGGAATTGCAAACTCCTTATATTAAATCAATCTCCCAACCTTAGTTTTCACAAGAATAACATTATCCTTAATAACAACTAAAACACTCAGGCTAGCACTCTATTTAACAGCTAGAACATTCATAATTCTCGACCATATTTCCATTATCGCATGATTCATTATCAGTAACTATTCCATCACCACAAATACTAAAGCAAGAATTAAGATACCTATTCAAATAATATCCAATTTAACATTATTCACATATGCCCGATTAGCAATCGATGCAATTAAAATCACAAGAGTATTTACATTAATAACATCCATCATAAGGAATTTCATTTCCATCATCACAATATTCCTCAACAGATTTTATGCCATCTTCACATACAGATTAACATTTATTATTGTGTACATCAAGTCTACCATACCCTTAAGCCTTATTGCATTCCAAACACTTTCCATTAACACAACTTAAGCAAAATAAAGGACAATCATATCTATTTTAAAAGCAACCATCCCACGCATTTAAATTTTAATCATCACATTATTCTATTCCAACTATTTAACCATCTGAAGTAATTTCCTCACACATATCATTCCTTACCATATATCCAGTTTGACATTTCAGACATAATCCCATTTAACATTATTCACAAAAATTCTGGCATTAAAATTAAGATAAAAAACATCCATCTTATTCAATTTAGTTGCCATCGTCACATTGTTCATTTCCTACTATTAATTTATCTCCTTATATTGGATAACAAATTCTTTCAAAAATATTTAAAATCCATCCTTAATTACATTGATAACACTTTCCATTATAGCATGTAGAACAAGAATTTTGGCAATTAAAGAAACATTAAAAGCAAAATGTGTCATTTAAATCATCACATTCCTCATAATCTTCATTCAAGATTCCGTCACCACAAAGAGGCTCTTAAAATATTAGGTTTTTGTTATCGTTTATATCTATCGAGTTACTAAAGTTTAAATTAAAAATGCAAGAATTTGTTAATTTTATTAGGTTATAACCATGATAACATTCCAAACAGATACCCATATTGTGTTTAGAACAATTTTAAACCCCTAAGAAATAACAAAAATGACATTTCCCTTCAGTCTAGCACTTTTCATCACATTATTCATATTAGATGGCAATTATACCATCACCACAGATCGGTACACAATTGTTATTATTTAGATACCATCCATTCTATTCATCACATTCCATACATTTGTTATATTAACAATCAATACAATTATTGGGGCATTAGAATTTACAGTTATAACATCCATCATTAGGAATATCATTATTATCTTCACATTCCTCACTATCCACTAAAAGATTATCCCCACAAATTCCAAAGCATTAATTATTTATCATTTAGAAACCTCTTTAACAATCGATACAAAATCCTGATAAACACTAATTACAAAATGTATCACAACCTAATTTACAATTATGACATCCATCATATGGATTATTATTACCATCGTCACAATCTTCTCCCTCTACTATAAACAAATCACCACAAATAGGAAGACAATATAGATTAATTCCATCATCAGAGAATCCAGATTAACATTAGCATTAATTATTTTATAATGATCGATGAAAGTCTGAAACACATGTTAAGCAATTATTAATTAAAGTTCCTGTGCATGTTTCACAATAGATATTACACTCAATCGTTGGATTAGGATTTGGATTAGGATTTTATGGAGGATTTATTGATAAGCAAACACCATTTTTAAGAGTATTATATTGACTAGATGAATCACAAGTAATGCATTCTTCTAAGTTTTTACATGCTAAACAACCGACTTAATTGCATGTTATGCAATTATAAGTTTCTGTGGTCAGATCAAAATATAAAAATTAATTCGATAAACAATTTGAANCACGCATTTAAATTTTAATCATCACATTATTCTATTCCAACTATTTAACCATCTGAAGTAATTTCCTCACACATATCATTCCTTACCATATATCCAGTTTGACATTTCAGACATAATCCCATTTAACATTATTCACAAAAATTCTGGCATTAAAATTAAGATAAAAAACATCCATCTTATTCAATTTAGTTGCCATCGTCACATTGTTCATTTCCTACTATTAATTTATCTCCTTATATTGGATAACAAATTCTTTCAAAAATATTTAAAATCCATCCTTAATTACATTGATAACACTTTCCATTATAGCATGTAGAACAAGAATTTTGGCAATTAAAGAAACATTAAAAGCAAAATGTGTCATTTAAATCATCACATTCCTCATAATCTTCATTCAAGATTCCGTCACCACAAAGAGGCTCTTAAAATATTAGGTTTTTGTTATCGTTTATATCTATCGAGTTACTAAAGTTTAAATTAAAAATGCAAGAATTTGTTAATTTTATTAGGTTATAACCATGATAACATTCCAAACAGATACCCATATTGTGTTTAGAACAATTTTAAACCCCTAAGAAATAACAAAAATGACATTTCCCTTCAGTCTAGCACTTTTCATCACATTATTCATATTAGATGGCAATTATACCATCACCACAGATCGGTACACAATTGTTATTATTTAGATACCATCCATTCTATTCATCACATTCCATACATTTGTTATATTAACAATCAATACAATTATTGGGGCATTAGAATTTACAGTTATAACATCCATCATTAGGAATATCATTATTATCTTCACATTCCTCACTATCCACTAAAAGATTATCCCCACAAATTCCAAAGCATTAATTATTTATCATTTAGAAACCTCTTTAACAATCGATACAAAATCCTGATAAACACTAATTACAAAATGTATCACAACCTAATTTACAATTATGACATCCATCATATGGATTATTATTACCATCGTCACAATCTTCTCCCTCTACTATAAACAAATCACCACAAATAGGAAGACAATATAGATTAATTCCATCATCAGAGAATCCAGATTAACATTAGCATTAATTATTTTATAATGATCGATGAAAGTCTGAAACACATGTTAAGCAATTATTAATTAAAGTTCCTGTGCATGTTTCACAATAGATATTACACTCAATCGTTGGATTAGGATTTGGATTAGGATTTTATGGAGGATTTATTGATAAGCAAACACCATTTTTAAGAGTATTATATTGACTAGATGAATCACAAGTAATGCATTCTTCTAAGTTTTTACATGCTAAACAACCGACTTAATTGCATGTTATGCAATTATAAGTTTCTGTGGTCAGATCAAAATATAAAAATTAATTCGATAAACAATTTGAACTTGAATATCCAGATTCCCAAGTATTACATGAAGTACCATCATTGCAATTTTCACAAAACGGAAGACACTAATAATATTTTTATAGATTTACATAATGAACAACGATAAAGTAATCTGAAAGGGCACAAAATTAATCTATAGCATTAACATTAGTATCTGTACATTATAACTCAATATCAAGTTAAGATGATAAAAATGGATTCTAAAATATTTCAAAATATTTAGTCCTTTCATCTGAACTCTTACCAATAATGTTTTAACCTCCTGATGCAGGGATTGGATGAGCAATCGATTTTACACTTTATATTGAATAATAAAAATTTCCTGCATATAAATCTCCATAAGTTACATTAAATCTTATTGTCACAGCATAGTGTGGTTTAGATATGACCCATGATTTTTTATATATTGCGTTATTCCATACCATTACTCCTCCTAAAACAAATTTGGTTGGAAATATTGAAAATTTTTATCCTGTTAAGAAATTACTACCAGTAGGGATTGTTTCAGAATAAAATTTGTTTATATCATCTGTAGTCATATTAAGATTATAAAATCCTTTAGCTAAATATCTGGAGACTATATTATTAAATTAATAAAATACATGGTATCATATCTTCATAGTCAATACAATTAGATGAATGCACAGGACAAGAACTAACACATCCATTTTAAAATAGAACATAACCAGTCTCACATTATTAACAAGTTGAAAAATCACTGCAAACAGCACAATTTTCTTTGCAATTACCTATATCAATGGTAACATTTCTGAATCCCCATATTTCGTTATTAAAAGTTAATTATTTTCCTTTAAGAATTAATTTTGGTGTGGAAGAATATGTTCTAAGAATTGCTTCTATTCTTAAAATTTCATAAGTAGAACCAGAACAAATGGTGCTTGAACTGTAAATCTTTGTAATTTAATTGAAATCAAATATCGACAAAGATTTGATTATTTCACCTTATACTTAGTCATCCAAAATTATTTATATTCTACTGTTAGTTAAGAAGCCTTATATAAAAAAAGTAACCCTAAGTCTGATAAATTTTATATTTTATTATTCTGCCATTTACAGACTCATTCCCTCACCGTAAAGAAGACTACCAACATAATTATTGGAACATAAAGAAGTAATAAATGAAGGAGTTGAGCTTCTTGTATTAATAGTATCAGGCACGAATTAAAAAGGAGAATATGAACTAGAAGTAGAAGTAAAATATGAAACAAAAGATTTAATTCTTCTATCAGGAACGCAAACATTATCTGACCTTGCTATAAAGTAGTCCCTTGTACATTCTTATCTGCATCCAACCAACTTCAGCAAATTAATGTGCAGGGTCGCAAAGACAAAACCCATTAGCCTGTAGAGTACCAGAATAACATGTGTCACAACTTGTAGAACTTGAGCAAGTCTTACAAGTTTATTAACAAAATTTCACATAAACAAACACATTTCGAACTCCAAGCAATTACAAATCATCTTAACTCTCAATACCTATTGATATGTTAAATTGTTCTTTATATTGAATTGTTGATGTACCTACATATGTCATAAAATCAAAATTTCCTGATCCTGAACTATTACATATTCTCCTTGAGCTTTGTGTTAATTGATTATTGAAATAATCCCTAAATTGCATTTTATATTTTTCAGTTGCGCTTACAGTGTAGTTTAAGGTAAAATAAGCTTGTTTATCTGAAGCAGAACCACGATCATCAAAAAAAATATCTACTATTGCTTAAGATTAGAAGCTTTTCTTTTGAATAATCTTATCCATTCTTGCATTAACTTTCTTTAATCTAACATATTTTATCGAATTAGTTAAGCAAGTATTATTCTGACTTTCACCTCCACCACGCTCAAAAGGATGACAATTTATTGAAAGAAACCATGAATTATTGGCGAAACCCTAACCAAAACTCGAGTCAACCATTACCCAATTTGATTGGGTTAAGCAAACGCAAATTGCTGACATAATCAAAAACATTAATTTTTAATTAAATTAAAATTCATTATTTATAAATCAAAAGTTAATTAAATAGCTGTTAATTTTTTAATAAAATCATCATCTATAATTTAATCGCTATCTTAAATTTTTTGATAAATATCTTTATAATTTTTTGCATTGAATCTATTTTTTATAGATTTTTAAGATAATTAAATAATTGCGTTATCAGGTGCTCATCTTACTTTTTAGATTTTTTTAAATTATTTGTGATAAATAAATATTGACTATTTTTAATTTAATTTTATTAGGTTAAAAAAAAGTATATGATAAGATATTTAGGTAATATATCTACATTCTTTGTGACAAATAAATTTAATTTAAAATTAAATGGTCGCTTTCATAAAAGTTAAATTTTTATTAAGGATTATATTTAATTTTTTTCTATGTTAATTTTTTAAGATAACTTAGCAGAATATGATTTAAATGCAAGAATTAGAAATTTGCTGCATTGTGAAAAAAATTTTAAAATACACTAACAAAACTATTTTATTGCTATAATGTTTAAATATAATTAATTATTAAATTATCATTGCAAATTAATTATAGAATCATGACAATTCCTAAGGATAAACAAATTTGCTTGAAATATTAAACCATTTAATTACTATAATGAATTTAGAAAGGAGCAATCTTTATAAAAGGGCTGAAATAAAGTAAACAATTTCTATTCCTGCATTTTTTAAGGATAGAAGAGAAGCAAACATTCAATATATAATTTAAATATAACTAAGCAATACAATTATTTGGAATTGTGTTATTTTTAATTTTAAACATTTTATTTTCCTTTATAAAGGTATGTATTGCTGGCTTTATTTTTTCTTTTCGAATTCCTTTACTTTATTTATCATTTTCAACTTACTTTTAGTTCTTTTTATATCTATCATTTTTTACTTTATAAATTAAAGCATCACCTATTACTTTCATCTGATTTTTCCAAAATTTTGTGTCTTCTTCTCTTTCTTTCATTCTAATACTTTCTTTACTTCGTTTTAATCTTTTTTTTTCATTTTAATCTAATTTTCATTTATTTTATTATACTATTTGAATTCATCATTTTTTACCCTCTCTTGAATTTATTTCAATTCTTCTCCTTTTTAACCCAAAGTAGCTTATTATTGAATTTTTTTTAAAGCCTATTTTCTACTTTTGCTCTCTTTATTTTTATTTTATAATTTTTCTCGTTGATTTATATTAAAAATTCATACTTTCATCTATAAATATAATTTAATTTTTTGTTAATCAGGACCGAGAATTTAATTATATTCAATTTAATATGTTAGAAAGACTATTGCAATATTAATCCCAATAAATTCAATATTGGTTTTATAAAAAGTAATAAGTAATCATCATAGACAAATTGGGTTAGAGATTAAAAAAAATTTTCTTATTGCGAGTCTGATTACATTTGCAAAAATCTAAATGAATAAGAGGGATTTGTCAAATAATTTTGAAAAAGAATGAGGTAAAAAAAAAATTGATCTAGCATTCAATTAGATTATATTAAAGGTTCTACATTAATAAATTTTATGATATGATTAAGAAATAGATATTTAATATTTTTATACAGCATTCTTGTCATTTCTCTTTATTTATCTTTAAATTAAAGAACTTTTATGTATTATAATGATTAAGATGAATAATTTTTTTTTTAAATCGATAGATAATTTAGAAAATTAGTTTTAATTTCTTATTATAAAATATAATATATTTANAAATTAATTATAGAATCATGACAATTCCTAAGGATAAACAAATTTGCTTGAAATATTAAACCATTTAATTACTATAATGAATTTAGAAAGGAGCAATCTTTATAAAAGGGCTGAAATAAAGTAAACAATTTCTATTCCTGCATTTTTTAAGGATAGAAGAGAAGCAAACATTCAATATATAATTTAAATATAACTAAGCAATACAATTATTTGGAATTGTGTTATTTTTAATTTTAAACATTTTATTTTCCTTTATAAAGGTATGTATTGCTGGCTTTATTTTTTCTTTTCGAATTCCTTTACTTTATTTATCATTTTCAACTTACTTTTAGTTCTTTTTATATCTATCATTTTTTACTTTATAAATTAAAGCATCACCTATTACTTTCATCTGATTTTTCCAAAATTTTGTGTCTTCTTCTCTTTCTTTCATTCTAATACTTTCTTTACTTCGTTTTAATCTTTTTTTTTCATTTTAATCTAATTTTCATTTATTTTATTATACTATTTGAATTCATCATTTTTTACCCTCTCTTGAATTTATTTCAATTCTTCTCCTTTTTAACCCAAAGTAGCTTATTATTGAATTTTTTTTAAAGCCTATTTTCTACTTTTGCTCTCTTTATTTTTATTTTATAATTTTTCTCGTTGATTTATATTAAAAATTCATACTTTCATCTATAAATATAATTTAATTTTTTGTTAATCAGGACCGAGAATTTAATTATATTCAATTTAATATGTTAGAAAGACTATTGCAATATTAATCCCAATAAATTCAATATTGGTTTTATAAAAAGTAATAAGTAATCATCATAGACAAATTGGGTTAGAGATTAAAAAAAATTTTCTTATTGCGAGTCTGATTACATTTGCAAAAATCTAAATGAATAAGAGGGATTTGTCAAATAATTTTGAAAAAGAATGAGGTAAAAAAAAAATTGATCTAGCATTCAATTAGATTATATTAAAGGTTCTACATTAATAAATTTTATGATATGATTAAGAAATAGATATTTAATATTTTTATACAGCATTCTTGTCATTTCTCTTTATTTATCTTTAAATTAAAGAACTTTTATGTATTATAATGATTAAGATGAATAATTTTTTTTTTAAATCGATAGATAATTTAGAAAATTAGTTTTAATTTCTTATTATAAAATATAATATATTTATTATTATTGATTTTGAAATCAAAAATATATTTATGAGAATAAAATTCTCTTCAGTTTAATGTAGTTTATTTTTATGTTTTGATTTGATGATCTTTATTTATATTTAATAATAATATTATTTTTATGCAGAAATTTCGACTTCGTTATCGATAAATTCTAATCAAAGTAGAAATGATTAGATATTTTTTTATTAGATCGGTTTAATGATGATTCAAGTAAGTTTATTTTTAGAAAAATAATATAAAAATTTAGAAAAATTTACTTGAACTAAAAATCAATAATACAAATTAATAAATAGCAATTTATTCATTCAAGGATCTATAATTAGCTTCAGTCTTGAGGCGAACAAACCTTGAAGAACCTCATTATAATGATAATTATAAGTGCTTTTGTGGTGAGTCGATCTGATGTAATCCTTTCTATGATTTGTACAATTATATTTCTCACAACAAAAAGTTTTTTAGTGAATCGTTATTTTAACAAAGAATTTGAAAAGCTTCTTTTGAATATCTTTAAATTGCCCCAGCTTTACTCTTTGAAAGCTGAATTTTTTTATATCATCAATCAAATAGATGCTATTATTAATAAAAGTATGAATGATATATAATTATAAAATTAGAAGAAAACAGTTAATTAATTTCTCCAAAGAATTGAATAGACAATAAAAACAGTAATTTTCATAGTAATATAGTAATCTAAGTAAATCTAAAAATAAGTAAACTTAGTTGATTTAAATTTGAGTCCTTCAATATTATTTACAAAAAGTTCTTTCCTTTGAACAAGTCGTGATAGTATCTCTTCTTCTTTAGAGTATTGACTTTTAGAAATTTCTAAATAAGAGATTCTATACATAAAACATGTAGGCATTATTTTTGAATGGTTACATGATTGATTTTGATTTCGTTTCAATTTAGATCAATTATATTCTAAATCTTTAACTTATTGCTATAGATGTGTAATATAAAATTAATCTTTTTTATGTTGGTATTTGTAATTTTCTATTTTTTTGACTTAATCATATTCTATTTGTAATCATTATCAAGTATTAAACTATCTAATATATTTCTAGTAGTTTCTTCAACTCTTGTGATAGAGTTTAAGTAAATAGGTTATTTTTCGTATCTTGGATAAAATATATAAATTAATAAACTCTAAAATGAAATTTATGATTTAAAATAAAAGATAGGGTTTATTGCAAGAGAACATAAGTAATAAAAATAAGATATCTAAATTATATTAGGAATTGATATAGATTTAGATCAATTGTTTACAAATTCATTTGCTGAAGGATTGTGGAAATTAAAATTATAAAAGAAAGCTCTTCAAAAATTGGAATCAGTTACAATTTTATTAAACGAGGCAGAAACAATGATATTTAAATTGTAAAAAGAAAAAGAGTTATTGAAGAAAGAAGAGAGTGTGAAATTAGAAATTAGAAATATATTAATGCAGAATAATAGAATTAAATGAAGAGAATACAAAATTAAAAGGGTTTTAAGCAGAAAAGAAATCAAAATTAGAATAAATTGAATAGGAATAAATAATAAAGTTTTAGAGACTGCGTAACAATAATTATAGGAGAATCATTAAGTGATAGAAAAAAAAGTGAATGTTATTATTAATTTACCATAAGTAATATAAGCAAAAACTCAAGAAGTTTAAAATCATGAAGACATCAAAAGATTAGCAAAACTTGATTAGAAAAGGAGTACAAATTTTATTGTAAATTTGAAGTTTTGAAATACATTACAGATTAGTATGAAAAATACTTATTAAAGGAAAATGAAGAAATAGAACACTTTATTCATTAATTTAAAAAATATTAAGAAAAAAAGAAGTAATTACCTTAAATTCGTTTTATAGAATGTAAATAAGGAATATGAAGTCTGAATCATTTGATTTATTTGATATATTAAGAGAACATTTAGAGTGATTGAAAAAAATAGAGAGAGGAGCTTATAGTTCTAAATAAGATCATTCAATATTTCTGCTAGAGATAAACGTCATATTAAATTTTGTTAGCCTTTTCACATTTCTTGATTATAGAAGTTTAAAAAATATTCAATATGATGGAATTAAAACTAAGGTTGCTTTATAGCCTAGAACATAACAATATTAAAATGAATCTATCAGAAATGGAGGAACCAAATTTAAGATAGTTTGCTAATATGATAAGAGATGAACTAGTCTAAGTTTTAATGAGAGAAAAAGAACTATAAAAACAAGTAGTTGAATTAGAGATTCTATAATTAAATAATGATCTAAATACTTTAATCAAAGAAAGAGAGGAAAATAAATAACTTTACTTATGAGAAGTTAAAAAGGTCAATTAATCTAAAAGAGTTATAAAATATTTTGATTAAAGTAAGATATTACCAGAATATTTTCGCAAATCCTTACTAACTTTAGAGAATTAAGGATATGGAAGCCAATTTTCATCCAGATTTAGTCTTCTAGGAAAGGACTAATGAAAAAATATATAGAAAGCTCCTCCTATTCCATAATCTAATTAATTATGAAGGAGTTTGTTACTTTATATTATATAATTTATCTAACAATAAGTTAGAGATTTTAAATTTTAAATATATTATTCAATTTATATGGAATACATTCCCATTTTGAACATTAATTTTTTTGACAAAAATCAGGTCAATTTTTTTTTTTTCAATCTAAATATTGCTTATATATTCACCTTTTAACTCTTTATTTATATTGTCTCTTTTTATATTGAATTTTATTGTTTACTTTTTTTTATTTGTTCATTGTACAATAAATTACGCAATACTGTTGTTTGAATTAAAAACCATCAATATTGTTCATAAAAGATTTAGATTTCCCATTAAAATTTTGAATTATAATAGAAATTGTGTCAGAATTATCTGATTTATCTTAGAGGAAGATGGGCTTTCTAAATTTATGGTTACAAATATTATAAAAATTACATAAATTAGATTTGTTCATTATTTATTAATATTCATTTTAAATTGATATTTTCATCTATTCAAAAATTGCATGGGAAGGAAAGACCAAATTAATAAGCATTTGTTATTCCACAGATTTAATTTATTTTAATATAAAACTACAATTTATAATTATATTTTACTCTTCCTTCCAACATTTACTTTGTCACTAAATTTATCAAAAATCCTGATAAAGCTATTATTTAAACTGATAACATTAATACAACCATTGCGCCTATATCTAGACGAGAGTCAAAATATGAAAACACAATTTTGCCAAAAGCAAAGGCAGCAATTACATAATAAATTAAAGCCCCTTAGATAATTATTATTAAATACTTTTCATATTTAAAGCAACATTTGAAAAACAAAGATATATTATTTGAGCAATAATAGAAAAAAAGCTACTCAAAAATCGCATAAACAAAAGATAAAAAATGACACTTGAGTCTTATTAATAAATATAATAATACCTATAATATTGATATGAACATATAAGCAGTACAATATATATGGTTCAATAAGCAAAGTTATAATGAATATTGCATAGGATAATGGTGACTGATAACATATAAATTGAATAAATTACATTTTAAAATAATGGGTATCTAGTCAAAATAACTAACAATTAGTATGTTAAGAATGCAAATCCAAATAATTCAATTTTAAAATAGGGGGTGATTAAGTCTTCTTAACAAAAATTTATAAAGATTGTCAGTAATATTATTTATCTTATCAGAAATAATATAAGGGCCTTTAAGATATATCGCTTTTATGATTAATAGGGATGATTCTTCAAATAAAACTAATAATAGAGATGTTTGAGTACTTAATTTTAATAATGATCCTCCAAAGATTATTATTATTCCTCATTGTGCATTTATCTATTCTTAAAAATATCTTTACTAAGATGGTATTTTTATTGAATAATCTGATTATTATTGATTGATTTGTCTATCTTTTAATCTTTAAGCACTTGCTTGAGTACCCATGAATTATATTTATAATTTAATTAATTGATATTATCAAAAAATTTAATATTCAAATAGGAAAAACTAAGCTAAATCCGTTACTATATAATTGGTATTTATTTAATTTAAGTTATAGTTTCAATAGTAAATCATCTTAAAATACAAAAAGATGAAAAGGATTTAATTAAGTATAAAGCAATTCATAAATGTTTTAAAATGAATTAATATTAAAGGATTTATGAACTAAAAGTCAAATATATTTTGTTTAATTTTTTCTAAATCTTTCATTTTTATAATAAATGCAATATACAAAACTTTTATACTTTATAGGGACAAGATTTCAGATTTACAAAGATTACTATTAATTTGTTTTTTACGAATTGGTTTATTTGAAAAAAAAAATTTTGTAAGTATTAAAAATAAATCTACGATAAAGTATTATTGTTGAACCTGAGACTTCAAGGGAAACAGTTTTTAATCAAGGAATATTGATATAATCAAGAAGAGTAATTTTAATATTTAAAATAAATTCAAGATATAAGATTCAATTATTAAAATGTAATTTCCATTTATAATATACTAATCTGTCATAAATGATTGTGATGATAAAGATAGTAGAATCAATAGATTTTTGATAATTTACAAATCAAGCACCAAATCACTAGATATTATCAAGCTTAATTATTGAATATATTATTACCCTAATTGAGAAAGCTATATTTAAAAAATATCAATAAAATTATTTCCAATTGTTTATTAACATATATTTAGAGAAAAGGGTCTTAATAATTGATACTTTTTAAGAATAATTAAATGCATAGTATTGAAATAACTATATATGAATTTTGAATACCTCCATTCTAATTAATTCATGAATGTACTCTATCCAACAAATTTTTCTAGTTTGATATTTATTGTGTTGAATATATCTTTGAATCACAGGAATACTTTATGTATGAAATATCAACTTTTATATTAATTAATTAGATCCCTCATAATTCATTTCAAATGAATTCAATCTTTTAATTGAGTTTAATCATTATCATTTAATTATTTGAATTCATCATTATATTTGATGATTTCATCATCTTTCTAACACTTCTAATCTATTCAATGTTTAACATTCATAATTTAAGTACTTTACCAACCTTTCAAAGAGCTTATAAACTCTCTCTACATAAATCTCTTTAAGAAAATTTGGGCAGGATGGCCAGTTTGATATTTAATAACATTTACATTCTCCTGTAGATACATTAAAATATACTCTGATCTTGTATGTCATCAACAAATTTTCCATCATCTAAAAACATTAAAAATTTTTTTCTTTATCAAATTACAATCAACCAAAGATACCAGATGTTATCCTCTTTAGGGTATCTCTTCAAGAATTCGACATGGATTCAACACAATTACAGGGAGAACATGTGAATTGAAAACAAGAAGGAGAATCCTTTTATTCTGTGTGGGACATTTAAAAAAATAACCCTGCCGAATTAGATTTTAGCTACCGACCTAAGAATGATGGATTGTATAAATACTTAAAGCAAAAAGTAGATAATCAAATAGTATAGTGGAACACACATTACATTAAGTTATTTAACAACAGATAGTAATTTCTAGAAATTAAAGTCTGTGGGTTGATATAATAGGATAAGTTATATTGACAAAGGATAAAGCTAATATTATGATATAAATTGCATACGAAAGACATAATTGGAAATTGCTTGTCACAGTAATAGCCTATGCTTTGTTATAAGGAGAAGAAGATATGAAGCCCCTAATCTCTTAAATAATAAATACTGAAAGTTCATTGGCTCGATAAACTAAACAAAGATATTCCTAAAAGAAACAGAAAAACAGAAAGATGAAAGGAAGATGTTGATAAAGATAAAAGGAAGAAAGTACAAATACTAGTTAGAATAAGAATTTGTGGAAGATATAAGGCATATGCGAAGGCGACATCATTTGATTACATAAAATTAACAGTTTTGATGCCAATCTTTCGATTATGGCCAAATAAGTTGAAATGAATATTAACATATAGTATAAATCCGCCCCTTAAGATTGTTGGGATTTTCATAGACAAAAACAAAGCGAGTTAATTCAAGATAAATTATTTGCATGAATCATAATACCAGAAATTCAAGAAAATGGATTCAAATTACAAATACTAATTTCGTCATATTATTAGAAATTTATTCATTCAAAAATTGTGTGTTTTTTATTTCAAAAAAGGATTTAGACACAAATCAAATTAGAGTTAAAGCAAAAACCTTTTTAAATCCCATAAAATTACTTAAATTAGAATAATTCAAAAGAAATTGAGAAATAAATCATAGGTATATCTGATTAAAACAAAATTATTACTAATTTTACATACAATTAATGATAAGCTTAGTATTGATTTAGTTTAAAAATTGCTATAAATCCAGATTTAGAAATAAACTTTATAGTTAAAAATGCGTAGAAAATAATATCATTTAGTAAAGAAATATCAGCGGCATTGAAAGATATGATAGTTTAGATAACAATTGATAAAAAGATTTAATTACAAGAAGGGAGTATAAGATGCTATACTTTTATTCTTTTAACTGAAGTATTATTAAAATCTTTTCTTAACTTCCAATACAAGATAAACTTATTTTATGTAGTGATTTTTACTTTTTACTATAAAAATGGAAGAAATCTGTTACATTTGAGAAAAAAACAGAACAAGTTATCTATTACTTTATCATTAAGTGTTAAAAAATAATTCTTTGGTTTTCGTAAATGACTAAATCTAATAAGTTTCTCAAAGATAAATTCTTAAATCTAAACCTTAGATATTATAAGTAAAATACCAAAAATGGCAGTTTAATCATGCTTATTGATACCCATTTATGGTTTTGAATAATTATTTATTGAAGAAAATGATATATTGAAAAAGTTTATACGTAGATGTAAATCTTGTAAATTGAATATGTTTAACACAATTATGATACTTTGTGAACATGATAGATATTGCAATGATTTTGCTTAAATGATAGAGAATTTTATTATTGTGATCAAAACCATATTGTAATGGAGTGATTTTTACATCGATTCTAAATAAAGGGAATTATGGAAGAAAATAGGAGAACATGAAAAATGTAGTTTGGGGGATATTACTTCAGGATCTGTACTTTTTGATGAATAAAAAATGATTGAATAATTGACAAAAGGTAATCCAATAAGAGATAGTGCATCGAATACCCATATAAAAATATAAACTCATATGCCTGAGGGAGAAATTTAAACATTACCTGAAAAATTTCCAAAAAAGAAGAATAAATTAATTAATTGAAAAGATGGTCATTTTTCAGATCATATGGAGCATATTGCGTATTTATTGATGAAAGAAGAATGTTGAATCTAATAAAAGACGACCATGAAAATGAGCATCATTAAATACTTATTATTAAACATTGCCTAAACATATTAGAGAGAACCCAAATGTTTATAGAGGTTTAGAATTTAGAGTCATTTAGAATAATAAAAATTGTACGATTGAAATTCCTAAATTTAAAAGAAGTTGTATAATGGATAGATTAATTTAAAACATTAACATTATTTAAAAAAGGAGGTCAAAATATATAGACAACAAAATAATACCTAAAGGAAACAAACCATGGCATCCTTATATTTGAACAAAAAGAAAAAAGCATATTTAATACTTACTTGAATATAAATAGAGTCTAGATTCATAACCCATTTAGGGAATGACTTGTTTTTAGGCAATAGGGGATTTAAGTTGATGGCAAACTTAAGAAGATCCTTAAAATGACCGTATTTAGTATAACAATATATTTTATAATAATAAACGTTATCTCTATTTTACCAATCCCAACACTACACTACTCTTTTAACAATACAACAGTCATCCATAGACTCTATATAATCATTATCCAAGATATAAACTTATAAAATTTTTTCATGATTAATATTTATATTAATATTCAATTCAATTGCCGAAAATGTAACAACCTTATTGTTTTAAAATAGGCTTCAAATCATAATCTTAATGATTTACAAATTCTCCTAAAATTACAGCACCTTATACATACAGAGTTGGTTCTGAAGAAATAATTAATTTTGGATAATTCAAATCTAAATAAAAGTTAAAGAAATACCTGTTTTTGGTAGTTGAATTTTCAAATCTTCAATTAGATCTTTGAAACGTTTATCTGTCGGATAAATTTACTATCCTATTTCCAAATCCCATATTCTAATTGAATTATCATAACTACCAGATGCTAAGATAGTTCCATCTGATGAGAAGCATACTGATTGGACCCAATTATTATGACCATCTAATTTAGCTTTTTATTATCCTGTTTACGCATCCCATATTCTGATTGAATTATCCTAACTACCAGATGCTAAAGTAGTTCTATCTGGTGAGAAGCACACTGATTGAACCCACTGACTATGTCCATCTAATTTAGCTTTTTATTATCCCGTTTTAACATTCCATAATCTGATTGATTTATCATAACCACCAGATGCCAATATAGTTCCATCTGGCGAGAAGCATACAGATTAGACATAACTATTATGGCCATCCAATTTGGCTTCTTATTATCCTGTTTTAACATTCCATACTCGAACTGACATATCACTGCTACCAGATGCTAAAGTAGTGTTATCTGGTGAGAAGCTTACTGAGTAGACCGTATTACTATGACCATCCAATTTGGCTTTTTATTATCCTGTCTTAACATCCCATAATCGAACTGACATATCACTGCTACCAGATGCTAAAGTAGTGTTATCTGGTGAGAAGCTTACTGAGTAGACAGTATTACTATGACCATCCAATTTGGCTTTTTATTATCCTGTTTTAACATCCCATAATCTGATTGACTTATCATCACTACCAGATGCTAAAGTAGTTCCATCTGGTGAGAAGCATACTGACCATACTCTATCACTATGACCATCTATTTTGGCTTTTTATTATCCTGTCTTAACATCCCATAATCGTATTGACTTATCACCACTGCCAGATGCTAAAGTAGTTTTATCTGGTGAGAAGCATACTGATTGGATCCAATTACTATGACCATCCAATTTATTAAGTTCTTGGATTTTAATGTTCTTCCATTCACATTTCAATAAAAGAGCTCCATTAAGATTCACTCCCGTTAAATCTACATCTTCAAACTTCGATTTACTAAAATTACATCTTACAAAATTTCCACCTATCAAAGATGTATTTTTTATTCTGATGCCTTAAAAGTTATCGTTGGTAAGATCAACCTTCATCTGTGCTAATAAATTTAATCCATTTGATCCGCATTAAATAAATTTTTCATCAATATTTGTCAATTAGACTAGACATTTAAGAAAATTTACAATCATCTTATTTCCTGATATCTTCTTAATGAGATTGAATCTTTCCTCTTCATAACTTTCTTCGCTATAATTTATTTGACTAAAGGGATGATCTAAAATATTTCTCAAAGCATTCATGATATTTTTAATTTTCTGTTTTATATCTTAAATTGTCACTTGCTCATTGACAAATGATGCATATAGATTTATATCTGATAGCTTTGAAAAAAATGTTAGTATATTCGAAATATTATCATTTCCCTGCTAATCAATAACTTTTTTTAAAATTTATTCATCAATATCCGAAGCAAGAATTTTAAAGAGATCCTTCTCTTTTTAATAAACTTCACCCTCAACTAACTGGATTTACTTAATCTTATATAATAATTCATTGGAATTTTAAAAAACAGTCTTAATTCCATTTTCCCACTCATTCTTAATCTCATCTAAAACCTTCAGATCACAAATTTTCTAAATATTCTAATCTTTTATTTATCTCTCTTCTTCAATAATAATGGAGACTAATTTTTCTAAATCAGTTTATTAGGATTCTGCTGGATTTTAGACGATTTTAGTGATCAGATTTATGTAGGATTAGTTTTCCTGATCAAATCTATCGAATAATTATTTGATTTATTCCGATGAATCATCCAAAAAAGTCTTCAGCATGATTTAAGCTTGAGAAATCTTCTATTTAAAAGCTGCTCTTGAATTGGCAAGTTCATTGGATGTTTGTTTAAAGATTTCTAATTTCTTGTTAGCCATTTCTTTGAATTTATCTATAGAAACAGTGTTGTTGGCTCCATGTACATCTAAATCTAGGCAACGTGCGCAAAGTTTCCTTTGAAATTTGCACTCACGATCAACGCATATCGATGTAATTAAATTTTAAAGATGACGCTGGCATTTCATTTCGTTTTCATAAAACATTATTTGATTTTTATTATTATAATAATAATTATATAAAGAATAGTAGCAATATGTTAAATATTGAAAATTATTTATTAAGTATTAATTTTTTCCATTCACCATCTAAACAATTAAGGAGGATTTAAATAAATTCCATTATATTGCCTAATTTGGACCCGTTTAACTTTTTATTCTACTAATAAATTTAATGAATTACTTCCAATTATGATATTAAAGATCGATTTTTCATTAGAATCCCATTTGATATATTAAATTAGATATTTCCTTGATTCCACATAAATTTCATAGATATTTTTATATGAATTAAAGATCTTCTTTGTGGCTGCTACAACATGTAATTAAATTAACTTTTTACCTTATAAAATAATCCACAAATAGTAATAAACTCATTCTTAAATTCTCTGTCGACTTTATTATTAAATAGATAATTTTGTGATAGAAGAGCAATAATGTTTGATACAGCCAAAAAAAAAACATAAAAGAAAAAAAATAGAACTGATGCTAAGTTTGAAGCTCAACTTTTTTTCACAATTATGGAAAATATTCAATCTGCGACAACAATTTCTTTCATAAATAAAAATTTATTTTTCAGAGATTATCCAAAATCTTCTAAGGACACCACTATGATCTTACTTTTAATTTAGTTTTTTCTAGAATATTAATTTTTCGACTATCACATGTAAAAATTATCAATTCTAACAGGAATGAATTAGGATACAAAAGAGAAGTAATGGATGACAAAGATAGATAAGTAAATCTGCTAGATATAAATTAAAAGAGACCAAATACTTATTCGAAATGAGACTGATACCATGAAATAGAGTAGCTCAAAATTTGAAAAAGAGGGTAAATTAGACCTATTTATGTACAATCCCATATTATAAAATTGATTGAGATGTTTTACTCTGAGAATCTTTAGAGAAAGATGAAGTATAAGACAGTGTAGACCAGTTAGGATTTGTGCCAAGACTTGGAGTTTAGATGAACTTTCGGTAAGTCATCGATTATCAAAAGAAAAAAGGTAAAGATAAGGCAAAAATGTTTATAGATTTTTTAAATGCATACAATTCAATAAATAGAGAGAAATTATACGAATTGATTGTGAAGAGAATGTGAATGGATAGAGATGCAAGTAGATTCCTAATGACATTATACGATGAAGTGTATTTTGGGATCAAATGGAAAAAGAAAAAATAAACTTGAAAAATGGATTATCATTAATAGCACCGATGTTAGTTAAATTGAATTTTATAATTTACTGACAGAAATGAGAAAGAGGATAATATGGAATAATATTCAATATGGGCAAAAAGAAGATAATAAATAGTAAGATAGATGAAGAGCACAAGGGCATTGACATATGCAGAAGAAGTAGCAGGTGAAATATTCTTAGTGCTTAAGGAGACAGCAAAAGAATATAGCATGAAAATGTAGATGAATAAATCTGCATAATGGCAAGCAAGGTGAAAAAGAGTCTAAATTCTTCACTATTGCTTGTGATTGAGAAAAGTCAGAAAATCCTGTATATCTAATTAGAAAACTACAAATATAAATTTTATGAGCTCATCTAAAGTTGTAGTTAAGCAGCCTTTTTACTTCCCAACTTAAGAAAGTTTATAAATTATTTCCAAAGAAAATTTAATATATTATTGTTCAATTAAAATAGCCATGATAAAAATATTTTAATTAATTTCTATTACTTTTTTGTTTATCCTTTTATTATATCAAATAATTTCTAAAATTAAAGTTACCCATTATTTCTTAACCTTAATTTTTCGAAAAATCATTTTCTTTTATTCATCTAAACTCTCATTTTGTTCTAGAGTTTTTCATGATTCAATTAAAGAATATACAAAGAATGATACCTAAAATCAGCATTAAAATAAGCTATTCTAAATTAGAAACTATTTTTATAATGATGCAAATTATAAAAAATTAATGTCACATGAATATATGATTTTGGATGAAAAATAAGGGTTATTTTCTTTTTCAAATAAGGATTAATACTGAGTTTTTATTGCTAGACAGTAAATAGATGAATCCCTAAAATATTGGAATGCTTGAATGTTTTAATGAATAACTCATTCTAACCCCAAATTTGTCCACCAGTTGGGGGGGTTATTCTCGGTATTCTATCCATTCGACTCTCTGATAATTCAACCCTTGTCAACTAGGTGTCGAATAATTAGTAACTATTTAATCCTTCTTCAGTAAATATGAAACAGAAAAGTTATCAATTCTAGTTGAATAAAAAAACATAAAAGGATAATAATTGATTTAATTTAAATCATTTGAAATTTTAATAATCGATAATATTTAGGTATTCCCTACCTTTTCTTGTATTTAGCTTTCGAATAATATAGAAAAAGGAAATTATTTATATTGAAGTATCAAAAATTAAATATTATATTCCCTAACTTATGTGAATGTAAGAGTATGAGGATCTTAACTTTGGATACCACAAATCTGAGAGAGATATCGATTAGCTGGATATGGATGGATTTATGAAGGAACCGGAATCGTGGACGATTTAGTAGAAAGAAGAATTAGTGGCAAACTAGATAAGGAGAGCCTTTTTCTTTTTCGAATAAAGAAATAAAATTTTTTACAAAAAGGCCTAAGCTTAAGACTAAATTAATAAAGGATCAAGTATATTTAATTAGGACGCCCATTTATAGTACATACTTGTATATAAGTAACCAGAGACAGATAAACTAGTAATATAGTATTTAATAAACAATTATTAATCTCCTTATTTAACAATGAACTCGGTAAGTATATCTAATTTTTTTATATTTATCTGATTCGACTTCTTTTTTTAAATGTTTATTTAAAAATTTAATATGAATTTATCATTTTTCTTAATATTTTCTAATTTAAAATTCACATTGTTTATTATCCCATGTAATCAGATATTTTCCATCATTACTCATATATCCATAAAAACAATTTGTTTCAAATTCAATAGCTTATTCAATTATAAAATCTTAATTTTTCTATATCCTAATCAAATTAAGATTCTATCCATTTTTATTAGTAAGCAAACATTTAGACTTTATGTATTAATTAGGATATAAATAATTGCATCCTTAAAAATTACATCTGACTGCTAAATCTCTTGTCTTTGAAAACTATTAACTAATTGTATTCAATTCATAAATATGCATAAACTCCTTTAAATATGGTTAAAATGTGAATAAATTGTCATTAATAAAGCAAATTCGATATCCAAAATCATCAACAGTTATTCTTTATATAACATTCCATTTTTCATTTAATGCAGGCTGTTCTATTATTAATATTACTTTATCAGATCCACAAGAGATCACTTTATTCTATTGATCATTCAAACTTAATCCACAAACAGTATTTTCATGGTCTGTAATTGTTTAACAACATTTCCATTCATTTTGCTTGATCCAAAATTTTATTTCAGAATCTTTACTACCAGATATAATAAGATTTTCATCATTGTTTAAGATTAAACAATAAATATAACTTGAATGGCCATTTAATTTTTATTTGCAAATCCAATAATTATCTTCATTCCTAAACCATATTATTATTAAGTTATCTGAACTTCCTGATATAAATTAATTCGATTTCTACATAAAATTCAAAGTCAAAACTAAATTTAAGTGTTCACTGAGAAGTTGAATTTATTTCAACTATTCTTATTAAAATTCAAATACTTTGATCTTCATATCACAACCAGCTACTAAAATAGAATTATCTTAATTAATAGCTAATGCATAACAATATTCATTTTATTTTATAGAACTATTTAGTACTATACTATAAGAGTTAGAATTCAAATATTATTAATTTTATTAAGATTAATTTGTTTATTTAAACTCTTAGATCTTTTGCTGTTTTTATTATTAATCAATAGTTAATATAGTGTTTTAACATTCTAATTCTTTAGTGCTTTCTTTCAATTCAATTTAAATACTATTTACAATTTATAAATTATCAATTAACCCCTTTATTTTATTTAATTAACTTCCATAACATTCTTAAAAAAATTATAAAGCATCTGAAACAGATTAATTTATTAAGTTATCTTACTTAGTATATTCGTTTAATAATGGATCTTACAAACCATTTTATGTACTAATTTAGCTTAAATCTTAAGCTATTTCAATGATTTCCTCTTTAGAAAAATTTTACCAAGATGTATTCTTAAAATTGTTGGTTGAGTTATTGACTTTAGTAGAATAATCTTCAAAAACGACATTTATTTTATTTGTTGCGTTCTCAATTGCAGAATCTAATCCTTTTTACATTTTTTTTAAATAAGACTTAAGATTGTTTACTTTATTTTAAATCTAATCATGATTTTCAGTCATTTTTTATAATCTTTGTTATTGAACTGTTTACCAAATTTCATGAGCTATCTAAATTGAAGTATATTAATTTTTGGTACCATCTAAGCATCCCAAACATCCAATACGTTTATAACTTGTTCTTTCTTTACTAAGATCAAATAAAATAATTTTTTGATTATGATCTTCACATATAATATTAAGTTCCTAAATTTATTATAATAATACTTTTTCTATATTTTTATTCTCTCCATATTCCTTATTCTCAAATAAAACTGGTTGTGTAGATTGATTATCAAGTAATAATTAGTTTTTTTTAATTAAGTCTGTTTCGGTCAGAGATAGTAATAAATTTTTGATCTTAACTTTAAAATCAACCTATTTTTAAATTGAAGCATTTTCCTCTTACTTAACGAACTCTACAAACAATTAATAATCGATTGATTCTTATTATTATACTTTATTAATGAAAGCTTCTTCTAAATTTTAGATTGATTCTCCCCATTTTTTAATAGTAGACATTATCTATTCAATTTATTAGATATAAAAATTTTTCAATTATTCAACACTATCATTAAATTAATTGATATTTTCTAGAATAGTCTCTAAATAATTTAATCTATTTTCTTTTAGTAATTATTTAAATTCATTAATCTGATTAATAGAATCTTTTATATTTTTCACTTATTTTTTCTGTCCTTTGGCCAAAAGATTTGTCAAACATGTTGCACATATTGTTCTTTTTTAAAGATCTTTCTCGCTTTCATCAATCGCCACAATATCTTCAGAATGTTCTAAACATTTCTATTATACTCTGTTTTAAATCATTATTTTTATTATATATAATTTATTAAAATTCAATAGAATTTGAAATCCAAATTTGTAAAATGAATATTTTTTGTTAAATTGCATTTTTTTTATTAAGTTATCCAAATAAAAGTTAAAAAATTGTATAATTTAAGCAAGATGCTAAAACCACAATTTAATTTAAGAATTGGAAATTCTCTTTTATTTTAATTCAAATCTTTCTACTATTAATACATCTAAAATATCTGGCTTTTTCCATAACATTTTCATGACTTTCAATTCTTCTATCATCATTCTTGTTGGTCTAAGATTATGTATTTATGAATTATTGCTCTTAAGACTCAAATAAATTAGGCGTATTTATTGGCATTTTCAATAAATTATTTATAATTATTAACTAAATTATAGACTGCAGTAATTTTAATCAATTGGCAATTTCTAATTATTTATTTCCACTTAAATTATTATAGAGATATTTCTATGGTATAAATAAGTTAGAAGAAATATTGCATTCATGTTAAAGTAGAAAATCTTTGATATACTTAAATTAATTAAAATGAATCATTGAATCTTAAACAATAAGGAAATTAAGTTCTTGTAATAAAATTCGCAAAAAGGTAAATAATTAAATATCATAATTAAAACTAATGTATTTTATAATTTATAATTGTAAATAATCAAAAAAATATATATAAATTGGGTTATTAATATATTTAAAAATTATGATAATTAATATATGAGCTTATATATTATCTTTGTTTGATTTTGAATATATAGGATATAAATTCGATATAATAATCTTCTACGAATAAAAAAAAGTATGCCATTAATTATATTATTTTTGAAAATTTAGAATATTTTTATGATTGGGTGGTTTTTTTAAGGAGATTTTTTTTTATGATGACTCAGTATCTATTCAAAAACATGTTTAAAATATTATAAAAGTATTATAATTGTTGAAGAAAGATAAATTTGATAATTTATATAATTTTAATGAAAAAAATTTTATATACTACAATCTATTCAATTTTTAATTGTCTGATTATCAAGGTCCTTTTTATTGTTGTGAAGATTTGGATTTATCTAGAACAACTTTTATTAAAGAAGCCAGAATTATAACTGTACCTAAAATACTAAAAATAGATAAGTTTGTCCCCATTAAAGTATCTATAAAATATCCATAAATAACCTAGGATTAACCCAGCATCGATATTTCAGTAAGGTTACCTTTCATATATGCTCTATTCATCATAAGCTAGGAAAAATATGAAGTTCCACCAATCAGACTTAATATAATTGTTTCATAATAGTTTGGAATTAACCATTATTAAGCTGGAATTATAAATAATGCTATAGATGTTACTCCAATTGAAATAATAGAGAAATATTATAGAATTACCAATTGATTTACCTAAATAAAATAAATTAATACTGATTTAGCCAATTAATTAATTAATACTTGTATAGTAGAAGAGAAAATTGCAGCAAGTATAATTAATACTATCCCCATCAATTATGTCTCTTATTAATTTTCTATTTATTCATAACCTAACATATTTAGTAGTATTGGTGGCTAACTGATAAGAAAAATTCCGAAAAAGCACAAAATCAGATTAACAAATAAACTCTTCTAAAACTTTTCAGTTTTTAAATAATAGATTGCCATAAGAGAAGTCCAAAGAGGAGATGTTCTAAAGAGAACTTGTCCTTCTGATACACTAACTTGCATTATTCCTGAATAAAAACAAATTGTTCCTAAACATCCGAATATGCTTCTCATAAATAATTTTTTGTAAATATCTTTTGTAAATCCATAGAGTGGTATTTTTTAATTGCTCGTTACTATAGTATTCATCAAACACATAATTATTGCTCGAAAATAAACTATTTAAGAGGAAGGAATATTTGAAACAAATTTGCTTAACATTGAATTTATTGAAAATAAAAGTGAACTAGTTAGAATATAGTAAATAGGGGCATATCTAGGCTATTTCAGTTCTAGACTTCTAATTCCTTTTTGAATAGTTTCTAAAATACAATCCATAAATAAAATTAATTCAAATACGTATATTGAAAAAATTTAATAAGTAGTTCTGCTTGCTTGATTAAAGGAAAAAAATATTGTTTATTACATATANATCTATTCAATTTTTAATTGTCTGATTATCAAGGTCCTTTTTATTGTTGTGAAGATTTGGATTTATCTAGAACAACTTTTATTAAAGAAGCCAGAATTATAACTGTACCTAAAATACTAAAAATAGATAAGTTTGTCCCCATTAAAGTATCTATAAAATATCCATAAATAACCTAGGATTAACCCAGCATCGATATTTCAGTAAGGTTACCTTTCATATATGCTCTATTCATCATAAGCTAGGAAAAATATGAAGTTCCACCAATCAGACTTAATATAATTGTTTCATAATAGTTTGGAATTAACCATTATTAAGCTGGAATTATAAATAATGCTATAGATGTTACTCCAATTGAAATAATAGAGAAATATTATAGAATTACCAATTGATTTACCTAAATAAAATAAATTAATACTGATTTAGCCAATTAATTAATTAATACTTGTATAGTAGAAGAGAAAATTGCAGCAAGTATAATTAATACTATCCCCATCAATTATGTCTCTTATTAATTTTCTATTTATTCATAACCTAACATATTTAGTAGTATTGGTGGCTAACTGATAAGAAAAATTCCGAAAAAGCACAAAATCAGATTAACAAATAAACTCTTCTAAAACTTTTCAGTTTTTAAATAATAGATTGCCATAAGAGAAGTCCAAAGAGGAGATGTTCTAAAGAGAACTTGTCCTTCTGATACACTAACTTGCATTATTCCTGAATAAAAACAAATTGTTCCTAAACATCCGAATATGCTTCTCATAAATAATTTTTTGTAAATATCTTTTGTAAATCCATAGAGTGGTATTTTTTAATTGCTCGTTACTATAGTATTCATCAAACACATAATTATTGCTCGAAAATAAACTATTTAAGAGGAAGGAATATTTGAAACAAATTTGCTTAACATTGAATTTATTGAAAATAAAAGTGAACTAGTTAGAATATAGTAAATAGGGGCATATCTAGGCTATTTCAGTTCTAGACTTCTAATTCCTTTTTGAATAGTTTCTAAAATACAATCCATAAATAAAATTAATTCAAATACGTATATTGAAAAAATTTAATAAGTAGTTCTGCTTGCTTGATTAAAGGAAAAAAATATTGTTTATTACATATAGTTAAGAGAAAATCATAGTGATTAAAAGCTATAATAGATTGTTTTAATTGAAATAATTAACACAAACTATTAGAAATTTAAGCCTTGAAGATAATTTTTATTTAAAATTTATTTTAACCGTATTTATAATTTTTCAACTATTATTTAATTTTTTTATTTATTCTTAAGAAAAAGCGTAATTAAAATTGCTAACAAATTAGGTTTAGTTTTTATTGAAATCATTTCTTGATTATAAATTTATTCCTGATAGTGATATATACTAAACTCTAAAGAATTCTGTTTTTGGATGATTTTAATTCCCTTACGTAATACTTTTGTATCTAAATTGTTTTTTATATTAAATTTGAGATTTAACTTTAAGTTCATTTAACACTTATTGGATATTATATCTTTACTCTGGATTAATTTAAAGCATTTATATAAATAAATTCTTAAAATTAGGATCACAATTAAGAGCTTTTATTTTTTAGTTAATTTCTTCTTAATCGTTGGCTTCTCTAATAAATCTATAATTAAATACTTGGTTGATATGATTCTTTAGTATTAAATAATTAATAGCAAATAATTCCAAAAGCCCAAATATCTACTTTATTTTGATATGTAAGAATAGATTCATTATAAATTTATTCTGGAGCTTAATAATTTGTTCCTGCATAAAAATCATCTAAATTGATTTCATCTAGTAAATCGCCATAATCGCATATCTTATAAACCTATTAATTATTATTATTTTATTAATCTTTTAATGTTTCAATTGCAATATTCTTTAAAGAAATTTTTTAATGTGAAATACCCAAAGTGTGTAACTCCAACAGCCCATTTGCTATTTATTTTATAATATATCTTTCATTTTTCTTAATTTATTCTGATTATTCAGTCATCAGGCATTTTTCACTGAATTCCATTGCCAAAAATATTAATTCGCCTTTTTATTCAATATTAACAATGTTCATGACATTTTTGCATTTTTTTTAAGCCAATAGCAGATAGTTTTGTATTTGTTTTTAATTTGTAATATTAATTACTTTGATTAATACTTACTTTTAAGTTTAGGAGTTTTATCCTTTATATATTATTTCAGAATCACTTTTGCTTAATTATTTTGTTATGAGATAATTAAAACCTTAAATGATTACACATTCAAGATTTACTCCTTATATATTCTTCATATTAATTTAAATAAATTTCTGTATATTTAATTCTTAAAAGATAACTCATATAATTATTTTTCAAGTTCAGATAAGATTATTATTTTATCTTTAAGTAAATAGATGAATTTTTTTGGTTATTTATCTATCATAATTTAGACAATATATTGATAAAAATTCATAAACATCTTAATCATCTAAAATATCAAAAATCTAGTGAAAATTTCTTGAAATTTCCTCTTGATGATTGATAATATAAAAAATGAATTATAATTTTTCTGAATCTTTATAATACCATCATTAAAAATAGATGAATATTCTTTATCAGACCAGATATAATTACTATTATTATATTTGAATAAATTCAAGCAAGCTAATATTGAATATTTTTCTATTAAATTGTCTATCAAAAATTCTAGGGGATGTAAGATAGATTTAATTTAAATAGCCTAGTTTTATTAAAATCGTTTCTATTTATAAAATACTTTATTATTAAAAGAATTTAGATTAATCGAAATATAACAATATTGTTACAAGATATCACAATCTATTACCAGTATCAATGTCATATTATATTTTAGAATAATTTATTTTAAACTCATAATAAAATAATGGTAAATTATTAAATTAAAATAGATATTAGTTAATTTATAATTATTATTATAATTTTGATCTTTGTCTCAAAACCTCCTAAATCAAATTTCAGATAAACTCAAACTCATATATACTATTATATTATTTCTCTCTTTTATCTTCAAAGTAACAAGAAACCATCCATTCGATTATTTTTTTGAGTTTATTAATTGAAGGAAACTTACAGAATGATGCTGCCATCCTTAATATGATAAAAAAATCATCAAACAAAATGAGCTTATTTATTTTTCTTTATAGAGTAAATAAGGTTTTTTTGAATAAGACTAGAAGAATAGATAAATAAGCAGAGGAGTATAAATTCTAACCTATTTTTCTTAAAAAAATCATAATATTATTAACTGAAAAATATTAACAAATTTTTACATTAAAACATAAGATATACCTTATTGGCAAATTCTTTTTAATAAACATTTAAAGAGAAAATATATTAATTCATAATTTATGCTATTTTAATTAAGATTTAAATCATAATAAATTAATAAAATTATAATTTTATAAAAACTATAAAATATTTTAATCAAATGAAAAGCTTATTAATACAAGCACACTTTAAATATACTCCTCCACAAGCATAGCAAAATTAAAATTTACACCTACACGTCATGTGATCACATCCTGATGACTTCTCAACCCAACTTTTACAATTTGGACACTATTTACATTTTGATATCATCATTAAATTAGTAAATTAATCATCTAATTATTTTGAATTCAACTATTAATTAATATCAACATAATTATTATTGATTTATATTTAATTTTAAAAAGTTCTAGTCTAAATATTGTTGTGTTGTTGAAATTACATAACTTTAGGCTAGGGGAGAAATTATATTTGCTACTAATTATTATTCTTTTTCAAATTGTTTGTATTATTAAATTAGTGTTATATATTAATGAATTATTATGATACATTAACGTTTTTATTCAAAGTTTAATATTTATTTTAAAATAAAAATTATTAATCTCTATTAATTTATTACAATTGTTAAACACTTTATTGATTAATTAAGTTTTACTGGTTATAATTATTTTAGTTTATCTAAAAGCTTTAATTTATTAACGTAGAATTAGTAAAATTATTTAGTGGTTTTGAAGATAATTATGTATTCTAATTATTTTAAAACAATTTATTTGTCTTTTAATTTATCTAGATCATTTAAGGATTTTATTATTTTATCTAAAAATGATAATTATTAGAAGGAAGATTATTTTAATTATATGGAATAGGATTAGCATTGAGTTATTATCTTTTCTAATTTTCAATATATTCTTAACAAGTAAGATTTTAATGATATTCGACCTTGCAACTTAAACAATATTCTTTATTACAAACAGGGCAATTGAATTAAGGTGATCCAGCAATAAATACATATTAACAATCAGGAGTTGGACACCAAGAATACTGATATAGAAAATATAAATACTTCATCACTATGAGTATCAACATATTATTAAAATGTAAATTTTTAATATGTTTATAAAGCTTTGTCTTCTAATATTTCTTTTAGATCAGAATAATTTATATTTTCTTTGCATTCAATGATAGGGCAAATTATAGGAAATGATCTTGATTAAATTTGAGTTAAACAATGTTAATTAATACATTCATGGTGGAATTAATGGATGCAAGTTAACATAATTATTTAACTAAATTCTATTATATCTAAACATATTGAACATTATATTTGCTTATCTTGTTGCTAATTTAATAGATATAAATTTAGCTATTTAACTTATTAAGTTTCCTAGTTAGTTTCATCATCAAATCTACTGATAAACAAATTATATACTATTTTTACAGCTAAAGTGCAATTTTATAATCTTCTAAATCATTATCAATTTACACTTAATCTTATAAGAATTATTCATTTGTTTCTTAATTAAATTATCCCTTCTGCTCTATTTAATTCATTTCAACTTTTTATAATTACTATAATTAATGTTAATTCTATTAAGTTTATTATTCAATCTTCTTTACTTTTTAATCATTTACTATTTATTTAGAATTATCATTCCTAAGTTCTCTTTATCTTTCTTGCTTTAACTCTTAGAACAAATAAAAAATCTAGAAATTTCTATTTTTTATTTACATCTTGATCCTTTTCATAATATTAGTCAAATAATTCGAAGACTCTATCGCTACTTATTATTTGTAGATTTATTTATTCTCTTAGAGTTTTAATTAGATCAAAATGATGTTTAAATTGAACTTTATTTTCCTTCTTGTTTTGTTTGAATAAACTTCCTAAAATGAAGACATCTAAAATTAAGTCTTTTTGCTACCATAAAATTTAGTTTGTTTACATTTCCATAGTTGAAGTTGTGTTAAATAGTATCGACTATTTAATGAATTTCTATCATTATATATATTTATTTTTTTATTGAATAAATTAAATTCTATTTTAATTAGACTTTTAAATATTTTTAAAAATATTTATATATATACTTTAGAAGAAAATTAAATTTTATTTTCAATTAAACATAATATTGAAATCGAGCTGTAAGTTTTTACATTTAAGAATAAATATAAAATTTACAATTTTTAAAGATTCTTATTATAAAAATCAATTTTTTTATATTAGATCAAATTTATTAATAAAGAAACCTTTAATTTTAGATAAAATTTTTATTGATTTAGAGGAATAAGATTTTTAAAATATGAAAATTTGAAATTAAAGTTTAAAAGAAATTTGCATTCATAAAATGATATAAATTTGAAACAATTAATTTTTTTAGATTATTGTATTGATTTGGAATATTTCTGTGCAAAACCAATTTTTTTGAATGTTATTAACTGACAAATATTATTTTAATCAAATTAGCAAAAAACAGAAGAATAATTTTTTGGATTTTGATTGTTATTATATAAGAAGGGTTAAATGACTTTTTTTAAATTTTACTTAAATTTCTTATTTAATTTAATGTTATTCTTAAATTATATGAGATGAATTTCTTTGAGAAATTATATATGATTATAATTATAGGAAGAAGCAATTTCATTTAAAAATTTTCTAGTAAGATTCTTGAAAAAAAAGAGATTTCTCAAATCCATTTTAATGAATAATAACTTAATATTTTTCATCTCAAAAATACCTTATAGATTTTGTATTTCTCTTCTAAAGTGAAATTTAAAAAAATATAAGAAACTTTTAGAACTTATAAATTTTTCTTTCATTATATACTAATTGTTATTTATTTAAATTGATATGAATTAAACATGAGTTTATTTTATTGGAATATTTTGTAATTTTAATATATGAATAACAAAAACCAGATGGAATTTTTATTTTATATATTTATTTTTCATCAAAAAACAAAAAATTAGAATTATTAAATCTCTAAAAAGTGAGATTAAAAAGGTTGAAGTGATAAAATTGATCTTTTCTTTTTTATAGAATTGATATCTATTTAAGTAAATGATTTGGGGAAAGAATTTAAAAAATAAAGTAATAAATTTAGTTATACAAGTAATGTAACTTCAAAGATTTTATAATAATTATCATATAAGCTTTGTTATATATGTAGATTAGACATAGGATATTAATAATTATTATTGTAGTGATTTTTTATATATTTAATAATAAATATAAGAAATGGGATAAATTACATAGAAATTATTTACAACAACAGAAGCAGATGAATAGATAGTAATTTCGACAAATTCAAGGATTGGATATATTTAGAGGAAGTTTTTATTTACTTAAGCAGATGTTTCTAATTTGCATAAAATATTTCGTAAAATGGATACAATGGGTACAGGATATATAAGTTAATAAAACTTCTTTGAATTTTTAGATGAAGAATGTAATAGTGTAGTTAGTCCTAATATTGAATACTTATTTTAATTAATAGAGAAGGAAGTTGAATAAAAAGTAAGTTTTTCAGAATGGTTACCTGCGATTAGTTTATATTGTTTGTATAAAAAAGATAGCGTAGTTGCTTATGTTTTTTAAATGTTAGACAGTGATCATGATAATTTTATTTCAAAGAAAGACTTAATGAATTTTTTAGTATAGAAAAGGAATGGTAAGAAAATATTTTATTATAATTACATGAAAGCTGTGGAGTTATTAGATATAGAGAGACCTGATAAGATAAGTTTGGAATAGTTTAGAAAGATATAATAATAGATTCCATTTATATGTTATCCTGCATTTAGATTGTAGAGAGAGTTGAGAAGTAGAATATTTGGAGTGAAATATTGGGATAGTTTATATGATAGAATATTACATAAAGAGAGTGAAGAGAATAAATTGAAATAAATGTAGAAGATTTAAGATGAGATGAAGAGAAAATAATAGAATAAATTAGATAAGAAGGTAGAAAAGTTTTTATAGAATACACATAAATCTAGAGTATCGATACCTTCAATGAAATTGATTCATTAAAGAGTGAATGGGAGAAGGAATTCAGATACAAATATGCCTTAGAATCAAGAGACGGCAGATGAATTGATAAATAATATGTTTTAATAAATAAGTAAGTAATTGAAAGGATAACACAATTAGAGGAAACAGAAAGAATTAAAAGTCTTAAGATGTAGATCGAAATCGTTGTAGTACATAAAGATGAATTTTAAGCATACAGAAGAATAAATAGTAAGATCATCGAAATATATAAAAACTTAATAATCTTCTTAATAGATTCCTTTGAATTTTAAAAAGTAAGAAAGGAAATCAATATTCCATATGAATAAGATTAAACCTTAAATAGAGAAACCTCCAGGATCATCTCATAATAGTTCAGATTCTGAATCAGTATCATAATCATTATTATATTGAATATAAAGATGTGAATATTAATTTGTGTATTTTATTGATAAATGAATGTCATTCATTCCTTTTAATATGAACTTCTAATAAGTTATGTAGCGCCATAACCAACATCTGGTTCTTATGGTTATTCAGGAGGAGCACTTCCTCTAAATAATGTTGTTGCTCCAAACCCTGTCTCTTCTACTCCATCCTCTTAAATCTATGCTGCTTATTATTGAATATAACTCTTAGATGTTTTACTTCTAGCTAATGAGGTCTAAGTATTTCTTTAATTAGATTAGTAATTTGGTTGAACTGCCTAAGGATCTACCATATCTAAAATCTAAGCTTTTCTTGATTATTAAATCGCAGATGATGTTCTAATGTGAGATTTAGATACACCAGATAATCTTGCTTATTATTATTAATCTTCCTCCATATTTAAAGGTACTTTCATTAAACCAATCATTTCCTTTTATACTCTCATTGATGATCTTAAATAATGAGATTCTAAATAATTAGCTTTCTCTATTAATAATTAAGTGCTTAAAATATCCACTTCCTTTCCAACACTCCACACTTCAGCATATGTTAACTTATATTCTTTCAATACTGGATTTATTAATGAACCTAAATAATATTCATTATTACACCTTTTTTATATGTCTCATCTTCTGCTGTTACATAACTTTTTCTTTACATATCTTAACCATCTATCCATAATCTAAATTTATTATTTGCTCCTCCAAATCCTACTCCTGAAGGGGCTACTTCATTCAAACCTTTATAATCTCCTATACCTTCTCCAAAATAATGTAAGTATGAATAATTTTATGTATTCTAATCACTCTCATTAGGAAATGTTCTTTTAAAACGACTTGCTGCAAATACTTTGAATTTTGGAATCAATTAAAATAAATAACTCTCCTCATTTCCTTAATATAATCCTGAATCTATCCATTTCTTCTTCTAAAATGCTCCCACAATCGACTCATCAGAATCATTACTAAATTTTAATAAAAAAACTGTTGGACCATCAAATGATAATAAAGCTCTGTATAAAGATTCAAAATTCCAACCAGATATAGCATTGCTCCATAACAAATTTACTTGACTAGATGACTTTATATATGCATTTCCAAGTCCTAAGTATATGTATTATGGACCATTAAGCAAATATGATGGTTTTGTAAATCTGATTTAATTACATTTCATACCTTGCTTACAATTTCTATTGTTATACACTCAAAAATAACATTGTAAAGTATTGCTTAACTTATTCCGTTAAATGAGGGAATAGTTACTTAAAGAAAAGTACTAGACTCCACCATTTGACAGCACCTGAACTGTTTGGATATACAGCACTCAATATTGATCGAGCAACTGATTCATCAGGAGTGAATTTTGAACTCAATGCCAAACCTGATCTGAGAGATATATACTCAACATCTTGGAGAAATTAAAGGGCCTCCAAGTATGATACATTAGAGTCTTTGAATTCAGGATCATCTATTGATAGTCTTTACAAACTAATAAGGAAAAAGATCTCCATCTTATCAAGTGATCTGTATCCCTATAAATGATAAGAACTAGGTTCTTCAATTAGGATTTCTACTATTGGAATGAAGTTCTCAAAATCAACCTTCTGATTTGTAGAATGCTTCAACATGAACTAATATAGTTTTCCTCCCAAACTTGGGTTACCATCACATAGGTACTCCAAACTTTCTTAACAAATATAGTCTGTTGTTGCAGTTCTAAAGAAAAACGAATTATATTTACTCTCGATATCTAGTTCGTAATCTATCAAATAAGCGACGTAGTTTATCTAACACCACCTCATTTAATGAGATCTTATTCTCTTTACGTGATTCATTGCATCCCATTATATTTTTTATGTTATTAATATTATTATAGGTGGTCTTTACTTAGAGAATCTTCTCTCCAAGCATAAAACACCTCTATGAATAGATTCCTCACACATTCTATTCTCCAAATATTAATTCAACACTACTTCTTTAATACAATAGGTAATCAGTAACAATTTATATTTCCCAAGCTATCCTGGAGTATACTCAATGGAGCTTGGAGAAATCTAAGATGGAAAATATATTCCTATTCATCCAAATGTAACATTAGATCCATTTACATTACCTGGGTGCAATTAGTATGAAAGAAGGTTGATTTATAAACATTTAGTAAATAAATCAGCCCAAACTAATAATGCCTTTTTTACTAATATGTATGTTGATGATAATTTTGTATTTGTTACAAGAAGCGATAATTCGATACTTACTTTTGAAATTGACCTTAATATGCTTGATAGAACAGTAAATGATTTAACTCTAAAAAGCATACATACTACACATGGAAATAGTTCAGAGCATCATATTGCTTGTTTAAATAAAACATGTGCTGTATTTGGCTAAGATTCTGCCTTTTTATATAAAGAATCCAAATTCAAACTTATTGAATTGGAAAAGAATTCCCAAAATTAAGTTAATTTTCCGACAAGAATATATTTTGATGAAAAATTGAATGCACTGTATCTAATATATGGTACCAACATGGTTGAAGTTTATCAGTTTACAGAATCAAGTTTAGTAAGATTTACATCTTTTACTGCAGGAAAGGAAATAGTGTCAGTTAGAACAAATGCTGAATCAACAATTTTATATTTGTTAGATAAATCTGTTGGTCTTTTAGCTTATAAGATATTGTCAATAGGAGAATATATTGATACAGGTTTTATGATTGCTTTACAAAATTGTATATAGTTTGATTTTTATGAAAATACTTTTTTCTTGATTGCTGAAACAACTGATAGAATTCCTTATGCACTTGAAGTTTTAGTGGATGAAGATAATTACTATTTTAATAAAATATATTCTAAAGATATGGAAATTTATGATGTTTGGGTTGGAGAACATGTAGCTATATTAATTGGAGAAGAGAATCATAGAGTTATTTATCATTCTGTTTATAATAAATTTAAAATTGATAGTGAAATTCCTTTATTTTTTTAAGATATAGATCTTATGAATGTTGAAGAATTTAGAAAATGGGAATCTACTTCATATTCAAAAAATGCTATAGAATAAGATCCATTTTCAAAGACATCTTTATCATATAAATAATCTTTTATTGTAGGAATTTCAAGCTAATAACTTTCAATATTTTCAATAAAATCAATTTCTCCTTGGTTATAATGTAAACCAATTACTTCGAATACTCTGTAATATTATTTGAAAATGAATTCTACTAATTGTCCTTCAAAAGTAAAAGAAAATGAATATTCCTCATTTTAATAATGTGTAATTATGCATAATTTTACTTTGGTAGGAAAAGAAATTTTGTTTTATGAAAAAGATTAAACATTTGTTATAATTGGAGGATGTGCATTGATGTAATTATTTATTTGAAAAGATTAGAGGTTTTGTTCTTTTATTAATAATTGCAGTTGTGTGTGTTAAAAAATATCTAGATAATAAAATTATAGATTTATCAAAACATATTAAACTTGAAGAATTAGATCCTCCAATCAATCCTTAAGAAAATGCAATAGTGTGATAATATATATATAATTTATGGTATGATATATTTATCATTATGATGAAAATATTTCTTTAACTGATGACAAGAGTTATTTCTACATAATTATTTTTGATTTTTCAAAAATTTCCAATCTTCTTTCATCAATATTCTTAACTCTTTATCCAGGATCATGTGATATATCAAAAGGATCTTTTGTTAAAAACTTATTATTTATAGCCCATTTTTTATTTAATTTATCTGAAGGTATATGAATTGAAATTATGTATTCTTCTTTAAAAAATTTACCATCAGGATGTTAATAATATTTCCAAAAATCTCTCAATAATTCACTAATTTTAAAAGATCCGACTGAACATGTTTACATTTTTTCATTAATAATTTATTAATCTGTCAAAAAACTTACATCAGTTGTAAAACGATCAGTAGGTTAAGATTATTCATCACCAGGTTTGCTTCTAGCTATTTATAGTTTTCCTGATTAATCATTTGCTAAACGTATTGTTTCTTAATCTTGTAAGACTGGTAAATTATGTTCTCTTTACAAAAATGCTATCCACATTAAAATTATTTAATAAGAAGAAAAATCATTTTAATTTATTAACTTTTAAGCCTTTCCCCAAATTTTTAATAATGTTCCTCCAATTTTAACATTTTCATGTAGATTAGCATATTAATTAAGTAATTTTGTATTTATCACTCCAAGTATGTTATTAACACATAAATCGAATTCTACATTTTCAATTGTATCTTTAATGTTAATAACTGGAATACGAGCAGAATCAACAAACCTTTCTATTACAAATCTTTAATAGTTTCTATTTGTTTTAATAATTTTTTCAATTTCTTATTTGGTAAATTAAAGGAATTATCTTTCATTTACATATGAATTTGTTAATATTGTGTAATCAACATCTGATGATTGTGTTCCGAAACCATTCAACAATGAACCAAAATAACTATGATATAACTTTGATAATGGAGGATTAAGTGATTGATATTTTATTTATCTTAATNAAGAAATTTTGTTTTATGAAAAAGATTAAACATTTGTTATAATTGGAGGATGTGCATTGATGTAATTATTTATTTGAAAAGATTAGAGGTTTTGTTCTTTTATTAATAATTGCAGTTGTGTGTGTTAAAAAATATCTAGATAATAAAATTATAGATTTATCAAAACATATTAAACTTGAAGAATTAGATCCTCCAATCAATCCTTAAGAAAATGCAATAGTGTGATAATATATATATAATTTATGGTATGATATATTTATCATTATGATGAAAATATTTCTTTAACTGATGACAAGAGTTATTTCTACATAATTATTTTTGATTTTTCAAAAATTTCCAATCTTCTTTCATCAATATTCTTAACTCTTTATCCAGGATCATGTGATATATCAAAAGGATCTTTTGTTAAAAACTTATTATTTATAGCCCATTTTTTATTTAATTTATCTGAAGGTATATGAATTGAAATTATGTATTCTTCTTTAAAAAATTTACCATCAGGATGTTAATAATATTTCCAAAAATCTCTCAATAATTCACTAATTTTAAAAGATCCGACTGAACATGTTTACATTTTTTCATTAATAATTTATTAATCTGTCAAAAAACTTACATCAGTTGTAAAACGATCAGTAGGTTAAGATTATTCATCACCAGGTTTGCTTCTAGCTATTTATAGTTTTCCTGATTAATCATTTGCTAAACGTATTGTTTCTTAATCTTGTAAGACTGGTAAATTATGTTCTCTTTACAAAAATGCTATCCACATTAAAATTATTTAATAAGAAGAAAAATCATTTTAATTTATTAACTTTTAAGCCTTTCCCCAAATTTTTAATAATGTTCCTCCAATTTTAACATTTTCATGTAGATTAGCATATTAATTAAGTAATTTTGTATTTATCACTCCAAGTATGTTATTAACACATAAATCGAATTCTACATTTTCAATTGTATCTTTAATGTTAATAACTGGAATACGAGCAGAATCAACAAACCTTTCTATTACAAATCTTTAATAGTTTCTATTTGTTTTAATAATTTTTTCAATTTCTTATTTGGTAAATTAAAGGAATTATCTTTCATTTACATATGAATTTGTTAATATTGTGTAATCAACATCTGATGATTGTGTTCCGAAACCATTCAACAATGAACCAAAATAACTATGATATAACTTTGATAATGGAGGATTAAGTGATTGATATTTTATTTATCTTAATAATTTAACAAATCTTTCAATGGATTTCATTATTCTTTCCTTTGTTTCTTCACTCATTTTTTTTTCATTGTAGATCCTCCTTAAATAATCATCAATAGTCTCTTCATTTTATTAATTCATAATTCTAATTATTATAAATATATATATATATAATCAAATAATAGAAAAATATATATCATTAATTGCTTCCTTTGCAGTAATCCTCTTAGTACTATCGATTTATAACATTTTTAACAATAAATTTTTAGCTTCCTAAGAAATATTGTAATTAGATAAATGTATATCTGCTTCTGATTTAAACTATGGAAATCTAGCAGAATAATAAGGCATAGATTTAAAGCCATCCCAATCTAAAGGAGTACCCATAAATTAAAAGATTTTGAATAACTAATCTATTTCACTATTTCCCTTAAATAATGCTTCTCCAATTAACATTTCATAGAAGATGCATCCTAATGAAAAAATATCTAATGCTGGTGAATACTTAAAATGACCCAAAAGTAATTCAGGAGCTCTATACCATAAAGTTTACACTTCTTTAGTATGAGTTCTATTTATTGGATAACCTATAGGCTTAGCTAAACCAAAATCACCTAATTTAGCTACTCCATTTTGAACTAAAATATTAGCAGGTTTAAGATCTCTATGAAATATAAGTTAACTATGTAATGCATAAAGACCTCTTAAAATATGAAGTAGTAGCTTTTTTGCGATGTGTTCTGTTATTTTCTTTTAATCAATCATTTTTCTAAGATCTGTATCAATATATTCCATTATCAGATATTATTTATAATCTATGTCATCTAAAATCACCTATTTCAATCTAGAATATTTTTGATATATACTCAACTATATGAGGATGCTTTCTAAATTATAATAACACTGACATTTCTCTTAATGTTGTTGATTAAATTCCCTCTTTTTTTTCATCTTCACTAAGAATTATTTCTTTTATTGCTACTATTTCATGAGTTAGTTTATTGATCCCTTTATAAACTTTTCCATATGTTCCTTAACCTAAGTTTTCACACTTTTCATATTACTAAATTGAGTTCATTAATTTAATTTCTTATAAATTTAAAGTCCAATTTTTTTGATTTTTTGTAAATAAGTATTTAAATTTCTTAAAATTTTTATTTAAAATAATCACAAAAATTATTCCATAAAATAATTGCAAAAACAAATAATTATTCTCATTTTTTTTTTTTGGCTGATTATTTTAAAAAAGAATCTACTGATTCTATTCCTGGTTTTGAACTCTTTTTTTTTGGTAATGATATACTTGAATTGCTTTTTTACTTTTTTAATTTTCCATCAGAACTCTTTGGTGATTTAACTTCACTTTTTGATGCTCTTGATTTTTTATCTTATTTAGCATCTGATTATGATTTTCTCTTTTCTTCAATTTTTACAGATTTTTTTTCAAGAGCCTTTTATGCTGAAGTTTTAAGGTTTGATTTCTTTTTCTATTCATCATCCTTTATTTTTGATTTAATTATTTGATGTTCACTTAAATCAGACATAATTTATGAATCTAACATATGTGCTATTAATGATGGAGTTCTTTAAAATTTGTTATCAAGTGACATATTAATTTAAAGAAATTAAGCATTATGTTATTCAAATCTTGATCTTAAATCAAATGATTATTTTGTAGGATAATTTGGAATATACATTATCTTTTACTTTTATTAGATCATTTATTCAACAAACTAATCTTGCCTTTTTTACCATTCATCAATTTTATTTAAAGACTTTGTACTTTCATATTATTGATAATTTGATGCTTAATTTATAGTTGTTATAACAGATGTTTCATTTATGGAACTGTTGTTAATACGTGAATTAAATCCCAAACTAGATAATGTTTATTTGAAGGTATTAAATGAACTTTGGGTTGAATTATTTACAAATCTTACGAATATGAATCATATATGATACTAGTTGTCAGATTTCATCATTTACTAAAAAACTTCTTTTGGACTTATCATCAATTATATTGTTAGAATTAATCAACTATGGAATTATAAATATAATAATAAATATTATTCTAGATATTATCTAACTTATTATCTAATTTAACCTATAAAAATATTACATAACTTATATAATATTAATATAGCTATTAATTTAAATAACTTAACTAATCAATTTTTTCTATGTTGATCTATTTTATCTCCCCATCTCTTTTCTAATCTTTCTAAATTTTAGATAGTTTCATCATATTTCCTTTTTAAAATTAAATATTCTTCTGATTTTTCTTAATGTTCCCTTTATTTTCTTTATAATTCATTATTTAAAGCATTAATCTTCTAAGTCAATGTTAAATTATCTCTTTACAAATTTTCCAATGTAACTTATAAATCTTATTATCTAAGCAATGATCCTAAATTCAATACAAATATTTACTTCTATTATCTTCAACTGAATTCTTTTTTATTTATACTTCCTTTCTTGCTTCTTCTAATCCTTAATGTAATTATTCTGTTTCTTCCTTTCTTTTTTTTAACATATCAATTAAATGAGCCTATTCTTATTTTGCTTAATTTAACTCCCCTTTAAGATTATTTATTGTTGCCTATAATTATGTATTTTATATATTATTCTTTAAACAATCTTCTTATATATTATAATTAATGCTCCTAGTCTTTTCCAATTCTCCTTTTAATGCTTCAATAATTTCTGTTTTCTATTGAAGATCTTACATCCATTATTATTCTCTTTAATCAAAATCAAAATAAGATATAGCATTTCTTTTATCCATCATTTTTAATTATTGTTCCATATTAATCTTTAAATCATTAATTTCATTCTCTTTATTTTCAATAGTTTCTTCTAACTAATTTTTAAGATTCTTTGATTTCCTTTCTAATTCATTAATATTTTCTTATTAAATCTTTTTTTAAACTTCATATTGATCTTTTAAAGCACTCATTTCCTCTACAAGATCAATATTCTATTTCTCCTTTTCTTTTGTTTTTTATATTTATAAAGCTAATGCTTAATTCAAATCATTTATTTAATTTTTAGCATCCTGTTTTATCTATCTTAATTCATTTTAAATTTGATCCAAATCTAATTTCTATTAAGATTCAATTTATTTTAAACTATCCAATTATTTTAATAATTATTAGGTTGATTATTAATACTATTACAATTACTAACTCAATTAATCTATTTATTTTTATTAATTTTATAATTTATCCTATAATTTTGATTTATCTGCCAATAATTAAGTAGATTCTTACTTTTATTATTCTAATGATTTTTCACAAGATTTTAAATTTTCTTCTGTCTTAATTCGTTTTTAATCTAATAATTTAAAATCTCCTAATAATTTATCATAATCTGCTTTAACATTAATTAGTTTATCATCAAGACCTTTTTAAACAATTTAGTAATTTTTAACTGATGATTAAAAATCCCTCTCTATTTCTTTTTTTAGTTTTATCATTTAACTTAATTCTGAATCTTTTTAATTTAAATTAGTTTTAAACTATTCTATTTAATTTTCCAAATTATAGCAAATTTATTAAAGATGATCTTCAGATTCAGTACGCTCTCTTAAAATAGATCTGATCTTCTCTTCTAATTAAGCAATTACACTATTTTTTTAATCTAATTATTTTGAATCAACTTAATTATGTGCCATTTCTGCTTTTAAATTATCATTTTCAATCTAAAATTAAAGTAATTTTAATTCAAGTTATTCAGCTTATTTATTTTATTACTAATGTGGAGTACCAGATGGTGATCTCAAAATCGAAGGAGATTTATTCATTTCTCTAATACTTCTTTCTTAAATCATCTATTTATATTTCTATTCTAATTAATTAAACTCCTTTAATAAATTTTAATATTTTATTTAAAACTCTTTTGAATACTCATCTTATTAAAATAATTGTCTACATACAACTGAATCACTTATGTTTTTTTCCAATTTTTATAATTAATTTCTCAACTCTTCATTTTCCTTCTAATTTAGTTATAAACATCCAAGTACTCTATTCAATTCACATTAATTCTATTAAAGTCTTTAATTTTCTTCCTTAAGTCTTTTTTTTTCATCTATTACTTACTACTCTTAATCTATTAAATTTTTATTTAACTAAAAATAGATTTAATAAATTATACTTTCTAGTTTTCTTAAACAAGAGAAGCCATTTTAGTCTATAATTACTCCAAAATTCCTTTTAATTTATTATAGTCTTCTGTTAGAGATTATATTTTTTATTCATTTTCAAATTAATTATTATAATTATTAACTTAATTGAATTATTAATTGTGATTATCTGAAATTATTGTCTCTTCTAACTTTCTAAAATTAGAGAGAACATCTATCATCTAATCATTTAATACATCTGTTAAATTACTTGTTCCTAATTACTTTTAAATAGAACTAATCAATTCTCTTAATGAATTAGATATTTTATTAATATCATTTTAGAGTTTAGATTTTAATGAAGAAGTTTATGTTGGAGATAATTTTGAAGGTTAAATTATTTTACCAATATTTTATTAATTTGCTAATTCTTAAATAGGAGATCTACTTAAGAATTCTAATCCAACCTTTATGTTCTCTTTAGATTCTAAAAATGGATTATTAAATGTTCTTCTATCAGTATTTAAATTTAATTCCTTATTTTCTTTATTTAGATCATATTGATAAGTCTTAGCAAAATCATGTTGATTAATTTATGAAACCAATTATTTAGTTGTTTCAAATTGTTTCTATTCTACTCCTTAAAATTATTTAGAATGATCAGTCTGGGTTGGTTTAAAATCTAATGTCTTTTATTTTTAATGGAAGGAATCTGTTAAATGTTTTGGAGATTAAGGTTATATATTGGCTAGAAAGGTATAATAAATTAATACGTGAAGAAATGATTTTTTTATTTGCATCATATGTAGGGGATTGAACATAAGGAGAACCCACATAAGTTTATACTCTTGCTTATTATTATGTTTTCAAACCATATACTAATTATCTATCAGGAGAATGTATAGATATTGGTGTGATCTCTTTATTTATAGAACATGGTCTAGCAAGGGTTATAATTGTTTATTGTTTTAGAATGGTTTTCATTTATGATGGTTTTCTGTTAATTATTTTTAAATTTAAACATTAATTTCATAGAATAATTAAAAGTTATGAGAGAATCAATAATCTTTAATCTTTCGAGAATCAATTATCTTTAATCTTTCTAACCTTCAATTACTATTAATTCGAGTCATTATACTTATTTAAAATTGAATCTAAATTATTGATATTATGTATTAACATTAAGAGATAAGACTATTTTAAAATTCTAGAGAAATTGTAAAGAACTTAAATTCATAAAGTGGATCATCATAATTATATCATAAAATCATTTATTACTAGTAAATGATAGAACATCAAGTAAGATATGCATAGATTCATATTTTACAAGGAATGATTATATTATAATAAAATGTAGTTTTGGAACTTAAATAAATTATTTATATATATATAATATAATTTAAATAAAGAAATGAAAAAGGCAGTTTAGAAAGTTTAACTACTAAAGAACATGGCAAAAATATTTGCAGAAGGTAATTATTAAGTTACAGTTAAAAATATATTGAATGCTTTGTAAAATAAAAATGAATAGGATATGTAATATCTTGAGAAATAGATGCTAAAAATATTTCCAATATGTTCTAAAATTTAAAAGTATTTAAGAAGCACAGATAAGTTTCATCTATTTATTAAACAATTTTAAGTAGAATTGCATCATGAAAAAGATGTTATATTCTGTATGGGTGAAGTAGGAAGAAAAATGTATTTTATTTTGGATGGGAATTTGAATATTTTTCCTTTTGAAATAAATGAAATTAGTATAAGAATTTTATATTATTGAGAATAAGTAACCTGCGGCAGTATTAGTTCCTGGAGATTATTTCGGAGAAGTTAGTCTTCATCATAGACTTCCAAGAACAGCTACAGTTGTATGTGCATCTAATACAGTTCTTTTAGTTATAAGCTATGAGGCATATTACAATTTCCTATAACCAGTGATTGATCATCAAATTGCAGTTCAATATTACTAATTAAAACCAACAGCAATTTTTTATGGTTGGAATGAATTGGCTTTAGCATTAATTATACATCATTTGAAATTAATTACAATTCTAAGAAACTAATATGTGTATAAAGAAGGATAAAATGATTAATCATTTTATGTAGTAAAGAGTGGGGAAATTTTAATTTAATAGAAAATAAAACTCAAAGGAAAATTCCAAGATCATGGACTTGTAACTCTTGGTATTGGATAATGTTTTGGAGATTATGAATTTATAGATAATCAAACTTGGTATACAAATAGAAATTTACTTGAAAATATTAAAAGAACTACTGATGCAGTATCAACTACAGTTAGTGAAATTTATCAAGTTCCTTTATTCTAATATTTGTAAATTGCAGAGAATTATCATTCAGTTTTATTGAAAAAATATTTAAAATAAAGCAAACTCATTTTGAGAGAGAGAATTCAAAAATTTTAAGATGATGTTAAAAAAATCAATAATTCTGATGAATATAATAATCCAGAAAATGTTTTTGTTCCAGAATTTAAACCAAAACCTTGTAATCCTTATTAAAATTTATTGAAAACTATAAGAAGCAGAAAAATTTTACCCTAATAATAATAATAATAAGTAAAAGAGGAAATTGAATCAGATACAAATATTGAATAATTAAAATAAAAAATCTAAAATTATTTTTACTAACCAGCTAATCTTTAATAGTAACTCAAAAAAAATGAATAAACTTAGAGTTTATCTTCTCGTAATCACATTAGAGTTCCTTAAAAATCAAGAGACAAAAGGGATGATAAAGCAAATTACTTAAAAAAATTAAAATCTATGAGAAATAAACTATTAGCATAAACATCTTATTATAACTCTTAGATAGATAGTCAAAAACCATAAATTTTAAATTCAGATTCCCAACATAATTTATTTTAATATTAATACTAATCATTAAATATTCATTCTTATAAAAATTCGAGAACTGTTACTCCTAGTAGATCTTATGCTATCAAAACTCCTAATTAAAATCATTCAGAAAGAAAAAATGAATTTCATAATGTTCAAATAGTAAAATCATAATCACAAACATCATTTTAAATAAATAAATAAGAAAACTATCCAGTTAAAAAAATTATTATGGAAGTTCGAAGTCAAAAAAAATCATCTTTAGGTTGTTTAATAACTTAACTATGAATGATAAATATATTGTAATAATCAAAATTAGTAAAAATACTTTTTAATTCATCTTACAATCTACTTAATTCAATTTAATATATTAAAAAAACTATTATTTTTAAAAATGTGTACATAGGATATATAAATAAATAACAATCTATAATAAATAATGTCTTTTTTATCTTAAAATCCTTAATCCTTAAAGTATAATAAAAACAAGTATAATTTATTACAAGCTGATCAATGTCAATTTAATAAGGAAATATTGATCTCTAAAAAGTTAATCCTTTTTAAAGTCAAGGAATTCTAAACTAAATAAAAAAAAAGATTATTTATAGCACAATATTAAAAATTTGAGAGATCTTAAGTATTATCTTTTTGGATGATTAATTTTATTTAATAGCTAAATAAATAATTTTAATTATGAAGGAAATTAAAGATATACAATTCTAAGATCTATCTTTTATAGATCAGAAAAGAAGGAAAATTGATAAAAAAATAATATATTATCATATACTCAAAACAAATTAATTCATTTTTTTTCTTATAATTTAACATAATTATCTAAATTATTTTGAAGAGAGTTTTTAAAGCTTATATTTTTTGAATCTTTGTTCAAATACTTTAATATTATTTCAACTGATTCAAAATTTTTAGTTTTATCCAAATGTTTAGTCAAGGCTTTAAATATAAAAGTTTTCAATGTATTTGGAGTCATTAAAAATAATTCAGAGACTCCCTCATAATATTTATTTGCATTAACGAAGCAATTCATAAAAAATTGTATTAGATTTTCCTTAATATTTTCTATATTTATTTACTTCAGATATTCTCTTGCATTATAACAATAATTAAAATACTTGAGTATATAATTCCCAAAAGATCTTGGTAGGATTTTCAATATTAACAAATATTTGATCTATCAGAATATTTAAGTCTTTTTGATTTTCATTAAGTCTAAATATCATAGTTATCTGTACTTAATAATCGTTTTAATTAAATCTTCAATAAAATTAAAGAGTTGAGGATTTTCTATCTAAGAAACTTTCTTTAAAAAGTATAAAATTGAATAATTATTACTAGAAAACAATGTCTAAATTCTATTTGTTGCTTTTTAAATAATTTAAATGTTTGTAACTAATAATAGATTAAAAACAAATTCAATATTAGAACACAATTAGCTATTTTATAAAATTTCTTCAAAAATTATTTAGATCCTTTAAGATGATATAAGGTTTTAAATAATTTTAAAAGATTTTATTATTTAATCTTAGGATTGCAAAATCAATTTTTCTAAATGTGTTGATTTATTTTTTTGTTCAAAATAAACCAAAAATAAATAATGAATACTAAATTATTCAGATGAAACCAAACTTTAGATTAAATCAAATAACAAACTCTCTTAATTAAAATTAACTTATAATAATGTTGTTAAGCAATTAAATTGATATTCTAAATAAAAATAAAAGTAATACCATAATTAATGTCATAAAATTGATCCTCATACAATCTAGTGATGATTTTGGTTAATTCTGAAAGAAAAACATGTTTAACATCTAGTTGTACGGATTTGTTGAAAAAATTGTATAATCTAATTAAATTTTGTTCTTATTCAGGATATTAAAATATTGTATCCAACCTTTCTTTTTCTAAAATCTTTTATAAATTAATATCAATTTAAATTGTATTTACATTTTCGGATTCTTCTAACATAATATCATTTTATTAATTTGATGAGTTTTGTTAGATTTAATCTAAAAATGAATTATCAATATGATCCTCATCATTAAAATATGCTACTTGAGGAGTGTCTAAATCATCAACTGTATATAATGCAAATACAGATTAATCATAACTCAATCCTCCAGGTCCTTAATATTAATTACAAATTAATTTCAAAAAATATTCATGTATTTTGCATTTTATTGCTTCTTTTATATTTTGATCTTCCAATAATTTCTAAAATATATTATGAGAACTAAGTTAAAGTAATTATGGTTAGACTTTCCTCTTTAATTATTCATTTACTTCAAATGTTTAAAAGATAAACCATAGTGCTCCTTATAATTCATTATACATTTATTTATGATAAAGTTTATATAAGAAATACAGGCCTGCTAAGATATTGCGATCATCTTTAAAATCTCTTAAATTATAATTTCTACAATTACTTTGTCATAAAGAATATGTCTGAAAAAATAAACTTCAAAAACATTGGCCATTTTTCACCTTATAATTCTGCAATTTCATATATTAATAATAGAATATCTGCAATTTTATTGTATATCACTTCTGTATCATCAAAATGATAACCACAAACAATATTTCTGACTATTGCTCCAATGAAATTGATATGATATCCATATTTCTCAAAAATCATTGTTAAAAATGTTTAAATACTATCTAAGGGCATTTATGAAGATATTGCAAATCCAATTTTTTTTTCAACTTCAAAAGGTAGAGCTAATTAATAACTTGCTTTATAAGCTGCTGCTGTTGTAGTTTAATTAGCTATCAAATGAGATGTTGGTAGATTTTATTTTATTATATTTAAATTTAATAATTATATTTGTAATTCTGAATATTGAAATGGAGTTTACAAATTTATTAACAATTCTCTACCAAATGATAATATTTACTATTAATATAGTTACCATATTTCAATCATAAGATCAATTATCTTTTTATGTGGTAATTATTAATTTTTGTAATAATCATCAATATTTAATATCAATAGATATTTATAAAATAATAATGCTGCTAAATTTGGCCTCACTATAATAGATTTATGTTGATCAAATAGAAAATTTAAGAACTCAAATAATAAATTATAATTTTAACAATGAGGATATATTATGCATATTCTTAAAAAACTTTTAAAACACTCTTCCAATTAATCAAGTGGATTTTCTAAGAATAATTTCATTATCTCAAATATTTGCAACTTATTATGATCTTTCAATAAATGATATTAAGTATTTATGAAGTGACTAAATTCAGAATAAAATACAATAATATTATGAAACCCATTAATATTCATTAAATCAAATAGCTAAATAATTAAATTATTTTACACTTCTTTGATATTTAGGTGCTAAAAACATCACATATATAATAGCTTTATGTTGATTGTTAAATTAAGATAGATTCTTTTATAAATCCTGCTAATTTTGATATTATTTACACAACTCATATAATTAATGTTAATTTAAGATGAATGCCTACTTTGTATTACACAAATACTTATTATTCATATGATGGATATGTTAAAACATTGTAATTATATATATTTTCGGATCCTTGAAACCATTATTTAATAATCTCTTACGATTGTTCGATTGTTAAATTCATAATTTTTAATGAGATATTTATATTTATTTTATATATAACTTCAAATTCAAAAAATAAATTTAAGTTTTACTAAATAATGAATTTAAACTTAAGCAACATCGTAGACAACATATTCATTATATATAAGACTAGATTCAATATTATGAATTTTTAAGTCTTCATTTGGTATAACTTTACCAGACTCAAAATCTAGATTACTATTTAATTAAATACAAATTTACTTAATTTTATCTCTTGTTTTAGGATCAGCATGATTTCTACCTACAGCATGTATACTATGATAATTTTGAGGAGGTCTAACATGATCTTTTGCTTTATATATTTAATAAACATTTCCTAAAGCAACTTCACATAATAAAACATATCCATAAGGATTATCAATATTAGAAGCACAATACCCAGCTGATTTAGAACAAATATCAGCAAAATAAACTCCTTTCCCAAACATATAACCTGTACTTGGAGCTTCGGGAGGTGCTATTTTTAATCCTTCTGATAATATTCCTACAAAATTTGTTATTCTTGAACCATGCCATAATAATTTTCTATTTTCTAATGATTTAAAAGGAAAGAATCTAATTTTTTCATTCTTTCTTTCTATTTCATAAACTCTTAATACTTATAATTTAAATTTATCATGAGTAGGACCATGAGATATATTTATTGAATGTTCTATCTTATTTATTATATCTATATCCTTACAAACTCTAATATTGGTTTTGAGTAATTTATAAAATTAATCTAAAGGATTTATATCACTATTTTCAGTTAGAGTACTATTTATATATCTATTAGCTAACTCTAATTCTTATAAAACTGTTAATAATTAATTTTTTTATCCCAAAATATCATAATTATCTATTTTTGGAGGCAATTTCATACCATAATTTTATGGAATATTTGTATAAAATTCATTAGAAAGATCAATTAATAAACTATATTTACATTCTCTTAAAGCTTATTAAATTTCATTAAGTATTTTAAATCCTTTTTTAATTGCATCAACAGATAATCTACCTAATGGATTTTTATCTGTATCAAAATTTAATTCTTTAAGTGTTTTATTCATTCTTTAAATATCCCAAATTTCATTCATTAAATCAAATATTGCTGGATCTAAAGAAGATTATAAATTCTTTATTCTAGCTGCTATTCTACCATTTCTTTAATTTAATTTTTCTATTTCATTATTTATTGAACCTCCACCTCCTCCCATTACATCAACAATACAATATTTTCCAGGTTATTATTTAAATTCAGATCTTTCTCTCCAATCCCAATGAGTTTTATCTCTAAATTTCTTCTCAAATCCTCTTATAGCTGTTAATAAATCACTTTCCTTTATTTCTTATTACGGATTTTATGCACCAGTCTATTATTTAATATTATATACATACTCTTCCCCATTTTGTAAATAAAAAATAATCACCATCTTTTTTTAAAACTTAAATTTAATAGAATTTATTATGACCCTTAACTCCATACGAAATATCTGTCATATTAAGCATAACTGTATAATCTTTATGAACTTAATATCCTGGTAATGCAGATTGATTGTCATTTTTTTATTTTGCTATTTATTTAATCTCTTCAACCTCTTCTTCTATATCACTTTCACCTTTATATAATTTTCTTTCTTAAAACAATTTTCTTTTTACAGGAGGTGATTTTTCTTCTATTAACATTTCCTCTTATTCTTAAACTATCCTATTTGGAGTTCTATTATGTAATAACTACTAAAGATAAGATTAATCTTTATTTTCACCATCTGGTATTATTTCTATATCTGGAAGAGATTATTAGAATGCCATTTTTATTAAGGCGGGAATTAATATAAAAAATAATTAATATGAATTATTTATTTTCCTGTAAACAATCTAAACTAAATTTCTTATATCACTTTACTTTTTAATAAATTTAAAGTATTCATCAAATAATACAAACCATTTTTATATTTTTAATTAGATATTAAATATATATATTTAACTATGTTTAATATTTTTTTTAATTTTCTAATTATCAAATTTATAATTCTAAAGGAATAAATAAATAAAATAATTAGAATCAATATTTCTAATCAATAAAATTAATTAAAAGCTTTTTATTTTCTAAATAAGACTTAAAAATTGATAAATACTATTCTATTTTTTAATAGAATAATATTTTTAGAGAAATCTAAGTTTGGAGAAATTTATTAATAAAAATATTATGAAGATTATAAATTATTATTTATTAAACTAAAATGAAATTCAACTGTTTAGTAAATGAACATACAAAAAAGATTGACTATTATTGTATTAACAAATATTGTAAAGATAATCGATTGTCTTGCTAATAATGTAGAGCTGAGGGTTAACATTATAATTGTTATAAATGGCTTAAAGATTATGATGACCTAATAGAATTTTCAGAAAATTATAACAAATCAGTTAAAGATAATTATTAAAAAATAGAACAATCACTTGATGTAATTGGTGAATTGTGTAAATAACTTTAAAATGAATACAAAGAAAAATATTTCATTCAACTAAATGGTTAAAATATTCAATAAGTACATAATTTATTGTCATCAATGTTGTAATTTTCAGATAATGAATAAGCAGCATTCTAAAAATTAACCTCAGAGATATAGTAAATTTAATAAAAAATAGAATCCATTTTATTTGATTTGAAAAACTTAGAAAATTCAAGAATTAATTAGAATTCTATTGAGGAACATTAACTCATATAATAATTTTCATAAAGGGAAAATGATAATAAAGCTAAGTTTGATAATTAATATGATTAGAATAACTTTGAAGCCTAATCTATAAAATCAGGATAAACAAAATAGTTAATAAATTTAAAACCTAAAATTAATTATGAATTATTGAATAATTTTAAAATGAAATAAGAGGAATGGTGTTTAGCAATTGCATTTCATTCTAAACAATCAATTATAGCATGCGGATATGGTTAAAATATTAAAATATTTAAGTAGGAAAAATAATTAAAATAATTATAAATATTGACATATCACACTGAAAGAGTTACTTGTTTATCTTTTTTAAAAAAAAAAAATCAATTAGTTTCTGGAAGTATTGATTTTTTAATCATCATTTGGAAAGGAAATTAATCAAATAATTATCAACTTGAACATAAGCTTGGTGGACATTAAAATAGGGTTGTTAATTTAATAACTAATAAAAACGATGATTTAATCATTTCATGTGGTATGGACTGTCAAATAAGATTTTGGAATTAAAATATTGAATGGAAATGTTCTTAGATAATAACAGATCACTCTAAACGTATTTTTAGTTTATCATTAAATGATTCAGAAAATATGCTTATATCATGTTCAGAAGATTCTATGATACTTGTTATGCAAAAATAAACAACAAACAAAAAATAATGGGAAATTAAATAAAAAATTATTTTAGAAAGTTATGGGTGTAGAATATGCTTTATTAATGATGAGATGTTTGCTTTTCAACCATGGTAGAAGGAAGTTCTTTTAATATTTTCTTACAATAAACGAAAAAATGAATTTTAAATAAAATAATAAATTTAAATTTAAGGAGGATAAGATATAGATCTATTTCCTTAATAATTTATTAAATAAAAATCTTTACTTATAAACAAAAATTCAAAATATGTTTAATTTTTCAAATTTGGATAGGATAATTAAATTTAACTTGAATTAACCATAATGTTTTAGGATATTTTTATATATGGAGCAATGAGTGAAGATGGAGAGTATTTATTGACTTGGGATTGGGATAGTAAAGAATTTTAAATAAGAAAATTTAAATGATAAACTAAAGATTGTTATAATATATGATATTTATTTATCTATTTATACTATATACTTGATATAAGACATTCAATAAATCAATATCCATATTTTAAGAACTTTTACTCAATTTTTTTTTAAAATATTTGAAAAATTAAATATTTTTGAATTTAAATTGATTCTAAAAAAATCTGAAAAAAATAAATAAATAAAAATAGAAGAGTTTTGAAGATATTAATTAGATTACTTTTTTTTAAAAGCGAAAAGAAAGATAAAAAATAATAAATATAAATAATTGTCATGTAAGCAATCTAATTAAATTAGATAAATTTTTGCTTGATGATATAGATGGATTATTTAATGAAATTTACATAAAATAGCAACACTCTCTAAGAAATTGTATAATCATATTAAATTTATTGCATTCAAATTTTCAGCTCAAGATAGATGAATATTTGACAATAGGAAAATATAAATCTACCTCTTCACAATATTTCCTTAGTTGATATTTTATTGGAAGTGTCAAAACATCAATAATATTTTCTACTATTCAACATTATTTAATCAAATAAAATAATTTAGTATGATTCCACATGTTTTGAAAATTTAAACTAAATGTTTCTTAAATTTAAAAGTTTTAACAATACTTTATTAGATTAAAGAATCTTTAAAATGATTAAAAACAAAAAATCTGAAACATAAATGATATTATGAATAAAATTTTTTATAAAGCTATTGATTCTATAAAGTATTTTGAAAAATTAATCAAAAATATTCCTATTAAATCTATTTTATTTTATTATGAAGAAAATACCCTATATTTTGAAATTGAAATATATAATATTAAAAAATGTAAAAAAAGCCTATTTTTATTTGTCATAAGTTAATTAATCAGCAAAAAGATGAATATAATAATATTTGAAATAATCATGAAAATTATAAATTAAATTCAATAACTATTATATAGGCATGATTATAAACTTTTGCTAATTTCTAGCTTAAAATTAATTTGTGAATACATTCAATTTAGATCTTATCTGATTAAAATTATGAATTTAATGTTTAAAATTTTAAAATTAATGATAAAATGACAATCAATTATTCAAAAATTAAATTTATAGAGTAGAAAATTATTATTGTTTTAAAAAATTATAAAAAAGGAAGTAATTTATTGTTTTAATTACACTCTCTATAATGTTATCTTTAAGTTTAATTTTGATATAGTATTAAAAAGTAGATTTATAATAGAATATTAATATTTTGATTTTTTAGTTCCATAATTTCAGCTCTATAGTATTTAATTTATTTAAATGAAGTTTTAGATAATTAATTCAAAGATAATCGAGTTACAATTATAATCAATATTATTAATGGTATACAAAATGTATTATTATTTTAATTTATATTTTAAGAAGGGAATTTAAGAAAAAGGATTTACAATTTTAAGAACATTTAGAGAAAATTGATTATATTTTATTGTATATCTTTTAAAAGTAAAGAGACAAAATATGAATAATTTTGCGACTTACATAAACACAAAAAGAATGAATAATTGAACACTATAAACTTGAGAATTATGATTATAAGATTGATTTTATTATTTGATTAATTTTAAATATCATATAGAGATTGTTTTTTTAGTGAATCAGAGTAATCTATAATGGTACACTAAGAAATTATTTATTATAAAAATAATTATCCTAATGTGAGATTATTTTAATTAATATATAATAAGCTTAAATGTCAGAAATAATTGTGATGTTAAAATCAGAGAGTGGTTTAAATAGAATGTCTATTCTCTCTACTTAATCATTTTAAGAGTTCCTAAATAAAGTTGGTTAAATATTGAATAAACCTCCTGAATCATTATAAATATTTTTAGATGGAGTGTTACTTACTTCCAAAATATCACCCACTTTGCCAATGAAAAACGTACCCAAATTTTAGTAATTAATAATGAGATATTTTAAGAGATGGAATCTTTATTAGTGTATGTGTAGACTTAAAGAAAGTTCAATCAAAACCATAATAAATAAAAACACCAGAGCAATCAAAAGTTTATTCGGCATGGGGAAGAGTAGCTAATACATAATAACTTTAATAAGTAGATCATAAAATTCATGAAAACAAAGACCAGTATAAAATAAATATCTAATAATGATAGTGCTTTAAGTTAATTTTGTTAACATGGCCCTTAAGCAAAATGCATAAATTGTTTATCTTAATCATCAAGTAAAATAGAACAATAAGAGAAACCAGAAGTTAATAAATGTAAACATGGAGAAGGTGGTCGTTGTTTGAATTGTGCTCCATATGAATAAGAAAAGAAGAATACAAAAACAGTGAATAAAATATTATGTTAACATGGACCAAATGGAAAATGTCCTCATTGTATTGATGAAGGTTAAATAGAAGCTAAACATCTTTCATTTGATTAATATTTGCATGATATGAAATTTAAGTGTCGTGGTTAACATCCAGATAATGGAAGATGTAATAATTGTCTTCCTCCAACAATGGTAATTTATATATAATAAATAATAGATATCATATAAAGTTAAAAAAGATTGTAAAAATCATGCTCCATATCCAAAGGCAATGTGTAATAATTGTTTACCACCATCAATTCTATTAAAGAGATAAGCATATAGACATGTAGATTATGTTGAATTCCTTAATATTCCAGAGATGTCAAGTTTAGTTTAATATTGGACAAGTAAAGGTAAAACAGAATAACGAATGGGATTTTTATATGGATATTATGCTGCAGATCCAAATTATTAAAATGGAGTTAGAGCAATAGTAGAAGCTATTTATGAACCACCTTAAAAAGGATCATTTGGTCATGTTGATCTTATAGAGGATCCAGCTTAAAAACATGCAGATGAGATAACTATAAGTTTAGGAATGGAAAAAATTGGATGGATTTTTACAAATGTTAATCATGATTGTTTTTTATCAAGTGAAGAATTAAGATAAGCTGCAAAATATTAATAAGCTCATTCAGTCAAACATCCAGAAGGTTGTTTAGTGAGTAAATTCTTAACTGTAGTATTAAGAAGTAAAAATATTCTATAAATTAATTTTAGCTAAAAAAGATAATCCTGATGAAGTTGTTCCAGAAGTTTATATGGTTTCTGATTAAGGATAATAGTTGGAGTATGATGGAATATTTAAGAATTCAGAAAGAAGAAAAGTTTTATAGGTTAGAGATGCTAAAGATGAATTTGATATGTTACCCTCTTTTGTTTATAATGGTAAATCTGTTAAAGAATTTGAACCAGATTTCTTTATAGTGAATGTAAAATTAATATAAATACATTAAGGTTGCACATGGTTATAATCCAAATTCAAATTATAGTATTTTAAAGTTGTATGATTTCCCTGTTGAAAATAGAACTGTTATTGCTAAATAGTAGGATCTTAAGACATTCTTACATAAACATTAAAAAAAACCAAGTCATCATCGATTTGCAGATTTTCATTTATTATTATATTTGACCAAATTGATAGACATTCATGTAGTTATTTTATAAATTTTAGAGTGCTGCAAATATAGCTTAGTTTATAGCAAATGAATGTGAAATAACAAAAGAATTACTGGATATTGTTAAAATGTATGCAACAGGTGTTTGAGATAATATAAAAATTAAAATATTTTTAATAAATGGCTAAGTTTACAAATAAACCAAAAGGTCGTACAAGTAAGAGATTGGCTTTGAATAAGAAATATAAAATAGAAAAGAAAGTGAAATAACATCATAAAAAGCTTAAAAAAGAAGCTAGAAAGATGAGTGCTTTGGGATAAATAAAGAAAAGTATTATTGAATATTAATTATATTATAGCATCATCAAAAGAAATAGGAATTCCAAATATGTATCCATTTAAGAAAAATGTAATTGAAACTTTGAAAAGAAAGAAGGATTAGGAAGAATAAGAGAAAAAAATATAAAAATTATAATAGAAAGAGGAAATAGATTTAAATTTGGCAGAAGTCAAATCAAATTTATATGAAACGAAAGCACCAGTAGTTGAAGAAGAATAAATTTAATAAGAGAATTTAGCTTAATTAACAAAGGAGCATAAGAAATATATAACATAAGTAAAAAAAGTAGTGGAAGTAATTTAATAATGTTGATTATATAAAGGCTGCTGATATAATTTTAATAATTTTGGATGCTAGAGATCCTATGGCATGTAGATGTAAACATTTAGAGAGAGAAATTGTTGGTATGCCAGGAGAAAAGAAGATAATATTAGTTTTGAATAAAATAGATTTAGTACCAGCAGGAAATGCAGATGCATGGTTAGCTCATTTAAGAAGAGAATTTGCAACTGTTCTTTTTAAAGCTAATACCTAATAATAATAATCAAATTTGTCATCTGCATCCATATATAAGAAAACGTTATCTTAAAGATAAGATTTAGCTGATGATTTGACTTCTTCATCTAAAGCAATTGGAGCTGATAAATTGTTAGAATTAATAAAAAATTATTCAAAAAATGATGGAGTTAAAAGTAGTGTAACAGTTGGAGTTATTGGTTATCCTAATGTTGGAAAGAGTTCTGTTATTAATAGTTTAAAAAGAAGTAAGGCTTGTGCTGTTTCTTCTACTCCAGGATTTACAAAAGGACTTTAAGAAGTTGTTATTGATAATTAAGTGAAGATTATAGATTGTCCAGGTGTTGTTTTTGATTCTGAAAATAAGGATAGTACTCTTTTAAGAAATATTATTAAAGTAATATATATATAAATTAATATAGATTGAATAAATTGAAGATCCAAGAGAACCTATTGGAGAAATTTTAAAAAAGGTTACTAAAAATGAGTTACTCTTACTGTATAAGATTTAAACTTTCAATAATGTTAATGAATTTTTATGTTAAGTGGCTTTGGCAAGAGGAAAGTTATAAAAAGGTGGAATTCCAGATTTAGAATGTGCAGCTAGAATTGTTTTATAGGATTGGAACTAAGGTAAGATTAAATATTTTACTGTTCCTCCTAATTAAATTGAATAAGAATGACTTATTTATTTGTTTGTTTCATAAAAATTAAATAAAAGCTTAGTTCATATGGGATCTGTTTGTATAAATTAATCATCTAGTTATAATAAGGATCAATATTACCCAATAATCAAAAAGCAACTAAATATATCACCTAATAGATAATGTTTTTTAGAAAAACCATTAATTCATTCTGAATTACTTGAAGATACTCAAGATCTAACTTAACTGGAAAATATTCTTGAAGATGTTGATGTAAATAATAAGATTTATGATGATAAAATAAGAAATGAACAAATAACAGTTAAATAAGAAAAATTAGAGCAAGTAAAAATAATAGAAGTTGTGGAAATTGTTACTTAAAATATTAATAGAGTTTTAACATAAACGAGAATAAAAATAGATTTAAAAGAAGAAAATACAGTGATATAAAGAATACAATAAGGAGGTTAAGATAATTAGACAATAAAGAGTATTTTAAAAACTACACATAAAACTAAATCATCTAAATCAGTGAATATTATAAATTAAAAAAGCCCAGAGAAGAAAGTTTCTTTTGGATATCAAATACAAAAACAAAAACCATATAAATTTTATAAGTGAAAGTCATTAATTTAAATTAATATATTAATACCTAACACTATAAAATATTGAATCAATCATCTGTTTAGCATAACATAGCTACTCCTCTTTTGACCCAATGATATGGATGATGATCAGGTGAAATAGGTAAATATATAGAAATGACAAAGTTGGTAGAGTGACCTGTTGTAGATAGTGTACCAGCTCTTCTGGATGTCTTATAAACTGGACATTCATAAACCTATATTTAAATTATATTAATTACAGATAAATCAGCCTCCCAATCCTTTTTCTCTTCACTTGGTAATAACCATAAATAAGGCACCTTATATTGCAGTATTTTTGGTAAACTTTCATTGAGACATCTATTTTCTTCATCCCATCTAGCACCATCAAGGAACAAACCATAAACATAACAACCATCATCTGGAGGTTTTGTGAGATCATATTCTTATGATGAAGGTGGAATCACTATAAATTCAAATGAAAGTGTATCTATTGGAATTTAATACTATGATTTAATTAATATCATTTTTTACCTTTCTAGCAAAGTTTTAGAGAGTTCCTGTCAAAAAAGATTAAGTAAAGAAAAATCCAGATACCCAAAATGTTGGTGGAGCTCCATTATCTATCCACAATTACATAAAATTCAATCTATCAATAAAGTCATTGATCCAGGATCCTAATGGTTTAAGTGAAGGATAAGCCACTTTATGCCATACATCTGGTACTTAATTATCAAAAACTTTATTAAAGACTTATTCAAGATCTGCACTCATTACAACTAAACCATCAATTGCCTTACCTAAATCTATAAGTGATGATGTAACAGCTGCTAACAATTTATTAAATCTAATTAACTCTTATTACAACACTGTATTCATACTTTAATTATATTGAACAGGATGTTTACGAGCTGCCTCAAATACATTAAATTATTTAGGCAATTTAGATAAAATTTGTTTACACTTTTCCTTTATTAGATCTTCTGCAGATGCACCACCACCTCCAGTTGATCTTGGCAATAATGATAATATAGTAGATGTTATAAAATTAGTTTCAATTATTGCTGAAGAAATTTCTGCATTATCATGCAATCCAAAAACTTCTGTTTAATCATTCAAAGGTAGATTTCTTATGTATTCTTTGTAATCTTCCAATACTCCATTTGGAGGTACATAATATATACCACTTGGACTTAATTTATGTTTGTCAATTTGTAACACATCAGTTGTGTAGAATTGTTTAAGAAGAATAGCAATTAATCTTCTATCTTTTGGATCTGTAACTCTACCTCCATAATTAGCTTCAGCTACCATATAATTAAGAGCTTCCCAGGGTATGTCTTCAAAAGTATCAAGGAAATTTTTTAATTAAGAAACAGAGATGGCAAGATCTGCTGATGTAAATTCATATGGGATATTCCATCCAAGTGGTCCATATTTTCGACGTTCTAGACACACTGCATGGAAGAAATTTAATCCGAAAAATAATTTTTTCCATTCAACTGGTTTTTTACATAATTCGAAATTTTTAGAATCAATAGATGAAAAGTTTCTCAACATATTATTTTTAAGACCTCTTGGTGGTTCGTAAGTCATTTTAATTCCCCTCATTAAAAGAGTAACTGGGAATACATTTGAAGGCATTGAAGTCAACCAAATTCTAAAATCAGAATTAACCTCTTATGGTGGTTTAGCACAGATTTCTTATTCATGTATTCTTTCTAATTCAGGCATAAAAGAAGGTGCAAGATGACAATTTTATAATAGAACCCATTTTCCATCTTTAACAGCACCTTTAATAGCATTAGTAGCAATTTCACCTTAACCTTATCCTAAAGAGAGAGTGATGAAATTTTATCTAAATCCTAAACGGTCAGCTAATGCTGATATTTCTAGACGAGGATCAGCACCAGGAGATAAAATAAAGATTAAAGGAGTGTAAGCATCTGCATCCTTGTAAGCATATTCAAGATTAAATGGAGGTGGATCCATAAACTATTTACCCATTTCTGTAATAATTAGATTCTAAGTAGCATTAGCAAATTTATCAGGACGTATAATACGTAAAACAATTAATTTTTGGAAGGCAGATAATTATGAATGCCAAGGTTGTGGTAATTATTAAGTTTATGGTTCACTATTATCATAGATTTCTTGCCAATCAGTTAGATTTTTAGAGAATGATTCTGGAAATCCTTTGAAATATGGTAGAGTATCTGCTGCTTCAGTTACTAAACACCACATCTTTTTAGATACCCATTCTGGTTATGGTTAAGAATATGTTGGATCTGTATAAGTACCACCAACCATAGTAAAACGTATTTCTTATGGAGTAATCTTACCTTCACTTTACATAACTTTCATCGTCATTAAAAATGAAAATATTAATTTATCTTTCTCTAATAATGATCTACAAATACTCTCATAAAGAGATATCTAAAATTTATCAATAATATTTTTGCTTCTGTTTTCCTTTCCTTAAATTGATTCTCTTATAGCTCTTTCAAAAAGTATTATATAAAACTCTAAAGACCATTAATAAGTAGGTTCAATCAATGAAAGATCCAAAACAACAAAGTATAAATTTGCAACTCTCTTGGCTACTTCCTTATAGAAATTACGAATTTGATTAAATTATTCTCTATCAATTTCTTGTTTCTTTAACTTATCTTATATAGTGATAGATTCAGCCTTAGATCTTTACAAAGTATCAATGAGTACTTCATCATCCAAAAGATTGCCTTTTGATTCTTATAATAATTATAAGATATTATCTTCTGTCATCTTTTATTTATTCTTATTTTCAAAGAATTCCTTAATATTTCTTTATCTTTATTCATCTTTAGCAGGTTCTTCAATCTTAACAACAATATTTAACATCTAATCTTCTAAACCTTCTTAAGTAACTTAGAAATTCAACATTGTAACCTTAACACAAATTTCAGGTGGATAATGAGGTCTAGCCAATTTTGTGGTCATGTAAAACTTAAAATCTCTAGAATAATCAATCATTTTATCTCCAAATTTCAATTTATAAGCTGAACCCTATTTAATGATTTTTTATTAGAGAATAGATTCAAAAATAGCATCTATTGTTTCACCTACATTTTCCAGTAAAACACTCTAACCAAATTATATAGCACTTTCCAAGGTCTTTGATAATACATTTTATGATTGTGTGGGTCTTACAATAACTAATTGTGAAGATTCCATGTGTTTAACCCAAGTATTAGCTTAAGTTTGAGGATCAATCATTAAAGGCCATCTTGTTGAATTTTTAAGGATGATAGCATTATCAATAGAGAATGAATCATTCGGTAATTTTTAAACATTTGTCCATTATCCCATGGTAATTGGATCACATAATATCTTTTGTAATGAATAATCAGGATCAAATTCAATATGCAATTTCTCTAATAAATTTTACCATATTTTGATTGTATCATCTCTATAAGCAATAGGGAATGCTCCTAAGTATGCAACAATTCCTGAGGATAATATACAATCACCAACAATTGTTTTAGAATCAACTCTATAATCAGCAGCCTTCTTTTTCCAACTCTCTTTCTCTCCTCCTAATTCAGTTATTAATTTTTCTGCTCTACTCAATTAGATCTTACATTTATTAACCTTAGCCTCTAAATCTTCTTTTTCCTATTTAGCTTTATTATAATCTGCTTCTAATTTTGCCAATGTGTCAAGTACTTCTTGTAAGGCTTCTTGTTTAACTCTCAAAGTTTCTTCAGCTTCTTTTAACTTTGATTCTGCTTCTAATAATTATTATCTCTTTGGATCTACAACCAACAAAGCATCATAGGTTTCAACAACAGCACGAACCCACAAACTTAAATTACCTGCTGCAACAGATGCATTAAATACTTTATCTTTTTAGAACAAAGGATTTTATGAAAAAGCTTTTAATTTATTGATTTTAGCTTAAGGAATCTATCTAATAGAATCATCTCTAAAATCCTTAATTCTTTTTATCAACTTATCATTCAATAGATTCTTTTTAGAATACTCCCAAAAATCTTACACTTTTTCCATAGAACCAGGTTCTTTTGGTTTCCATGGTACATTTTGATCTTCCTAGAAAATGTAACATAAACCTTCCATAACAATAGCAGCAGAAGGAGGAGGCTTAGGGAATGATTTCAATTGAACCATATCATTCTTATCAATCTTTTCTAAAGCTTCAGCAGCTTAAGCCAAAATTGGCAACACTTTATCAAGATCATTTTAACAATCATTTCTCAAAGCATTAGCTGCATCTCTTTAAACATTACAATCCTTTTCTTCTTATTGACAAACTTACTTTCTTGCATCAGCTTCCTTTTATTTCTTTTACAAATTAATCAACATTATACTATTATCTTTAGTGGCTTATTCTAATTTAGGCTATAAATCCTCTAATTCCTTTTACATTTTACTTACTTCACTTTCTGTAATGATAATCTTATCAACACCTGCTTCATAACGAGATATCATTTTAGACATATTTTAATCTCTATCTGATTTGAGTCTCTTAAATGTATTTAGCAATTCCAAATAAGATGTTGGTGTAACATAATAATATCTTCTTAATTCATTATAATATCTTTTAGTTAAATCTGATACTCTCAATTACATATCAACTGCTATATCAACTAATCCTTATCTCAATTTATTATCACTTATATTCATATCTCTTGTATATACAGCATCTGCAGTTGATCTAAGTGCTTCTTCTGGCCATGGTAAAAACCAATCAATAGTTGTACAATTGACTAAAGCAGGAAAAGTACGTAATCTTCTTCTAAATGCTTCACCTACTGGTGACATACAAATTACAAGATGTAAATTCTTCTTACATTACTTAACAAAATAACCATATTTTTCATTTGGTGTTCCAGAAGTATAACTACTCATTTCTTCAATAATCTTACTCTTTTCTTCTGGAGGGAATAAATTAGGTACCTCACCATTATTCAAAATATTACAAATATCTTCAACCATTGATTCCTTAATAATCTAAGTATCTGAATACATAAACACAAATTCCTTCTAATCTATTCCTCCCATTTTCATTACCTTCTACAATTCTTCTATCCAATTCCTTGAATCTACCTATAAGGTTTCATTTTGAAATGCTATGAATGAAGCCAATTAAGCCAAACTTTTTCTACCTGAACCTCCTACACCAACCAATAGAGCATGACCAAATGTAGTATTAACAACACGTACTATCTTTAATACATGTTATATTGCATTCATAAATAACACTAATTCCATTCTATTACTCGTGTATTAAGAATTATATTCATTCAATTATTCCTAACAAACCTTCTTCAATGTCTCTCTATCTGTTAATTCACAATAGATATCAGTCATTGGTCTCTTTGTTCTATCATCATCAGGATATAGAGTTGGAACAAATGAAGCCCATAAAAGAGGCTCTATTTATACTAATTGTTTCCAATCTCTCTTGAAATGTTTCAATATAGTTTCCTTCAGAATCTTATCAAAAGTTCCTTAATCATCTTCATTAATCAATCTATCCTAAAATACTCGTTGGCATTCATGTGCCCATAATTTAATAAAATCATTCTCATCTCTAAATGATTTTATTATTCCTTTTGAAATACCTTAGAACACTTTACTAATGTCTCGAAGATTATAAATATAATGAGATTTAGCCGGAGTTGGTAAAAGTTCTTTACAAGTCTAAATCAATTAATAAATGTCTAAAGTAGCATTCACTGTTTAATCTCTAAGATTTGTTATAGACTTCATAAATGAATTTGTCTGTCTTGCATAATACCATTCCAACACATTCTAAAATATTCTTTATAATGAATCTCCTTCAAAAGGTTCTACATACAATAACACATAATGTCTTAAATATCTCATACTTACTACATTTCTTCCTCCTGTAGGTGGTAACATACTTGCAATAAAAGTAATCCCCTACAAATATTTTGGTTCTTTAGTTTCTAAATCATACCAACCTCCTGTATCCATCCATTACCTTAATAATTCTATTGGAGGTTATGCTCCATACTTCTCTTTAGCTGGCATATTCAAATCATCTATAAATATCACTATATACTTCTTTCCTTCCTCTGGTCCAAAATAACCTTTTCTTCTTCTTGAATTAACTTTGGCTTCTATCGTCTTTTGAACTTAATTCACTAATGTTTAACCTGAAAAAGCAGTTATTAAATTTGTATATTCTTAATTAAAATAGTTTTTATTAATTTCACTAACAATATTAGATGTTTTGCCAGTACCAGTAGGTCCAGATACCAAAAGATGTATCTTATTTTTTACACATAGATGCAAAAAATAATTGTTTCTAATAGAATCACTAGTAGGTATTAATAAATCATGATAATCACATCCTTTTGGAATAATGAAGGGAGGTTATGTTTGAGTCCAACTAATAAAATTATTTTTGTTTCTATCATAGACCATATCAAATAGATTAGCTTTATCAGGTAATTTAGCATTGATTGTAACTGGTGTAAACTTATATTGTAATTGTAAATTAAAAGTTTCATGTACATCTTCAGCTGAGATTAATTTAATTAAGAATTAATTAAATTATTTCCTACAAATTTCATCAATAGCTGCTCCAAAACTCCAAACACAAGAGAAAAGTATAGCTTTAGAGACAACATCTTTGATTTCATTATGATTAATCTATTTTTGAGAAGATTTTTCATCCATATCTGTCCATTCTTATAAATAAGTTTAGAGAATGAGTAACATATTTTTGACTAGAGTCATTTCACTTTTGTAGATAGGGAATTTACCATTTTTCCTTAACCATTCTTAACTGCAATCAATGATAACTCTAAGTAGATCATCTAAATAACTATGTTCAATGAATTTTTCAGGAATAGTTTATATATATGATTTAACTAAGGCATACCATCCAATTTGTTGTGTTTCTAAAAAGACCATACCACATCTACTAACAGTAGCAGGAGATGCAACAGCTAAATCTTCTACTTCAAACATCATAGTCATCCAATTAGTCATTTTAATAATTTCACCAGATGTTAAACATAATTTTTTATTATCATCTAAAACAGTATTCATATTTTCAATCCAAACAGCATCAACAGGACCATCAAATACAACCCATTTTCTCTCTTCCACTTCTGAATCTTATGCACACTATCTCATAATGATTGCTATAACACCATCAGTCCATGATTTTGTATCAGGATCCAATTTACCATATAATTAATCTGAAGTAATTGATTTTGGATTAAGTTTAATCACAGCAACATTTACAAATGATTGTACTTTATTTAATGATGTCATAGCTTTAGCCAAACATTCTAATACTTTAGATTTACCTGCAAATGCTTATCCTACTATCATTAAACCATGTCTAACATTTATTGTATCAAATAACTGAATACATTTTTCGATAAAACCTTTCTCAGCTTAAATATTGATCTCCTGAGAAGTATTTTTTAATGCTGTCTCTAATGCTCCATAATCTTATTCAGGTAATTTGATTCCTGGAAATAGATCTGAAGTAATTGAATTAAATAGAGGTACATCATTTATTGTAAACTTGGGAATATTAACATCCATTAAAGCTCTTAAACATATAATATCCTCAATATCATTCATAACTCTCTTTAAATTACCTGCAGCTGTTAAAATAGCTTTCAAGGCTCTCATACCAAAATCATAATGATCTTAAGAAGAGAGTTATTCAGATGATAATCTTAAAGAAGCAACTATTTTACGAGCTAAATTGTTTGCATCTTGAAATCCAACAGATGCTAAATAAATTTCTGAAATTAATGCATAATCTGGAACCATCATAGCACATGGTCTAAATAGAGCTTTTAAATTATCAGGTAAATCAGATCTACCAGCATAACCTGGATTCATTGTGATATTAATAGCACATGAAGGTATCAACTTAATCAAAGTACCTTCAAATTCAAATTCTGGTCTCTTTTATCTAATAGCATCCTAAATTGTTAAAACTTATTAAGCAATAACAGATAGCACTTCTAAATCAATACGATTAAATTCATCAAAACAACACCAAGCACCTGAACTTGCTAGACCTTTAAAGAATTTACTCATAGCTAAATAATTCAAACCATCAGAACAATTAAATACAACACATTAAACTGCTAATGCTTTAGCTAAATCCTTAACAGTTTCAGTTTTACCTGTTCCTGCTGGACCTTCGGGTGCTCCTCCATATTGTAAATGGAATGCTCCCATCAATGTACGATAACATCTATCAGTTAAAGGTGTAATAACCAATCTCATACTATTACCTAAATATTCATATCCATAAAGTAAATCAGCATTAATCATTTTAACATTACATTTCATCAATTGTTCTGTCCAATAATATCTTAATTAAGCCATCCATTAAAAATTATTGATATCATTACAACCAATTTTTACTAATTATCTTATAACATCTCTAGCATGTACATCCAAAACCACTAAAGCTCCTAATGTTAATCTCTCCAAAGGTGATAAATCCTATCTTACTAAATCTACAATATCTCTTAATTCATTTATCAATTATTATAAATATCCTTATAATCCTCCTTATTAATTTTCTTTATCATTTATAGAAGCTTCACTACCTCTTGTCCATCTTATCATATTAACTGCTAACACTATTTATGCAGGCCATTTTCTTACCCAAACTACTCTCTTTGTATCATTATCTAAATGTGATGCTTTCATTATCTTTCTTAAAGTGTCAATCATAACTGATTCTATTTCACATAACCATTTTTCTACATTTCCTTTCTTTTCACCTTCATTCACATTTATTCCTTTTGAAAATTGAACTTTCTCTTTCTCTGCTGATATCATTGCTACCACTTCTTATCCATTTACAAATTCCAATAAATTAATTGCTTCAAAACATTTATTAATATGTTTCTATACTGTTTCTGGATCCTTCGTTTAAGCCAATATTTCTAATAATTCTTCATCTGATAAGAAATAAAATCTTGGAAATGAATTACGTTTTGTTTCCAAATATTCACTTAAAGATTTCTATATCTAATCTAATGCCTTATTATCTTAATCAAATTCATTTTTCATCTTATCACTTTCTATTCCATCCCAAAGATTAGGTTCCTTACTAAATTATTCCATTACTGTTCTCCAATGAGAATCAACCTTTTAAAACTTCAATGTCTCTTATGGCATCTTCTTCTTAATATCATCTGATGTAAAAATAGGTTCCAAATACATCCAACCACGTTAACATTTTATCCATCCATCTAATGAATCCTATATTAATACTATTTTCTATTCCAAAGCTTATGCCTTATGTAAAACTGCTTTTATTTAAGGTTATGCTTTTAACATCAATAAAATGTTAAATTAATCATCAAAACATTAAACAACTTCCTCTAATGATTTTAATACAAAAGTTCCTGTTTTTTTATATGGAATCATTTCCACCTTCTAATCTTTTAACTTCTCTTAAATTGAATTTAAATTCTTTTCTATTTACCATTACTTCTCAGCTCTTCTTGATACTTCTTCTATATCACTCCTATAATTCATTAAACCATGAGATACTAAAGCATCTAATGATAAATCATCATTTGTCTCCTAATCTACAATCCCTACAATCTTCCATATATCCTTCCACATATTTAATTTAGTTTTCATTGCCTCAGTTGTTAATAATTCAATTAACCATAATCTCTCTTTAAATTCATCAATTTAACCTTTTAATTTACGTGCAACTTCAACTGCTACATCATCTTATGCATCTGAAAATGCCTTTATTAATAAATTCGCATTCCTTTAATTTGTTCTAACTTTATTATCTATTTCAGTAAAATTCAATTTTAAAAATGATCCTGTACACCAATCACTTCTATCATACTCAAATTCTATTGCATTCGTCCATAAATTAAAATATATTGTAAAATCCTTTATTAATAAGTTCAAATCTTCATAAACTGATGGTTATTGTTTGAATAATACTTCTCTCTCATTAAATGATTCCACTTTTTTCAATGCATTCTAAAAACGATCATTTAATGACACTACATCATTTGCAAAATCTTTTACTCTTGAATAATCATCAAATTTCTAAACTGTTGAAAATAATTCTGTCAATTCCTTCAATTCTCCTTAGAACTTATCTTTCTCATTATCTAAATTTTCCATAAATTTCTATTCCTATAAATTAGCCTTTCTTTGACCTTCTATTACATGGTTTTTTATTTCTGGAGGAAAACTATATAAATTCCAAAAGTCATATAAATTTTTATCTTCAAAATTATGATTCATATCTTCAAACATTGTTAAATAATCATAAATACAATCTACTTCTTATTTCTTTTTTGCCAAATTTACTTCATGTTCTGCAATATATGTTTTTAATTCAACCAATTCAGCCTCATTTTTTGGTTATTTTGTTATTCTCTCACTCATATCACTATATTCTTAACTTAAACGACTAATATTATCTGTCACTATCTCTGAACATTATTTTAAAATAGATATAATAAATTCATTTGCTTTTGATATTAAATTTTCTTTAGCTACTCTTGTTTTTATCTAAAAAAATTATTCATTCTTATCATCTAAACATAATCTTTGTATTTAAAATTTAGCATTTATAAAATCAGATAACTTTTTTTATATTTCATCTCGATCCAATTAAGTAATGACAGGTTTTTTTGAAGTATCTCCAAAAAGACTTTTTAAAACACTCTAAACCGACTTTTCTAATAAAAAATTAAATTCTCTAAATTTTTATAACATTTCATTTGGTTTCCTATAACCAATTTCAAGATATTCTTAAACTTTATCTTTAGCCCATTTGATCCACATTTAATCTTTATCATTTTCTATTTCATAAGCTCTTAATCTTCCCTTCACCTCCTTCTTTTAATCAATATCAACCAAAGGAACTAAATCTTTTTCTAATCTATTAAATGAATTCACAGATTCTAACAGAAGATCAATAGGTTTTAATAAACCTTATTAAATTGATAAAAAATTAGGAGAGAAATAAATTGCACTATTAGGATCTTCTTCAAGTAAAGGAGTGTCTTCTTATTTACTTTTTTTTTCATTCTTCTTACTCTTCTTAAAATTAAGATTAACTTCTAGATTTAAGATCAATAATGGATAATCATTAATCTTCCATTATTCTCCTTCTTTTGGAGTAGTGAATTTCTTAAGAAAATCAATCCAAGATTAACAAGTTTATCTAACAACATTTTCTCTAATATAATTGGTAAACATATAATCAATCCTTATAAGTAATTTTTATAATTCACTATCTAAATAGTCTTCTGTTTCAGTTTAATAAAATCTATATTTATCTCTTAATTTATCTTGAATATCTCCAACAATAGTGCTTCTCCATTATACTTATAAAGTTTATCTTCCTTAAACATTATGCTATTTTTATTAGCTCTCAAAATTCGATAATGACATTGGTAATGATTGATGATTAAGTAATACATTTAAGAGTGGGAAATTCTAATATAATTAAGATCTAGCTGTTAAAGCATTCAAAGTGTTTACAACAACAGTTAATTTAGAATAATGTAATTAAGATATATTTTATCTGATACCAACGAAACTCCAATTATCCTAAACTTTTATTTATTTTTATATCTACTATCCTGAAGATTCAAAAGTTAATATTTTAGTATCATTTCCAAATTATTTAGTTAATCCGAAATAAGGTTTTTTTATTTATTCAAATCTATTTTTGATTCTTAATTAAATCCACTTAATATCATTTTTATTAATTTCCATATCTTTAAGAATTGAACATTTCTTCATTAACATAATATATTCTTTTTGTACTTACTTGACTAAATCCTTTTTAAGCACTTCAAGATTTTGCATTTATTTTCTTCTAATTTCTGGATCTGTAATCATTAATTTCTATTCATCTTTAAGTGTTTGTATTTATGGGAATCCTGGTGCTACTTTACTTGGATCATCTTTTGTAATATATGGTAATTCCCTAAATACTGTATATTCTTCAATCTTTTTCTACATTTCTAATGATAATGTTGATGTCATTGAATCAGGTAATGAATCTACATATCTTAAGAATCTTAATTCATCATCTGCATTCTTCTATCTTTATTTACACAATTCAACTCTTTATTCAAATTTAACTTAATCTTCTTAATAAAACTATAATGATAATCTTCCTATTCGTTTAATTTTTCCTGATCTTAATACTCTAACTTCAAATTTACCATTTTCAAAGCCTAATACTTCTACATCTGTCCAAATATATTTGTCTGATTAATCAAACATTGGACATTTTGCATGTGGAGGATTACTCTTTTTACATATTTCTAACCATTCTTAAGGAGTTCTTTCTTCATCCCAACAATCATATTCTTTTAATTTTTTGTTTGTCATTCTACCTCCATAAGAAAAGTTTTTATTTTTTGGAATATCTTCTGGTTACGAATCATTGTCATCTATTTTTATTAAAACTTATTATTACACATCTAAAACTATGTAAATTCTTCTCCAAGTGTTCCACGTACTTCTACATCAAAATTACTTCCTTAATTTATAAAGTTTGGAACAAAATTCGATCGTTTAGAATTGAAATCTGGTTTCAAATCAAAATCAAACTTTAAACTTGATGAAGGTGATGCAAATTAAATTTAAGAATTACTTTTCACTTAACCTTACATGAATGGCACTTAACTCTTTACCTATCTTGATCTAAAGTACACCTATTCAATTTTATTATTATTAAAAATACTTTTTTTTTTAAAGCCACTTGAGAATGAGTAAGAGAGTTCTCTATTACTAATGAATTATCACGATCATTCAATAAATTCATTACAAATTTCCTTTCATATTAATCACTTTCAATACCTTGGATCCTAATTGTCAGTTTCCATTTTTATTCTATCCTCCACTTCTCTATGTTCCTTCAAAGCTGATTCAAAATCAATAGATGGCTTATTTATTTTTTAAATTGGACCTTGTATAATTTTATAACATATACCTAATGTCCTTTTCCCCTTTGTATTCATTTCGATTTTTTTTAAATAAAATAATATCAAATTTTGCGGATACATGATGTTATATCATAAATTCAATAAGTTCTGAGTACTTCTGAATATATGCTAACATTCATAATTTAACATTTCCATTTCCATCATTACAAATTTTTGAATTTATCTTATTCCTAAACATCAAACAAGATAAAAAACTACACTTAAAACAATTTATTATCAATCAAACACAATCATCATCAAAAACCATATCAAAAAAAAAATACTTGGCCTATTTTATAAATTTGATTTATGTTAATATTTAAATTTAGTAAAACATATTAAATCGGAGGTAATAAATTACAAAAATCAAGATTTATTTTAAATCTTTGCAATATTGGATAATCTAAATCTTTGTAATCAAATTATTCTTTTTTTCTTTAAAACATTCTAAAATGAATTCAAATCAAATAATTGCATAGATTAAAATTCAAGGAGATAAATCTTAGTCAATAATTTAAGATGTTGACATATATATTTTATAATAATTGAACTGATAAACTTTGGGGAATTTATAAATAATGATCAAAAATATTTATGTTCTATACATTATTGATTATTTCGGAAAATTAAATACATAACTAAAAATTTAGAAAAGTATTTGATTTTATTTAAATTGAGAAATAATTTAAACAAAATAACATTAAGAATAATTATAGAAACTTATATTCATCCTTCTCATAAAAAACAATTGTTTCAAATTAAACAACCAAAAATGTTATTTTATGCTTCCATCAAAATAGTTTCAAAACAAAACCTTAATATACCATTTTAAACTCATAAAATAATAAATTTACTAAAGAAAGCTTGAAGTTCAATATAACATTAACCTAAAAATTCAATAAACCTCTATCAGTTATTTTAATGTATAATTGATGTAACAATCTTTTATTCAAGAGAAGATCTATTGTAATAAATAAAGAATAATAGTAATTTATAAAAATCATAGTTTATTACCATATAATAATTTATTATACATATGAATTTACTCTACAATCATTATTAAGGTTTAGGACATTTACCATATCTTTTTATATAATCATTGTATTTTTTTTAACATTAAATTGCGGTCCATTAAAATGTATTTAATTTATGATCTCTTTTCATAGCTTCCCAGTCTTATTTATATTTTTTAATGAGCGCTTCAACTGCCCATTCATCATCAATATTCATTCTAACTTTATTTTTCTTTTTATCAACTTCTTCTGGTGATAACTTTTATGTAGCTTATCTTTACAATTCTTTAATTTAATCAATAGATATTTCTTCTGCTTCAATATATTATTGTTATGGAGCGGATTCCTTTTATTTTAATTCATTAGTTATTTTTTAATTAATCTAAAACCCTAAATTCATTCCCAAGTTATTTAAGTTTTGAGTAAATGAAATATTTTTGTTCCATCCTTGAATTTTATTTTACTCCTTTTAAGTTTTTGTTATCTTTTTATTTCTTGAAAATAAATGTTTGTGAGATTTTTAGGCACGTTTAACTGTTTTTCTCCTAGCCATACAATAAATTAATTATAAAATATTTAATTAAACTCTATAAATAAAATATGTACTTTTCTTAAAATGATGTATATTCATAGATATCAATTAGGAATAAGTTAAAATCAAAAAATTTCACTCTTATCAAATAGTTTTTAACACAATGGACAGGAATTCCTTTTTTCAGACCAATTTTAAATGCATTACTAATGAAACTGATGACTGAATTAGATAACTTTATATACCAACATTTAATTTTGACAACTTTTAAATTTGGTTCTTCTAAGCTATCTAAACATATAGCACAATTATCTGATTTTTCCTAATAATCAAGCTCATTTTTATTTTTAAATTTACATGAATATTATTTTAATTAATTTAGATTTAATTATTGTTAACATTTGGATCTTATGCAACCACTTAATTAATATCAGGATTCTATTTCTTAATATATTTGCATAAACAAAAAAAGAGGACACCAATAAATATTATTCCTCCACCTATTGATGGAATTATTATATAAAGTTTCATTTCAGTTTAAGTGTCATCATCCTATGAGATTTATTAATTGAATCCAATTTTTAAATTGGTTTTTTAATTATCAGAATATTTAATTATTACTGCAAAATTTAAGATATTTTAAGAAGCAGGTAAAGTTTATGGAACTTCTGTTAAAATTGTTGCTTATTGATCTTCAATTTAATACATTTTAACATAATCTTAATTTTTATCAAAATCTGTTTGCAAAAGAGCCTTGGTTTTATAAATAATGATTGCTAAACAATTTTTACAATCAGTCTAAATTTATTGACTTATTTATTTATACCTAAAAATAAAGTTACAAAGTTTATCTGATTAAAGGTTAAAGATTAATTGAAAAGAACCTGATTGATGTATTAAACTCTGAATTAATGTCATATTCATTTCCAAAAATCAATTCCTATGATTGTTGACTACAATCATTACCAATGAAGGAATTTAAACAATGACAGCCATCGCTCTTAATTCAAATTTATTTTACTTTGCAAATTCCATTTTATAAAAAACATTAATTTTCACAAATTTCATCATTACTTCTAATAATGGAGATATTATATTTATTTTCTAAATAATCTGCCATTACTGTTATATAAATATCCGCTGAGTTTCCCTTCAATTTTAAAAATCTAGTTTTTCTATTTTCCAGTTAGCTCAAAAATAGAATAAAATTTTACCTTATTCTATCTATTTTTTCACCTTATTTATATTTTAATATCAGATTAGTTTTAGGTAATTGTTTGTAATCTGCCATAATTAAAAAATTAGGATCTTTATATTCTAAAGTAATGTTAACATAGCAATATATCGATTTTTATTAGGTAACTTTAAAAGTAATAAACTCTGAATTAAATATTGTGGTTTGCCACGATTAATTTTCATCAAAATTGACATTAATTAAAGAACCTCTTGAGAAACCAACAAGGAAAAAGATGCTGAATATGCAGATAAGCATTTTTAATTATAAAAATATTTAAATAATCTAAATTGAAATCACAAAAATTTTACTATTCAAATTATATCATCTATTAAAATAGATCAATACTACCATATATTAAGAGCTTCACTTACAATTCTTTCAGTAAAAATAATTCAGTTTTTTATCTTTAAAATCAAGTACTATCAAATTTAATACCTCATCATTATATAATTACGTCAAATATTAATGATTTACTCTTATGAAGATATTTACAAGATCTAGCAATTATTTACATTTATGCTTAACAATAAAATGCATATTTCTATTACTAAATTAATATTAATATTGAATAAAAATAAATTTTTATTTTTTCCTTATTTATTTTCATTTGAAAAATTCTTAATTACAAATTAAGCATTCTAATTTCTGATTAAATTTATAAATCTTTTTATATAATCTAAATGGTATTTCTAATTAGAATATTAATTTTGAAATTCCATAAAATTTTAAATGAAGAGATTTAATTTTTCATATTAAAATAATTGCATTCAATATGAGAAAGGTCGATATCTTTATTAATTTAGGTATTGATATTCTTAAATTTTGTATTCGACTAAATTTTCTAAGTTTTTCAAATTAATAATTAATTATTATTACATATATTTATTTGTTTTCTCAAGAATTATATAATAAATAAATTCTTGTTAATTAAAGATATCTTGATTAAGATTATACCCTTAAAAAAGTATTTTATCTTAATTAATTTATTTATATAAATTAACGTTATTAAATAATTGATAATCATTAACGCTTTTTTATGATAAACAACATCTATTTTGTTTTAATAAGAAAAGATTTAAAATTCATCATTATTAAAGAGTAGATAATTTTTTAATTTAAAAAAATATCAAAAATTAGATGAATATTTTTAACAGAAAGATTAAAAAATGATTTAAGTTGATATTTCCTAATTAAAAATATTTGACTAATGCTAGTTTATGTATTGAAAACAACTATATACAAAATAAATTAATTTGTAAAAAGATGAATGATAGTCTTGATAGAGAGAAAGACGATTAAAATTATTTAAATTATTATGGTCATATCACTATTAATTAAAATTTCTTCTTTTGTTAAATTACTAAATTGGATTCTCTTGTAATAAGTCTAGTTCTTTCTTGTTTGAAAAACCATTTAATTAAGGTTATCTTAAATAACCTAAATTCAAAAAAGGAGTAGTAGATATCTACTGGGGAAATGTTTAAGTTTGTTAAGGAGGAGGCATTTATTCATCATGTTATTAGACATATTATTATTCGTTATTCCAAAAAGGTGATTACAATATCGAGGGTAATAAAAAAGGAGATGTAGAACTCACTTTATACATATTATTTAATTTAGGTAATTGTAAAGATGAATTTTGATGACATTCTGCTTCTTCAATCATACCAGGAGATAATTGTTTGAAGAATTGGTTTTCCAAAAACTGATATCCTGGTGATGTTAAACATTATAACATCATTAAAGGTGTTGCATTTTTTATGTCCTCTTAAAGAAAATTTGATTATAAATTCAGAGCTATTTTCATTTCTTCATTATTAAAATTCATTTATTATTGTAATTATTACAATTATATTTATTAATTTTACTATTATTAAAATTGTTATAATTATTATTATATTAATAATTATTATTATTATTATTATTATTATTATTATTATGTTTATTATTATTATTATGTTTATGTTTATTAAATTATCGGTTGAACTGGTTAAATAAATGATTGCTGTGATATTTATTCTTCTTGTTTTATTATCTTAGGAAGATTTCTTAATTTTCTTTATTCAACACTTTAATCTTTATTTCTTATGCCTTTTTTATGTCTACCTCTTTTTCCAACGATTCCTTATTTATTAGAATCTACATGAACCTAACTAGAATAAATTCAATATAAAATTACTTTTTTCTTATGTATTGTTTAACCATATCAATTTCATCACATTCATCATCTTTACAGATTTTATGAATTAATGATTTATAACTTGGTATAGTAAAAATAAATACCGATTTTTTACTTAATTTTCTGTTCTTCCATTTAGTTATTATGAAATTTAAGACCATTTCTTCCCATTTTTAACAACATTATTAAGAATTATCAAATCTTCTTTAATCATCCATTAATCTCTAGGAATATTATAAAAATAAATCTACTTATTTAATTCTGGATTAAGATAATTCATCCATCTTTCTCTTATTTATTTAGGAGTTCGAATATTGCCTTAAAGATTTCTTTCATATAATGAAACTGCTATTTAAGTCCATATATGTTTATGCTTTTAACTAAATTTAAATGTATTTAACTACTTCATTTGAGTTTTAATGAATTCATCTTCTTCTTAAAGCCAATTGATTGATTTCATCTATGGATTTATTAATGTTATCCATCGTTACTTTAATGAATGTCTGTCAATTTTAAGAATGTTTTCAAAATTTACCCAGTCATTCTCATCCTATGATGAATTTCTCAAGATACCGGATGAATAATAAGATGGCTTTATTTCTCAAAATATTTAACTAGAAACCATATCAAAAACAATTTAAAAGAGTTATCCCATTTTCTTTTACATCTTAATTTTTCATCTTCTAAAAAACTATAAATAAGTTTAATGTTAAACCTTTTACAAATTTGTTCAAACTTTTTATTTGATGGATAAATAAATTCTCCTCTTATTTTAAATTATTTCCTATACTCATCTTGAATAGGAGTATTTTATTTATCTTCCAAACTAATAAAAAATTTTTAGAATTCGTTCATTCAATTATTTTAATATATAAATATAATTAAGACTTGATTAATATTATAATGTACGAATTACCTAATGAAGATCCAGATGATTATACTAATCTTATAGGAAATCCATATGAAGTAAATTTAATAGAAGATGATTTTGAAGATGAATGCAAAACTTCATAATTTTTGTAGAATGTTATTAAATAGCCATAACAAAATTTGTTTGAATTAGATATCTCTTGTTAGGAAAAAGATTAATAAGATGATCCAAATTCTTCACTCTCATTATTAGTAGATCAGATGTTATTTTCAATTTCTAGCAATTAAGAAATTCTTAATAATACAGTTCGTTTAGCAGAGGATGATGATACAATTGCAGATACTATTGAAGAATTTGAATTCCGAGATTATTAGATAGAATTATATGAAAAAGGAATTGGTAAAAATTCAATTATTTATTTGGAAACTGGATTAGGTAAAACATTAGTTATCATAATGCTTATGTGGGATAGATTATTAAAATATCCTAAAAAGAAGGTTCTATTTTTAGCAAATACTATTTAATTAGTTGAATAATAAGCATAACAAATTAAATAAAAACTACCTAGAGTTGCTGAATTATTAAGTGATGATGAAATAATGGTAGAAAAGGCTAAAGAATTTGGATCTAAATTGAATGTGATGCATGGAAGTAAATGTACAGATATATGGAATTAACTAATGTGGTAAATAATGTTAGAAGAGAGTAATATTCTTGTTATGACAACATAGATTTTCTTAAATATTTTAAGAAAAGGATATACAAAAATCTCTAACTTCAGTTTTATTGCTATGGATGAATGTCATAATGCTGTCTAAGATCATCCTTACAATTATATTCTTAAAGAGTTTTATCTTAAAGCTAAATATTCTACTGAAAATTAATTTCTACCTTAAATTGTTGGAACAACTGCTTCTCCTGTTATGAATAATAAATCAATAGCAAATAACTAACTTTTATAATAATTATTATAACTTGCAGCAAATATGGATGCTTAATATTTACATGTTGATAATTTAGGAGTAAAAAAACATATTAAAGAAGCTAAAATTATGCCAGTTTTTTATAAAATGCTTTTTAATGATACTGATATCCAAAAAGTTATTGACTTAAGAGCAACTCTCACACATTGTGAAAAAAATGAAAATAAAGCTCTTGATACTATGAGAAGAAATTCTTATTTATCGGAATTTTTTTAATTAAGGCAATTATTAGAAAATTTTAAGAAAAAGTACTCTAATGATTTACAAACTAAAATCTTAATAGGACAAATTGAAAAACAACTTCTTATCAATGGATTCTAAATGTACCTAGAATTAGGATAGTATTTGTTTAGTAATTAATTTTAATATTTCTATAGTTTTACTATTAGATTATGTTATTGTTAAACTTAATGATTTTTTAACAATCAAAAGGCCTCCTAATTAAAATGCTTGCATTGAAATCTTAAGAATGTTGTAAAAACTATTTAAAGATGTTTAAATTAAATATTATGACCTTTTCTAATCTTCAACATCAAAAGTCTAAGTTTTGTTTGGGATTATCAGAAAAGCATATTAAAATGGTAATGAAAATAATATGATTTTGATTTTTGTTAAATAAAGATTGACAGCCTTTTTTTTAAATAAATTATTAGAAGAATATTTGGCTAGAGAAAAGATAGGTATTAATAATTTTTATGATTTCATAGACATTAAATCAAATTTCATTATAGGACATTGTTCTTCTATTGTAAGAAAACAAACTAATTCTTTATTAATTAATGTTATTGAATCTAACAGAGAAGATTAAGATTTATTAATTAAAAAGTTATATGCAGAATTATAACAGGATTAAAGCAAATTTTCAATAGAATAACTCAAAGATCAAGTAAACAGATTAAATATATTTGCTTATAATATTAGTCCTTCAACCTAAATTGAGATTTTAAATTAATTTAGATAAGGGAAAATAAAAATTTTAATTTCCACAGCTGTTGCAGAGGAAGGTATTGATATACCTATGTGCAATTATGTGATTGGATTCAATCCTATAGCAAGTTCAAAGGCATATGTTTAAATGAAAGGTAGAGCAAGAAAAGAAAATTCATAGTTTATGATCTTTATGGTTGATAAAGATTAATAAGCAAGAGTGTAAAGTCATCAATAAGTTTAAAACAACATAAAATAAATTATTGAAGAATTGACAGCTCCTTAAAGACAATAAATGTTGACAAAAGCTATGCAAACTTTATGTATTTGTTTAATTTTATAATTGAGAGAGTAGAGTTCTAGAAAATACATATTATGATTCATTTTAAATTGAAAGCACTGGAGCCTAAATTAATACTAATTGGTCATGTTAATTAATTCAATAATTATGCTAAAAGTTTAATTCCAAAGAAGTGGAGAGAGTTGTTCCTAAATATGCAATTTATTAATTGTAAGGCAATTCTTAATAAAACGAATAATTTATATCATTTTTACTCTTACCTATTTCTTTAAAGAGTTTTATTTTTTATGGAAAACTTGCCCCAACATCAAAAGATTCAAAAGCATCAGTCGCATTTGAAGCATCTATGTAATTATATTAAAAAGGATATCTTGATGACAATTTATAAATAAGTTTTGATTCTGATTTGGGTTAACATATTGGAGCAGATTAAGATGACTCTCAAATTATAATGGTAACTATTTTAAAAATATTTATAGACTAGGGAATAATGGCAAATAGCTTGTAAATATTCATAAAGGCTTTTTCATAGTTAATCTACAATGGGTGGTAAGATAAATTCTTAAAAAAGATATTACAATATTCTATTTAAAACAATCTTTCAATCAAAAGATTAAGAATTTGATGATTTTTTATAATATGAAATTCTATTTGATAATGAGAATATTTTCTTGATTTTTCCAAAATAAATGCTTGAACAAATCAATAAAAGCTAAAACACTTTAACTGCTCTTGGCATTTAATTTTTATCAATAAAACAGATTTCTAAAAATCAATATATTGATTATTATAAATAATATATACAATTGATAATAAAAGAAGAAAATTTGAAGTTAATAAGAGATGACATATATGCTGTTATTAATAATTGTAAAACTCTCTATATTATATTTTAGAATATCAAATAAAGATAAAAAATGAATCTGAATAGAATTTGAATAAGCTAATAATATTAAAGGGTTAAGCCAATAGTAATTTATCTTTAAATTATATTATGAATTAATTTGCTTTGAGATTCAAAGTTGATTTTTTAAAAGATAATATAATAGATTAAATAGATAAGAAAATTCCTGAAGGACCTTTGAAAATAAATCTATAAATAAACGAAGTTTTGAATTAAATCAGTAAGTATATAAAAAGTCTCACATCTCTTAAGTTTAATTTTCAAAATAACTAAGTAGGATCAAAAATGAATTTCATAAAACATAACGTAGTTGATAATATCTAGAATGTAAATATAAAAGAGAGACTTGATGATATTTTATTTCAATCCTTAGATTTACAATCTCATAATCATAATAACTTATTGTTAGGACTGCAATATTACAAATTTTTAATGGCAGTTTTATTATATGCAAATTATTTTCATAATGATATAAATATTACACAAGCTAAAAAGAAGACATATACAAGAAGTACATATGTTAGAAATTGTTTACTTGAATCTCATCTCTTTTTCTATTTACATAAAAAGGATTAAGATGATATTACAAAAACTTTTATAGGACTTGAGAGGTATTAAGATAACTTTGATTTGATGATGGAATAAGTAATTTTGGATGATATTTCAGTTACTAAAAGAAGATCATTTAAAAGTACAATTTAAAATAAGATTCATTTTTCAAATTAAGAATTTTTTTAATTTATACAATAATCACTATTTATGCTTTAAGATGAAGATGATTATCTTGAAAATGGATTTACTTGGCTTAGAATATTTAAAATCACAATTCCAATGAAGATACATTTGAGTTCATCAAAAAGCTTATAAGAATATTTACCTGAAGTTGTACCTTTAAATGATCTAACTTAATAGGTTAAAATAGCATTCTCTTCACTTGAATAACGAATTAAATATTAATTTAAACATTTTGAACTTTTATTTTAAGCTATGACTGATATTTCATTTAAATTTGTTATTAATAACAAAGTAAGGTATAAGTATTATGAATAATTCTCATAAAAATAAGAATTTTAGGGATTTATAACAGAATAATAATGGAATGAATATAAAATGTAATTTGAAAATATGAATGAAACAGACTAAAATAATTTCGAAAATTCTTTATTAGGAATGTTAGGTGAGACTTTATGGAATTATAAATTAATAAAATTCTTAAATGAAAAAAATTAAGGTAAAAACTAAAAAAATATTATAGATTGTTTTGTAATAAGAATTTTAGGTAAAATTTTATAGAAAACTTCTTTTATTGGATATCTAGCAATTTATCTTCAATTGCACAATTACCTTAATAGCAGTTACTAATCTGCCCTTTTTGATTTAGCTAATGAAATTGAAAAATGTAAAGATGAACCATTAGCATTTAAAATTGATAAAATTAAAAAATCTCCAGTCACTTAATCTTTATAAAATGCTTTTTATGCTCTTGTTGGTGCTATTTATCTTGATTCTAATTGTAATTTAAATATTGTTACTTAATGGATGAAAATTATACTAGAGGAAGTAAAAGTTGAATAATTATATTCGCAAGATTATATTAAAAGATAACCTAAATATTAATTTTATTAATGGTATATATATCAATTTAAATTAAAGGTATTTAGATAAGATAGGTAATCCATTTAATTTTAATCTAATTAAAATTCCACATTAAGATTATAAAAAAGTAACACAAGGATAAAACTTGTTTATTCCTTATGATATGCTAGAAGCATAAATAGTAAATGTAAAGAGAGATAAATATTATGAAATATCTTAATTGCACATTTATGCTAAGAATAAAGGGTAAGCATGGGAAAAATTATATGAAATAATTGATTATTGAAATATAAATTAATTGATAATGTATTAATGCTAACTAAAATAGTTAACTTTCTCATAGATCTTTAATGCCATTTTAATTTTATCATTTATATATTATCAGAAGATCTAGCATCTAATTGGATTACTAAACATATTTAATAATAATTATATATATAAAAAATAAATATTACATTAAAAAAGAAATTAAATATCATAAAATATTAAATAATGCTCAGTCCACACATATATTTAGAGAAAAAAGAATCAAAGAAATATTATATAAGCTTTTATATGTTGATATACCTAATATTGAAATGTAATACTTTTATTCTTATTTTATTGGAATAAAAGCGATTTAGATTAAAAGATAATTATAAGTAAATAAACATTACTAAAATATCATATGCTTCTATCTTAATTGATATACATCAAACTCTTTAGAGAATATTAATTAATAAAAAATCAAAGTAATCAAGTGTATTATTTTTTAGAATCAGACTACATATAAGTATTTAAATATATGTATTGAATTGATGACTCATTGTCAAATCTGTTAAAGATATATAAGTATTTTCATTCCATATTATTAGAAATAGTTTCAAAGCTGGTTTTCTATTAAAATACTTTAAATTAATATTATAAAATTAAACATAATGAGTTTTTTCAAGAACATTCATATTAAACTGATTTTCAAAGTTGTGATTTATATCAATAAATAAAATAATAATGATCAATAGACCTCCAGTACCAAAATTTAGTGACGAATGCTCTACTCCAAAAAGATCTTCTGACTTAATAGAGGAAGTCTAGCATTTAGTATACAAAATGAATTTAGATGATGCAGTAGAAAAAAAAGCAATCTAAATACTAAATTGTCTTACTCTACCAAATACTTCATTATATGCTTAGGCATTAGTTCATTGTGCCATAAAAGAACTAAATTAACCATTACCTAAAGCAGATGCAAAAGTAGAATACCTTTCAAAATGTATTCAAAATTAATATTCCTCCTTGATTTCTACTTTATGCAAAAAACTCAAATTAAATTCAAAATCTACTTAAGTTTGCTACATTCTCTTTTAATAGATGTAGCCTCTCATAAATAAGTTACCAAAACAACTTCAAAATGCAATTTCAGTAAAAATTGCCACTGATATCATTTATTTGAAGTAAGGAGGCATAAATGTTAAAGTTATTGCTTAAATGGCTAATATTAAGGTGGAACAATTATAAATCAATTTAAACAGAATCAAACCATTTGCTTTCAAAATTATTTAAGACCTATTCAACCACTTTCATAACAATTTTTAATGACTTTTATATTAATATGTTTATATATATTACTCTATTTATTAAAAATTAAATAATATTTTACTAAACTTCTTTTGAGACATTAAATTTATTCATTAACAACAGGTAGTGCTTCATGAATTATGTTTAAAAATCAATCGTTTATATAATTTAATTAAATTAAAATTTTTAATTATTTATAATTTTTTACAAATTAATAAAATTAATTGATATTAAATGAAAATAATGCTAATTCAATAATAAAGTTAGAAATGATGAATCCTTACATTTTAGAGAGTTCTATTTATAATTAAAAACTATAAACATTGTTTAGCCTTTTCTCTTTGATAGCAAGTTGTAAATTAATTATAAAAAAATACAATTAAAATAATTAAAGATATAAATAAATATTCATCAATATTATTTTCAAATAAAGTATCATCAATAATATCTAAATTAATACGATGAATAAGGCAATTATGATTAAATTTAATTATAATGAATGTAATTATAATATTGTTAGTTTTATTAATGAAAATTGGTGTAATAATTTGAATAATTATTATTTTAAAAACATTGATTGAATGCTATTGGATTAGTTTAATATTGTTATTGTTGAGGAATGGAAAAATAAGAATTTTATTAAATGGATGTCTCCAACATTTATTGGTGTGTCTCTTTACACTAATTAACTTTTTCTTATAATTAAATATCTTTTTATAACAAAAAATAATACTATTTTGTTAAGGAAGAGGATCAATGCAAGTTTTCTTTTGAATTAATGATTCAGTCTATTAATTGTATTTTAAAGATTATGCATTTTTTGATGCTTCTTTTCTAGCTAAGTAGTCTGACATAAATTAAGTAACTGTCAAACTTAGTTTCTGATCGGGATTTTAAATTATTGCTTAGATTAACAATTTTTCTTCAATTTCTTAAACCTATAGATTAGATACAATGATTACATTAAATCTTTTTAAATTTCTAATTATTCCGTTATATTAATTTTTAATTTAATTTTCACTTCTTCCATTTAATTCATTTTAGATTTTAGACCATTTTTTGCCATAATTCAATATTAATTAAAGCAACTGAATTTTTTCTTCTTTTTTCCAATATGATCTAGAGATGTTGGGATTTAATACATTGTTCCATCGTTCTCTTATTTATTTTGGATATCTCTATGTTTAAGATATAGAATTAAATTTAATCGTTAATTCAGTCCAATTGTTTTTATAATAATGATCACTTAATTAATTATTAAACAAAGATACTTTGCAATACTAATTAGAATTTAATCTTCTTCCTTTGACCAATTAGAGATTTTTAAATTAGAATGAAGATGAGAAATCCATTTTAATTCCACCAAATTCTTGTCTACACATAGAACTTTTGATACATAATCCCAATCATTATTATTCTTAATTAATATTTATAACTATTACAGGAATGAGCTCAAATCGATTTTATGACATTAAATGCTTAGTCATACACCATATGAGTAAATTTTTATCTTGTTAATGCCACTTTTTTCTATTTACATCATTTGTAGATCTAAATATAGTTTAAAATAATCTCTAACTTAGAAAATACATCTTCATAGTAATCTTTCATCTATTAATCTGTTGGGAATTGATTGTAACGAACTTTTACAAATTTTTTTACTGTTTCTACATCAATTGGGTTTGAATTTGTTATTATTTATAAGAAATCAATCCACTCTTATGAAAGATGGGTTTGTGTTTAAATCATAAATTAAATATAATCAAGATTTGTTTATATTAATGATTTATAAAATATTGGTCAAAGTTCAATAAGATAATTGAAATCATATTAATTGTTTATATATATGTAATAACAATGATCTATTTATATTTTAATTATACTCTTGGTATTTTTTTTTTAGGTTAAGATTTTTTCTTATTTTGTTAAAAATCCTACTTATATTAAATGTTTATACGCCTTTAATACTTTGTAAATATAAAAGCAGTATTAATTATTTTTTAGTTAGTATTACAAATTTAAAAGATGTAATTGATTAAAATAAGAATTTTAATAGTGAGTGTGCACAATATCCTCCTTAGATGACATTCTACCAACCTTTTAACAAAAAAAATATTGTAGCAGTATCTAAACACTTATTTCTATTTTCATGATTTCTAACTAATCATTATATGCATTACTTGTCTAATAACATATTTATTACTATCTTTGTTAGCCAGAAACCATATCAGTCCCCCTTAAAGGCTTGGAATTAAACTTTTAAAATTTGTAGAAAGTTTATTAATTTTAAGACTTTTTTCTTGATTAGTCAAGGACTTATACTAAGGTTACAGAATTTGTTAATGTTTTACAACTATTAACTAACTTTTTTGTAACTTTAGAGGATTTTCGAAAGTCTCAAAGATGAAATATATTTTTATAAAACAGGAAATTTTGGAATAATAAAATGATTCAAAAGAAGTTCTCTCCATTTAATTTGATGAAACTGTTTTAATGGATGAATATTAAATTGAAATAAGAAGGTTTTAAAGTGTTTGATGCAAAATAAAAATAAAAGATATAGTATATGTAATAAGAGTAATAAATGATTTAATTGATGTGACTTGTACATTTGTAAGATCGCTATTTATTTCGAATTTAAAATATATTAGAAAATAATACATCGGGATATCATTTTCAGAATCAAATTTATTATATTTAAGTTATTTTATAATAATAATGATAAATATTAAAACAATAAAATCATAGTTGGTATTTATATTTTGAATTTCTTTGTTGATCATTACCAGAAGGACGTTATTTAGAGAAGAATAATTGTTTTTCTGCTTTTTACTATTATTAATTTAAAACTTAAGAAGAAGTTTGTGGTTAATTTTGCTTGACCTTTTTTGGAAGAGTGTTTATGTTTTTTTCAGGACTTTATGCAATTTATTCTAAGGATTACTCATTAAAACAAATTTCAATTTCACTATTTTTCAAAGTTTATTATGGTTGATTACTTTAGTCTTGAGAAAATAATTTGTTTTTAATTTCATCATTATATGCTTGTAGATCTTGTCCTAAAGCCTCTTAAATACTAACTTTAATTTTGAGTAAATCTTATTAATTTGTTTAGAGCTTAGATTAATTATCAATATTATTTTGGTCATTTAATTGATCATTTTAAATAATAATTTTTTAGCTTTAAAATTAGAGTTATTATTCTAAATGATTGACTTCTTCTTTATTTTCTACATTAGCAATTTGTTTTTTAATATTTTATTAGGAATCTAACATTAAAACATCACCTATTTAATTTTATAATTTTACTTTAAGAGCTATTATTAATATGCTTCTTTCCAATATTATCTGATTAAATTTCAAGTTAAGCATCATCAAAAGGTTTAATAGTGACATCATTATCATTCATCATATTCTATTTTAATATAATTTAATTAACTTTCTTCCATTCTTCTTCATCTGCAATATCATCAATATCAATAGGTTTAGTAGTTTTTCTTTTTTTCTTTGGTTCCACTTTTGATTAAATTTGAAATTGTTTATTAAGTCTAGTAATTTCTTTTTCAATCAACAAAAACTTCCTCTCAAGTTCTTCCTTATAAGATGTCAATTCTTCCACCTCTCAAAAACATTAATATTTCTAATACCTCTTGATCTTTGATAATATAAATAGGTTTTCTTTTATTTTTAACATCTCTTAAATCTGCTATCTATTTAGCTAATTAATCATTTATTTATCCTAACTCTTCCAATTTTAATTTCTAAGCTCACTAATACAATTTACATAACTCTTCAGTTTTTCATGTTATTATTTTGATGCTCCACATCCCATTTCTTAAAAATAAATTAATATCATATTAAATGAGAAATTATAAATATAATTATTGATCACCCTTAAATCTCTTCTCCATTATTATATTTTTTATGTATACTATTCACAGCTGTAGACATTCTTCGAATAATCCTCTCATTTCTTTTATTAATCTTAATAAATGTTTCTTAAGTTCTATTAACAGTTTAAGTAAATGACTCAAATTAAGTTTGTAATCTATTTTTAATTGGACTTTTTTATTCAGTATCTAATAGACATTTAGTTTTTATTAAAACTCTCTAAGTCTAGGATCCTCTATTTGCCTTTTGATTCAAATTATTCACCTTCAATCTTGGAGATGTTGAAGAATTAGTTTACGAATGATTTAACTTTCCAGATAATTTACAATTATGACCTTTATTAATAATAGTATCTTTTAATATCTCTTTCTTAGAAGTACATACTTCGTTTTCCTTTATCATACTTCTTCTTCTAGACTCTAATGCCACATCTTTTACTAATGACTGACATTTCTTCTAAAAGTTTTCATAATATTCTTAAATCGGAATTTTTCTTAATGGTGTTCTCTTTTGATTCTTTTTCTCTGACTTCTAAATCAGTCCTTGAGATTGAAGAAATTATCTAAATTTTTATGTATCCTCTTCAAACTATTATGTTTATTATTTTCTTTAAGGAGATGGACTTGTTTTAAATATCGAACGATAAAATAAATTTGTATCATTTTTTGGAGATTCATCAAAGTTTAACAAATCTTCAACCTATATTATAGGAGCAACCTCTTTAGGGGATTCTGGTTATGATCTTCTAGGCATTTTTAATTACTTTCTTTAAATTGGCTCATAATTTTAAGAAGATAAAAATTATAATTTGAATTCATCATCCAAAATTAATGGCTATGTATTTTTAGAAATTAATTCCTATTTTGCTATTTAAGTTTTATTTGTGTTATTTTTATTGCTTTCTTAATATTATTAAGTCTTCTATATTACTTAAAGTTTTAATAATAGATTTCTATTGTTTAATAAATTTAATTTATTTATTGATGGTCTTGCATCTACAAAAGTACTAAGTTATTTAAATTCTTCTAATTTTTTATTGAATTAATCTTCTCTTCTAAAATCTTTATTTGTTAACCTTATTTAACGAATATTAAATACTTCAATTTTAATTTAGCCTTATTCATTAATGATTCTGATAATTTTTAGATTCTTTCCTTCTTTTCTTACTCTTATTCAATTTACTAAAGGTAGGATTTTATTTTATCTTCTTAAATTGAATCTGCATAAAACATTTATTTTTTAATAATTCATTTATTTTATAATTCAAATTCATCAATATATTTATAAATAATATATAATTCACATAGTAATTATATTTATTTAATTTATTTAAAATGTTGCTAACAATTTACAGAAACCATCCAAAAAAGACTTTATTATTCTTAATTCTTCTATTTGGTGGAATTACCTACAAATTTAGATCACATTTATTTAATGCTTTCTTATAAAAAATGCAGAGTAAATTAACTAAAGAAATGTAATTATAAATGGAAAAAGGCCAGAGAATCAATACAAAACTTGATTAAATATAATAGATTGTTGATGAATTCTATGATAATAAGGGATTCTTGAATACTATTTCTACAATCTTAAATTTAGAGGAAATCACTACAATTGGAAATAAATTGAAATAAAATAAAGAATCAACTTAAGAATAAAAGTCTCTCATGTATTAAACAATGAATCAATAATTTTTAATCTTTGAAGTGTCAACCATTATTCTTTTGAAAAAATCAGAATGTTTACTTTTATTATCTAAAATTCTGATACTCACAATCACAGTTGAAGAGGAATAAATTTTTATTCAAAATTTACTTGAATAAATTTAATAGACAATATTAAATCAATAATATCTTTAAATTGTTGCTATTATTTAAGAAGAATTTACAAGAGATCCTCTAAAATATAATTATGATAAACAAGCTAACTTAAAAGAAATAATTAAAAATTTAGTTTAACTTTGTCAAAAAGAATTTATGGAAAATAAATTTCATTAACTAATTTAAAATAAATGTAGGGAAGAATTTAAACAAAAAATTATTTAATTTTAATAATACTATTAAGGATAAAATTTAAAAACTATTCAAGAATAGTCAAAGTAATTAGTTGAACATCTGATTAAAGTTAATAATTCTTTGGCAGTGTAAACTTTTTCTAATTATTCAATATCTTATAATTATTAGAAGCTTGATAACAGAATTTAACTAATCCCTCAAATTAATGAGATAAACAATCAAATTCTTATAAAATAATTGATAAAACATCATTAAGTTATAAAAGAAGAATTTTATGCTAAAGAGAGTATATAAAACAATAGTAACTATTATTAAAAAATATTAAAATAAAGTCTCAAAATTAAAGAGGAATAATCAGCTTAAAATAATCTATAATCAGATAATAATTTAATATAAATTTAAAAAGTATTACATGAATTTAAGATTTCTGAGATTTTGAAATAATCTTAAAATTAAATTATTAGGAAGCTAATATTTGGAATGGAACTTGATGAAACTCCAAGTTCCTAGAAATAATCTTTGGGATAATTAGCATAAGGAATTTGATAATAATATAAATAAATAGTGTATATTTTTAATGTTGTCGAGTTAAAGATTATAGTTTATAATATCAATATTTATACAATCTATAAATAACTAATATATTTTGGCTTAATCAGTCAATAAATTGATTATTTTATTCTCCAAAACGATTTGATAAAGTAATTATAACTTAATATTATGCATTTTTGTATGAAACTTTGTAAGAAATATAATTATAATTTAGATTTAATGATCTTTTAATAAATGAAACCATTGTTATATATTTTTGGCTAGAATATTGTAGATTGAATGATTAAAAGAAGGTAAAGTAAATGTAGTTTCAAAATACCTCATTGATTTTTATTTAATATATGTGATTTCATTATTCTTAATTAAATATATTTGTTTATTTTTATAATTTTAAATTCAAAAAAGAGAAGCTATGAGTTTCCATTAGGTCAATAAAATTATAGAGAAATTATAGAGCTGTAGTTTGGATGTTTAATAGAGTGCGATTCGTAATTTGATATCAAAAATCTAATGTGGTTTAGTTGGAATGAACGAACTATGTGATAAAAATCCAACAATTGGTTGTATTCTTTTTAAATGGATTGTTAATCAATGTATTAACACTTAATTATAATTAATTAATCAAGTGATTGATTTGATTAAAGATTTTTCAAAGGTAAATAAAAATAAAATAACAATAGCATCATTTAGTTAAACAAAATTTGAAATCTGATATACAATCAATTTGTGAATTTAGAAATAAATTGTTACAATACAATTTGCATAACAATAGTTTAGATTAATTAATTCAAAATATAATGGAAGGGGAATCAATATAACCTATTTAAAATCCAGATAAAATGAATTAAAAAATTTGGAATAGTATGGATGAGTAAATTAAAATTCTTGTTAAGCCAGATCATAAGACAGTTGAATATGAATATTTTTCATTTGTGAAATTGACTGAGTAAGATGAAAAGTTCCTTTTTGATATAAGTGTTTAATTAAAATTTGGAAATAACTAAACAATATTATTTACAATAAAAGAATAATTATGGAGAGCATTAAAAGACTTTCCAATTGAAGTATTTCGATCTAGATAAGAAATTATTGAAGAAGTCTTACTTTTAAGTAATTCACAAAAAGAAGACAATATAATATATTATTCTTTGATTGCACTTTAAAAATTCATAAGAAATTTAACTATAAGATTTAATAAAAACTAATCAGAATAGAATTATAATAGGAATCATGAAGTTTATATAAAAGATAATAGAGATCATATAGTTTATTCATATCCCACTTTAGATCCATCTGTAGGGTAATAGAAGATGGAAATAAACTAAAAAACTTTGAAAGGTTAAATAGATTTAATTAGTAAGTAAATATTGCACAATTTAACAAAGTTTATGGGTAGAAGAATAAACATACTTTATTTGATAGTAAAATTATTAAAGAAAGTAATGTCTATAAATTAGGATGCAGCATAAGATTCAATTTTAATTTTGATAAATGAATTAACATAGATATTTGATACAAATGATGAATCATTACATTAATAATAATTGATTCCTTTATATTATGTTTCATATGAACTATTAACCTTATTGCCTGAAGATTTTAAGATGTAAAATATCCCAAGATTTTGTTCATATTTATTGGAAGCATAATATGCTAATTTATTTAATATATAACAGATGGAATATTTATTTGCAAAAACTAATACTCTTTGTCCTAATTTGATATAGGGAAAACAGCATTAAGAAATAGCATTATAGACTTTAGAATTGCTTTTTTCTTCTCATTTTACCACATAACATTTAAACAAAATTGCATGTGAAGGATATATAAAGTAGCTTTAAGATTCTCATTATATTCTGAGTCTCTAATTTACAACTAATTAAAGTAAAACAAAATTATATTAATATTAGAAACATTTAGAGTACCTAAGTAATAGGTTTCAATTGAAGAATTGTCTAATTTAGAGACTAATATTATTTCAGTTAATTAAGATATCTAAAAGAAATTGATTTTCGTAGACCAATTAATTGGAATTCTTATCTATTACTCTAAAAATTAGAAAGAATTTTTAAGTCAAGTTTAAGTAAAGGAGAGTCTATTTAAATCATATATTACTGATTTATTAACAAATGTATAGAAATATTCAAAGGAAAGATTCGAAAACTTTAAGAATGAAAACAATTATAAGATTAAGGGAGAATTAGAATAACTGTTGTAAAAAGTATGATTTAAGATCATAAACTAGTTTCTTGATTTGGCTGTTGTTAGTCTATAAGTCTTGATGTAGAATTAATATGATATTGCTCTATATTTACTTTAGCATTCAAAAGAGAAACAGTCCTAATTGTCAGCCTTTAGATATCTTATTGCATCTGCTTTACAAGAAGAATTAACTAGCAAGGATCACTTTTATTCATTATCTAAATTAGTTTTTGATTATAAAGGAAAATCAGATCAATTTTGGGATAATAATGTTCCTTTATAAAATAGAGTTATTCATTTTTTATAATGTTTTTAACAATTAATTCTTGAAGGTTTGAATTATCAAAATTACAAATAGCAATAACTTTATGTCAAAAAAACAGAAGATTTTATATAAAATCTTGATTTATTATTGGCATTAAAAACAAATGAAATAAATATATCTTATGATAATTCTATTTTAGATGAATTGAAGTAATTAATGTCAAGTACTTTGTTTCTTTCATCAGGTAAAACATATATACTTAATTTAATATCAACATTCAATGAAACTAAATAATTTTGGCTTCCTTTGTTAAGTTATGTTCATCAGTGTTTTTTAGAAAATGTTGGAGAAGAGTAAGTTGAATATTTAAATCTCTATATATAATTATTGAGTGTAATTAAATAACATTCTGAAGTGGGAAAATATATTGTTAAATATCAAAGCAAATATCCATTTAATATTAAAGTTTCTTATTATATTTTGAAATTGTTGAAGAATAATTTATTAGATCTTTAACCTGATTTACTCAAATATTTGCAATAAAATATTTTTCAATATTACAATCATTTAAATTTTGAAAATTCAAATTGTTTGATCAAATTATTAAAACTATCCAAATAATTCAATTTATTTTAATCATTAGAACCTCTTGATTAATAAATCTTATTTTCAAGATTGATTTAATTGACAAAATCACATTTGTAAATTATTCGCTTTTTATCACTTAATATTTTGTCATTAAATTTAAAATAACTTAATGTAGATTAAATAAATAGAATAGAAGATTAAATGGTTGATGATTTATATTAAAGCAACGAATCTTAATATATCTATTCTTAATCAATTACAATCATTTTAAAACTCAAACCATTAAAGAAACTTACTAGAGTGATTTCATATACAGACAATAGATTAAAATCAGATATGGCATCTATATGTAAAGCTGGACTATTAAGACTTGTTTATTTATGTTTATAAAATCATAAAGACGAAGCTATATAATAAATTTACAACTTATAAATAGATAATCAATGTGTTTAATTCTTGGTTAAATTTAAAAATATTGATTAATTATTTTTAACTCTTCATGCTGCTGAAATTTTGAATGTCTTAATGAGATAATCTGTATCAAAAGCACTGGCTATTTTATAATCTTATAGTTTAGTTGAAACTACTATACATTCAATTCATAAATTAAGAAAATTCTTAAATTGCAATTAGCCAAGCTTAATTGCAGGAATATTACTTTAATTAAGTTTACTATTACAATTTGCTACACATTATCATTAAGATTATGTTGAATTTGAATATAACAAAACTAAATCAACTAAACCAAAATGGAATGTTGTTTAAGTTATAACCTAAGCATTACAAAATGATTATTTTAGTATAGATAATAAGATTGGTATTGCCAAAATACTTTAATGTATTTATTAAATAGAATTTACAAAAAGTATTAATGATGATTTAATCTATTCTTTAACATCTATTTTTAGACCCCTTTCTTAAAATGATTCAATCAATGAAGAAGGATCGTCTGAAATATAATATTAGACAATAATCTAAATATTAAGTGCAGTTGTTTCTGTGAGTAATAAAGCTAAATTTATATTATGCAAAACTGGCGTTGCTAAATAAATAGCACTTTATGTTGTCAAAGAATTGGAAAAAGTCATTAACAAAACTTAATAAAAACCTTAAAAAATGTAATAATCTTAAATCAAAAATTTAAATACATCTAATGTTTCATTTGCTTAACAAAATAATCTCTAACAATCTCCTATTTTTAAGGTTCATATTGTGTTTTTGAAATTATTGTTAAAATTTACTGAAGAACAAGATAATTATTCATTAAACTCAAATCCTTAGTTGATTGAAGTTATAGGATTATGCATTGATGCTATTCTGAAATTATTATTTTTAGGTTTTACTACTAATACCTAAATCTACTTTGAATTAATGAATGATATTCTCATTAATTTAGGTACGAATTAATTATTTCAGTCACATTTAAGTTAATAATTGAGTGAATAAAAATGGTTATTATTAGTAGAACTCAAAAAATATGTAACCAAAGATCAATTATCTTTATTTTAAAATGAAGTGTTATTAAAAGCATTAGGCATTTTAGGTTAAAATTCAGATGTTAGGCAGGTGTATATTAGAATGAAGATTATAGAAGAAATTTAAGAGAAATTAAATAAAGGTAAATTATTATATTTAATTAGTTTGGAGCGATAAGAGAAAATGGTAAACTAATACATAATTTAATGCTTTGATTGTCTAATTTATGTTAAGTCTATCATTCTACAAAGAAACTTAATTAAGAATATTAGCAAATAATTAATTTGTTAATATATTATAAGAAATATTGATTGAAAATGACATTCAATAACCTATATGTCAAGACATTTTTTTGATTTATAGTAATTGCTCATTAAATGGTAAACTGAAAAAAATGATCATGAATAATCAATAACTTTCTTGTTTAGTAATGAACACTGTGTCTGAGACTACTTTAGGAGCAGAAATTAGATACAAAGCTTCTTAATTTTTACTAAATCTGATGTATAAGTGTACCCAAGCTGTTTGTATCTTTAATAAGTTAATTTAATTTGTTTATTCTAGGTCTTAAGTATTTGACTGTTTTGAATTGTCCATGAAGGATAGTTAACGATAAATTGATAGAATATAATTAACTTAAAATGAAAATAACTAATTAATCAGCAAACAAGAAGAAAATAGTAATAAAATCAGACATTTATAGAAATTCTTAAATAATTTAAATTAATTACTTAAAATATTGAAAATAGAATGGTGATTTGTTTTAGTTAATTTATTATTTTAAAATAATTATTCAATAATTAATAAAATTTTCTTATAATTTTTTCAATTACTTTTATATCTAAAAAAAATGCTTTAATTTTTACTTATAAACTATTACCTATCATCCTTTTTAAAATGTATAACATGGTAAAGAATCTCAAAAACAAAAAGTAATAAATTAAATAGAATAGATTAAGTATTTTGTTAATGTATAAGATCTAATTTGTAGTTGAAATTTGGTTTTATTGAATTGAATTGAAGAATATATCTAAATTTAAATAAATTAAAGAATATAATTAATTTTTTTATTTTCTTTAGATGGATCAATTTATAGGATAACTGAGTGATAAATAAAGAGGAATAGATTTAGCAGAGGCTGTGTAAAATAAGTAAAATAGAAAATCTCTATAATAGCAAAGATATGACTTAATTTATTTAGGTAATGAAGAAAATAATGAGAGATAAACATCCTCCTAAAGAATGTTTATATGGTTTGAAAATAGTGAAGGATTGTGTAGAAAAGTTTAATAATGATTTTAAAATGAAAGTTAAAGTTGAATTGATAGAACTTATATATGAAGTAGCTGTATTTAGGATTAAGGATATAGATGATTGTAGAGGGATTACATATTTCAATAATCCAGAACATGAAAAAACAATTGAATAATATGGAGCTAGTTATATAAGGTTAGCTTTAGATTGTATAAGGGTGTGGGCACTTTGGTTTCCTGATTTCAAAGTTTATGGATAGAGGTTAGAAAAAGAATAAGGATATTTACCAAAAATAAATTATTTTAAATAAGAATTAATTGATAAACACATTCCTAAATAGATTTCTACACCTCATGAAGATTCTGGTCTTATTTAAAATAAAATCAGATAGTTGAATTAATAATTAATTAATTACTTGTAATCTCACACTGAAATAAATACATTCCTTTAAGATGAATTAGAAAAAATAAACATTTAGATCGAAGATTTAGTTCTTTAAGAAGTTTAAGATTAATTTATAGATGATTTTGTTTTAACATATCCTGAATTTTAAAATGGAAGAATATCTTATTAAGAATTTAGAATTTAATTTTTACCAAATTTATAAATAAAAAATAACCCAATAAATTGTTTAGAGGAATCAAATGTATCTTAAACAAATCATTAAACTTCTAAAATTATGAATCCTTAAATTTAATAAAATTAATAACTTTTACATGATTAGTAAATATTCAAAAATGAAGATTAAAAGGAATATCAAAATTTGATGCTTAAATTTGATAAATGTGTTTCAATTATTTAATAAAATGAAAAAACAATTCAATAATTATAAAATGAACTTTAGGAATAAAAAGTATAGACAGAAAATCTAAGAAATAAAAACTAAAACGACTGTTAAAATTATGAAATCTTATTAAAAGAACTTTAATTAAAAATTGATCAATATAAGAATCTTTAATAATAATAATACTAATAAAATTAATAAAATTAAACAATTTAAAATTTACAATAAGAGTTAGAGAATGTAAAAATAGAAAAAAACTTTCTAATAGAGTAACAAAAAATGTATTAATAAAAGGGTAATTCTACTTTCAGTGAAAATGAATATATGAATTTAAAGAAGAAATTTGATAATTTAGACAGCAAATATTTTCTATTAAAACAAGAGAATTATAAATTAAAGTAAGCATTATAAGAATTTGGAAATTAATCAGCAAATTAAAGTAGAATAAGTGAGAGTTTTGCTAAAGAAATGAATTAAAAAGACGAAAATTTAAATATAGCATTTTATAATTTTAAGGAATCAGATTTATGGTTAGCAATAAATAATAATAATTAAAATGAAAATATGACAAATTCTAGACTAAAAGATGTTTCTGAATTAATTTATCCTCATAAGACAGCAGCTGAATATTATAGGTAGAATGGAAAAAAATAATTTAAAGGAAATCTTATAAATAGATGTGGATTTTAATTATAATTGAATTAAATAAATCTGTTTAATTATAAAAAAGCAAGCTTAAATCAATTAGCAACATTATACTAATAAAATAAAATTGAAATTAAATCTAGATAATAGTTAATATATGGATAAAATAATTAAGAATTCGTATCTACAACTATCAGTATAAAAAATAAGGAATTGAGATCAATATAGCTTCAGATTATAAACAGTAATAAAAATGTATGGGTTAACAAGGACACAAAAAGTACTTTGTTATAGCCATAATAAACAATTTTATATGAGTTTATACGTGAGGCTAATGTTAAACTTCATGAATAGACATTGATTAAGGTTTCTGTGAGGTATTGTTAATTATTATATTAGTTTTGAGAATTTTATAATTTACCTTCCAAATTTTTTAAAAAATTGCTTAAAATTTTATTAAATTGAGGTTAATTCTTTTAAAGCAATGAAAAAGTAGTTTTAGGGTAAAATATTTGCAACTCCATTATTACCAATCTGTTGTAAAGTTGAATTAAAATAATTAAGTGAGTAAGGATAATTATTGAATAAACGAGAGTAAGAGAATGAAGATTTAATAACTGAAAGTAAATATGGATTTAAAGTTGTATTATCAAATCAATTGGAATTTTATTTGGAATTAATTATAACTCCTTGTGATGAATTTCTATTCAGAGGATTTACTAGTTTTGATGAAGAGACATTAGAATTCGTTTTAAATAGTTTATCAAATTTATACAGTTGATTTTGAAATTTATTTAATTTCACAAATAATAATTAATTTTTAATCTTTAATTGATATAGGATTGATATAGTAAATTCAAAACAATATATAAATTATGATACTTAAGATTGTTAATTTAAATGAGAAACATGAAAATGGTAAGTAACTAATGACTTTTGAATTCTAACATGCTTAACAAGAATTATTATAAGTTTTTTAACAAGTTGATCCATCATCATTACAAGTTTCAGTAGCACAAACTTATTGAACAGTTTCAGTACAAGTTTAAAGTTAATAAGATTAACATTTTTAAGTTATTTCTTCCATAATATTTACATTTTTTGTAAATCTTTATATTTAATAAAATTATTATACTCTAAATATTCTGAGCAGCTGCCTTGATAATAACTAACAATTTTTAAATTTTAACATGCAAAACACCATGATGAGCTTATCTATGTGCAATCACTTGTTGTACAAGGTGCTGTAGTTTGAGAACAAACTGATAATCCATTTTCAGTGCAGTTTGAAGGCCTATCAGTAGGACAATAAATAATTTCTGATTCTCTAAAAAGATAATATTTAATACATTTACCCATTTTTACAATATCCATCATAATAATAATCAACCTTATAGTCTGAACAAGCAACACAAGAATTATAATATTCCTTTTAACAAGTTGTGCATTTCTCAGTAGAAACAAATACACCACAAACTGAATTCTCTATATTACTACAATCAGTCAAATATCTAATTTTTTCATCACAATCTTATATAACATTCTATTGTTCATTTGTCATACGTTATGTTTCAATGTTATTGATTAATTCTTTACATTCACCTTCATAATAATAAAGTGTAGTAGAAATTTTACATGCCTCACAATGGTTCCAAAATTCTTAAGTAATCTATTTAATTATTTAGTATAAATTACTTTATCATCAAAACTATAAGCACAAACAGGTTGATAATACCCATCACAATCTTATTGAATTTATTTTGGACAATGAACAAAGGAACAGATACTTGTTGAAATTTAAAATATCAGAAAAATAAACATTATAAATATTATAACTAAATTTAGTTATTTATTCCAATTTGAAAATAAATATATCTATTATGAAAAAGATTGATTTTAAATATTTTAATTATTTTACTTCAAAATCATCTCATAATCCTATCAATTCAAATGCTATGGAATTAAACTCAAATAATTAAATAAAACAATCTTTTTAACATTTTAAAATAAACTTAATTTATTAATAAATTTCAATAGAATGTTTTCATAATAAATGATAAAATTTAGAAAAAATACATTTAAAGTAAAAATTGTTTTTTATAAACATTAGGAATAAAATTCAAATGGATTTAAAGCCATAAATATTTTAGAGAAACTCTGAATTAAAAAAATGCATTTAATTAATAATTGAATATCCAATAAGTTTTCAAGGGTCGTAAATTCTAAAATCATTTCTTTCAACGGAACTAGCATATATATAATTATAGTTGCTTATTTAAGAGAAAAATAAATAGAAAGATAATTTAGAAGCTCTGAGATTCATTATTAATTATTTTATTTTACAAGGATTGCCAAAGATGTGATGGGATATATTTTAAATGAATGAAATTTAGATTCAGAAAGAAAAATATATTTTAGAAAATTTATAGAAGGATGTTTAATTCTAAATTTTTAAATAATAAATTATCTAATATACAATATTTGAAAACATTTCAATATGAATGAACAATAAATTAGAGGTCTAAATGAACAATTTTAAAAGAATCCCTTCTATATTTAATGAACTTACTTTATAAAAACTAATTTATCATTAAATTATTAGTAATATTAGAATTGAGTAAAAAAATATTATAATAAATAACAAATTAAAGTAGATCAGTAAATAAGAATCGAGTATTGTGTTGTTAAATAAATTAAATTGTAATTTTAACGAATGATTTTCTGTTTATAGGAAAACCCCATACAAAATATTAAGAATTAATAGATCAACTACGATTTATGGCAATTTAAAATCCTCATCTTTTTAAAATACTATGGAATCTGGTAATAAAAATGCGAATAATAAAATACTAAGATAGCATATATGTAATTTGTGGATTCTGATTCATATTATGTTAATAAGAAAATTATCCACTATGGTTAAACTCTTAATTTAATTGTTGAAGTTGATTAATTTATGCCATTTAGTTATTAACTTATTCAATTAGTAATCAGGATCTGGAAATGAAAAAGCATTTTTTGTATAATAAGGTGGACAACTTAATTTTAGAATCCAAAATAAAGATATTCTTGTTCGAAAATCAATTTGCTTAAATAAGTATTTAAGTTTAACAAAATGTTATCAGCATTAAATCATAGCAAATACATATATAATCATGCTATGGGTTTAATTTTCTATCAAATGGAAAGACTTCTAATGGGTTTAATTTCCAAGCAACTTGGGTTATTAGATTTGTAGTATTATTGTTAATTCATGATTGGTGTTGTAGTATTCTAGCCTTTTAATTCAGCTTCTCTTACAAAGCTTGATGCGAAGTCTCTCCTTTGATTAGAATTCTCAAATCTCCTTTTAGCACTAACACAACCCATATTCTTATGTATTTATTTAATATAATATTGTTTTGCATAAATATTTCAGTCTCTAATAATTACTGGTATGATTTGATTTTTGATCTAACTTGGCTATAAGAGTTTATTTTTAAATTTTAAATAAAAATCAAACATGGGATTGAGGTTATTGAAAATATGAATTCAAAATAAGTTTATTGTCTGACATGTTTTAAGTTATTGTTAAAGCGTGATATTTAATTAAAAATATTTAGTACAACACTATAAAATATAAAATATTAACTTTTCAAAACGAATAATGGGATGTGTCACTTAGAAACAAAAGAAAGATTTTAAATTTAATACAATTCCTATTTAAGAATAACCATAAGATGACTTAGATGAATGGACAAAAATCATCCAATAATAACAGGGCAAACATTTGAATAATTAAGGAAAGGCAATTATGACTAAAAGCAAAACTCTATCAGCTAAATATCATCAACATTTGGAATAAATAGATGAAGAAGAATAATGAGTAGTTCTAATTTTTTATATTTTCTCAATTTTATTTATTTCTAAGAATAACCTAAATAAAATATAGATTTAAAAAGAAGAAGTATATCAAAAAATATGTCATAATAATCTAATGACATAATTGGAATTATTTTTTAAGATTTTTCGTTAATTAATTAAATCATTAATTTTTATATGTGTATAAATTTGTACTATAGACTCCCAATGTCTAAGGTTTAAATTATTTGTTTATAAACTAAAAAAAAATAATTAAGTAATAATATCCAGTTCAATTCTTGATGTTTTTAAACATAAATGATTACATATATTTAAAATATTTTAAACATTATACTCAAACTTAATTATATGGAATTACCAATTATAAAAAGATAAGATGGAATTTTGAAAAAGAGATATCTGTTTATTTTAAATGAGAAAGATAAGTTAAGATTTAAGAAGTAATAATTCTTACTCATTTTATTACAAAGGAAGTTAAAATAGTAAATTTTAATTTTACATTCATCTCTTCAATATAAAATAATACTTTTTGTTTCTTTGATTGTTGGATTTTAGAGATTAAATTTGAGTGATTATAAAAGAATAATGATTCTGACAATAAAGTTTGATTTTCAACAAAATAGATTTCAATAGGATTGTTATTACTTTAATGTTTGCATAATTTAAGTGTTTCGGTTGATCTATATTTTAAGATCAAATCATAATTTTATATATAATATATATTATTATTACATATATATCTTTTAGGGAAAATGGATGTAGAATATGTTGGAGAAAAGCAGGAATTCCTAGAAGATAGTATCATAAACTCAATTGCCAGGGTTTTAGATGAAATAGTTAGAGAGACTGACATAATTGAGAGTCCTTAAGAAACAGTATTTCATACAAATAAAAAACCTTCAATAAGTCTTGCAAAATATTTAGAGCGCATTCAAATGTACTCATATTGCAGTAATGAATGTTTCGTCTTGGCATTAATTTACATAGACAGGATCTAGAAAAAGAACCAAGATGTAATTATCAATAGTTTTTGCGTTCATAGGTTTAAATTTTTCTAACTTAGATTTCTATTGGCATGCATCATTCTCAGTATTAAATATAATGATGATGATTACTATAAGAATGACTACTATGCCAAAGTGGGAGGAATCACAATCAGTGAGTTAAACAAATTAGAATAAGAACTGTTAACTTTGCTCGATTATGAGCTTTATGTTAGTTAAAAAGAATACTACTATTACAAGGATAAATTGATGAAATATTCAAAACTATGATTATATAAATAATATAATGGAAATGACAAAGAAATAGGAACATAAAATCAATTATGCATTTGAACAATTTTATTTCCTTGTGTTTTCACAATGCCAGATTCATGCTGTAATCATGAACTTCTAGTGCAAAAACTCACAAAAAGTGGGTTACTTTCTTATTTTCTAAATCAACTTGATTAATCATTAAGAAAAATTTATGAAATAGATATATCTATGCATGTTAAAAAAAATATTCATTCTATTTTAATTACAATCTTTCTTTCAAGAATTTAACAACTTTCTATTCGATTTCAAATTTTCTTTAACTCTAGTAAGCCTCTTTTAAAACTTTAAAATTTCAATCTTAAATTTAGAATTTTTCTAATTCGATTTTACATAATCATTATTGAAATCTAAATTTTAATGGCAATTTTATTCATAATTATTTTAGCAATTGTTTTATTAATCGATTAGTTTTACTTATACATTAATAAATAATATTAATCGTTTTTAATATTTTTATACAAAATATTTTCTCTTTCCGAAATGAGAATTATTATCTAATCTAAGTTTTCAATATACTATTTTTTTTTGACAAAAAAAGACTAAATTATTTTATTAAATTTATTTTCAAACTTTTTTTATAAATTCCCTTCTTCATTTTGATATTATTCTTTAAGAAATTTGTTTTTTATAATTGAATTTTATTGATAGATAGAATTGAAAGTATTCTAATTGAACTGCTTTTTAAAATCAGGTAATTCTTATAACTAAAAATCTAAAATTTAGTTTACAGTAAGAATATTGATTTCTAAAAAATAGATCTTTAACCATAAAAGCTTTCAATAAATTAATTGCTTATTGAAAAAATCATTTTAAATATAAATTCAAATCAAGGTTATTTGTAAGTACAATTTAAGTATAGCATTTTTATATTGAGAGTAGAGATTTAAATTTCTATTTCTAAAAAAATCAAATTTATAAGGTCATCTTCTAAATTCATTGATATAGAATGAAGTTAGATTATCATTGTATTATAAAAAAGCAACTATGATTATTTTCTATTTTTATTCTAATAGGCTGATATGTCTTTTTAATCTAAAAAAACCATTTGTAATGCTTTTTTTATAATTTACATAATTAATTATGTGAAATTATTTAATTTTTATATCTCAAAAATAAAAATATCATTCATCAAAAAATCAAATTTAAATATCTAAAAATGAATGTAAAAACAATAACAATGCAACTCAAAATTAAATGAATTTATACAATAGAATCTATTAATCAACAATTGTTCAAAATCTAGAATTTGATTTAATAAGATTAAAAATCATTTAAATCAGTTTATTAAATAGATAGATTAAATTTTCAGTTCTTAGCAGTAGAGGGCCTCTTAAATGATTTTTCTAGCTATACAAATTAAGTAATATTAGCATAATTCCCTGGTCCTGGCACTAATTCATTTAATTAATAGATTATTACCTCCACTCTTTTAGGCAGCTCTAACAGCATCATCAATAAAACATTTCCTTTGAGCATTTCCAAATTTACCTTTAGAATAACAAGATTTTGATAAAGCTTAGTAGTTTCCTGGACTTGGATTAAATGTTAAATCAGTTGAAAATCTTTCAGGCTTTTTATTGATAGATAAACTTCTTTGTTTATAGAAATTTTGATTATAAATTCCAAAGCCAGATGTTTCAGGAATTTGTTAAGTTTTAAATGACTTTTACTCTGTTTTATAACCAATTGTTTTATTAGGACTTTGATTATAAGCACCAGGACCTGGTACTTAATTACGTTTATAATATGCTTGATTTTTAACAAGATCTCTTCCCAACCCAAAGCTTGTCCCTTTTTATTTGGAAAAGGAACTAGTTGGATCATAATATGCTTCTGTATAGAAATGAGTTTTAGTAAAATCAAATTTTTTTCCATATCCAAATCCAGATGCTCTAGTACTACGAAAATAATTTGCTTCATAGTAATCTTTTTGGCAAGGAGTTCGTATTCTTGAAAATCTGGCTGCTTTTGGAAAGCTGAATTAAACTGAAGCTTAAATATGTTAAGACATTATAAAATATAATAAAATAAGTTCAACAAAATCATTCATATTAATTATTGTTTTCTTTATGAATTTAAGACAACGTATATCTTGGAGGTTTAGAAATTATTGCATTGCAACTCAACTTTAAATTTGTATTAGATTCTATAAAAATGTTTTCCTATTCTTATTTAGCTAATTATCGAGTAAAAGAGGAGCTCTATTTAAAATTATTATATGAATTAATTACACGAAAGACCAATTATTAAACATTTGGAACATTGATTTTCTATTCATATTTGATTTTCAACAAATCAATCTCTTTAATTTTCTCGCTTAATTCTTAATTCTTACTTTAGACTATTTAGTCTCTTTCCAATAAACAATTTTATAAGTATTAAACTTAAGATGTTCTATAGTTATCAAATAATATTACAGATTTTCATTTTCATTTTCAAGTGAGTGAATCTTTTCTTTAAAGTATTGTGTTTAATCATCGAAATTACTGTTTTATGATTATAACTATTAAACAAATTTTCGAAGATTTTCAGTTTCTTTGTTAACTTATTCACTTTATTTTCTTTACCTATTCATTAAATTATAGGCATCATCAATTTCTTTCAATTTTCCTTGTAATTATATATCTAACAATTAATTTTATTTTTCTAAAGCAAGCGAATTACCCTTTAATTTTAAATTTATCTACTCAAGTTCCATAACTTGCTACTCTAATTAAATGTATTCTTATTTTAGTTAATCGTAATCATTTAACGATTTTTAATCTTTTAACTATCTTCTTAAATCTTCTATTTCTTATAATCGTTCTTCTCCAAAAGCTTTTGATCTTTTTATTTCTTATGTTTAAATGATTATTTTTTATTCTTTTTCTTGTAACTAATTATTCCATTAATATTTCTAAGTTTCCCATTATATTCTTTCAGCTTAAAATTTCATTTCTAAATCACTCTAGTTTAATCCCCTTTTTTATAAAATATTGATTTCAGATTAAAATTCATCAATTTAGGAATAAAGTTCTTCAATTTCTTATAGTTAAATCTTTTATTTAATTTCAAGTTCTTGTCGTTTTAATTATTCTTCATAAAGTGAATTTCGAACTTTTTCCAATTCCATTGTTAGAAGTGAAACCTTGGATTCTATATTCAGTAATGAATGTTTTTCTAATATTTATTTTCTCTCTGCCTCTAACTTTAAAATTGTATTTTAAAATTATTATACTAATTTGGTTAATTAATTAATTTTTTCATTCTGAAAATTCTTTTATTCTTCATATGCTTTTACATTATTTGTGAAATCTTCGATAACTTACCATAATCTATCAATTTCACTGGCAAAAATAATTATTTTCATTCTCTCTTATATTAAATCCTCCCTCATTTTCTTATTCTCTTTTATATTCTATTATAATGATAATTAATAATCCTGAATTTATTTGAGCTAAATCATTTATTCTTTCTCATTAGTTTATAAATTGTACTTTTCTCTTTCTTACTAACCATCTATAATAATTTAATATTTTTCAAGATCTTATTTCAAAATTTGATTTATTTATTCAATTTAATTTTTATTAAATTCCAGATTTTTTACTTACAATTATAAACTTTATGCTTCACTTTCATAATTATGAGTCAATTAAATAATCTTTGCATTCATATCTTCTTCTAGATTAGAAATTCTCATATTTAAGTTATCATTTTCACTATTAAGAAGCATTGATTCTTATTAGTAATTGCTAATTTCGATTTCCAATTGTATAATAGCGTTTTATTATTTTTGAATTTCAATCTATTTTTATTCTAATTCTTTATGTACTTCTTAAATATCAAAGTAGTTCTTATTTTATTGATTATCTTTTTCTTTAAGAATAAAAGTTAGTCTATCAACTTCTTCCTTTAATATTGTATTTTATTTTTAGAGTTCTTTTTAACTTTGTGTCCAAATATCTTATTATTTTTATAATAGCAAAATGTCTTATTCATATTATAATCTTTTCATTTATTCTTGTTAGAATTATGCTTTTTGCTATTCAAATAATATAAATTCATCTTTTAGTAAATTAAATTATAATGTTACATGTTCTAATTATTGAATTTGTTATTAATTTCTATTTTCGCAATCCTCAATCACAGACCATAATCTTTCAATCTCAGTATTCAAAATAATAATTCTCATTTTATCTTTTATGGAATTTTCTTCTTTTATTTTAATTTAATTCTATAACTTTTTGAATTATTGTATCTATAACATCATCTATTCTTAATTGCATTTTAATTATTGATTTTCAATTATAAGATTTTTGATATCATTTTAATTGTTAGTAAAATGAATTCTTTCCATTTCTTAAGCAAAAAGAACACATCTATTCTATAATTGAGAATTTTTATTTTCTAAGTTTTTGACTTATATTTATAAATTATTATCATTAATAATTTAAGTATGAATCTATGACTTATTCTAAACTTCATTTAATAATAAATTCTAACCAAATTGATAACATTCTTAAGTTGTATTTTTATCTTAAAGTTAAATAATTTCTTTATTTTAATTTTAGAGTTTAATAAGTAGATTATCATATTAAAATGATTTATCCTTAAGATTTGAAGATAATTCTTCCTTTTAGGAGTATAGTTCCTGGAATTAAAAATTAAATGAATTGATTTGATTTAGATATTCTTCTAATTAGATTTTCATATTGTTATTTGCTTGTTTGTATATATCTAATTATTCATATAATTAATTAATCTGAATTGAATGATTGTGATTGGTTTCTTAAAATTGTATTTAGAGTATATTATATTGATTTTCAGTTTATTTGAGAAATGTAATTAATTTGTTCTAATCTTCTAAAAGTTTTTTAAGATGATTAAGTTCAGATGAATAGGATGGAGGAATTGAATTAAAAGTAGTATTATTGGAAGAAAATGGAAGAGTATGGGATATATGAGAGTTAGCTTCTAAATCAGGATGAGGATATTTTGCATGATTGGGAATAGGAATATTTTAGTGGATTAAGTATTCAAGAGATGTCATTTTGGTTTGAATAGCGGTTGTTGGATTAGAAATTAGTCGATTCATAATAAATAATTTGAAATTTAAAATAATATCAGTCGTGAGAGTATTTATAAATAATAATAAAATGGAAAGTGCATTTATATTTGGATGTCTGTTTGGAATGGGTATAAAAATGACAGTGAGTAGAGTGATACGCTAACCACTTTTATTTAGTAAGCAGTGAATAAAGTAATATAATAGAATGTCATTAATATCCAAAGTATATGTTATATACAGGTATAGCATTCTCAGGATTTGATTGGATTCGTCGTCTGTCTTTGGAAACATTATGTGAGAAGGAAGAGTTATCAGAGTTCTTAGTTAGGAGAGCTAGAATCAATTAGCTTGCTACTGGAGCAGAATCAGTAGGAGATTACAAGAAAGAATTTGTCTAAATAGCCGTAGACGAGCACATATATTGATTATCATTTCATAAATCAAAATCATCGTTGAAATCACTATTGGGGTTTGTCAGACTCTCCATTAAACCTTTTATCTTCGTCTAATCTTTTATATCTAGTGACATTGCCATATTGAAACAACTAAAAATATTAAAATTTTATGTTACTTTTATGCTTCTTGAATCCGATTCAACTTTTTCAGTATGCGACCCATCAGAATATAAATTGCAGCTTCTTTTGGAATGAATTAACTCAAACTCTATAATTCACCCAATGCTTCTTCATATTAATCTAATTTTATTAATGAATTTGCCTAATTATTAAAATTATTATACTTTCTGATATTTATTCAATCCATTCATTGAATCTAACCTTTCACTTTATTCAAAATACTTTAAAGCTTCATAATGATCTCCTTTTGCAGCATAGCTCATAGCCAAGAATGTTGGGAGAACAGGATTGTTTGGGTTAATTTTAATTGCTTGTATGAAACATTTAATAGCATCGTCATATTTATCAGTCTTGTAATACATGTTCCCCTAACCCCACCATGCATTGTATTATCGTTAATCAAGAGAGGTTGCAGCATCATATGATTTTTTTGCTTATTAAAAATTCTCATTCTATGAAAATTCATGTCCTGATAAAGTGTAAGCATATGAATAATCTTTTCTCAATTAAATTGCTCTCCCAAAAAATTTGATTGAATTATCTATTTCTTTAATCAAACTAAAACAATTTCCTATTGCAATCCAAGTTTCAGGTGCATACATACATATCTACAAACATGAATGTGCTAAATATGTTAATTCTGATTATTTTTTTAAATGCCATAAACAAGAGGAATAATAATCCATTCCTTCTAATCGAGTTGGCTCTATCTATCTCATTTCTTTCCAAACTCTTTCAGCATCTGTATATTTCACTTAATCCATAAAGCTTCTAGCAACTTTCTCCAAAACCCATCCTGATCTATAATGTTAAGGAGGTAACTTCTAAAAATTTGTTATTGCCTCTACAGAATAATTAGTCCATAATTAATATGGATGAGCGAAAAGTTTTAAAAGTTGAGGCAAGCTTCCACTAGAATAATTCAATACTTTATTAAACTAGGTGATAATTGAACAGCTACACTAAGGACTTTCTAAATATCACTCTTTTTTTGATTATAAATCTTGTTTTAATTTTATGATAATTAAAACGGTTGACTCAATAGAGATTAATAATTTTATAATCCTATTCCAGGAGTTGGAATCATTTTTCCACTAATTTTCTTTTGTTAAACCTCTTAAATATATTATTATATTAATCTTACAAGAAAACTTCATTTAACTATTTGATGAGTCATCCATATGCATTATTTAGGTCTAAACTCCAGTAACAGAAAATGGTTTTACTCCTTAAATTTGTCTCTTGTTTCCCTATTACTTTATTAATTCATTTTATAAAATACATTATCTGTAACTATAGATTCTTCTTTGAGATCATCAATTTCTTTTGAACCTGATTTTATACAGTTTTATTTATTTTTAAGCAAATTTGCAATTATTTTATAAATGTTACAACTAGATTATCTACTTATTTCATATTATCTTTGCTTTTAATCAACAAACACTTTATTTATTGTAACTGGTTCACCAATTTTGGATAATCTCTCAAAAGCTATCCATAGAGTTGGATTTTGATCAAGAGCCCGATAATATTGAATTTTGGCATCATCTGTACGATGCATTTATTCATAAATTTATCCCAATAAAAAATGACCAAAACCTCCATTTGGTATATTTTATGTTTAAACTGCAAATTGATTATTAGATTAAAATCCTATTAATGCCATTTCAGCTTCCTTATATTTTTTGTTCTTAAATTAAACAACAGCCAATTAATAACTAATATGGATTTATACATTTTATACCGATTAAACTCTGCCTTACAATCTTTCAATATATGACAAGCCTTATAAGGTTAATTCTCATGTAAGTAACATTCTGCCAATAATGATCTATGCTCTTCAGTGTCATGTTCATAAACTAATCTTTCAGCTATTGAAATTTGAACTCAAACACTAATTACCTAAAAAGATTGCGTTCTAATCCATATGATTCTATAATGAGTCTAGAATTGCTTCTATCAATTAAAATTCCAATTAACTCTTTCCTTATTGGCACTCCTCTTCAATCATCAATATTTCAAAATTTCAAAATAATTATATATACGTTCAATCGAATATAATAAATTATGAACTTTTTTGAACATCAGATTAATTATACTCAATAAACTATTTAATTTATTCATTTAAAAGTGTGTTCACTCATTTTTGTTACTCAGAATTAGATTTTTTCAATTTTATATTTTTCCCATAAAATTTAATCATATATAATATAGCATTTAGATAATTAAATACTACTCAAATTCTAGAGTGACATTCGAAGCATCAGATTTGTACTAATAAATCTGTTTGTCAAGTTCACTCATAAAAAAAACCAAAGAAAACGGGTGGCAGCTTAGCTTACGATAGTTTATGCTTGTCAATTAGATTTTCAAACATTTTTATTTTATTTTATCTAAAAATAACATTATTATTGTTAAATATTTTTATTTATTATTAAAATTATAAATATTCTAGAAAATTATCATCTAATCTCTGCAATTTATCAATTTACCAAATCATAGAATGTAAATAAATTAAATATGTCACTATATTTAATTTTTATTTACAAATTCAGAATCTTAAATAAAATAATTCATAAAATATAGTTTTATATTACATTGTGATTTGCAAATCAGCAATATTAATTCCTAATTTTCAAAAAATATATTTGAAGGATTTGAATATTTTTATAATATTAAATTAAAATTCAATAATGAGCTTAATAGTACGCCAAAGAGTAGGGATGCATGATGAATCTCTTACTTAATCGATCGAATCTAAGAATATAAAAAAAAAAAGTAATCTTTTTTATAAACTTAGAATCCTCAACAAAAAAACGTAAGCAAACAAAATAGCTTATATGTTATGTTTCTATACCGAAACCTTTCAAAGAACATGTCTATATAAAGTCAAATGTAGAACTGAAATTAGCTCTATCTTTTATACCAGAACATTGTCTTGGTGCTTTAAAAGAAACACCATGTACATATAATTATAGAGTCTCACGCACTGACTAATTAGATGACGTCTACTTTTATACACTTGAATTACTTGACTAAGCCAACTACTCTATTGATTAAATTACTTAATTACTTACTCACTAATCTGATCCCCATGCTATTAAGGCAGCTTAATTAGTTTTGGAACGACATAAAATTCTTCAAGAATTTACTTAATAACCATATATATCGAATGAAGATTTGTTAGATGTAGAAAAAATAGCTTAAGAATATCCTTATTAATGTACAATCCAAAAAATTAATAAGGATTCTAGTTCTTTATCTTAAAGAATAGTAAATGAATAATTCTACACTCTTATGGGAGTGAGTAGGGAAATGATGTTAAATCATTTACATGAGACCAAAACACTTCCATCTATTTTTGATCTTGGACCTTCACTTTAATTGTGGTGTGATTTGTCTGCCAATTCAATTTAATCATTTCGTTCATTTGAAACCTATATTAACACATATGAAGGTGCTCAATACCAATGCACTGTTGAATAAAGACAAATGTTTAAAAGAACACAAGTTAATCCTAATCAAATTGTCTTCATCGAATTTTGGCTCTTTAAAATCGATGAACCCCTCAAATCCTTTCTCATGAATCCTTAACGAATATACCAGAATCAAATTGATTACTTCAATAAGAAAAACACATAACAAGAATATGAAGCTTTCTAATAATTGATGAATTATAAGCAAACCCCTTTATATAAAAACAAGAACCCTTGTGGATATAAAGAATTAACCTGGATTTGAACTATTATTCAATATATTATTCTAATTCATAATTCTAACATAAAGTTATTTTTAAATTCCTACTTTTCTTAAGTTTTCTATTTTTCATCAAAAGCTATTTTAAATTATGTGATATTTAAGGTTACATTTTAATTATATAAAAAATTTCTCTTATTATAGGTATTATATAAAATAGATCATATTTATTGAATATTTACTCCAATATCTATAAGAAACCAATTTAAATATTTAAAAAAATTTTCAATTATAAGCTGTAATAAAAATTTTTTTTATAAATAAATAAAAAATAAACTTTATATTTAGTATCTCACTATTTGTAATTTAATTCTTCTAGGTAAAAAGATCTAAATGATGTCTATTAATTTACAACCAATATTAATTGATAAATCATTCAGCTATATTATTATATTATAAATATGACAAAAAAGAAAAAACATGTAGAAATATTAAATTCTTGAATATAATTAAATATATAACGATTTTCTAACAATTTTATTATATCACTTTAATAATAAATAAAAAATAACAAAAAAAAGTAAAAATTTTATTTATCAATTTTTAAAGAATTCCTCAAATTATTGAAGATAACAATTTTTCTAAGCTAAAGTTTTAATTATTTATTTTGTGACTAAGGTTTGATAGAAACTTAGAGTTGAGTAATTTGTTTATAATAATTATAGAAAATTATAAAATTTTAAATGGTAAATTTAATTAGAGAATAATATGCTACACTTTATTTTGCAAATAAATGTTCTGGAGCTTTCATATTCTGTGTATCTCTTTATTTTTTGATGATTATACTTCCTTTTTTTATAGGATTTACAACAGCAGGTAAATATTGAATAAATTGTTAGATTTTTGGATTTTAAAAAAGACAACATTTCAAACTCCAAAAGTGAGTAGTTTTGATGAATATTATTTGAAAATTCTAATGAATGATGGAACATAGAAAATTTATACAAATATTCCTGAAATATAATTATAATTAGGGACAAGTCAACCTGGAGCATTTTATTTTAGTGTAATAATATTTGAATAATATAAGCAAAAAAAATTAAGTTAGAATGAATAGGATGAATTTTAAGCAAAGACTAGTAACTTTACTTCTTAGTTTTTTATTGATTTACTAACAGAATAGTAGATAAAATAAATAAGGGAGATTCAAATCTTAATTTTTTATGAATATGATTTAGATGAGACTGTTAGTATGAATATGTAAGGATATGCCTTTGCATCTTTAAAATCTCCTCATGGAATATCATCAGCATCTACCATAGGATAACTGAGGTTGAGTTAGAGACATCCAATTTATTCAGGGTAATAAAAATGATTAGACTCTGTTAGGAAAGTACCTAGAACGAAATATAATTATTCATCATATTATAATGCATTAGGTTAAGTACTCTTAGACCCAATAGAAATAGTTGAGAATTCTATTTACAATAGAAATGGTATATATTTAATATATTTTTTAGAATCTATTTTCTATGATTATATTTCTTATATAATTCCACCAACTTCTTTACTAGTTCCAGAGACAACAACAAGATAAACAGAAAATAATGAGAACCAATATCCAATAGCATTTTAAACAACTACTAATAATACTACAAATAATAATACTACAAATAATAATACTACGACANTTTATTATATCACTTTAATAATAAATAAAAAATAACAAAAAAAAGTAAAAATTTTATTTATCAATTTTTAAAGAATTCCTCAAATTATTGAAGATAACAATTTTTCTAAGCTAAAGTTTTAATTATTTATTTTGTGACTAAGGTTTGATAGAAACTTAGAGTTGAGTAATTTGTTTATAATAATTATAGAAAATTATAAAATTTTAAATGGTAAATTTAATTAGAGAATAATATGCTACACTTTATTTTGCAAATAAATGTTCTGGAGCTTTCATATTCTGTGTATCTCTTTATTTTTTGATGATTATACTTCCTTTTTTTATAGGATTTACAACAGCAGGTAAATATTGAATAAATTGTTAGATTTTTGGATTTTAAAAAAGACAACATTTCAAACTCCAAAAGTGAGTAGTTTTGATGAATATTATTTGAAAATTCTAATGAATGATGGAACATAGAAAATTTATACAAATATTCCTGAAATATAATTATAATTAGGGACAAGTCAACCTGGAGCATTTTATTTTAGTGTAATAATATTTGAATAATATAAGCAAAAAAAATTAAGTTAGAATGAATAGGATGAATTTTAAGCAAAGACTAGTAACTTTACTTCTTAGTTTTTTATTGATTTACTAACAGAATAGTAGATAAAATAAATAAGGGAGATTCAAATCTTAATTTTTTATGAATATGATTTAGATGAGACTGTTAGTATGAATATGTAAGGATATGCCTTTGCATCTTTAAAATCTCCTCATGGAATATCATCAGCATCTACCATAGGATAACTGAGGTTGAGTTAGAGACATCCAATTTATTCAGGGTAATAAAAATGATTAGACTCTGTTAGGAAAGTACCTAGAACGAAATATAATTATTCATCATATTATAATGCATTAGGTTAAGTACTCTTAGACCCAATAGAAATAGTTGAGAATTCTATTTACAATAGAAATGGTATATATTTAATATATTTTTTAGAATCTATTTTCTATGATTATATTTCTTATATAATTCCACCAACTTCTTTACTAGTTCCAGAGACAACAACAAGATAAACAGAAAATAATGAGAACCAATATCCAATAGCATTTTAAACAACTACTAATAATACTACAAATAATAATACTACAAATAATAATACTACGACAACCACTGTAGATATATAAAAAGGTGTTTATTTACCTGTTTATTTAAGTCATTCTACTTAATTGTCAATTAATATGACTTTATAAATTCCAAATAAAGAGATGGTTATGTATTAAACAGAAATTATAGAAGCTTTGAAATTTTCATGGATGTAATATTTGTCTATTTTCTTAATATTTTGGTTTTTTGGTTAAATGATTTTAGAATTTGTTGTGTCAAACAAAGTTTTTGCAACATAAGCAGTTGTAAACATTCCAATTCCTTTGAAATCCTACTCAAAACTCAAATTAGATTGATTGTCTTTATATTTAATATTATTAAATAAAAACAAATAATGTAGAAAATAATACTTTCAACCTTATTGTTGTGTGTATTAATATTGCTAGATTATATTTATGGAGAGTAGACATTTACCTTAAGTAATTCTATTACAGAGTACATGTAAAAATAATTTGATTATGGAAATGAAAATGGATTAGTAGGTATAATAGAATAGATGAATTATTATTAGAAAGCTTTCTGCTTATCTTTTATTATTTGGGGGGAAGATAATTTATGGGTTTATTGTTCATAATACTTTGGTTGAAATCAGGTTTGAAAGAGCAAATTTTAAAATTAATTACAATGTATTCCATTACAGCTTTTTTTGATCATTTCGCAAAACTTATCTTGATTCAACCTAGACCTTTTTATGAAGAAACTGATGTTCGATTAGATTTCTGTTAAAAAGGTTATGGAGACCCTTGTGATAACTCATTAAGGTCTATTGTGTTTTATGTAATTTTATCAGAAACTTTATTATTTAAAAAATATAAAGTTTAATAAAATGATCTAGGTGTTCTAAGTTCAATTAATTAAAATTAAAAGTTTCAATACCAATACAAATTATTATCAAAGTATCTAATTTCTTATATTTTAGTAATGATCTTTTTACTTAACTTTATCCAAATTCTATGTTTAGTTATAATTAATATAAATTTATGTTAGCTACTTTTTTATTTATTACAGGTATCTCAAATTCATATTTTGGCTTGAATTTCTTAAGTCAAATAATAATGGGATGGATTATTGGTGGCTATATACTTTATATTTATTATTTTTGTGATTTTGAAAAATATTTGGAAAGATTATTTTTATAAGCAATCCATAATTAATAAGATTAAATTAATAAAAAGCTTGGACATGTAGTCAAAATTGCAATTTAATTTGCTTTTCCATTTTTTATTTCAATCATACTTTATATATTTAGAATTTATGATGATGAATTAATTTTGAAATAATAACAATGGAGTCAATTATTATAAAGCCATTCAAAGTGTTAAAATTAAACTTATAATTTTAATATATCATTTGAGAAGTAAGAAATGATTGGAATGTGCGTCATCTTTTTACCATTTTATCTTTACTTATGTTGTTATTTTACTCCAGGATAATATAAACCCGAATTATACAATCATTTAAATCTTACCTTAAAAGGTTTTGTTAGAGTTTTGATACTCTTAGGTTTACTTTTGTTATAAATGTCAATTCATATTTTATTGAGAAATTTTGTTATGAACAAAAATATAGATATCAATATCACTTATTTGATAATTGGTAAGTTAATTTTAGAACTTTAATTCTCCTTATTTTTTATAACATTGTTACCTGTGTTATACAAATTATGTAAAGCCGATATTGATGGAGACTTTTTGAGAAAAATCAACTAAATTGAAATGCAAGAAATGGAATTGTGATATTAATTAATAAAATAATTATATTCCTTTAAAAACAAATCTTAAAACATCTTTTTTATTTCTTCATAGAAAACGTTTTTCTAAAATTATTGTCGAGCAGTCTTTGCAAATATTAACATATATATATTCATCTAAGTAATTTTTCCTAATTTTTTTTTAAACAAATAAAAGATTCAGGCTATTTTTAGTAATTGAATCTTAATTTATAAAATATTTAACAATTATAGGTTTAATTATTATTGATCCATTAGAAAAACATAAAATATTTGTGATTTCATTAACTATTCCAGTTTCACTTAGATTCATTGAATGTTTAATTAGTAATAAAATAATAAAAGAGTAACTCTAAGTGGTGCATTTTATTAAATTATAAACTAACTTTCATTTTTTAAGATTAATTTACTTTACTTGATCATCTAAATTAATGTAATTATATGACGCTCTCCATATAAGGGCATTATTTTAATTAATGTTTGTAGTATCAAAAATTTGCAATAATAATTATTATTCTCAGTTCCATTTATTTTTTTTTTTTCTTTTTGCTTTGAATAAATTAAACTTCTATTTACTTATAATTTTTGAAGAAGAAGGATTCTATTTAGTCTCTTGAAAAATAGATCCTCAACAAAATTTGCATTAATCAAATATAAATAACAATTTTCGCAATAAATCTTTCATTCTGTAGAATTAAATATTTTCATTTATTGACAATCTTCAAAATTAATTATTTTATAATCTTTATTTTAGGTTCTTACATTAATTTTAACTGGGCTAAGACAAAAAGAAAATTTAAAAATTCTTTGTTTCGATCTATAGAGTATGGAAATTAGCATTTAATTATAAATTTAACAAAATAAAAATTAGATGTATATAATTTTTATTGACAAATATAACAAATGAAAAATTGTATATCTCTTTATTCAATTCTGAAAATCTGAATTTATTGCTATGATTTATATATCTAAATAATCATAATTAATATACTAATAATTTATGAAATTAATAAAAAGATGATATAAATTTTTCAATTTAAATTTCCAGATATTTAAACTTTTGTTTTAGATAAAAAATGATATATATAAAAAAAGGAAATCTTGAGTAGTTTATAAAATATGATATTAATTTAAGTCCTAAGTATATGTATTCTTAAATTTATTCAAATATTAAAACTGAAGGATTTATATAATATTTGAAATTAAAATAAAATTTTTAAAAACATAAAAAAAAAAGGGCTCTCCCGGGAATTGAACCCGGCTCACATGCACCCTAAGCATGCATACTACCGATATACTAGAAAGCCTTGGTTAGCACTTAAGTCCTTTTTTTGTATTTCAAGTACAGCTTTAAAATTTTTGAATAGACAATAAAGAGTTGTTTAGAATTGTTTATTCAAACAATAAAATCTAGTTTTATGGTTATAAAAATAATAAATTAGAAAAGTTTATAATTCTTATATGTTTGTTTAATTAATTGATCATTTAATATATTTTAAAATACGTGTAATATAATATGAATATATATTAACGTTAAAATTTTAATTGTTATTTAATTTTGAAACGAAGCAAGGTTTCTGTATAATTTAGAATTTTATAGGATATTGAATAAAATGGATGAAGGCTAATAAAATAAATTGATAATATAGTTAAGAAAAGGAAATAGTTAGAAGTTGGATAAATGAAGAAGATTATGGATGAAATGAAATAAAAGGTTTGATAAAAGACAATATAATAATGACTGGAATGATTAGAGAGAGATCTAATAATAAATAATGAGTATTTAAATATATGTTGTATATGGTTGCCAAATAATTGTAGGCAAAAATAAATTATATTAATTTTCTAGTCTTTGACTTTGCGCTCATAAAAGATGTATCATTTTATGTTGAAATAGCGCAAAATTTATGTGAATAATAATTAATAATATTTATAATGAGTACTTAGAGCATGAAAGAGTAAAGTAATACACAACCAATTTCAATTTTTGACCCAAAAGAAGAAAAGAAGTTAGAACTATAAAAGTTCAAAAAAAATAAAGTGTGTGCTGAATGTAAATCTTGGATAATAAGATAAAAGTCAATAGGATGTGGAATATGTGAAGATGTATATCATCTATCTTGTATGGTAATATTTAGTGTTATAAATTAGAGACCAAGATTAACACGAAAACCAAAAAAATGGACATGTACACATTGTCTAGAACTTAAGAATACATTTCCAGATACAAATGAATTGGAAGTAGATACTCTTTGTGGAAGGTGTTAAAAGCATGTATAGAGTGATGATGAGGAATTCTGTTCAAAATGTTCGAAAATATTTCATAGTAAGTGTTATGGCCCAAAAAAAGTAGCGCCGATATGTATATTATGTGAGTAATAAAAACCGCCAAAAATAAAATAAAATAAAAATTCGGTTTAATTCCTACCGCTCAAAATTCCATAAAAAAATTAGAATTCTTTTATTTTACCTTGTTGTATTTATGATGATACATTGCGTAAGAAATGTTTTAATTCTATTTAATATGCTCTATATTGTCAAAATATTAGTTTTAATGATGATTTAGTTTATGAGTCAATTTCTAAATAAGAGAATAATGTAGCTCTTGAAAAATTAGAACCATTAATCGGAAAAGATCTTGATACTTTTAAAAAGTATAAATAAGTAACTAAACATGGTTATTATGCACCTGTAATAGTGGAATATAATATTGATTAAGGATTTTATGTAAAAGCAGTATAACCAATAGCAAATAATACATTGATATGTGAATATGCAGGAGAAGTATTTCGATTTGCTGATTAAGTATATAGTACATCTGATTCAATGATGAGTTTATTAGAAACTAATTTTGCTGCTACTTCTTTAGTAATTATACCATAGAAATATGGAAATCTTGCTAAATATTTATCAGGAATTAATAACACAAAAAAAAATAGTAAAAAATAATAATAAAATGTGAAATCCTAAAGATTTAATGTAGAAGGTGAATCAAGAGTAATCTTATTTTCTTGTCGAGAGATTAGAACAGGAGAAGTGCTATACTACGATTATAATGAAGGAGGATTTAATTATAATACAAGATACTTTGTTTGATTTGATTATACTATAAAGCAGAAATTATTTACGGCTTTCACTTTATTCATATTTTTAATCATATATCTAATCTATATAATACAATTATTTATTGGTTATTAAAATTAATTTGTGAAGAAATAAATTCATGTTTACCTTTAATACAAACATTATTTACAAGCTACCAGATTATATACCAAATCTAAATATTGAATTGTCATCTCCTGAAAAATTAATACCTAAACATAGACCACCATAAATTAAAAAAGATCCTATTTTAGATGCACCAGATGAAATCAAAAAATGGTTGGAATAAAGAAGAAAAAGATATCCCAATAAAGATAAACCTTAAATTGATGAAAATGCATAAGAGCTTTCTATTTTAGAATAAAAATTAAGAAAGAAAATTTCAATTTTAAGTGGCAGCAGTAGAAGAACATAAATTAAAGCAAAATAGATGAAAGAACTATGTAAAGTTTTAACTGAATCAAAAAGAATTAAGAAGAAATTAAACAATGAACCTTTAGATTAAAGTTCTGATTCAGAATCAAGTAATCAATAAGAAGAAGATAAAAAATTAGATGATAAAGAATCAATATAAAAAGAAATTTCAAAGCTATAAAAAAAATTAACAGATACAAGACCAAAAGAATATTTTAAAAAGATAAAAGAAGGAGGTGGAGAATAATAATAGTTAACAAAGATGGAAAAGTAAATTATCAAAAAGAAAATTAAGGATTTAAAGATATAACTGAAGTAATTGAATCCTGAAGCTGAATAAGTTTAAGAATAGTAATAAGTAAAGAGATAAGAAAATACTTAGAGTTTAGAAGACCATACTAAAGAGATGATAGGGAATTTAGAAGATTAGCAAGAGAAAATGTAATATTTAATATAATTATTATTATAGGGAGAATTTGTTAGAGGAATCATTGAATTATAGAGTAAATCCAGCAAATTTTAGGTATAAGAGTAATACTTTATATACAAATATGTTGATTGGAGAAATTTATAGAGAAAGATAATATATTTTGTAGGCGATTAGATATTTAGTAAAGGAGAATTTTTTTGAAGAGAAAGGATAGGAGGGATTTGAATGCATAACATCAGAATCAGAGTAAGTATAAGAAGAGAGTAGTGAAGAAGAATAAGAATTTATGGAAGAAAACGAAGAATATTTTTGAGATTTCAATAAGAAAATAGAAAATAAATAATTAGAAAGCTTGATTAATGAATTCAATTCTTTCTGTTAATTAATTGTTTAAGTATTTTGGAATTATTATCTGGTTTTGGAACATCATGTAATCTGTTTTAAATTTATAATTGTAATTTTCTAAATTATAGAGATATAAACATTACTGTAAATTAGTTTATTAAAATTTAGTTGGTTTTAATTGATTTTCTAAATTAATGTTTTCTTATTAAGATTTCTATTTGTTTTAAATTTATACAGGAGTGGAAGGAGCTGAAGTTTTATTTTTAGCATCAAGTTATCTATAATAATTGGTAGATTATGGAATCAATTTTTATTCATGAACAGATTTATGTGATTCATGTTTTTGAACAGAAACTTATTGTAATAGTTTTTATAAAGATTGTATTTGTTCTGTATATTTTTATTTAATTTTTTTGATTTCATTATTCATTTCATCATTTAATTATTAAATTTTGTCTTCGATTTATTTTTATTTTTTAAGAGGTGATTCAGTAACAGGTATTCTTAATTGATTAAGACTCTATAAACCATATTCAGACTAAAAAATAAGAATTTAGAAAATACCACTCTATTCATAGCCTTCTCATAAACTTCAGCATCTTAATATTAATGTTCTAACATTGTACCAGTATCATTCATAGGAATAGAATCAATATCATTTACTATCATAGTTCCAAGATCTTCTTCTTCTTCTTCACATTCTACAAGAGTATCTAATTAAACTATTGCTTATTCTTATGATTATTCATTATTTTATTCGTGTTATTTATTTTATTTTTATCTTTTGTAATTTTCAATCATCTTTCCATTTTTAATCATAAATTATTATACATATTCTCTACTTTTGCAAAACCTTTAAAAGAATGGATCTTGAAGTAACTCTTTTGTTGATGGTCTTTCTTTAGGATCTAAAATTAGACATTTCTTAACAAATGTATTAAATTCTTTAGACCATCGGGATTAATCAGTTAATGAGTTTGGAGGATTATTTTTTATTGCAAACATTGCTCTAATTGGATGAATATGAGCATATGGAGGTTCACCTTCAGCCATTTCAATTGCAGTGATTCCTAATGACCAAATATCGGTTTTCTTATTATAACGAGATTTTAATAAAATCTCAGGAGACATCCAAAAAGGGCTACCAATAACTGTATCTGTATCAGCCATTGTGTGTACTAATTAAGTTGAAACTCCAAAATCTGCTAACTTTATATTCCCTAAATGATCTATTAGAATATTTCCACATTTTATATCTCTATGTATTTTCTTATGATTATGCATGTAATCTATTCCTTTGGACTGTTAAATATTATCGTACCTTTTAATGTTTAATAAAGGACTGTTGCTATCAATTCTTCAGGTAAACAAGAACCATTAAAATTCATTGCTTTCACTAAATCTATCACACTTCCTCCAGCACAATATTCCATTACTAACCACAATTATCCATTTGAATGATATGATCCAAAGTATTTAACTATATTATCACTTCTACAATCTCTAAGTATTTGAATTTCTCTTTTCAATGATTCGATCTCACCAGTTGTTGGAACTATTTTTATTGCAACAACCTTTCCATTATCTAATTAAGTGGCCTTATAAACTTGACCATATGATCCTTCACCAATTACACCTTCTAGACGATAAAAATCCTCTGGGTTCATTAAACTTTCGTTCATTTTGAATTTATTTAAATTAAATCGTTGATGTATAATTTTACACTTTCTTCAATTTTATACTTCTCATCATTTTACAAATCAATCTCTTGCGAATCATCAAAATCCAGTTACCAAACAATTCTTATATACTTAATTACCATATCAAATTAATTAATTATGAACTATCTCAAAACTTAATTCATCCTCATTATACTTCTATAATTACATTCCAAATAGCATACATTCTTTTTATTATTCCTACTAAAAGGTTCCTAACTAGTTACTCATATTTTTAATACAAAGGAACATTAATTTTAAGAAATTACCCATACCTAATCCATCTCATAAAAATATGTTAGATTTCTACTAGGTTGTAAAGATTACTAATTACTATTCATAAATTCAAATAAACATCAACCATTATAGATTACTCTATATTTTCTTATATTTTTATATGTTCTACAAACTTCTAATCAAATAATTCATAAATATTGAAATAATGTATACTTTTATACATATAAATAATTTTTGCTTTAAAATCAATATAGAATTATGAATAAAAAATCAAACAAGATATTGTACTACATTAAGGGGCTCTAAATATATTACCTACTTTCTGATATTATTTTTGGTATATATTTAGATTTATCAAATTTTGACCATTTTCAAAAAGCTGAACTGAAAACTTAATGAATTATAAATGAGATATCCTATGAGAATAAATTGGAAATAAATTAATCATTTAGTGAAAAATAATTATTTGATTTCTAAATATTTTTAAGAATTTTTGTTCAAATGAAATCTAAATTAAATAGAGAGGATTATTAATTTCGAAAGAAAACAGGTTAAGAATTGATTAAAAATCCTGGATAATTAAATGGATTAGATTTTGTCATATCAAATTGTGAAGACTGTACAATCTATATTTGTGATCATGCTGCATAAATTTTTGTGGATTTAAGCAAGAATTGCAAAATATATATTGGACCTGTAGAAGGGTCTATATTTGTTAGAAAATGTGAAAATATTGAAATAAGTGCAGCATCTAGTTAATTTAGAGTATCAAATTCAAATAAGTACTTAAAATATATATTATTAAGTATCTAATGTTTTGTTTACACCTCAAGTGATCCAGCACTTGAAAAATCAACAGGTATTGTGTTTGCTCCATATAATTTTGCTTATCCTGGGATAACTGAAGCTTTTGGAAAAGCTAAGTTAGATCCTACAAATAATAAATGGAGTGAAGTTTTTGATTTTACTCCTAATAATGAGATTAGTAATTGGACTCTTTTACATCCATCTTAATTTCATTTAGTTAGTAAATCAATAGAAGGTCTTGTAGAATCTGAATAATGTCCTGTTTTAATTCCTATTACGTATGGTGGAACATGCGATAAGAAAATAATATTAGGAAGTGCTGATTAGAAAACTAGTGGATTAGAATTAGATTTTTTGATGGGTAAAGAGAATGTTAAGAATTAATAATAATTATCTGATGAAAATTAAGTTTATGTAGAGACTCAATTGATATCAAAAAATTAAACTAATTCTAAGGAATAATAGAATTTAATACAAGGTAATCAAGTTGAATTTGTATTTGATGCAGAAAGTTTTAAAAGTACAGAACCCTAAATAAATGTACAAAGTATAAATACTTTTAATGCATTTGATGAAATAGTGGTGGATAATTAATTTAACATATAAAATTCAAACTTGAGCTAATAGATGTAGAAAGATGTAATATAATTGTTTAAAACTAATATAGGAATCTGAGAGAAAATTAAAAGAATAGAAAAGAAAATAAGCTTAAGAATATTTACAAAAGTTTATGAGGTAAAATAAGTAAATAAATGTGATTATAGTGATTTTACAGAATAAACAAATTAAAGAAAAACATAAAATAGAGCTATTGTTAGAGAGAATGTTTAGAAAGAGTAGGGATGGAAGACAGTTGTTTCAAATATAGATTTAAAAGATAATGGAGGAGAAAAAGATGTTAGTAAAATGGCTTAGGCTATCAAAAATAAATTAATGGATAGACTAAAATGATATGAGGAATAATTAAATTATTATATAAATTAATAATATATTTATGGGAAATAAATCTCTTTGCTGTTCAAATTAAGCAGAACTACAATCATAAATTTATAAATAAGATGGAAGACCTTAGGCATAAATTATTCAATAAACTGATGTTAATGGGTGTCGAGTAGTTTTAAGTTTAGGAAAACTATTTAATGAATAAGTTGACATTATTGTACTACCTACAACTCAGAAATTGAAACTTAGTACTTTATCATCTGATCATATTAAGTAGAATATCTAATTAATTTTACAGAAAATTTGGCAGTAATTAAATATTGAATGAATTACATCAAATTCTTTTGAGCGAAGGTGGAAAAGTATAGTTAGGATCTGTTGTTCATACTCATGCTGGAGAAGTTATTTATTCTTTAAAAATTTTAGATGCCTTATGATTATTTATTCTTTGCTGTATTGCCATGTGCTAACGATGCTTCTATTATTGTTTTAAATGAATCACTAGAATAAGAGATGGTTAGTTCACTTGAAGAAAACTTCAGAGTTAATTCAATTACAGCCTATGCTGACAAAAAGAAACTTGATTCTACATAGTCTAGAGAAATTTAAATTGTCTATGAAGCTATTATTAATTGTTTAGAAAAAGCTACAGAATTGGGTGTTAAATCTATTGCCTTCTCCGTTATGGATTAATAAGTCATTCAAATTGCAAGAAGTAAATTAGCTTCAGTCATGCTTTTTGCTATCAAGACTTTCCTGAGAGATAATGCGAGTTAAACTACTTTAGCTGAAATAAGAATATCATCTTGTGAAGCACCATCTTTTAAAATTTATAGAACCTATATGAATTAAATTTTAAATGATTAGGGTGAAACTACTATTGAGAAACTATTTTAATAAGAGGAATAAATTTATTAATAAGAATTCAAAATTGACAGTTAAAATGATATCAAGAGAGATGATATTCGAAAATTTTGTAATGGATGTCAGAATGGAGATTACAAAGTAAAAGATTTTAAAAGTTCTTTCTGATAAATCTATTATTATATCTGTATATAAATATATGTTATGATACTTCGTTTCATTTTATCCTCTATACTTATGGATAGGATTTAAGAGTATTGTAAACATTCATTAAATTAATTATTTTGAATTCAAAATAAAATAGCATGTAACCGTAAATTGTTGATGATTGTCTCCATTAATAGGTAGAAATGTAACGAATAATATAGTTGAGACGCATTTTTAGTTTTCCTATCTTAAGTAGAAACAATTTTCTATTGAAAAAATTTGATTCCTCCACTGGGTATATTCGTCTTTCTTGTTTGGCAAAAGAGAATAGTTTTCGGTAATTTTTAGAATATCAAAATGGATTGCAAAATTTGGTGAATGTATTTTTATGTTTAACATCATTCAATTAGGTATTAATTCAATTCAACTACACTAATTGGGTATATGATTAAACCTTTAATGCAGTGTGTCCAATCTTTACAAAAGAGAGAAAATAGGTTTAGATTTTGATTTAGAAAAATCAAGTAGAAGAATTTAAGAAATTTTTATAAGAATTGGAAGTTAAATAAGAATGGGAACCAATGGAAGCTATTTATATTCCTAATAAGGATATGATTAAATTATTCATTGTTTTTGAAACTTAAGAAGATGCTCAATATGGTTTTAGCAAAATTTAATTATCGAAATCGATTGTAAGAGAATTAATATATAATTGTGTAGTATGGCATATAAAATGCTAAGATGGAAGAAGTTGACTATTTTGCTAAATTTTTGAGTATTGTTACAACAAAATAACTATAATTTTAAGAATAAAGAATGAATAATATGAGAAAGTACGATGATAGAAATTATGATGAGATTCAAAATTAATTTTAGATTCATTAATAATATTAATAATAATCATCATAGTATGTTTAATAATAATAACAACCTTAATAATGGTAGTAATAGTAAACTTAATAATAATAATAATAACCTTAATAACCTTAATAACAATAATAATAACAAACTTAATCATAATAATAATAATAGCAACCTTAATAATAAGAATAATAATAGTTTTACGATTATTAATCTTTAGATATAGTTAGTTAAAGATTAAATTAAATAAGAACAAAGGAGAAAATAGAATTAAATTTTGCACCATTATAAGAATAATAATTTTAATTTTCCTTTGCTCCTATATTTTATCCACCATAGACAGAAATACCTTTAAATTAACAAAAATTACCAGAATAAGAGCCAATATAGGTTGAGAATTTATAGGAAATACCATATGTAGAATAGTAAAGTCAATAACCAGAATAAAGATAAGAAAAAGAGACAGAATCGAATAAGGAAAATTCTGTTGATAAAAATCATGATAAAAAATATGATGAAGGAGGAAATGAATAGTATTAGAAACCTTATTATCAAAATAGATATTAGGTATTAATATGAGAAATTTAAATATAGTAAAAGAGAAGACCATACAATGATTCACATTATCATTAGAATAAGTATTATGAAAAAGGGAATAATAATAGAAAGGCTTAATAAAATTACAGTAAAATAAAATTCTTAAATAGTATAGATAATTTGGAAGATGATTTGAAAGAGTTTACAGGATATAAGAAATATTAATAAAGACCTTAGAAAGAATATTATGAGCCAAAGAAGGAATCCTGAATTCTCTAAAGCATTTTTTTGTTAATTATAAAAATTAATCTCTGTACATTTCATCATATATATGATTATGAATTAAACATAGAAATTGGCATATTATCCAAATTTGCTTGTAAGACGTTGTATAAATATGGATAGGGTTAATCAGAGAGAGTGATATAGTAAAATATAGAGAATAAAAGAGGTTTGGAAGAGTATTTAGCTATTTTATAAGAAAGAGCAAACATTGAAGATCAATATGCAAAAGCATTACATAAATTATAGTAGTAGATTGACAGATCAAGGTATTTAAATTTTGTATTGAATTTTATAGTATAAGTTATTTAAGGGAGTAATTGGTAAATTAGTTAAGATAAAAAATTGAGAGGTTGGAGAATTTTGCAGATTTGATTAGATCAGAGATAATTGATTAGGTGAAAGAAATCTTATAGGATTAAAATTAAATATCAAAAAGAATTATTGATGAGATGAAAGGTCTTGAATGGGATTTATAAGATAAATAGGATGATTTGTTGGGAGGAAAATTAGATTATAAATTATAGGCTAGAGAATTGGAGTAATCTGGGATTTAAGATATTATATATTAATATAGTCTTGATATTTCAGAAGACAAAGCCACGAAATAAGTAATTAAGTATATATTTATATATAACATTATAATAGAACTTAATAAGTCTAAACAGAATGCATAAAATTAGAAAAAGAATTTGAGGTTATAGTATTATCTTATAATGAATTTATTGATGTATATAAAACAAAGATGGAAAACTATTTGACATAAATGGAAGAATAAGAATAATAAAAGATGTTAGTGCAAAAGGATACTTTGATGAAGCTTTTTTTATTTGAATCTTCTATTTTTAAATAGTCTTTATAGGACAATGAGAAATTGAATGATTAAATTAAAAAAACTAATCTTTAAGATATATTAGAGAATTTCATTATGAAATATTAAAAACCTTAAGAAATACCTAGATAACTTGAATTTAAACCTTATAGTTCATTTTTAGCAAAGACAATTGAAAGTATGAAAAGTTAGGAATACTAAAGATTAAAGGATGTAATTAAGGCACATAATGACACATTTTACAATATTTATGATGATTGTATAAAGAAGAGTGTATAAAATTAAATAAGTTTAATAGAATTTATAAACTATAGAAGAATAAGAATTAACCCATTTGATAAATCGTAATAGTGTATAAGCACTTTATAAGATTATGTAAATTCATATTAATTGTGTTTGGAATGCAAATGAAATTTAAAATAATGAGACTATTATAGGATTACTTAGATAGAACACATAGAATAGATTACTTTGGTGTTAAGCTTTGGAGATATAGGCGAATAAAAGTAATTTTAAGGTTCCATCTAATGATGCTTATGATTAACTTGTTAAATGGAGTTAAAAAATGATTAATTTAGTAAATTAAAATTAAATGTAGAGTGTTTAGAGTTTTGGGATCCTTCACCTTTGAGAAAACTTATAACAATTAGTTCTATTATTCACATATCTATTTAAAATAAGAAACATTTTTTGATGTATAACATAAAAGAAAATAAATTGTTACAAACTGCAGATTTTATTGAAGCAGTTATTGTTTAAAGTGTTTATGATGCTTTGGTTGAAGAAATAAAGGAAGTAACCACTTAAGAAGAGAGAATTAGAAAGTAACTTTTTATATTTTACCTTTTAGACAAAAGATTAACATCTTAACCTAATTATCAAAGGTCTGTTTCACTTTATTATAGTTCAATCCTGTTAGTGTAATTAAATCTTATGCTGAAAATTATTTAAGATATTTATCTGTAGCTCATGATGCTACTGATAATTTATTATTTTAAATTGAGAGTTTTGAGTAATTTTGAAAAAAAAAATTGATATATTTATTAAAATAAATATATATATAAATAAATACCAAAATATTAATTCAACTTTAAAACTAAATGAGTAATAATTATTCCGAAAGCTCAAGTTGTAAACTTCTTTTTCTTGGTCCATTGTTCCATCTTTAATGACTTGTCTATCCCATTTACAATGACCTATTAATTATTTTCATGTTTATATTTGCTAGAAGATATTAATAATTATTATCTAAATTTAGATATGAATGTCTATAATTGATAATTATTTCTTCTGACCTTGAAATTGGGATTATAAATTAATTGTGATAAATTTAATTCCTTTCTGCCCATATAATTGCTAAAAACTAAATTAGAATCTTATTATTAATATGAATAATCTTCAATTTATAAAGCTGGTGTTAATTGTTTTAATTTCTTCACTAATTTTATTACGGTTAGAATTTAGATTTTTACTCATTAATTTTATTGATGTCTACTATTGTTATTTAATGAATAAGTTGTTGTTGCAATTATGATATTATCTCAATATTTTTAATAAAATCTACTTCCCTAAGATCCTGCAATAATACTGGTGTATCTTATTATCTAAATAAAAAATGCATTCAATTGCTTCATGAAAATATCATTTCTTTACTCAATATAATATATTAGTAATGATAAAATGAATATAAAATAGAAAATTGGAATTAAATAGTAAAAAAATTAAAAGGATAATCAAATAAAATGAATGATTTGCTGAAATATTAAACAATAAATGAAAAAGGATAGAATATACATATGTACATAAAAAATAAATTTTATGAACTAATATATATTATATGATAATAATTATATCAAGTGTAATAATATACTTACTATCAGTTGGAACTGCTTTATATGACACAAATAATATATATTTGTAAAGAGAAGATAATAAAGGGTTAAAAAGGCGCTTTAATTGTAATTTGGATGATAATTCGATAATTTATTTTGAAGGGAACGATTCATATGTTCTTCAATATTTTACAACACCTTAGCATACTTGGTTAAGATTAGAAGTGGTTTTATATGTGTATATTAAATTTTTGAGTAAGGATTAGAGAGAGCAAGACTAATTAGTTAGAAGTGTATATCGATAATAATTTGGTTTTATCAAATAAAACATAACCATAATAAGGTGTGCAATACTGTTAAAATATGAAGAGCAATTATTTTAATAATATGAATATGATAAATTATAAAATAGAAATACAACATAGTGGAAATAATGTATTAATAATTTTTGTAGGTAAAATGAGTGAGGGGGTAATATTGTAAAATATTATTAAAAGTGGGGAATAAGTAATCTTACATTATCTGTGTAAAAATGTCCGGATGGATGTGTAATATGTGGTGATGGGGACAGATAAGATTAATGTTAGGTTTGGTTATTTGGTTTTAAAAATTTGGAATTGAGAAAGTATTAGGAATTGAATATAGACGGTTGGAATGTGGAGAATGGTAAAAATTAAACTTCAATTTGTGGTATATGAATGAGATGTTGATTGATAGGTATTGAGGTGTATGGAGGTTATAACAATTTTGGATCAAAAACAATATTAAGTAAATAGTTTATAATGAAACCACACTTTAAAGTTCGAATATAAGTGTAATGGGTAAAGATTGATTCATGGGATAATGAATAAGGATAGATGTTAGTAGATGGAACGGTTGTGTGGAAGAATAATTATACTAATTCTGATGAATATGGAATAAAAGTTTGTGGAAATCTTAATGAAAATTATAAAACAGTTTATTAAAATATTGATATAACAGTAGATCATACAGGCAAGTATATGTTATTATAATTTAAATCAACACTTGATTAAGCAGCAGATGATGAATCTTTTGGATTAACAGATTTATATATATATTATTTACCATGTGCTGATTAATGTGATGAATGTTCTGGTCCTTAAATTTAAGATTGTATAAGTAATATTTCAGAGTTAATTTAGAATGTTCTAATAATTAATTTTATGATTCTGGTTAATGTTATAACATTTAGAATTTTGTAGAATTAGAATCTGATTTTATGTCTATCCTATTTAATAATCTAAATGATTGGAAAGTATATGGAAGTTAAAAGGAAAATTTTATTACAGATTGTGCAGGATTTAGTCTAGTTGGAGGATTTGAAGTTATGGGTAATGGAGGATATATTACGAAAAAATTTTAAATTCCACCTCATACTAGATTAAGATTATAGGTTTTACTATATAAAATAGATTCTTGGGATGATGAGAAATTTATAATTGAAGTTGATGATGCTTAAATTTGGACTCATAGTTGGTTTGTAGATACAGATTCCTATTATTGTGGTCAAATGTGGGCTGATTCCAAAATATTTGTAGATGTTATATTTTAACATACTAATCAAGAAGCTACGATCAAATTTACTACCACTCTAAATCAAGATGCTGTTGATGGTTTTATTATATTCTATTTCATTAGAATCATGGGGTTTCCGTGAATTCAATTTAATGTATGAATCAGTTCCAGTCATAGAATTAATATCTAGTGCTACATAAATCTTTAATTTAGTATTATTAATATTTTTTATTTATTTTTGATATTATATAATAAGAACAATTTCACCATTCTAATTTGTCCAAACCTTCATTCCATAACTTTTATCTTGTGTTATAAATAGGTAAATATTATATGAAAAACCTTTTGAGTTAACTTTTCAATTGATTAACTTGCTTTCAATCATAAGATTCACCTAAAGTCGTATTTAGAATTATCTTAACCAAATTACATTAAATTTAAATTTATTAAATAGAATAATATAACTATCTAAAGAGTCAAATTTTTATTTTAAAAATATTAACCAAAAAAGGTATTTTTGATATTTTTTACAGACTTTTTCACTTCTTATAAGAACTCAGAATCTTCAAGCCTTCTTTGTATTCACTTCCTATTATCAACTTATTAAACAAGAGGTTATTCTAGAATTTTTGAAATTGAAAAATTAAATAGTTTACACTCTCTGCATTTAAAGTTAATTTTATACCATCTAAAAATATTAAAATTAATACTAATATTGCTAATTTTCTTAGTATGTAATCAGATATAAATTTTTCCTTTTATTTTCTTCAATGATTATGTTTTTGTTATCACTTAACCATTTTCAATTTTTTATATATATTCTCCATCAAGCTTTTCTCTTTTTTATTAGTTAATTCTTTCAATTTTTTAATGATTTCTCATGTTTACTTTACAATTTACTCTAGTTATTATAGCTCTTTTAATCTACAAAAGGGTTTGCCATTTGATATTATAGAATACTATATCCTAAGAAAGTAGATAATTTCCTCTTGGTAACTTATTTCTAACATTCTTCTCATCCATATCTCAACTTAAAGAATTTGAATTTCTTTTGTGATATAAATAGTACAATAACAAGGCTGTCAATATCAAAACTATTTTAACTAATATAATTGCCATTATAAATATGATTATATTATTTATTTACTTTATATATTAATTGTTAGTGTTGAAATCGATCATTTCATAAATCCATTCCTATTAACATCTAATAGAAAAATCTTATTATACTTTTACAAATATCGCCTTCATATTATAGAGATATAATGCAAAAATTATGATTTAAATTTCAAATAGTCTATTAATGAATGCAAGCTTAGATTCTTAGATAAATTACCGATCAAGTTTATTAATAATTATTATTTAGAGACTTACTAAAAATTATATCCTCTTTTCTAATACCTAAATAATTAGATAAAGAATGGCAAATTAAAGTAACATAATTTAAAAATATAAATTCACTTATTATCAATGTTTAGTATATTATATCCTCTGATTTTACAAGATATATTAAATTCTATGTATATCTTTTAAACACAGATATATTGCTGAATATGGTTGGATTAACTTATATTTTGATTTAAGGGTATTTACTTTGTTCAATGCATACATTTCGTATTTGAAATTACAATCAGACATAATACTAATAATAGCCATTATGTTATATATATAAATTTGATAGTATTAGAATGCTATGATGAGTATAATACAACAAAAAATTTATAATTTATATTAGAAGATTATATATTTTAAGACCTTTTCTTTTGATTTTTAAATCAAAACCGCTGTTTTTTTTAATGGAATTTTTGCTCAATTATAATTCTCCCTGAAGCTTTATATTTAAATAAAATTTCAGGTAAAATTTCAGCAATAATTTATTTTTCTTGTTGAGTATTGATTATATGCTTATAAACCACTTATTCGATTGATCTATTTTAGAAATAATTAATTTCGGATTTAATAAGTTATATATTATAACATCGAATAAAATCATTTCGTCATTAAATATCCTCATTTATTACTTATGACTTGTATTTCCCTTTAAATGGATTGCTACAATTCTATTAATCTACTTACAAAATGTTTATGCGCCTATTTTTACTATATTGCTTCTGAGTTAAATCGATAAAATTTATATATCAAACTTAAAAAATCTATATATAATTTTTTGATGAATTCAAGCTAATCCCTAACTTCTTCATTTATTTTATTGTTTTGCTTATTTCAAAAAGATTATTGGTTGTTTCTCAATTAAGTAATGCATTTTAAATTACTCTGGCTATAGAGACCTGGAACGAATTTAATTAATTTAGCTGGATTATTTAAAAATATATGAAAGAAAAGGTTTTAAAAGTCATGATTGTTATAACTTCTACTTTTATATAAAAACTTTTTGAAGGAAAATACTTTCCTTTTTGTTTGTGTGCTGAATTCACTTTTATTATTTCATTGTTTATATTTAAATTCATTTGATATATAGACATTTCTGCCTGTAATTTAACAAAATATATCTACAAATGAACATGAGTGGAAGGTTTATATTCAACAAAATTAAGATGATAAAAATTTACCCACTCTTAGAAACGGACCTACGGATGATTTAGACTTTTATTTATTTTATAGTTTTAGATTACGTAAACATAAAAATGCAGACAAACAAATTATAAGAAGGTATTTCTCATTAAAAGTCAAAGAGAATAATAAAAATCACCAAAATAATATAGAGTCAATATAAGAAAAATGTTTTGAAAACTAATATAAATATAGTCAATCAGATAAGAAGATTAGAGATCCCTAAGATTCCCTTGATTGTTATTTTGCTTTTTTTGACTGAAGAAAGTCCTATTCTTTTTTCTTCTGGTTTCGAAATTCCAATAACGAATTTATGGTTTTGAATCTATTTGATAAATCCTTCAACTTAAGGTGATGAGGGAGAGCTTATTAAGTCTGTCTCTTAAATATCCCAGTCAGAAATAGATATCTTAGTTGATTGTTCTTCAAATGGGGTTTTACTATTCATTTAATGATTTTCCGATAATTAAGATTGATAAATTTATCTAAACAATTATAATCTTAAGTAATTAATAGTGCTAGTATAATATAAGTTGTTGTTTTGATTACGTTTATTATGTATGTTTTACATTTATAATTTACCTTAAATAGATACAATAGTTATGGATAATTTCAATCAAAAAGTTTGTAATGAAATAATCTTATTTAATCTTAATTATAACAATAATTAATTATATTAAATATACAGAAAACTAATCTATAAAATTATAAGTTTAAATTTATTCAAATGCTTAGAATGCTATTGAAATGGTAGTTTCAAGAACAATTTAATAAATAATTATCTGGCTTATGATACTGAACATTTTATATATAAATTTATTAACTTTATAAAGGGATATAAAATCAAGAAATAAGTAAAGTAATAAATTCTAACCAATTGAAAACCCGATATAAGAAATTTGAATCAAAAGATGGAAAAAATATGTGATTACTTTATCATTATATGAGATGCAATAATTAAAAAAAGTTAAGTAGAAATCTCGACCTAAAGTTTAATAATATGAAACCTAATTTGAAATTCCTGAAGAATAAATGAGCTCTAAATATAACATATTTTTAGAGATGAATGTTTCAGATTTAAAAGTAGATGACGAAAATTTAGAATATGGAAATTTAGATTAATCAATCATGAAAATTTAGTCATTTTTAAGTGAAAAGGAGTGAATTTGTTTTTATGATGAAATAAATTAGAGTTATGATGATGCATATTAAAATGACAAAAAGATAGATGAATTAGTATGCAAAAAAAAATTAAACTAATACCGCTTATTTTAAAAAATAATTAGATAGCATTATTAATTTAAGTGTTGAATGTAAATATTATAAGGATAATTATGGGAATATCATATATTCAAATAGTACTTAATGAAATTATGATAAAAGTTTTGATCTTTGATAAGATCAAACTGATTGATTAATTTTTGCAAATCTTATAAGCATATATGTAATTAAATTTCACAATTTTAAATAATGTTTTATAAATTTGGTATATTGTTCATGATTTTTCATTCTCATTTACATAATTGTCAATAAACAATCTTATTTAAATTTCTTTAATGGTTCTTTATCTAATTATTGTTTTTTTGTGATCTATAAGCATTTAGCTTAAGTATTTTACTATATTTCTGCCAGATTGAATTATTCTTAAAAGAATTAAATAAATGCATCATCAACAACATCCAATAATTAATGATGAGCTTACATAGGTTACCTTTTGACTATTAATGTATAAATACTTCAATGTATGTATAAAAAATACATCATAAAATAACATATGTGAAATATCAACAATTTTATGGATTGAAAACTCAAATTTGAGTTGTTGTTGCATATTAGTTAATTCTTTAGATAGATATTTTAAGGTTAAATTTTCTCTACGGTCTGATAAATCTTTACGAGCTTAAGAGGATAAAATAGTGAAAATTGAAGGATACCAAATAGATAATGCAATTATGAAGTCAGACTTAATATTTAGTTTATAAAATTCTATCAATTTATCATAGAGATTAAATAGTTAGACATTTGTAAACCTTTTAAGTTCTATTTCTTATTTTGAATTGTTTATTTTTTAATATGATTACTAAAAATGATAATTGTATATGTTATAATTAATAAGTAAGTCTTCCCAATAATCCAAAGTTAATTACTCTAGATAATTAGCATAGTAATTGATTGCTTCATGAAATGGTGGATCATATTCTTAATTAGTAGACATACGTAATCTATAAAAGTTCCTTACAAATTTTAAAAAATCTAAGTCCTTTAGTTCCATATATTCCATTAATATAATTCAAATTTTAATTAATATGATGCCTAACAACTAGTAATACTAAAGTCCTTAGAGTTCTTAATTGCCTGTCTAAAGTTACAAGTACTTAGAAGTTGTGCGTGAAGAGGATGCTGAAGATGAGAAACCAACTCATATTTTTAGTGAGAATTTAACGGAAAGTCAAACAAGTAAGTATAATCCTTATATTATATTTTTAAGGAATGCTTACTGCTTATACAACTCCTATGAAGAATATAAAACGTAATGGAGGTAATTCTTCATCCTCTGGAAGAAGTCCCTTTTAAGAACTCTAAAAATCAAGTTCTAATTAAGTAATTCAAATTAAAAAATCATTAGAAAATTATAACCACTCTAACACCAAATAAAAATTCAGTTTTGAAGATCAGATGACATTTTTTTTAATTTGCATTTCCACTTATTAAAATGCATAACTCTAATAATTTACTTTTAACATTTGCATCTATTAAGAATATAAACTTTTTATTTAATAATATATTTAATATCAAGTTTTAATATTTTTATTTTCTATAACATTACATTATATTATTTAACTACATTTTATTTAACTCAATTAGATTAAGAAATTTATACTCAAAAACTACAACTTTATAATATTGTTCTTAAAAATATTTATTATTTAAAGTAATGTAATAAATTGATTAATTCATAAATTTTGTTGGATTAGAAGCATGTGATTATGAAAAAACTCTTATTGGAATTGCAAATTATCTAGGATTTAAAAGGCCTAGTTATTTAGCATTATCTTATTTGTCATTTTCAATATTGCTAATTTATTTAAATATTCAACCTCAATTTATTAGTGACTTTATAGGATTTTGTTTTCCAGCATTTAAAACATTTTAAGCATTAAATTCCATATGTAAGATATTCTTAACTATATAATTTAGATGATTCTTAATTAAAGTGGATAACTTATTGGATAATGTACTCATTAGTTGTATTGAGCCATAAAATCATATTATATTACATACAAGCATACACTTTGTATTATATTTTCAGAATTGCAGTGTTTATATACTTGTTTTCAAGCGGAGCTGAAAAGTTATAATAATCAATAGAGATTTTATATAAAAAATATTCATAGGGAATAGAGAGAAAATTGGAGGAATTAAATTAAAAATTCACTTTTTGAAAAAAATTTATTTTCATTGTTCAGATTTTTTATGAAGGTCTAAATATTCGCTTTCCTCTTATATTCTCTATATATAACAAGATCTAAATATTTATCCTTAATTCTTTATCCTATATTGTCTAAATAAAGAATTTCAATTTTCTCCATAAAATATTGAATTTTTTAACTATTTTATCAAAATTGAATCCTTTACTTGTTTATTAATGTTTTTTTTCTATATAGAAATATCTTATTTTAATAATTTAGATTGGTGTTTAAAGTTGAGAATTCTATTTTTTAATTCATCTATTAAAATATTCTAGCTCTCTAATTTATTCGATTCTAAAGTATGAAAAACAAAAAGGAACTTTCATAAAAAATAAATTGTTCAAATTTTGATAATATAACTTGATTAGTTTTTGAGTTTGTAATTTTTTAAATATGAGATTAAGTTATTCTTTTGAGAGATTCAAAATCAAAAACAACTAAATTAATTAAATGATTTTAGTATTCATAGTACATTTAGATAAATACATTGTATTAAATTTGTGATATATAGAAGATTAATCTGTTTAAAAGGGTATTATTAGACTTCTTTGATTAGATTAGCTTCATAGGTTTATAAGTTTATGGATATTTATTAATAAATAAAAATAAATGGATAATTATTTCACCATAATCAGTTTGCTTGGTTTGAGAAATTAGAATTTACCACCATTTAGGTAAATGTTTATAAATGATTATATAGAGAAGCTCGTTTAAAGAGATATAGATCTATAAAGAAAATGGTGGAGTTGATTGAAACAGCAGGATGGACACAACCAAAAATACCATATAATGCATTTTGTTTAAGTTCATAAGATCGTATTGATTTTGATATAGATTGAATAGCTGAATGGGAAGATGATATGACTTATCCTGTAATTGAATATAATAAATTTGGATATTAAGCAGTGGCATTTGGAATAAATTTGGTATATAAATTGAATAATAAAATAAAGTTCCTTTATGCTTACAATTATAATGTGATAACATAAAATATTAGATTTAGAACATTTCGATATCTCTTTCCAGTTGTATAATGTGTTATATTTGGCAAAATATATTTCGAATATAAATCAGAACTTACAAAAGTAAATTTGTTTGATGAATATGTTCAATTGAGAGCATAAGAATTAGTGAAAGAAAATGAATATTTATTGGAACATGAAGGTTCTAATCTATAGCAATTAATATAGATATTAAAAGATTTGTATGGTGGTATGAAGATTATAAAGAAACATTGTGTAGAGTACATAGACAAGCTAATGATCATGCAGCTACAGATTTTAAAGATTCAGAATTAATCCTTCAAGATTTCATTAGAAGATATACCAATCCAAATTCAAATAGACCACTTAATATCTAAGAGAAAGGAGTCTTGTTTTGAAATAACCATTTATCCAAATATCATAACAATAGAAAAATTTTTATTACTCCATCGAAATTCATGCAAACTATATAATTCTAATATTCTGCTAAATTAGCCACTCCATCTTATGATACACTTTGAATGTTCTTAACTTATAACACTTTCTCTTTTTCTTGTGCCCTCACAAATAAACTATTTTCAGGATTTAACTCATTTAAATTAACATCTGTTATTGATATTGTACCATCATAACATCCACATATTATTCTGAATTCTGTTGCACTTATTGAACTGAATACTCCTCTTGAAATAAATGAATTATGTCCTAACAAACGTATCCATGATATTTTAGAATTAAAATTTACAACGTAAGCTGAATCATCCTAAGCTCCTAAACAAACCTATTTAACTAGCTCTATTTACACTGCTAAAATTAGGATTAAATGAAAATGAACATATTCCACAACATTCTGTTTTAAACGAAAATAATGGTTTATTATTCATTGCATCTAATAATCTAAAGTATCCATCTAATCCACTCATAGCTAAACATAATCCATTATCCATTCTTTATTCAGGTTTATTAAGATGTTCTAATGGACTAAAGGGTAATATTTCTATATGATTTATTGACATTGCTTCAAATCTAAATAAATATACTGGATTCATCTTTTGCTAACAAAATTAAAAGTTGGAAAATTCACCATGATTTAAATAATTATAATGAAAATTAGGATCTTCAAATTTTTTCAGTGTTTTCTAACTTACTTTTATAGATTAAAATACTACCTAATTTTTTATGATATTAAAATGATAATCTAATAAATTTCTCATATTCGCCTTAGAATTTTAGCATTTAATAATCTTGATGATAAATACAAATCACTCCTTCTAAAAAGAGTGTCACAAAATTTTTTTGAAAAATATGGATTTTTATAGGCTTTTTCTTAATAATAATTTCTGAATTCTGTCGATTGAATTCTTTCATTACTCGCTGTGTTGATATCTGTTTTTATATTATTCTACCATCCATATATCCACCAATTATATTATCTGCATCTAATAATCTAAAACAGGATAATAATTAATTTGGAAATTCTTCATGCTATTTATTCTAAACAGCTTTTGTGCCTGCAAGTCCAATATATGCAAATAATTTAGGAATCTTCAAAGCCATTAAGGTCTCACTTTTTTATGCTATAAATAACAATAGAAGGTATATTTACTTATAAAATCTGTCTAAATTGTTTCAGGATCTGTAAAAGGCTCTTTGCTATTTATTGAGCATACCAAATACAATTTGTTTAATTTGGGTTATAAGACATCTAAAGTAATTGATTCATCTATAACTTTTTATTAATCCATAATTTAAAATTTGTAATAATATAGTTATTAATCTATTAATATTCACAAATGTACTCTAATAAACAATCTTTCATAATTAGATATTATTATTTATGATCAATTTAAATATATTTTAATGAAATCACAAAAATAGATTCTTCAGTCTATTGATACAATCTATTCCTGATTCAAAATAAACTTTTTCACATAACAAATCTTTTTTTTGAATTAACTTTTCTAAACCATAACCTTTTCTAACAAATATAATGTCTTCATTTCTTAATATTGTTCCTGGACAATAATCATTTTTGCCATCTCCAAAATAGCATACCTTTTCATAATTAGTTAATTGATAATTATCCATAATAATAGTTCTTTTGCACATATTTCTTGGACATGTAGATTCGCAATCATTTTTATGATATGGGAAAATGGATATTTCCATATCATCAATTATTTATACTGGATTAGTATAAATTTTATCGATTACATCCTTAAATCCTTACTTATCTAATATAGAATCTATGAAATAAGTATTTGAATCACTAGCAATTATACATTCAATTTACTCCTTATTTGTTCTAAAAAATATTTATTATAATTATTATACCTTATGAAATCAAACAATTCACCAAAACCTTAAGTTAATTCCATTTCTTATAAACAACTTTTTATCTATTAAACACTTATGTCATTATGATAATAAAACTATAAGACTTTTCTCATAAATTTATTCCAATGCTTTTCTTTTTCAAATTGGGAAGGTAAACTTTTCTGACCTTGTGGAAGTAATTTCCAAATGTAAGTATCTGTGTTATCATTTACTATAGTATTGTCAAAATCAAATATGAAAAGAAATCTTTTCTTTAACATTTTATAATAATAATAATTATTCAATCTCAACATTTGAATTGTATTAAGACAGATTCACCTAATTTTATCCAATTTTGCAATCCTTTTTAAAACTCAGATAAATTTAGAGAAATATTATTCGTATTGAAAGTAGTATCAATTGAATTAACAATGAATACATTTTTGTATGTGGGTGTTTATCTCAAAATATCTAAGCCTTTTATTATTAGAATGAAGAGATACTTTCCAAAATATATGTAGCTTTCTCTAATAATTAATAATCATTTGTAGATTTAGCTAGTTTAATAACATCATAAGCTCTAGATTGTTTATCCATCCAAATTTATTCTTAGGTGTCTATATTATTAACTTATATTTCATAGTGCTGATTGATTAAATTAACAACTTCATCTTTTCTTTATTTTATTAATTTGAAAATGGTAGCAAAGGTTTATTCGATTTCCTTGAGTACTTTTTATTTTGATTCTTCAAATGTTAGTTTAGTATGTCTGATGTCAACAAGAACAGTTTCTGTTTTTTCTAATTTAAGAAGTCCTTCTTTTGCAGCTGAATCCATTTATGTTCTAAGATCTTTAGTTGCCTTGTCCATTTGATCAACTAAATGTCCTTTGTGTTCACCAAACATAAGACATGTTGGACAAATCAATCTATAATGATAAATATTTTTACACATGACAAACAGTACAAAAGGCTTCAAGTTATCTTTTATGATTAATACATTCTCCAACTCGTAAGGTATCTTCACTGTTCAATTATTTTGCTGAGAGTGCAGATTTAGTTTAATCTGAATGCATATTAAATTATAGATTTATTTATATAAAAAATGTCAGAGCATTCACACTTAATGGATGAGAATGTAGTGTAATCTCAAATAAATTTCAAATACAAAACAAAACTTAATGGAATGTATAAAAATATGTAAAAGTATTAAAAGATCAGAACCATGTGAATTCTATTGTTTTACCTGTAATAAACCTAGAGTTTCAAGAATAGAATACTCATATAGCAAAGCTACATTTATATGGTGTTGTATATTATGTTTTTGCACTATAATATTGGGTTTGTTGCCATTTTGCATGTAGAAATGTTCTTCTAAAACGCATTATTGTCCTGATTGTGATAAAATAGTTGGACACACAGATGGAGAATTTTGTTGATGATAACATATATTTTTAGAATCATTTCTTCTCAAAAATTGAAATATCAAAGTTGTCAATGTCTTATTTTAACAATTCTTTTCTGTTAATATTCTTTTCTTTAGCTCTTTTTTTCAATCCTCTCAAATATTATCCTTTAATAAATCTAACATGATTAGGATTGACATCACCCATGAATTTGGCAATCTTTTTATTATTTACTACAATTTCAAAATATTTATGTAGACCCTCCAAAAACGATTTATATTGTTCTTCTTTCCATTCTTCCCTATTATCACTATGATAAATATAGGAACTAATAATATAAACTATATATATATACCGTTTTTGCTATGTTTTTGGAGCATTAATATAGTTAAGATAATCATCAATAGCCAAATTAACTTATTCTAAAGAAGATTTTAATCCTAAAAGACCATCTTTATTGCTCTTCAGAACTCCAAAATATTCTTTGAAATGTTCCTTTTTTGATGTATATACAATTTCGATGTAACTTTTGTAAACTCTTAGTAAATCATCATATTAATCAAAAGGAATATCATAATACAATTCTAATTATGCAAGCACATTAAAATAGTAATAATCATTTTACATATCAGTTTTGTTCCATTTTTAATAAGAATTAAGTGATTTATCATTCTTCTCTTCTTCATCATAATCTAATTGATTGATTTTCTAATCATCGAATTTATAATCAATTCCAAGAATTTATTAGGCAAATCTAAGAGATAAAATAAGAATGTTTCTAATTAATAATAATTCTTTTCTATAACTAGCAGGAGTACTAGAAAAGTAATTCATCAAACTAATGTTTTGATTTCTGCAATATTATTCAAAATCAGTCATCAATTTATCTTTAGATTATTCTAAATACTTTTGAAATAATTTCATGGATGTTTTTGATTCAGCATTATCATCTAAAATTATATTCTTTTTCTATTTATTCTACTTATAATTCTCTTGATCACTTAAACATAAATATAAAACTAAATTTTGAATTCTCAAATGTGATCTATTAAATTCACAATTCTCTCCAAAAATAAATCTGTAAATATATGGTAAAATGACTAAATCAATCTTGTAATAACAACAAACTTAATTTGGAACAAATATTGTTCTTCTTTCATCAACATCCAATCGTTATTATTCTTTGATCATAACTCTTCTATCTCTATATGATACTTAATCTGTTTTAGCCGATCTTGTTTCTTTATTTTAAACATACGTTACTCGACTCATCAAATCCACTTATTAATTCTTCACTAAATCAATTTATTATTGTAATTTTAACTGATATTTTCTCTACTTACATTCAACTAGAGATTGAATAATTTCATTATAAGAATCTATTGCTTATAACTATTTATTCTGAGAACTAAATTTTACAATGATATTTATTACTTCTCTTAATCATATTCTGATATCAATGCACTCACTTCAGGAATCCTTAAAAACTCACTCTTGTAATCTACTTTTTAAAAATCTAAAGAAGCCAAATACTTTCTTAAAGCATGAGCATCTTAAAGAATTTCTTATAAAGATTTCTTTCCTCCACTCTTTTTCACTTACTCTAAACTACAATTTGGTTCCAATAGATGTAATAACTTTAAACGTAATTGTACTTCATTCCAAGCTTCACTTCCATGAATCCAAAACTTAGAACACAACCTCATTTCTCTTATTATAAAACTAGTTAATTCTTTTATTGTCTTGCTTCTCTAAGGCTAAATTGCCAACTCTAATAAATATGTTTGCAGTTCAAATTCAATCATCGAACAAAATTCCTTATGTGATATCTTATGCATTATATGTGAAGCCAAATGTGGAAGGTAATTTATGTTTAGATATGTGTATGGACCCAATTTTGGCTCTTCTGGAGTGAAGATATGAAGATCAAGAGCTTTTTCATCCATGCTGAATTTATCCATTTAATAATTTTAATGTATATGTACTAAATAGCTTCACAAACCCTTTATTTTATTTTCCACAAATGCTTTTTCATTCTCGCTAACCTCAATTGCGAAGTCTTTTAAAGCTACAGATGAACATTTTCTTGACTTAATCTTCTTTGTCTTTGTAAGGAACTTTGAAATGCCAATCCATTCTCCAAGTAAAGCACCTTTTTCAACTCTCCAAACTGGAATCTGGAATTATTTTGCCAAAGCAACAACCAATTTCTTATATGTGTCTTCTGTGCAATCATCTGCTAACACAACAAATTTGGCCTAAATTCACTCTATTATAATACTTATTTGCTTTCAATTGCCTTACAAACCTCATGTACTCCCTTAGCCAATAATCCTCTATGTAATGATGTTTAGACAACTCTTTTTAAAGTTGTAAGTTCTTCTGATAATTGCTCAACTTCTGCCATAATAAAATAATTTAAATCTTATTTAAATTAAATAACTACAAAACTCATTAAACCATTATTTTCTATACATCAATCATCAAGCCTATGTTTCTCTGATTCTATACCTATCTATCAGTTTTAAAATTTCATTATCAATTATCATAATTATTGCTTTAATACTATTTATTAATATTTTAATTGATTTTACTCTTATTGCTAGTATATATGTTTTATTTATTTTAGAAGTATTACAATTTATTTTAAAGCATATTTAAATATTTAATGAAGTGTATAGTAAAATTATCATAAATTTCTTTTTGTTAATAATTGTTTTTATAAAGAACTCATTGAATTATTTTAAATAAACGTGATTATAAATAATTTAAGCTAATAATCGTATAATAATAATAGTAATATAATGTGAAGGAATGAGATAGTAATTAGAATTAATTTCTGAATTGCTAATGATATCCAATTTTAATTATAAATCTAATTGGACAATGTAGATATTTCTATTTATTAATTATTATTATATAAATGGGCGTTGCTTGTACAGGGAATAAGAGAAATGAACAATAATTGTAAGTTTTATTTAAAAGGTTAGATTGCATGTCGATGTGTATATATGGAAGGAAAAGGAAAAGAAATACCATCTTTATGACTACTCAAGTCATGAATCACATTTTTAGCAATTATAGTTGATTCAAGACACAAAATTATGCAAATATGGTGAAAACATTCTTGCTGTTTAACCAAATGTAGATAAAAGTTATTTAGTGATAGTAAACAATAGAAGGAGCTTAAGAGTTATTTGTAATTAAGGAAAAAGTCTTGAGACCTATTACAGAAATATGGTCAATAATTAGGAATGATTAAGTAAATGGAGTTCCTGTAATGAATGTATAGATATGATTCTATAATAGAAAGTTTAACTATTTCCAGGATAAACAATAAGGTTAGGAAGAGTTAAAATCATATTGTGGGAAGCTTGTTTTAATTAGGCAATGGCTACAGAAGAAAGCGAGAAAGAAAAAGATGAAGATGCAAATGGATTTGATGAAGGTGAAGACAGCAATACTGAAAACTCATGCCGTATCTGTATGAGTAAAGTAGGAACGATTTAAAATCCATTAATCAATCCTTGCCAATGTAACGACTATTAACTAAACATATTGCAGGTTCTGGATCTGTCAAATATATACACATCAAATGCCTTCAATAGTGGATACACAATAAATTTAAGATTAGAGAACTCAATAATATTGTCCTATATTTTTGGTCAAATCTAATTTGTGAGATTTGCAAAGAATAATATAAATGTAATTTATTTATCCATATAAACACTAGTGGAATATAAATTTAAGAATAGAAAATATCACTTAATTGATATTCCAAGGCCAAAAGAGGCTTATTTTATATTTTGGATTAGTCATATAGATAAAAATAAAGAGAAAGGATTATATGTAATAAACCTGAATGGGAGAAGTAATATAAAAATAGGGAGAGTTTAGGAGAATGACATAAAATTGCAAGATATAAGTGTATCTAGAAATCATGCTCTAATAACTTTTAATAGGGATGATGAATCAATTTATTTAGAAGATTTAGGGAGTAAATTTGGAACATTATTATAAATTGATGAATTAAGATTGGATTGTAAATCAATAATCCAAGTAGCTAATTCTGTGTTTATATTTGATTATTTAAAAAAGAATTTGAAACATTATGAATTACCAAGTTTTTACAAGGTAGTTGAAAAAGAGACATAATAACAGCCACAAGTAAGGAGATAAATAAAATAATAATAGGATTATGTGGAAGATGACGTATTAGTAAACGTAGATAACAATAAGTATTTGAGTGGAGAAAATGAGGCCCAATGATATTTTTACTGAATAAAAAACTATATTAATAATATATGATTCTTAATTAATTGAATGACATAATATTTTTATTAATATGTTTATAAAGAGATTGACTTTTAGATTTGCTAAATCTAAATCAGTACCTGTGTTAGATGTTATATAATTTCTTTCAAAAAAGGGAGATTCATCAAAATGTTGTTTAATGGATGTTTAACTGTAATGGAATTGACTTCTATAGATATGAGCATACCTGCTGATACATTTAAAACTAGAATGTAAGGTGGTTCATATCTACTTGCTCCAACTGGATCTTATTAAATAGACATAAACATGAAACTGTATTTGCAGGTTTTCATTATGATCTTAATTTTTTAACTATACAAGTAAATTGTCATTATCCAGGTCTTTATGTATGGTTAAGGAATGAAGAATGAATTTCTGTTGCTATTCATTAAGAACATCTTTTATAATAAGCTGGAATTTAATTTGATTTAGTGACTGGAGGATATGTTATTTGTGGTCATGAAGTATTTTATCTATTTTATATATTCTCTTAAGATATCTATACTGATGATGACAAAAGAAAATAAATAAACATGTAAAAGTACTTGGAAAGTTTCTTCTACTTTATTTTCACCTATTAATTCTGTTATTATTGTATAAACTTTAAATAAATTTGCTAAATTAATTTTACTTGATAAATATAAACCAATCAAAGCTTTTGATCAAGTCTGAAATGAATTAGAGGCTATCAACTTAAAATGATGTTTCTTATTCTAATTAGTTATTTATATTATCAGCAAAACTTTTCTAATATATATATTATAATTTTTAAAATGAGTGAAGAGATTGAACCATATATAGCTAAAAAATTTGAAATCATTTAAAAATTAGGAAAAGGAGCCTATGGAATTGTATGGAAAGCAATCGATAAGAAGTTAAAATAAGTATCTAACTTCTTCAAATTTCAAATAGGTGGTTGCCTTAAAGAAAGTTTTTGATGCTTTTCATAATGCCACTGATGCTCAAAGAACTTTTAGAGAAGTAATGTTTCTTTAAGAATTGAATGGACATGAGAATGTCGTTCGATTGCTTAATATCATGAAAGCTGAGAATAATAAAGATTTATATTTGGTTTTCGATTATATGGAGACTGATCTACATGCTGTTATTGTAACAAGTTTTTGTTCAATATTAGCGTGCCAATATATTAGAAGAAATACATAAGAAATATATTGTTTATTAAATCTTAAAAGCTCTCAAATTTATACATTCAGGTGAATTAATTCACAGAGATCTTAAACCATCTAATGTCCTTTTGAATTCAGAATGTTTAGTAAAGGTTGCCGATTTTGGACTGGCTAGAAGTCTTGTGTAAAATGAAGATGATGGTTAGAATAATATCACATATTTTTTAAAGGAATGGTTCTATTAACTGAATATGTTGCTACTAGATGGTATCGTGCACCAGAAATATTACTTGGATCTACAAAGTATAGTAAGGCAGTAGACATGTGGTCTGTTGGTTGTATAGTAGGAGAACTGATATTAGGAAGAGCAATATTTCCAGGAACATCATCATTGAATTAAATAGAACGTATAATAGAGTTACTTGGAAAACCAAAAGCAGATGAGTTAGAATCATTAGAAAGTCAATTGGCTGGTAATATTCTAGCTTCTATAAATGTCTCGAAAAAGAAATCATTTGCTTAATTTTTTATTGGAGCTAGTGAAGAAGCACTTGATTTAATCAGAAGATTACTTTGTTATAATCCTAAAATAAGATTGACAGCAGAATAAGCATTAAAACATAGATATGTTATAGAATTCTCGTAGCCAGATGAAGAGATTGTAAGTTTGTAACCATTCAAAATTTCGATGAATGATAATAAGAAATTTACCATAAAGGAGTATCGTGAGTCTTTATATGCAGATATATCTCAAAGAAAGAAAGATCAACGAAAAAAGTGGTAGCTTAAGTATTTGGCCTAATTGGGAGTCAATTTAGAAGAAGAGAATGATAAAAAGTACTCTAATCCTTCTATAACAGACTCAAAAATAAAGAACCAAGTCCAAAACGTAAAGATGACATAATAGATTTAAATAAAGTGGATGATTTGCAATTGATTCATCAATAACAAATGCAATAATAAGTTCTGTAATTAAAAAAGAATCTTAGACCATAATCTTAATCTGGAAACCAAGCCAGATAGCATAGCCAAGATGTTGCCAAAACTATTTCTTAAGAGAATTCAATGTAATAGATTTAAAATACCTAATAAAATCATCATAAATCTAATTCAATAGTTATGAATTCGAATTAATATAAATAAGGTTATTATTATCCATTCTAATAGCCTAATAATAATTAATAGTCTTCTAAATATAATGGAATCAATAAATCAGCTAATAATATTGTTTAATAATAAATGGGAAGATCTTCTACAGGATACTATTAAAAAGTCAATAAAAAATGATTTATGATTAAAAAATATATTATTTATAAAAATAAAAACTTCACACTGTTGAATAAACAGAAAGAAAAATAACTAGAAAATTGGAATTTTTAACACATTATCAAATTTAATAATCTCTGTAAAGAAATTAGAGAATAATTATTAGAAATGGTAGATCAATCAAAGATCATAGAATTTTCCAGCTAGATCTAATATTTTAGAAAATTCAATAAACAATAATTTATATGTAATTAGATTTATCATTTATCTATTAAAAAAATCAAAAAAAATAATACTATCAGTCTATTTATTTCTAATTTACAGGGATTATTATAGCAAATATCATAAATATACAGTTTATAATCATGTACTAATTGTTAAAATAAAATGAAACTCTTTTTATAAAGAGATGATAATTATGTAAATTGTTTATTTAGATATTACAAGGATTTCACAAATTATGTTAACTCAATTAAATGACAATTTATTTATATAATATTAATAATATTTTACAATGATGCGAGCAGAATTTCAGATTTTAGAAGAAGAAATAGAAGAAAATTATGAACCTAGTCGAGAGGGTAAATAAACACAACCATTATTTAGAAATTCTTGAATATGCTGAATGTTTAGGTTATATAACATCATAATTATGAAGGCATGTCTCCAAGAAGTGATACTAAATATTTTCATATAGCCAGAGAAGGATTAAAGACACCTCTACCTCCTCCATGGAAACCAGCCTAACTTAGAAATGGAGATATTGTCTATTACAATCCAGTTACTAAGATTCTACAACAAGAACATCCATTAGATGAATATTTTAAGTAAAACTTATTCAAAATTAGAGACGTAAATATATAGAAGAAAAAAAGAAAGATGTTTAAAATAATCAACAATCAAAAACATCTAAAAAATTAAAAGGTCTTTGTGAATAACTTAGAGATACTACTACAACTTAAGAAACTTCATAAAAAACTGATAAAAAATTATCATAAAAAGCTGATGCAACTCCAAATAATTTATCCGATATACCTTTATTGAATGAAAGTCTATTCTTATAAGAATAATTCGAATTAATTGATAATTAATTTAAATTTGAATTAACCTAATATGAAAAAGAATAAGAGTCTTTTTTAATGCTCTATAAAATGAATAGAGCTAAATAATTTGAATAGGAAAAATCTGATATCTCAGATTCATCTTTTGAAGAACATTCCATTAACATTCCTGAAAAGGCTCTTTAAATTAGATAAAAATTTATTAATCAAAAAGAAGATATAAAATTAAAAATTTAAGAAGAAATTGATCAGAAATATATTACTGAATACTCTAAGTTATCTGAATAATCTAATTCTAAATTAATTGAATACAAAACTGCTAAATCTATAAAAAATTAACAAAGAATTTTATAGTTGTAAACAGATTGGAATTCTAAAATACTAAATTTTTAATCAAAAATTAAATCAATTTAACAAGAATTAGAAAATAAAAAACTACAATAACAAACAATAATCTCTTAAGAATAATCTAATTTATAAGCTAAATGGTTTAAGTTACAAGTACAATATGAAAATTCAATACAAAAAGAATATCAATAAATTCTACTTAATATGGATGCAATACTAAAATAAAAAAAAACTGATATTGTTCTCTAATTTAAATAATAAAAACTCTAAAAATCTTAAGAATTACATAATCAATATAAGGAAAACTCAGAATTTAGCCTTAAGAAAAGATTGAGAGAAATTTATAAAGAAAAATTAGAATTGGCTAAAGTGACTAATCTACATGATATGGAGAATGATTTAAAATAAGAAGAAATTTCTTAATTTGAATAAATGACTGAAAATATTATTAATTATAAGAATATGTTAAGAAACAATTTTGTAAAATTAAAATAACAATAAATTGATAATGAAAGAATTTACATGAATAATTATTATAAAGAATAGCTTTAAGCTTATAAAGTTGAAACATTTAAAAATACAGAGCTTTAAATTTAGAAATTAGAATTAAGTTAAATAGTTATGGCAAATTAAAGTTTATCTTAATTTGACAATTCTCAATTAAAAGTACAAATAAACCCTGATATAAGAATTCAAAAAAAAGAATTGGAACTTCAAATATAAGAATATAGAACCAGAAGAGATGATTTAAAAGATAAAATTATGAATCTAGAATAAGCCAAAAAAGATGACGATTTCTTAATCAAGTATATATTGAGCAAATAATAAGGGTTTTAAGTTAGAATGATAAAATCTATTTTCTTTAATAATCTCTATAGGAATAAGACAATATCCTAAATGAGTTAACAAAACAGTATGCTACTCAATCTTTTGTAAATGATTAAGCATATCATTCAACACCCAAAATCATGAATCAAGATTAATGGATTAATAATGTTGAAAAAGAAATCTAATGGTTAGTATTACAAAAAGAAAGATTGAAATATGATAAAAAGAAACTTTAAAAAAGTTATGAAAAATTAAGCTTATTGGTATCAACAAATGAATAAGTCGATAATTATAATAAGTGTGTTAATATTGTTAGAAACAATTAATAAATTTTGAAAAATTGTGAATATATCATAACGTATCATAATAAATAATTTTAGGCAACTCTAGTAAAATTGTTCTCAATATAAATAAACAAAACTAATTTAATATCTTAAAGATAACGACAAGTTATTAGAAGAATTACAAACTTAAAAATAATTAATTCAAAATATTAGCCAAATACAATTAGATACATAATTTCCAATTTATAAGTAAGTAAGCCAGAGTTTTCATTAAAGTGATTTTGATTAAAGTTATTTGAAATAATAAACAAACAACCAAAAATAATTACTTCGTGATATCAGAGATAGTGTACTAATTCAATATATATTTAGTTAAACAAATCAATGCTTTCTAGGATGTATTGAATCCATTGAGTACTTTTTGATTAATCTATCATATTAATATATATTATTCATATTTAAATTGTTTTTAATAATTTATTGAATCATTATAAAAATTCTAAAAACTAGAATGTATTAGAAATAAAAAAATTATAAAAAATAATTCAAAAGTTGTTAGAATATATTCAATTTAATAGAGTTCTATCATTTTTATCCAACTTATTGATGATTTGCTTTTTTATAGTAGGATTTCAATAAGAATTAAAACATTATTGTATTTAATTTTTTTGTATTTTTAATTGAAATTAAATTATCATAAAATTCTAAATCATTTTTTTATAATTAAACTTTTTTTCTCCATAAAAAATTTATAAATTAACCACCATCGATTAAAACAACATTAATGCTATTCTGATTAACTTAGTATCTGAAAGATTAGAATTATCATCCTAATGTTCAAATTTTCTTTATTTTTTAGATTATAAATTGTTATTAAAGGAAAAATGAATTATAAATAATTGATAAATATTTTCTAATAGAATTTTATTAAAATGTCTAAAAGAGAAGGTGATTTATGTTATGAAACATTTTCATTTGACAAAGGCTTCAATAAAAGTGTGCCAACACTATATATTGTCAAATAAAGAATAATACAACAAGTCAATTTTTTAAAACTTAAGATTCTCCACTCTGAAACATTTTTTGTATCAAAAAATAATTAGGTTATGTTGATTTCCTTTTTTTGTGGTTATGATCGGGTTCATGCAACTCGAATATATTGGTCTGATTAAAATTAAGAAGTGGGATATGAAGAATTGATAGAATATCATCAGAAAAAAACAGGAATTGAGTACATATACTCATAAGAATATGATGTTTCGAAGTTCAATTTCGAACATGAGTTTTTAGAAATTCAAAAAATTGCAAGACAGATAGCATCAGTTCCTTACACCAAAACTTTGAGTAATTGTAATCATTCAACAAAGGAATTAATAAAAAAATTATAACCTGACTTGAAAATGGAATAAAATTGTAAATATTATATAAATTTAATTTTAGTTAAATAATATGCCAGCTTTGAATGTCCAATTTTTTGAGGAAAATTATGATTAATAAAAATAATAATCTATAAATTTTTTAATAAAATTTTATATGGTCATTATTTAATAGCATCTATTAAATCATCTACATTATTAAAAGACTAAATTTTTTCTAATATTTCTTTCTAATTTAGAGGATTTCTTAACTTATAGCTATGAGTACAAACATATTATTAACTAGTTTTCATTACTTTTTTAGAATTTAATTTGACTAAGATATTTAAGTTTGTTGATTAAACAAATATTAATTGATATTATTCTTCATTTACTTTATACACTTATGTAAATTTCTATTGACTATTCTAAGATACTTCATCATGAAAATCATCTAGGATCTGTATAGCATCAAAATCAAGGCCAAAATTTTCAATAATTTTTGATAAGAAAGATTTAGGATCAGATGACTATTCATAGTGGCTTAAAACTGTCTTTAATTCTAGGTTATCATCCATAATATGTTATTAATATTATTACATAATTAAATTCTTCAACAAATATCCATCTAAAATTAATAATCTATCTTACGTTTAACTTTACTAAATTAACCATCCTCTTATTATTGATATTGTAATTAATAATATTTATGATTATTTAAATGGAGTATAATTTAAAATTTTTTATTTGCTAATTTTCTCACTCCACATTTTCTAACATATTACTCTTAAAATGATCCGTTATCTCCTTCAATATTACGATTATTTTTATTTCCTTTTTTAATTTCAAGAGATTTCGAGCTAAATTATCCCATTGATTATTTCAATGAATTCTTTGGAAATAATTTTGTTTTTAAATTATCTTAATTCTATTACAAATGGATTATAAATAAATTATAATGATAAAATAATTGTTAATTAATTCCAATTATAAAAAGTAAGATTTGCTAAAATTGTTAAACTTATTCAAAAGAAATTACTAGTTTTTAATCTTGATAAATTAAATAATTTAAATCTCTTCATTATAATGGATTTGATTTATTTAAATATTTTTATGTGAGAAAATAAGATATTTTTTCTGCTAAACTAATTATTAATTTTCCTTACTGAATAAACACACTCTCATTACTTCTAATTATTGATATTTTTAATAGTTAAATTTTTGTAACAGTTCTCTCAAAATCCATATTAATTTAATATCTGTTCAAAGGTATAAACAATTTATTATTTTAATATTAAAATTTTTAATTTTTCTCTCTATTTTTGTTTCAATTAATTTATTAAATTAAATTGGATGAATAAGTTTGTTTCAAAAAAATGGATTTCTTATGTTAATTTAATTTATATTACCACTCATTTTTAATGTAAGAGAATTATATAGATGATATTATAAATATTATGAAAATTTTTATCAAAAAATTAAAATGTAGGAAAAAAGGTATAGGTTAATCACTAAATCCTATTCTCTTGTTTCAGGGAAAAAACAAAGTCTTATGAAAATTACTTTCTGCTTTTGAATTTAGTTTCAAACATTTTGTAGAATATCTATTCATTTAATAAAAATAAGAAATGCTATTAAGTTTTGAATATAAATATTAAATAATAATTATTATAGATATTTCAGAAAAAAATGAAATCTAAAATTACAGGACTCATTTATGATAAAGCTTAAGAAGAATAATTAAACTTAGTGTTATTAATAGAAAAATTGCCAATTGACATTGAAAATCTAAATTGGTTAATGATAAATTTATGTTCAAGTATTTTTTGAATTAACTTGAGTTTTACTTGAATTAGTGAAAAGAAAATATATAAAGTTTCCTCAAATTGATTTAGAGACAATTTACATTAGTAAAAATGTTGAAAATCCTTTACCTTATATTTTATCATATGTAAACATTTAATTACCATAAGGAAAAAGAGAAGTATATGCATTAAAATAAATGACTAATATATGTATTTTTATTATAATCAATTTAGTAATTAAATTATGAAGAATCTAATTATGATGAATCATATGATACTCTACAAAAAGTATAAAGTAAGTTATTATCAAAAATTGGATATATTGATAGTTTTGGAATTGATTTTTACAAAAATTTTCGAGTTTACTTAATTTAAAATAAACCGAATATATACATTTATAACCGGGTATCACAAGAGTAGATTCTATATAAGTACCTCTATTTATTTTGAATGTGAATGAAAAAGAAATTGTTATGAAAACTTACATATAATCACATTAAGAGTATTAGTCAAGGGAAGTTGATTTAATTGAATAATTTAATAGTTCTTATTAACCTTATCTCTATACTTACATTCGATATAGCAAAATCTTAATATTATTTTTAAAGAAACACAAAACAAGTTTTATAAAGTTAATATCTGATTGTTTTATTTCTAGGAAATAATATTTTAATATTCAGATTCTGTTAAATAAAAAGGTTATCTTAAGATATTCCCTTTAATGGTTAATTCATTGAAAAATTTGCATTTTTAATAAATTATTCATAGAGATCTTAAACCAGACAATAATATTATGTTTGATTTTTAAAATTAAATAAATAATATAGATGATCTTCTTTAAACAGAGATCACTTGTGTAATAATTGATTATGATAGATCCAAAAGTTTAGGATATTTAGGTGAATAAATCAAAACTAGATATGTATGTAATACAATGTTTAAACCTCCTATAGGATCAAAAATATTCATATTCATATGATATATGGCAAATGTGATACATATGGTTATTTTCATTAAAATTAGAATTCGTAACAGCACCTAAGAAATTTGACTCAAATATTCAATTACAAAAATTGTGTTAACTAAAAAATACCAATTACAACTAATTTATTGAGGAGGCGAAAAAACTTTAAAATCACATATAAATTCATAATGATCTTAATTTATTAATTTTTAAAATGATAGAATTAGAACCCAATAAAAGACCTACTTTAGAAATAATTTAATATTAAATTGAAAAGCTTTAAGGATTAAATTGATTTTATGATATTTTTATATATTGATTTTATAAATTTAGTTATATATTATATAGAAATAAAGCTTTTTCCTTATATATTATTTTAAGATGGAGAATGACTTTCTCATTTCAGGAACATAAAGATAATACAAGAAAATTGGATTTGAATAGTTGAAATTTTTATGTAATTTATGCAATGAAATTACAGATGAACTCTTATTAATTTAATGTGTAGATTAAGAAATCTAAGTTTGCTTGGATTGCCATAACATAATAAATAATAATGATAATCAAAAATAACTTTTAGGAGTTTGTTGGCATAAGTCTATAACTGATATTCCTTATTGTTCAAAAGTTTTCTTCAAATTAGGTTCATAAGCAAAATTTTATCAATTAAAATTTCAAGAATGTAAAATTTGTTGCTATAATAAAATTTGTTGTAAATTATGTACTAACTAACATTATTTCTGTATTGATTGCACAGATATATACATTCAATAATATTTTTCAAGATCATATAAGATACCTTGTCCTTAGAAAATGTGTAAATTAGAATTAGATCATTATCTAATAAGTTAATTTATATCTCTTACATAAGTTAAATAATGGAAAATAATAAATAGAGATCTATTTTGCTTTAATAAAAGATGTTGCTCTTATCTTTAAGTTAATCCTTATTCTCAAATTAATGCTATTAACTTGAAATTAATAGAAGAAAACGTTGTATAATGTTAATCTTGTAAGACTAAATTTTGTAATACTTGTTACACATAAGTTAAAGGAGCTTTAAAAAAACATAAATAATTATGTAATTAATTAGCTATTAATTAATTTTAAAATTATTGCCAAGACAATCATGTTTAAAAATGCCCAAAATGTAGAATAATAACCCAACCTAGATTATGTTAAAATAAGTAAAATTATATTGAAGAATCAAAAATATAGTAATGCAAAATATGTAATACTAAATTCTGTATTTTTTGCAAATCTGCAGAAGTTATTCTATTTCCTTAAATGAATCCAAATATTTACGATAAAACATATAGAAGCAGTTGTTAAACTTGTATGACAAATTTTTATTCTTACAAAAATTAATGCAAAATAATTACTTAAAAATTATTTAGAAAATATTTTTACATACCTAAAATCTTAATAGGACTATGCAAAATTTTATTAATTATAATATGGTTACCTGGTTATTAATTTATGCAGGTTGGAAAAATTGTTGGAGATTATGTTGATAATAAAATAAATAAAATTAATAAAGAAAACGCACCCTATTTCTTTTGTTGTTGTGGACCAATCATAGCTATAACAATCATTTGTTCAATATTCATTCTTTATGTAATTTTATTTATTCCTCTTTTTATTCGAAATTGTTATAGAAAAATAAATGACTAACATCTGTGATGAATTATATTCAAAAAAAGACTAAGAATTAAAATATAAACTATTATTTTATTTTTAAAATTTTCATTCTATCTTTTAATCAAATTCATTAAAATAATTGTTTGAAATTAATGTGTTTTTCATCTTTCAAATTCTGATTCATTAATAATAAGACTTTATCGTAAATAGTATTTATCTTATCTGATAATCTTTCTTCAAAAAAATAGAATCTTAGATTTGTAATCTCTTCTAAAAAGATTCATTTAATTCATTATGTATTTATGGTTTAAATGATCTGATATTTTTAGATAAGGAATTTTTGACTTTAATTTTATGATAATTGAATTTTATTTTCAATTAATATATAAGCCAAGCCAATTGCAATTTAAAATAATACAAATTGATCTAAAATTTTTAATAATTATTTAATAAATCAAATTTTGCTTTACATGATAGATTAGATAAAATAGGATAAATACTAACCATAATATTTATAAACCAAAAATTATTTTTGATATTCCAAAATATACTTTTATTCTTACAGAATAATGCTAAAGGAAACAAACATATTGTCATTTTAAATAGAAAATGATAGAAGTTTAAGATCTTACATCAAGATTTTAAAAATAAGGCAATTTAATTGATTTCATTTTAATCCATCTTAAAAAATAAATAGAAATTTTAAAATACTACACCTCTAAATTCAGAATAACTAGTTACTTAACTGATGTAGCTGGATTTATTTAAGAGAATCCTCATAATAATATTAGAAAGTTAAAAAAACGAATAAATACATTGTAAGGTAATTTAAATGAATTGATTCTTGGATTCTATTTCTTATTCAACATTTTTTAGCATAAGAAAGCTTTCAAAATTACAAAGTCGATAATTAAAATTTTACAAAAAAATAAATGATGTAATTGTTTGTTTAAAAATTCTAAAAATGCAACAAAAAACCCGATATCATGGTAGATTCTTTAATTTGCTCTTAAAAAATAATTAAATATTCCACAAAAATTATTGAATTAAATAATATTAATATAAGAATTGCTCATGAATTCAAATATTTTGTAAATAATTACATATTTTATGATGTAATATTTGATTTTTTCATACATAAAACAAAAATTGGAAATAATAATATATATTTGTTAATGTCTTCGGATAGACTTATCTAATCTGATAATAGCCAAACCAGTTCATTAATGGATTGGAATAAGCCTTCTAAAATAAATGAAAAGGAGATTGGCTATAAGAAGTATAAGTTTGACAGTTTAACAAAATCATAATTTTGGGCATATTGTATGGGTCATATGCTAAATGATTTATCAGCTGCATGTTGGTTCAAGTATTGAATAATATAATCATTATAGCTATTTGTTATTTTATTTGAAAAGAATAATATAGGTTGATTTTGGTTCATATGCAATGTTATCAGGATAAGTGGCTGATGCTTTGGCAACTCCATTGGTTGGATATTATAGTGATAGAACAAAGACATCAATAGGAAAGAGAATTCCATGGTATATTGGGTATGTTTTATTAATAAATTTTAAGGGGATATTTTGTAATAATCTTTTCATTTTTGCCAGTTTGGAATGGGAATTTATTATTGGATTGGATGGGTGTATAAGACAATGTAGTAGTATAAGTAAATAATTGAAAATTAAGGAAAGGCTATATATTACACTGTGTTTCCAGCAGTCTTTAATTTTGGTTGGGCATCATTATAAATAAGTCATATGTCATTAGTTCCTAGTTTGACATGCAGTAGATCAAGAAGAGATAAATTAAACTCGATAAGAAATACATTTTAATTCATAGCTGTATTAATAGTGTATGTGACGGCAGTAAATTAATAATTTTAATTTAGTTAATATTTTTTTAATTAGCAAATAGTACTGAGGGTACAGATTCTGCATAAGCATTTCAATATTTATCATTGATATGTGTGGCTATTGGAACTGCAACATCTGTATTTTTTATAGTTCAAATTAATGAACCTAAATTAACCTCTGATTGTACTAAATATGCTAAAAATCTCTTAAGAATTTTAAAGGATGTATAATATTAAATAATAATAAAATAGAGATAAAATGGTACTAGCAATCAAAAAAACATTGCCTAAGATCAAAAGATTTTAAAAAATTAAGTTCAAGATGAATAAAAGTAAACCCTCTCTAGTGATGATATCCAGAAATCAACATCTGAATCTTAAATAGAAGGATTGGGAAATGTTAAATTGACAGATGTTGAATTTACAGATGATGAAGGAGAAGGTTTACATAAATAAAAAGCAAATAGAGGATCTATGTCTGAAGATGTACATGATTGGAAGTATATATTATTTGATTATAAATAGAGAATGGTTTAATTAAATGGCTTTTTATAGATTTGGAATGGTCTACATGTTTTTTAGGTTGTATTGTAATGTTTCTTCAACTATGATATCTTTTTACATTGCAAGTGTTTTAAAGTTTACAGATCCTGATTCAGAAGATGTTAAAGTACCTATTTAAGTAGCATTAATTCCTTTATCTCTCTACATTATGAGTGTTTTAACTAGTGCATCTTTATCAAAGTTTTATTAATTGTTAGGCAAAAAGATTACTTTAACGTAATAATTATTAATATTAAGAAAGTATTGGAACAGTATTATGTTTGATATCATCTTCTATTTTAATCTTTTTAAATGAAGATAATTCCTATATTATGTATGTAGTATCTCCATTTATTGGAATAGCTTAAGCTATCACTTTAAATACTGGAATAACACTTATTAGTGATGTTATTGGTTTAAAAGGATCAAGTGGAGCATTTGTTTTTGGGGCGTATAGTTTTTTGGATAAAATTTCATCTGGTATTGCCTTATTTTTTTGTTCTTATGGAAGTGTACTTGATGATGAAAATTTAGTTCGTTGGTTGACTGTACTTGTACCATCAATATCCTGTTTTGTAGGTTGTTTATTGGTTGTAACAGCTCCAACAAAAAAACAAGATGAGAATCTTGAAAATCAAAATAGAGATGATAAACGTACAAAATCTTTGGTAGATGAATTGGCTACTTGATTTATTTGATATATAGTTTATATATATATATATATTATTTTAATTAATGTAAAATTCTTTAATTAGATTTTAGAATAAACCTTCAAAGCAATTTCCCTTAGATAATAAAGTTTGGAAATTACAATATAATGCGTCCATCAAAGATGAACCTCTTATAACTGAAGAGTCAGAATACAATTTTTAAAATGAGATTAAAAGAGTCTTTAAGTAGATTTTATATTTTTATTTAAAAGTGATACTAGATGTTAACAATACACCTGTAGCATGATAATTAATAACTATACTGTTCATTCTGTTTCATAGGCATCGGACCGTTAAATCGATTCAGACCTTGTAATTTCATAATATATATTTTAGTATTTAGAATAAGGAAACAACTAATTCAATTAATATCAATTCAAACCAATTTTCTAATGATCATCTTATTTCTATTTAAATCTATTAATTTTACTATTCTTTTTTCATTTTAAAAAAAATAAATTTCTCCAAAAATTAAAGAAATCATTCATTGTAGAATTACAATTTTGACAACATGTTTCAAGTTTATTATAAAAACTCCAAATTTTATAATTTATCTATTTAGATAGAACTATTGGTAATGGAAATATATTAGATGACTAAATTAAGTTAATTTGTTGACATCATAATTAAAAAAAAAGATTTAATTTCTAATTAAATAATTAAATAGTGTTATTTATTTTTAATTTATCACATTTAATACATCATTTAGACCAAAGCCAAGGATGTTATAAAGCTTGTCTAGCAGTTATTCTTTTTTTTGGTTCAAATTCTAGCATAGGAACTAGGAAATCCTCTATCTAATTTGCTTCTTAATATGAAAAACCATATTCTGACATTAAAATCTTACTTATAGATGTTGGATGTAATTCCTTAATAAAATTAGATATATACTTTTATATTAATTAATTAACCAGTTTTATTAAAGAAATCTCTACTATTCGAACCAGTTAATGCCCATTTTTTATTCATTCTTCCTAAGACTTCCATCATTTAAGCTAAATGATCTTCTGATTTTTTGAAACCTTTTCCTTTTCTAGGTCTAAACAAATAATCGTTTGTAAGTAATTCAAATACAATACAAGCAGTACTCCAGATATCTGTACTTGTATCATATTCTATTCCCAAAATAGCTTCTGGTGCTCTATACTCTCTAGTTTAAATATTATCAGTAAAATGTTTATGAGTCCAACAAGCATTACCAAAATCAACTATTTTTATTGATATATCTCGGTCTAACTTTATTTTTATATGCTCTTTCCATCTAATTATAAATCATAATCTAATACTTCAAAGTGTATAAAGTTTCTTCATCTACTTCATTCGATTCTGATTCTTCACTCTAATCTTCAGATTTCCAATCTTAATCATTTTCATCTGATGAATTTTCATTTTCTTCACTATGACTTTTCTTTTTGTCTTTTAAAGCTTTTTCTTTCTCTTTTTACAAATTTCTATGTTTATGAACATGATGAATTTCTTCCTTTTAAAATTAATCTTAATTATCTTTATTAAGTTTATTCTACTCTTCTATTTAATTTTGCTTTGTGTTATCATTATCTACTTATTAAGATTACTCTTCTGCTATTATTTCAACTTAAGCAACATTTTAAATTTCTTTATTATCTGTTGAATTTAGCTATATATCTTCTTAAGTAATTTATTTTTATTACTATTAATCTTCTGAAATATTTTATTTAATTGAATTACTTTTAGTACTTATTTCTTAATTTTATAAAAGTTTCTAATTATCATCTATAATTTACTATTATTATTATTATTATTATTATTAATCTTATTATTAATCTTATTATTATTATTATTAATCTTATTATTAATCTTATTATTATTATTATTATTATTATTATTATTATTATTATTATTATTATTATTATTAATAATCTTATTAATCTGATTATTTTTCTTCTATTTAATTTTATTACTATTAATCTTTTTCTTATTATTATTATAGTTTCTTTTATTTTTATTTTTTTCTTTTTTCTTATTTTTTATTTGTTGTTTTCATAGATTTTTTTAATTTATCTAAAAATTTCATACTTATAGGTTTTTTTTTAACCATTTTCATTTCTTCTACAAATTATCCAAAATGCTATGGTTTTAATTAAAGCATAATATTTTCAGGTTTTAAATCAGTATGTATAATATTACATACTTCATGCATATATACTAATCCAATTAAAAGTTCTCTAGTAATTTATTTGACTAACCACATACCCATTTACTTATCGTAATCATCAAAATGTATAATTAAATCAAGTAAAGATGGTCCTAAAACTTCGAAGACTGTACAATAATGTTTTCCATGCATTCCATAATGAATAAAATTATCGACCATTTCAACACAATATGTTTGATTCAATTTAACTTTAATATCCAAATCTTATTGTGTATTTTTAATGTTTTGATCATACCATTTTAAAGTTGTATAATCTAATTTTGGAATCAAAGATAACTATTCTTGATACTAGATCCATTTTTCATCTTTTTAGTGTTTCTATAAATCCCTATATTATTTTGGATGCAATACTTTAAAAGTTCTAATTCATCAATTGCACTTTCTTAATAACTTTATTTGCTTTTCTATATTTTTAATGCAATATGTGTTTATAATTATTTATCATGAGCTAACCAAACTGTTGAAAAGTGTCCCCATCCTAATTTTTATATTACTTAAAATCTTCCATTATGAAATTTATCACCAATACTAACAGGATGATAACCATCTTTTTTATAATCCTCATAATCTTCAGCATCACTACTTGATTCATATGGATTTGATGATTTAGAGGAACAAGATGAAGATGATCGAGATGGAGGTGAAGATGTTTATAAGGGTGGTTATGCTTATTATTCAGCTATTCTTTTTTACTTCAAAAGTTCAGCTATTGGTTTCTTATTCTTTTATTTCATAATATACCACTCTTTATTCTTAAAATTAATTAATTATTTAATTTTAAATAAATATTTTCACAAATTAATTAATAGTTTCTCAAAAATAATTTACTTTTATTGAAAATAATGCTATCATAATCATTATCACTCCAAATCCATCATATATTGTTATTTTATGTATTTATTCTTTATTATCTACTTCTAGATATCTCAAATATCCCTTATCTGTTAATAATAATATTCCTTGATTCCAACATTTATATGCTAAAATCTTATTGTTTTTTATTTTATTCTATTATTCTACCAATTCTATTAATTATACTTTTGGATTTTAAAGTTTTACATAATAAACAACACTTTTTCTCATCTTTGATTATTAATAAAAATATTTACTGCAAATATTTAAGTGCCATCTTCTGAAAATTAGATTTCATCAACTTAATCAATTTTATAAAAATAAATTTACTCAGAAGTAAAATACATCAATTTAGCATTAATAATCAAAATAAACTTATTAGATGAATGTGCTTAATATCGAATAAATAAATTTTTCAATTCTTTCAAAGAAATTTAGTAATCATACAGTTAAATCAAATCTACTTAATTATTTTTTTAATAGAGAATATGAACTTTAATTTCTGTTGCTATTCTACAAAAAACAATAATGAGTTAGCCCCTTTAAAAATAATTGAATTAATCAATAATTTTCATGTCTTTACATTACAAAAATGATAATTTTATGTCATTATTAGTAATTCTGGTTTATTCATTTAAATATGAAATGGAACAATTAGTAAAGTTAATCACTTCAAAATTTAATAGTAATTCTTTAATATATGTATGATTTCTCTTTATTTAACAAATACTTTTATCCTCATGGTTGATTTATTATACTCTAAAATCTCATACTCTATAAATGTATACATTCTGTATCATATTCAATAATGGTTGAATTATCTACAATTAAATAATTCTGTGATTGCATGACTTTAAATTGTGAATATGTTGTATGTTCAAAATTATCAAAAAATGAATTCAATAAAGAATATTTATTTTTGGTATTGCTAATTGCAATTTCATCATAAACTTCAACATCAATAGTCTCTTTAATTTCTAATTGAGGTATTTTTAATATCAGCCAGATTATCCATATGTGTATAGTCTCAATTATCATATATTATTAAATTAATATTATGTCAATAAATTGTATTGCAATAATAGATTCATAGGATAAACTTAGCTTTATTGATTATTATATCAATAATGAAGATTAGGTTCATTTTAAATTTTAAACCTATACAGCATTACAATTAATAAGTCCTATATTATAAAAGAAATTAAATGGAGGAACATCAATAGAACCATATTTAGGAGTGTTGTATACAATATATTTACCAAATAATGAGTATGATGTGCATGCATATATAACAATAACACAATTGAAAATAATCATATTTATCAAATAGGGGACAGAAAAATTAAATTTATAGACAATTTTCGAAAAGATTTATGGATTATATAGGGCTTCTAATTTCAATCCATTTTATTAAACGAATCTTAATAAATTAATTAAACCAATGGTTGTAGAATTTAATGGAATATGATTACATAATAAATAAAAAAAGTTTAAAACAATTTCAACAAAAGTATTTTCCCAAAAGGGTTTATAAGGAATCCAAAAAAATAGGTTTGGAAATAATTTCACTCATTCCACTTTAATGAGCTAACTCTGCATTTTCTTAACCATTATATGCTGAACACATAACAATAATAGATTGTTATCTTTCATTTTACATGATTTTAGAGATCTCTAATTAATTTATAATTTAATACTTCACTACTAGTAATAAATCCATTTTTACCAGGCATTTCTATATCCATAAATATTAATTTATAACTTTTACAACAAACATTTTACAATCTCTATTTAACTTTTTTAATTGCTTAATCTCCATCATATGCACTATCTGTTTTATAATTATAAGTTTAAAGTAATGCCATTAAAGTAATATGATTAAAAGGTACATCATCAACTATTAAAATTTGGTTGCATTCACAATGATTTAAAAAATTTCTACTTGATACATATACTTTTTATACTGAATTCTTAGAATCTAAACCCAATTCTTCGATATCTCGTATTGATGAATCATCTTCCTTTACTATTGTACTTATAAATTCCTCTACTGAAAAACTCACTATTGTATAAAATCCTCTCTCACTCTTTATTTATAATTCTCCATCTCCACCTAAAAATTTTACTATTCCTTAAGAAACTCTCAAACCTAAACCCATTTTATTTTAACCTTTTGGTTATTATATCAATTAGTTTTATAATGATAACATCTACTCACTAGATATTCCTTCTCCATTATCCCATACTGAAAATAAACATTATGACTCTCTCTTTTTCAAAGATAAAACTATTCTACCACCTTATTTTGTAAATTTTATTGAATTATTTATTAAATTCACTAAAATTTAAGTTATTCTTAATTTATCACTATGTATTATTATTTAATCATTAAAATTTAATATTAATTCTATCTATTTCTATAAACATTCTTACTAAAATAATCCTTTTAAATCTTCAAAAATTTCACTAGCATAAAAATTATTCATATTCAATTTAAAATCTTCACATTCTATTTATGCATAATCTAATATGTCATTTATTTAAAAAAGTAATCTACGACAAGAAATTATTGCTAATTATAAATAATTGTCATTTAAATTTTCATCAATTTTTTTACTTAATATTTATAATAATGGTAATGATGTATTTAAAGGAGTTCGTAATTCATGACTGAATGAATTTAATAAAGCTTATTGAAATTTGAATCGATGAGTCAACTCTTTCAATTCTTCTTTATCAGTAATATTTTCAATGATGAATAAAAAAGCAGGTTCTTTAGTTTATGTTTATAATTTTACTTCATAAACCTTAATTTAAAAATGTTTCTTTTTTACTTTAAGATCTTTAACTACATGAAACTTAAACATATGAGTCTAATCTGATGCTATAGATAAATTATCTGAAAGATTAATCTATCTATGACTTTTAGTTAGAAATTCATTAATAACAAATTAAATATATGAGTAATTTACAGCTTCATGTATGCTAGATTAAAAAGAGCCTTTATTTTAAATTTCAATTTTTAATCTATCAGACAGCCAATTGGCTTTATTAGATTAGATACCAGTACTACACTAATAATGTCTGTCTGAATTTTATTTCAATTTTCTTAATGGAACAATATGAGGTTTATGTTTTGTATGTGGATTTATTTTAATCTAATTCAATTCAGCACTTAATGATATTAGTAACTCTTACTTAGATAGCAATTGATCTAAATTATTCATGATTTAATCAGTTTCACTTATCATCAAATAATTCATTAATTTCTCATTATGCTTAATTACTTAAAAGTTTATATCTATTAAAACTAATCCATATGGAAGACAGTTCAGTAAATCTTCATCAAGAGCAACTTTAATGTTTCTTTCTATATGAGGTGTTTTCTCATCTATTAGATTTTATTAAATTTATTCTGCATAGCTGAAATGACCATTTAAATTAACTTATCTTTATGATTTTTAAGTAAGACTTGGTTTTCTAGGGTTATTGAATTTGTTGTCTTTATAAATTATAAGATGATTTAGTGGTTGCCAAAGAACAAATAAAATTAAGTCAGAGGTAGCAAATTTTTCATAAAATTAAGCAGCTAATCTTATAGAAACATATAAGCAAATTGTATGCTTTAAAAGATTATAACATTTATGCTGCTTTTTTAAAGTATCCTCTATAGTAATTAAGTAAATTAAAGAAAAGTAATTAGTAATGTTTTCAACATTTTAAAAGACTGTCTCCAATTCAATAATGATGTTTATTTGTGTCAAAATGTTAATAAAATTTTCTTTTTTATTTGTGTATGCTAAACAAAAAATGATTAAATTTAATAGAAGTCCAATTGAATTAAGAGCTATTGTAAATACATCTTTTGACTCTTAATTTCCTGCTTAAATCAGACTAATTAAATTTTATAACATCAATTAAGTTAGCAATAGCTTTATTTTTAATTCCATAATTATATAAATATCAAAAGGAAAATAATAATTTCAAAGCTGAATTGTAAAATTTAATTCTGATATTGTGAATAAGAAAAAATTTAGTCATCCTTATCTCTAAAATAAAGATAAAAATATTTAATTTTAATTCATTAAATGTAAAATAATTAGTCAAATCTGTTAGAAGAAAATGCTAAATTACGAAAAAATATATTGGAATTGGAAACAACTCTTTAAGAATTAGTAAGATAAGATTCTTTGATAGAAAAATGGACAGTGATGAAAAATTTTGTACTTGTTTCAACTGAAGTGGAGAGGTTATCATTAGCATATGTAGCTTTAGAGAAATAACATTAATTATTAATAAATGCATAGAATAAGGATGTTTTATAAAGTGAGTAAAAACTTAAGAAATTGATTACTTAATTAGAAGAATTAAATGAAATTATGATTCAATAATAAAAGCGAATTGAAGAATTAAATAAAAATAATAATTTGCTTAAATAATTAGCAAATGAGAATAATTCAAAAATGTAAGTAATGCATGATTTAAATAAGCAGTTAAAAAATAATGAGCTAATTCTCAATTAAGAGAAATAAAATTTATAAAATTAATTATTAGAATCCAATAATGAATTAAATAATGTTATGTAAACATTAAAAGAATGTGAAGATATGTTTAAAGGAACTTTATTTAAGTAAGAAACAATCATAAGAAATTTGTCTTAATAAAATGAAGGTTTTAATGGTGAAATTAGTAAAAAAGATAAATTGATAGATTCTTTGATGAAAAAGAATAATGATCTTATCAATGATGTTGAGAAAATTGATAAGAAGTTTAATGAATAATCTTTATAAATGAAAAAAATATCGAAAATGTATGAATCTTTGGAATAAGAATACAATAACTTTAGATTCTAACAATAAGGAAATCAATCTGAAGTATATTTATAAAATTATGTTTAACATAGTTTAATTCATTGACTAAGAGAATAGAGCATAAAAATTAAGTATTGTTAGACTTAGAAAATAAATATGATAAATTAAATGTTATAGTGAAATCATAAGATGCATAATTGTAAGAGAAAGATTAATAACTAAAACAATTAAAATAATAATTGATTGAGTAATAAACTTTATTGATTGATGTGAGAAGCAACAATAAATAAGTAAAAAGCGAAAATATTAGCGAAATTTAACAACTGAATATTTAGATAAAGAGGCTTCAAGAGAAAATAGTTGAAATTAGATAAGAGTTAGAAAGAGAGATAATTCTCAAAGAGAAATTGCAAGTTTATAATTAAAATAAGGATATAGAATTTGAAAAACTTAACGATTAAAATGAAACTTTGAAATCAGAAGTAAAAGAATTAAAGAGACAGATAGTAGAATTATAATAAACTTTGAATGTTGAGAAAAATATGTTTCTAAAAGTTTAAATGGAATGTGCAGGTTTGAGAGATTAAATTAAAGAAGCTTAAGAGTATGTTTAAATAGATAATTAAATAAACTAATAGGAAGAGTGTGATCAATTAAGAAATGAATGTGAACTTTTAAGAAATTAAACATAACACTTGAAATACTAAAATTACTAGTAATAATAGCAAATAGACGAATTAAGATAAACAAAAACATATTTAAGTAATATCTTGATGGACAGAAGACAATATTGAATTTATTAAATTATTACTATTAATTATAAATTGATGCATACTTAGAGAGATAATTAACAAAGTAGAGGATAATTAAGCTCAAGTCATAGAAATTTTTAATCAAAAAGAAATAAGACAGAACCATCTTTGATACCTAATTTTGATATCTTATAAGAAAATGTGAAGAATTAGTTTGCTTTAGGTCATATACGAGGTAAATGGCTGCATAAACCTTAATATGTAATTCCAAAAACTGAAATTTAATAAAAACGAGATGAGGCTTATGGAAAAGTGAACAATAAATCGAAGACAAAAAAATTAACTTTTCTAAAATTTGGATTTAGAATGCATGAAAAAAAGAACAACTATTATTTACAACCTTTAATCAAATAGGTACATGATGCTTTTGGGGAATTGGCTAATGATGGATCAATGGGTGTGGTTGATTTATGGAGTGATCGAAATGTTAATAGATTAATGGATGCAATAGAAATGACTAGGGATAATCTATTGGTGAGACGAATGGGAAAGGAAAAATAAAAGAGTGATGAACCTGGCTTAAATAGAGTCAATGAAAAAAAAGTTAACAATATTTTTAAATCAAGTGATGATGATACCTTTAAAATAAAATTTCAATTAACAGATGTTGAAAAGCGAAGACTAACAAGGATTGCTATGCCTACTTTATGTTAGTAATAATAATTTTATAAAAAAATAGTTAAATAAAACATGGTGATCCAAATGATGGTATAGCAGCTATTGTCAGTTCAATTGATGAATTGCATCAAGAAAACCTAGAAATATATACTAATCTATATTAGTAAATAAAAAAGATATAAAAAAACATCAAATGATTATATATTTTTGTTATCTAATTTTGTTTTGTTTGTAATAATAAAAGTGAATGATATCATATGAGGTATGAAATCACTGTATGATTATTATGTTAATATTTGAGATTTGTATCAATAAAATACGAAACCTTGACAATATTTTATTTTCTTTAAATCTCATTAATAATGAATTTAATATAATAAATTAAATTAAAATAATGTCAGAATAAAAAGATAGTTCATTATAGGGACAACTTTTTGATAATTTAAGATCTTTGATTTCACTCATTGATCAATTAAGAGACTTGGGAGTTTAGGAGTACATAAAGTTACCCAGAATAGCAGTGTTAGGAAGCTAGAGTGCAGGAAAAAGTAGTCTTTTGGAAAACATTGTTGGATTGGATTTTTTACCAAGAGGAGAAGGAATAGTAACAAGAAGACCTTTGGAAATGAGATTAATACATAAACCTGATGCATTAAAACCATGGGCAGTGTTTGATGTATGTAAAGATTAGAAATTCTTTGATTTTGAGAAGGTTAGAGAATACATTGTAGAATTGACAGATAAGGCAACAGGAAATTCAAAAGGTATAAGGAATGAAAATAATAAACTAGATGTTGTACCTGATCCAATAGTAATGACTGTATATTCACGTGATTGTCCAGATTTGACAGTCATTGATTTACCAGGAATAACAAGAATAGCAATTAAAGGATAGAGAGAAGATATTGAGAAAGTAACATTAGAGATGGCTACTCATTATTGTTAAGATGAAAGGACTATAATATTAGCTGTATGTCCAGCTAATCAAGATTTATCAACAAGTGATGGTCTTTAATTAGCAATCAAATTAGATCCAACTGGATCAAGAACTTTAGGTGTGATTACAAAAGTAATGATAAATTATATCAATATAGATTGATATCATGGATTAAGGAACAGATTGTAGAAAAGAATTATTGGGATAAGTAATTCCATTAAAGTTGGGTTATGTTGGTGTTAAAAATAGAAATTAAAAAGATATTAATGATAAAGTTAGAGTTGCTTTAGCTTTATAAAAAGAGACAGATTTCTTTGCAAAACATCCATTATATTCATAGATGCCTCCAGATATTATGGGAACAAAAGCTTTGATTCAGAAATTAACTAATATTTTGTTTAAACAGTATTTATTTCTAATCTAATCAAAGTATTCGAGCATCCTTGCCTTAAATTATTAAAGAAATCGATAATAAAGTTTAAGATTGTGAAGTTAAACTTGCTTAACTTGGTCCAGGATTGCCTAGAGATAATAAGGAAAAAATGTAAGTTATATGGAATATGTTGACTGAATATACAGAAAATCTTAATAATAAATTAAGAGGAAAATTTGATGTCAAATCAGCATTACAAAAAGATACCTAAGTTTCTGGAGGAGCTTAAGTCAAACTCTACCTAAATGATCTATATTAAGAGTATTCTATTTTATTAAATGATTTAGTTAATCTAGCAAGACTTATAGAGTTAGTAGAGAATATACAGATAGAGAAATTAAGGAAGCCATTAGATTACATTAAGGTGATTCTATTCCAGGATTCCCATCATTTGATAGCTTTTTATATTTGATTATGCCGCAATTAGAAAAATTAAGAGAACCTGCAATAAACACTCTTAATGAAGTGTTTACATATGTTGACTCACTATCTAATAGCATATTGAAAAAAGTGTTTTATAGATTCCCAACAATTTTAGATGCAATTTCAGATATCAGTTCATAAGTTTTAACAGAATAAAAGAACAAGACTAAAGTAGTGGTTGAGAATTTGATTGATTCTGAATTAGGATATATCTTTACAAATGATTAAGATTATTTAACAATGAATGCTAGCATTATTCCAGTATATTATATTTTATATATTATTTTAGTAAGAAGATAAAGAGGAATAAAAAAGTGCAGCTGCAGCTCCACCAGGTGATAATACTGCAAATACAACAACAACTACTACTTAAAATTAAAGTAAGCCAGCTTAATCAGGAAATAAGGATACTGATCCAGAAAAAGTATTAGCATAAGAATTGAGCAGAAGATTAGATTCATATTATAGAATTGTCATAAGAAATTTAAGAGATACTATTCCTAAAGCAATAGGATATTTCTTAGTTAGAGCAGCTTAAGAATAAATGTAATTTTAATTATACAACGAAATAATGAAGAGTTAATCTGTTATGGGATTAATGTCTGAAGTAACAAAAATAATTAAATCTTTTTTAGCCTGAATATATAACAATTGAAAGAGATACAATCAAAAAGACATTGTAGGTATTAAGAAATGCATAGAAATTATTGAAATAGGATCCATAGTATTTTAAATATTTAAATTAAATAGATAAACATTCTAACGATAAACTAGTGAGGCTGTTTTGGATAAAGTAAAGAAGACAGCAGCAGAAACAATTAATAAAACAAAAAGATTTCTTGGAATGTGATTTTTATCTAGTAAATAATCAAGCATATAAATTTATATACAAATTAATCTAGTTTGATTAAATTATATGATGATATATCAGGAATACTATGCGGAAGGTAATTATTCCAGTTGTCTACTATATTCTTATTTAATAGTTTATTATTTTTTTTTTGAATTTTATAATGAAATTTCTGAGATTTTCTGTTTATATTCATCTCTTGTAATCATATTTTTAGTGTGTTCTTATTTCCACTCTTTTTAGATATTATGCATTTATGTTCTATTTTCAGCTTCGTCACGATATAACTAATCATTCATTTGATAGGCAGTCTTTAATTCATGATCATAAGCTTAATTAAAATCAACTTTAGCTTTTACTAATCTCTTGGCTTATTCTGCCAAGATCTTTCTTTCTCTTAAATTAACTGATTCAACACCTTCTTATACAATCAATTTATCATTCTATCTATTCTTAATTTCTCTCTCCAATCCTAACTAATTATTTTTCTATAATACCATCTTATTAAGATTTCCATGCTTTCATTTCAACCATAGCTTTATTAGCATTCATATATTATTATCTAAGTTTAGTTTCTCTAACTTCTGCAGCTATTCTCTATTCTTCAGCGCTCTTAACTTATTTTTTATTGCTTATTTTATTTTATACTTAAAGTAATTATTCTTCTCTTATCTTTTTTCTTAATTCTTCTTCTTTTTATTTCTTCATTCTCTTTGCTTCTCTCTCCATATCTTTCTATTAAGATTCTGCTTATCTATGTGCTTTTATTTCTTAAACTTTTCTTTGCATTGATGATAAATATTCATCTTTTTAAGTAACTATCTCTTTTCTTTTTTCTTCTTCTTCTGCCTTTCTTTCTGCTTTCACTACTTCTAATCTATCTCTTAATTCAGCTAATGACATTTCTTCCAATAGACCAAAACCCATAGTTTCTGTTGGATCATATCCCTTTGTTCTTTTTATTGGTTATCTTTCTAATTCTCTAATCTATTTAATTAATTCTTCTCTTTTTATTCTTATTTATTCATCTTCTTATCTTTTCAATTCTAGCATTCTTGCCATCTCTAATTTCTAATCTTCAGCCATTTATTTATTTTTTTCTTATACTTTTTCTACTTATAAATATACTTTCTTTTCAGCTTCAATTATTTGTTCAATTAATTACTTTTTATGTTCTACTTATTCTTATTACAATTCTTATCTTTCTTTTAATCTTTCAACAGCTTCAATCTTCATTTTTTCAGCTAATATTCTATTCTCTTTATATTTTTCTTCTTAAGCTCTCATAGCTGCTTCTCTTGCTAATTCCATCTCTATCTTTTTTTATTATTAATGTTCCATTCTAGCAATTTATTCTTATTCTTCTTATTATCTCTTCCATTCTTCAAATTCTCCTGAATCTCTAAGATTAACTTCTAAATTTTTAACTCTTTCTCTTTCAATCTCTTATTTTTTCTTTAATAACATTTCCTCTCTCAATATTGCAGCTGCATTTAATTTTATTTCTGCAGTCTCTAAATCAACAGGAGCAGGCTTTGCAATTTTCATATTAAATTACAATTATTAATTTAATGTATCCTCTACTTCCTTTTTAACAGTCTCATAATTAGTAGGTCTAAGATCTGTTTTAAATTCAAATTATTTTGTATCCTTATAATTATCTTAAACTTTTTTTTTTGATTATTCAAATCTAATCTTATTATCTTCTTCAAGTTATTGTAAAGTTTTTTTATTAAGATTACTAGGAACAGGTTTACTTTTGTATTGTTCTGGTTTAGGAGGTGGTGGTGGTTCAGGCTTTTTCTTGGTTTCACTTAATTTAAAAGGCATAGTTTTTGTCGGTTATTTTTTTGCTGCTGATTCTGGTCTTTCATCTTCTTAAACTAATTCACTTTATTTTCCAGTTGCTCTTGAACTAAGAGAACTTAATAAATCTTTCATCATAGGAAAATGTTATTCAAGTCCTCCAATTACAGTTTCTTATATATATTGAGGATCATAGATTTCATTCCAAAGTGGTTTAATATGTGTAATAATTTTATCGATGTCGAATAGAAATTGCAATAAGACATTCATTTTGACTGGATCTTATTCATTGACCATTTTTTTGAATTCATTGTAAGGCAATTCATCCAATCTAAATAAAATGAGATATGAGAAGATATGATATAGAGTTGCATCATTTCTATTTGTTGTGCTTGACAAGAGTGTGAACATTGTCTTAGTAAGTATCTTAAGGAACTCTTCATAACGTTAAACCCCTGAGAAAACCTATTTAGAATGAATTTGTTAGATACTTGCTTCAAAAACATGATTTCTGTATCGAATAGTTTCTTGCAATTCTCTTATATAAATTATTCACAGTGAGAGTCTGGAGTCAAGATTATAGGATTGTAAGATTTGATTAGTTCAATTACATGAGTTATTAGTTGCTGATATCTCATAATTAATTAATATATTATATATATATATATTCAATGTATAAATCAAATATAGGCATCTAAATTAGTAGAATATTTGAAATATATATTTTGAAGTCAACTAATTGAACACAACAATATTTAAATTTATGAACAAGGAAATCCATTCTACAGAGATTAAGGACAGAACAAGAAGAAAGCATTTCCCTAAATTAGACTTAGATGAACTAAAGCCAAAAATCACTTTTCTTGATAGTCTAAGTAAAAAATTATAAATTCATTTTGTAGTGTAGAAAAAGTATCAAATCAACACAAATGTGAATTAATATAAAATAGGGAAAGTGTATTTGGAATCCTAAAAAGAGAGAGTAGTTTTTAGAGTGTTCTATGATTCAGATTTAAATATATCTTCAATCTTCTAAAATAAACTTAATAAAACAACTGTTGATGATGATATGATGACTACTTATTCATAAATCTCTTATGCTAGAAAACAGAATTAAAAGCATTTAATTAGAAGGATTTATGAAAAGGAGAAATATCCAAATTGTAATAAAGAGTCTGTAGAGGAAATGGAAGAATCTTTATTTGGATCTGATGAGGAACCTGAGGTTTATTGCAATTCCAATGAAGATTTAAAAACTCTCGAGTTTATTTAATCATAGTGATCGATGTTCATATTTAATTATTATTATAACTAAAATTATCAAATTTATTTAGTCAATCTAATGAAGTTAAGTAAAATGAATGAAGATGAAGCAGCTCTTATATTTGAGGAAAGGTAACCACTACATATTCTATCAAGAGAAAGAAAAAACTTATTGGAAATTTAATCGAACAATATACAAAAGTCCAAAAGTAACAGCCACAATCTAAATATAACATTCTATCTAAACATGATAAATCTAAATTACATGAGAAACTCATTCCATCACAAGATTGTCTTGAAGGTACTTCAAAAGAAGGTCAATTAAAAAAAATAGTTAAGAGTTCATTGTTAAAAGAAATTGGCAATATTGATATTGAAATACAAAAGATGACCAATGAACATAACACCAATAGAACTAAACCACTCTATTTAGAAAAATAATATTCTTATTCTAAAATTTTAACCAAAACAATCAATTAAACTGAATTATCCAAGTCTGAATAAAAAACTTCTATACAAAATAGAAATCAAAGCTATTATACTAATAGATAAAAATCTAATAAAATCAATTCTGTTGCTGAAAATTCTTATTCCAAACTTGCAGAATCTATTCGCAATTATTCTAATCAAAGAAAGGTTGATGAACCTAAAACTAACGAATAATCTAAACCTTATGATTTTCTTTAAATTAAAAATCAATCTGATAAAAAAATTATCAAACAAAAAACTAAATCAGTTAACATTGAAGCCAATATTACTAAATCAAATAAAATGATATCTAGTGAACGTAAAATACCAAAACCACCCTTAAAATAATTATCTTAAAAGAGAAACTCAGAAAGTGAGAAAACCTCACCTGTTAAAACTATTTTAAAATAAACTTCAAATCATACATATGATTTAAGCTCTACCAAAGCTAATACCACATAATAAGTTAAAATTTATATATTAATTCTTAGTTTTACTAAAATAAAGACAATAATTTTAATAGAAGCTAGAACAATAGTAGAATCGGAGATTACAAAATTTTAGAAGCTGTCAACATCTATAAAACACTAAAATAATTAGTAGATTCCAAAGAGTAAATTCATCAAAAACATTCTACAACTTTACTTTAACAAAAAACATCAACTTTATTGGTATTTTTTATTAAATTATTATTTTAAGTCTCATAAGAATGTAAAATAATAATCATGAATTACTCATTTTAATTATTATTAAATATATTATATATCTGATAATTATTTTTATTAATTTTATTTATTCATTATGAAATTATATTCATTATTATTATATAATAATTTATTTATAATTTATCGTCTATAAGAATGAGCTTTGGTCGTTATTATCCATCTAAACTAAATACGGAATCTAGTGACAACAACCATCATCTTAATGGTAATCACCATGTACATATTAAATATGCTCCTATCAAAATTATTCACAACGATATTGCTAATAATGAGGAAAGACGCAAATATCCTTAGTTAAATCTACGTTTCCAAACAATTGATGAAACCATCGTAATTATATATCATAAAGTAGACTCGTCAAGATCCAACGGTAACTATCCCTCTCAGTTTTCTATAATAATTAATTTAATAAGCATATTCTAATAAATAATTGAGAACAATAAACAATCCCTCTTTTAGAGTAGAAGAAAATAGAAATGATGCTGTGGAAGAGCTAATCAAATAAATTGAAATTTAATAAAAAGGAATTTATCCAATTGATGGTAAAAATATGGTTATAATTTTATAATAGAAGAAAAAAAAATATAAAATGCTCTAATCTAAAATTAAATGAATTTTATATCATAAAATGAAGAAGCAATTTAAATTATTGATGCTTATTTTTCAGAGAATATTAATTTAAAGCCCTACTTCAAGACATGGCTACAATAATTAGAAGTAAAAGCCATTTAGGATATGTTAATTCTATGTCACTCTGATCCAAAAGGATAGTAATATTCGGATTTGTTTAAAGCTCTATTCTAAAAATTGTCCATTGAATTTTATCAGAAACATGCTTATGCTGTCGTATTAAGAGGTGATCAATAAGAAAAGCTAAAATATTTATCACAAATTGGAGAAATCTTAAATAAAATAACGAAACCATAAGAATATTATTATTTTAAGCAACGATGAGATTGCAAATGTATGTTAATTGAGTTTAGTTTTATTTTTTTCTGTATATTAGTTACGCAATATGATTCATTCAAACACATAGCCAACTCCTTATACTGACATAATATAATTATCCTTTATATTTGTCTCCTTAAACTCTATATGGCAGTCTGGCAGAAATTTCTAAATTACATATTTTAATGAGTTAGTATGAGAAGAAGGTTTACCAATTAAAATTTCTGATTTACCTTAAGCCAAAGCCATAAATAAGAGAAACTGATCTTAATGGTTTTCATCAAAACATACTGATTATTCCAGTTATTTCTTAGCAGAATTAATTACATTGTTGATAGTTTCTTCTATGGTTTTATCACTGTCATTAATAATTGTATAATCATAAGAGTTTAGATTAGAATGACTTTAAAGAGAAATTCCATAACATTGCTTGAACTTTTTAGAATTTACAATTTTTAAATCACTATTAATTTGTAATTAGGCATTCTAAGAATATTACTTCAATTCTTCAACAATTTTATGATCAAATAATTGAGTATTACATGGTAATCCTAATAGATAAGTGCAATTTAATTGATTAATTTTAGTAAATTCTTTCTTAATTAATAATTTGAGTGTGTTTTCAATAGGTTAAATCACTGCTTAAACCAATCCTCCACCTTAAGGATAATAACCCTCCTTTAAAACTTAAATATGGCATCTAAGACCCATTAATTAAATTATTGGTAGAAAAACAGTGCTCCAAGCTTGGATAGTAGGACTATGATTTAAATAGGTTCCACCATGAATGGTGATAGAGATTTATTTTTTAGAATTGATTGATATAGGTAATAAAGATTACAATATTAAAGTAATACTTTATGCTGTTTAAGCAGGACAAATAATGTCTTGAGGTATGAATTTTTAAAGAGGTTTGAAAGTAAATTCTTATGAACCCAATTTACAGCCTTCGATTTCAGATTTAATAATATTGGTAATGAGTGTAATCTAATTGAGAAGTTAATTATTAATTCCTGGATTTGGTCTGTTATATCTTATATTAGTGATTTTAAATTGTTTTTAAAGAAGGATTGATAAAGCTAATGCATTTCTAAACATTTAGCCTCCTCCTTCACTTTAGGAGCCATCAATAATAATAATATCATTATTCATAAGTTGGTATTTTAATTATTGATTAATAAAAAAATGATACAATTGTTTAATAAATAATGATATAATGTATTATGTAAGTATTTATCTTTTAATAAATTCATCAATTATAAATATTAATAATAATGGACTCATTAAATGATGGTAGTTAAGCAAGGAAAAAGTATGCTGTAATTACTCCAGCAATAAGAATGGCTTTTATTAAAAAAGTCTAATCAAAATAATCAACTATAAAGAAGGCTGCTCAAGAACTTGGAATTAAGTTTAGTACATCTAAAGCTATTTTGCAAACTTATAGAAGGGAAGGAAGAGTAGGCAAGAAAAAGACCAGATAAAGAAGAAGTATTTCTAAATTGGAATCTCAACCTGAAAAACCATAAGAAATCATAAAAACAAATGAATCGTTGATTCCAATCTAATCTAATTAAATTTCACCTGGAGACTTCTAATTTCATTCCTTATAGTTATAGTTAAACTAATAAATGTAACTTATGTAGCTTAGCTTATCTATGAATCCATACATGCTTCTTCAACAGTATGAATATTAATTTAATTCTCTAGAAATCAATATTTAAATTAATGTCTAATGTAATTACAGGCTCAATAGATGATTAATTTATAAGGATGGTAGAATCCCATTTAACAAGCATAGCCTATTCTTCAATAATTTGGAAGAATACAAGAACAAAGATAATATATTACTCCATTATAATCCAGCAAATGTCTTGATCAAAAATTTGATGAAGGTCATACTACATTAAAGGATTTTATTTGAAAATCATAGTATTTTATTAAATAACCACATTTTTTGAACTTAAATATCTATAATTTTATATATATATATTTAAATTTTTTAATGAATAAATTTAACAAACTTGAAATAACAATATTATAGTGTTTTGCTAAATCAAATTATTATATTTATATATTTAAATTACTCTATTTAATTTTGTTGAAATTCACATCAAAAGTGGATGAATACTTTCATTAAGAATTGAGTAGAAAAGTAGTAAGATTTAAATTATGTTTGGAATAGAAATGTAGAAAGGTAATAATATCTTGGTGTTTATAATTATAATAAAATATTGAATAAAATTATTTATAATAAAATTGTTACCATATCTATGGAACATTAAGAGATAAAATCAGATAAACCAGTTGTAATATATGGAGGTGATTATTGTCCTTATTGTCATAAATTAAAGCACTTTTTAGAGAGTAAAAATATAGAATACGAATATCGGGACATCACAAAGGAGAAGGAACATGAAAGATAAGTGAACGAATTTGTAGTTAAATTAAAATGGAGCACAATTCCAATGGTATTCATAAAACAAAAGTTCGTTGGTGGATATACAGATGTAGTAAGTTTGGATTAGAAAGGAGAATTAGAGAAATTAGTAAAATGAAGAGTTGGAGCTTGATTATTATAAATTAAATAAATATAATATAGAGATAAGAATTATTTTAGTAATAGTCATATGAATTAAGTGAGTGAAACATAATAAAAGTTGTTGAAAATAATAAATATATTATTAATGAATTTGTCATTTTTTTTTGACTGGTAAATTAACTTCTTTCCATATTTTACATGTATTATCTTTGGATCCAGTAATGATGATGTCTCCTTCATAATTGAATGAACAACTAAATATTTCGTCAGTGTGTCCTTCTAAAACTTATAAACACTCTCCAGTTTCTGAACTAAAGAGTTGATAGATAAATAAAATACTAAATTCTGGCAGTATTGTCTGCACTAGCAGTAATGATTTTATTTCCAGATGGATTAAATTAAACTTTGGATATTTCTCCTTTATGTCCAAGTAATTATGCTATACATTCTCCTGTATGAACATTATAGACTCTTCCAGTAGCATCAGCTGAGACTGTCACTAATCTAGTACCTAGAATAAATTGAATAGTGAAACCTGTAGAATTAAAACAAATATCTTAAACTTCATCTTTATGTCCTCTTAAAGTTTCTATACATTTACCTGTTTTAATATCCCATATTTTACATGTTCTAGATAAATAAATAAATATAATTACTTATCAATAGATCCAGTTGCACAATAATCACCTGTAAATTCAAATTAAGTACTTGAAATTTCACCTGTATGTTCATCTAACATATGTATACACTCTCCTGATCTTACATCCCAAATCATTGCTGTTTTATCAAATGAACCTGTAAGTAATTTATCTCCATCTGAGTTAAAGTGTAAACTCACTATTTCTCCTTCATGTCCATCTAATCTTGCTATCTACTTTCCAGTTTCTACATCCCATAATCTTGCTGTTTTATCCATTGATCCTGTTGCTACTATTAAAGAATGAGGATCAAAAGATGTGCACACTATTTCATAATTATGTCCTACTAAAGTTTATAGACATTTCCCAGAATTTGCATCCCATATTTTTGCTGTCTTATCAAATGATCCTGTTACTACTCGATCACTATCAATATTTCTCTACTTTATTACCCAAATGGATTATTAAATGCTATACAATACACTACATTCTTATGACCTTCCAGAGATACTATTTCCTCTCCTGTAAAAGTGTCCCATACTTTACAAGTTCTATCATAGCTACCTGTTATAAATCTATGTTTGTATCAACTAAGTACTTGTCTCCATTTTTATTAAAAGCACAATTTGTTAAGGGTAACATATGGGCTTTTAAGGTTTTGAATAATTCAAATTATTGCTCTTTTTTAGATTCTATCTTATCTATTAATTCTAATAAATTTTTGAAATTTTATTACTTCTTATTAAGGCTGCCAATTAAGGTTTTCGATTCTCTGAAATTATTGGCTCTTCCATCACTATTTCTTCAACTAATTGATCTACATCTGTACTATTATTTTAGACTTCAAACTATACTCATTGCTTAAATTTAGCAAGTCAATAGATTTCGTTTCTTATTCTCCATTACTTCGAATGTACTCTAAAATTATTCCAGGAGGATAATATCTTAAAAGAAACCTTTTAAGCTTCATTTTTAAAAATTTAATATTTATATATTGAATCATATATACCAAAAAATACATATGTAACATATGTCTGAATATTATTAATGATATTTCAAATATTATTTTTCACAATTCAATCTTCTCTCCTACTTAATTGCTATTCCATTTTGGAACTTGCTATTTTTTTGGAGCAAAAAGAATCTTTTCTAAATTCATACAAGGTACCTAAATTAAAATAATACTTTACTTCAATAGCTAAACTTAAGATACCTCCTATTATTATTGTATATACAATATCTGTAAGTGTGAAAAAAAGAATATGTGAGTATTAATAATAAACTAATTAGGTTGAACTGAAAGTCATGAATAAAATCACAATGAAATGTGTTAAATACATACAGAATGAAATTCTTGCTATTGGTTACCAAAATGGATGTCCAAGTCTAATATATAATTACTATTAAATACATTAATTTAGATGGGTCATTTTTACAACCTAAAAGAGCAGGAGTAATACACAATCCAACACCTATGACAAAAAATACTCGATTAAATGCTTAGTAAAAATATTATGCTTATTGAGGCCAAGCATTCATATCTTTTTAAAGAGGAACAATGATCCAAATAATAGTTTAAGTTAATCCAATTCCTACTATATAAAAAAGAGTTCTTATTAATACACTATCTTTAATCTTTTAAGCCAAATCAACCAATTTCTTATTTTGTCCACTAATGTAATTACGATAAAAGAATCCAAAAAGTATTCCAATTAAATAAGGTGATATTCTGATCCAAGGTTTGTAATAAAATACATCTTAATAATCTGGTTATGGTTTAGCATTTGGTGTACCTATCTATAAATGATAATCATGAGAATAAGCAATATAGTAGGCTGAAAATATGCTTCCTATTAATAATAAAATAATTAATGCTAATCCAATTTTTTTATTTTTTGCATATATAATTAAAATGATTGGAGTAATGAGAAATATTTGAAAGTCATTAGATAAATACCAACCCCAACCAAAACAATAGTTTAATCCATTATTCCCATGTGAAAACATATTATCAATAAATAATATATTCTTCCACCATTAATTATCGCAAGTAGATGTCATTGATATATATTCATTCCAAATTGGTCCATCTGACCAATAAACAGTTAATTGCCAATAAACTAATATACAAAATGCATATGTTGGCCATATTCTTAAAAATCTATGTAACCACATAGCTGGAACTAATGAAAATTTTATTGTTCTTAATTTAGTTAACTTTTCTAATAATAAAACAGCAGCCAAAAAACCTCCCACAAAAAAGAATGTATCTACTGCAAAATAAGCTGCTGGTGTTAATGTTACCCATCCAGGTTCAGTTATCTTATATGGAATATCTATCACATTAAAAGAATTAGATCCTCTAATCAATTAATCATGACCATAAATGACCCAAAATATTGATAAAGCTCTTATTCCATTAAAAATCACAAAACCTGCATTCTCACCTTTAGGTTCATTTATCTTAAATAGTTTTTAATAATTATGAATAAACGAAAAACTTAAAGCTAATCTTTCCCAAGATGGCTCCTTATATTTCTAATATTTAATCTCTTCAAATTAGCCTTTACCACTCATAAATGCAGACTCCTAATTCTCCATGATTTCATTTTCTAATTTTATGTATCTTACTTACAAATTAATTCTGATCTCTTGTAATTTTGATTTATGGAATCTTGTATTGATGAATCTTCAATTTTAGATTCATTTATTTTCTAAGCTGCTTTCTTCTTGATCTCTATCTGTAAATCATCATCATAAGCTTTTTTTTTGTTTTCTGCTATTATCGAAAAGATGCTTCCGATAATATTTAAAGCTACTAAGATAATTAATAAAACCAAAGTTAAATATGTTCCAAATGTCCATTCTGGATACATTTTTTCAGGATCCTAATAAGATACACTTTCAATCATTGACTTATTGTATTGAAGGTTCTACAAAAATTATGTATAAATACAGTAAGATTATTTATAAATTCTTTTGTTATTTCATTGTATTTTTAAAGGTACTCCATTTCACAAAATAGAGGCAAACAAAAACCCATATGTAGAGGTCTTCCCCCACTTACCATTCTCAAATGAATATAATGTAAGTCAGTAGTATCTCTACAAACCAAATAGGAACCTAAATCTTAAAGTCCTTTTCCAGAGCTGAGAATTGTTTAGTGGGATAAATTATTTGGTATTTATCCAGACATGATTGCTTCTGTAATGCTGTTGAAATATTCTTCACACATTTTGTTATTATTATCATTTGTCTTGACTGATACAATAAGCATAAGGACACATATGGAAAGATGAAGGAATTGCATTGTTTAATTATATTAAATATTTTATAAAAGAAAATTTACATTTTATTTATACAATTACACAATATACAATCTAGAGTTTAATTGAAATTAATATTGAAATGATGCCCTAGTGTTTTAGTTGATTTTGAACATTCCTTTCTTAATTACAATAGGATATCCAAATTAACGAGCTAAAAATAATAGCAAAAACTTAAAGAAATAATCAATTTAAATAATAAATATTAGAAGATGTTATCGTAACAATCTCATCCAATAATTGCACCATCTGCAAGTTATACAATAACTCTACTTAAAAAGCAATTGAGATGTAATAAATAATGAAATAAAAAATTAGAATTGGAAGAAAGCAAGACAATTGAAGGTGTCTCAGTAGGTTTGGAATCTAATAGCTTATATTAATGGAATATTAGTTTTGCTGGTCCAGCTGATACTCTATATGAAGGAGGTTACTTCTAAGCAATGATGAAATTTCCAGAGGATTATCCCAATTCTCCTCCAACATTCAAATTTTTGACTGAAATGTGGCATCCCAATAGTATATATATAAATTTACTAAAATAGTCTATTCAGATGGAAGAGTTTGCATATCTATTCTCCATGCATAAGATGAGTTCAATGATTAAGAACCTCCAGAAACAAGGTGATTTATCAATTATATTCTTAGATGGAGACCCATATTGACACCAGAAGATGTGTTAATTTCAATAGTTTCTATGTTATCAGAACCAAATATTAATTCACCTGCAAATGTAGATGCTGGAATTTAATTTAGAGATAAACCTGATGAATATAAAAAGAAAGTAAGAAAACTAATAGACAAAGCATTAGAAAATTTATGATTGTATTTAGTTAGTATTAAATAAATTATCTGATGTTGTAAAATTGATAGATATCATGATGTTTAAGTACTATCAAACCATTCTCTTAATGTTTCTGGACAATGTTAAGCAGACATTCCTCCATTTTATTTATTCAATTCTTCATCATAAATAAAACAAGTTAAGACAGCATCACAAGCCATAGAATAAATACTCATGAATAGGATAGCCACCATATAAGCAATTATGAAACATACTATCGATGGTACAACTGGAGATGCAAGTTCTGTTTTATATGGTTCTACATTAATAAAGATTTCATATGAGAATAAGACAGTAGCGAAACCCACAAATAATTTACCAATCTATAAAAATATATATATATTCTATTACAAATGTAAAGATAGCACCAATACCAGAGACTAAACTATATCTCATAGTATTAGCCCATATTGATTCAAATGCATCTTTAGCTGCTGGACAAAAACTCTTGCTTGTCAATGCAATTTAAATGTAAGCATTTTTATTAAGAAATTCAATAAATCTTTCAAAACAGGCTACTAAACAAGAAAGACAATCTAAAATGCATTTTGTACATTTATTATCTCCTGACATCTTTTTAGCCTAATACTTTGCATATTCCAACATTAATCTAATAAACTAAACAACAGCTAATATAAAAGAACCAAATGCTAAAGATCCAAGATGATAACGAAATGCCCAATAAATACTTTAGAATAAATTACCAGTGTAAGATTAACCTGGTCCTTAATTAAAGTACCAAATACAAACTGAACAACCAATTATAAATTAATTTAGAGCTAACAAAAATGCTTATTTCCATAATCCACCAAACATAAAGTAATATACCATATTCCTAGTAGTATTATCAAATGTTACAGTAGCAAAAGGAGTACTACCATCTCCTTTGATATCTCCAAGTCCTACTATATATCTAATAAATTAATCAAATTTATTACACTACTGAAACTATCCACCAAACCCATAATATTCCTAGACATATTCCAATTATTGGAGGTACTATCATTACAGAAAAGTTATCTTTCACATAAAGTGTGGCTGTTTTCACTACTCCTATTGCTAATCTTATTTTATTGAAAATGCAAATAAATGCAATTATTGAAAATATTATCCAAGCTATTTCTATGTAAAATAAGTATTCTAAGGCTTTCGCATTATCAGCTGCATTTGTGGAACTTGCTGAAGCTGATTATTAAGAATCACTTTTAATTCATATTAATAATCTCATTACTTCACATAATATAAATGCTAATCCCAAGTATATCCTGCTAAAACTGATATTCCTACAAAATAAAGTAAAATTGTCAACCATACAAATATGCCACCTAAAAATCTTAAAATTAACATATAAATCATTCTATTATAAATTTACTTTTTTTACCCTAAACCAAAAGCTATAAAAAAAGATGCCAATATTATATATTTTGCAATAGAAAGATCATATAACCATGATGTCAATCTATTTAAGTCTATAGATGAACTAAAATTTGAAGTTTGATTCAATATTTCTAAAGCAGTACTCGGAAAACACGCTCTTGAAAATATAGGTTAACTTCCGTATAAACAAATCCAATTTTCAGGATTAGATGCTTCACTTGTTATTGTTTCAACGTAGTTCTTCATTGAATCTATCGAAGTAAAATCAAAAGTAGCAGATGTATCTACTGATACTTTTGTACAATCTCTAGGACATGAAGTGATATTTTTATTTATTTGACATTTAACAGAGTCTGATGTATTTGCTGGACATCTTTCTACACACACTGTCTTGTTATAGTAATCAGGATGAATGATAGGAAAGAATAACAATGGATAATCTGGTAAATCCAAATCACATGCATTCCCTAAATTTAATATATAAACAATACCATCAGAATCATAAGCTGCCAATATTCTCTCTGGTTTACCTAAAGAATATCCTGTTATTGCAATATACCTATATTATTCATGATAACTTACCACATAAAAATGAATGATGCTATAAACAATAAACAGCATATAATATCAGTACAATGACGATCTGACAAAGGTCCATTCATTAATCGAGAATCTATTGGTTTCGCTTATTTCTCATTAACATCTTAAACTTTCATTAGTATAAGTAATAATATTATATTAATCCAACAAAAAATACTATTTATACACAATCCTTTCAAAATTTCTTCCTAGTCTCCATCTATTTAAGATATTCTAAAATTATTCTTCTTTATACCTAGCTTAGAAGATCTAAAAATATACTAAAAAAACTAATTCATCCAGCATTATGCTTAGTTCATTTATCCATTAGTCTAAGCTTATATTTGTATTCCAGTATAAATTATTGCGAATTTTATACAGTTAATTATTTCAGGTATTGTATAGAAACTCAATATTGATTAAATTCGAAATCTCTTAATTAAATCCTTGTATTAATTTCGTACAATTACTAATGAGTAAAGCCTTATAGAAAAAATATAAGTTCGAAAAAATAAACTTTGTTTGATGTTTTTACAAGGTTTTTTGAAATCACAAAAATAATCCACAGAATCCAATAGCATTATTTGCTATTGAGATGAAGAAAGGAAAGAGATATTATAAATAGATTTCCTAATTGTTTAGATGTCATTTATTTTCGATATAATTCATTTTAGATAAATAATTATTTGGATAATTATTAATTTATACAATTTAAAATTCCAGAAATGATTATGAATATTAATTTTTTATAATCGCTTTAATAAATAAATTAAATTCAATTATAGGAAAAATTATTTTTATCTCTTTTTAAATTATTGAGCACTTAAAAGAGAGTAAATAATCATATTTTAAAAATAGTGATTATATTCTTATTACTTTAAAATCTCTTATTGTCTATTTTTTTAGGATAAAATCACCCAATATTAAAACAATAGTATTGGAGTTATTTGTTAAGTAATTTGGCTTACCATAGCATTTTTTTGAATTTTTGTCTATAAATCTACTTTTCAAATCTTTGAAGTTTTAAGATTGATTTTATATTAAATAGCATCTTTGCTAAAATAATAGTTATAAAGAATATAATATTCTATTCTTAATAATTTTTAAATTAATCATATTTTTCATTTAGACCTTATTTAAGAATGAATTATTGTAACCTAAAAATTTCAATAAAAAAGTATAAGCATCAATAACACTATAATATTTATAACTTCAACTTAAAATCTTTTATTTAAAACCTCAGGATTGGTGATTTATAATTTAAAAATTATTGCATATCTCAAATGACTCTATAATCCATTCAGCAAACCAAATAATATTAAGTTCTTAGTAGAATAATTTATATTTCACTTAATGAGAGTGAACCACCATCTAGATAACTCTAGAATTAAAATATGTCAATAATTCTAACACAAAAAATTTCTATCTAGATTTTGGTTTTTCAATCACATCATCTCATTTTGCATTAATATTTTATAAATGTTAATTAAAATAGATAAAGGCATTGTCTATGAACGAAAGTATTGAAGTAGTAATCCTAGATTATTCTTTACTTGTTAAATTATTAATATTTTGATTCAATCACAAATTGACCTTAGCATCATTTACTTTGGATTCTACCTATCCTAAATTTATTTCAATTATAATTAAAACTCTATTTTTTACTCAAAGCCAAATAATTTCACAGACAGCGAAATTACAATTGATTTAAACCTGTACTAAAGGATGAATAGTGTGATAAAATTTCAAAAATTACTGATTCAATGATAAATGTTACATAATAAAGACATTAAGTTAATGATCTAATATAAGATTCAATAATATACAGTGGACAGTATAAATATGTCATAGTTTCATTTACAAATAAATTAATATATCTAAAATTTTAATAGATTCTATTTTGATAGACAAGTATACCTAGTTCTAATTTTATCCACCTAAAAATATAAATATTTTAATTAATAATAAATGAAGATATGATTCATCAAATTCCTACTAATTTATTAAGAGTCTTAATCATATAATATAATATTCCTCTGTAAATCTATTAAAATAACTCTCAAGCGATTTTTCCTAAATCTGATCCAGTGTATATAAAATAGATCTACTTTTCAATAATTTATCATAAATTATTGTTCTCAAAATATGATCCTGTTGTTTTATATATATTAAAAATAATATTAATATGATTTTAAAAGAACATTTCAAGAAGTTTCTAATAAATAAAAATTAATTTTACTATGTTAGATTAAATTGATGAGTCCATCGATATCTCTGTAAACATGAAATCTCTGAAACAATCTAGTAATATCATTACTATCCAAAGATCGTAGTCCAGAACAAAAGATCAGTTTACTCAAATTGACTAAAAATTCTGAGCCACTAACTACTTAGATCTTCATTACTATTCTTTGGTATTATTAATTAGAGGATAAAACTTATGAATTCTCCTCAAATTTTAATGAAACTTCAACTTTGGATGATATTAGTAATTGGCTCATTTTAAAATGGAAAGAAAAAAATCTCCCGTCATTTGAAACTTAGTCAATTTAATTTTATTTACCTAAGAAAAAGTTTGGAAAACCTAATGAAGATTTCCCATGTATTTTTAATCTTAATGAATTTAATTAGCATTTAGAAAAGAGCTCTAATTAAAAGATTGCAATTAATGCAGTTTTGCTCTCAAGGTTAGTGTTAGTATGTGCAATTCTACACTTCCTAAAAAAAGTGAATCTCAAAAAACTTATAATAATTCTCTTTCTAGAGAACAACGCTTTGAAATTACTAATTTAAAGAAGAAAAAATAAAAAAAATATTTATTTTGTTTTTGCTATAGTGGTGAATGAATAAATATTATATAACTAAAAAAAAATTAAATCAATATATTACTGTTAAAATTTGAATAATATGGATAAGTAAATGATTTTCAGTTTTCAAACTCAAAAACCTAAAATAAGAGAGTAGGTTAAAAGATTAGAATATTTTCAATAAGAATTATCATAAATTTAAGATCTTTCAAGATAGAATAGATCCAAAAGTTCAACAGATATGCACAGTATCACCACGGCAGATAGTAGATAATATTAAGGTTATTATGAGGAAGTATCTGCTTTTGCTATACCAAAAAAAGATATTTTCAGTCAATCTTTGAATAAAATCTAAATAAATTAACAAAACAAAGAAGTATAAACTGAAATTCTAAACAAACCAAAGTTAGAAATTTTATAAGAAAATGTCATGTAGTTACAATTATAAAAAGAGGAGATATTTAATCAGATTAAAACAATAAAAAAAGAGAATGGATTATTAATATCATAAAATAAATCATATGAAATAGAAATTAGTGCATAAAAGAACAAAATAAACGAACTAATTAATGAGTAAAATGAAAAAGAATAATTTTATCAATAGACAATGTAATAGTAAAATTGGCAAATTAAATAATTAACAAGTGAATTATAATAGATCTACAATAAGTAGTAATAGTAATGTAATAACTTTGAAGGAAATAATTCAATTTAATTGCTTATTGCTTAATTTTCACAAATTGAATAAGATAATATTATTTTAGCTCTGAAAGAAGTGATAAAGATTAATAAAAATGAGAGATTATAAGTAATTAAAGATTGGATACATATTGAGAATATAAAAGAAGAAATTATTTAGTTAAAGAAACAACATAATATAAAATTGAAAGAAGTAAGATTTTTATTGAATATATTTTAAGTTAATGGAGCAAATAAAAATTCTTTAGAATGATTAAATAATAGAACCAGAATTGTTATCTACATAAGATTCGTTATAATTAGTATCAAACATTCTTTATAGAGCAATAAAAAGCAATGAGATGCTAAAATTGATTAAATAGAATACAAGAATGTATAATTTGATAGAAGATTTGTGGAATAAATTAAAATCTCGATTAGAGCATTCCAATTTTTCATAGTAACATATAAGAACATCATCCTTAAATAAGGTTGATTTAAATTCAACAAACAAAAAGTTTTCATGTAGAAAACAATGAATTAATTTATATAATTAGAATAGTAAATATATATATATATATTATTAAATCTAAAAATAGATATAAAATAGATGTGAATATATTTTTTATTAATAAAGCTCAACCTTAATTTAATTTTTTAAAATTGATTAAATTTTCTAGAACGTAATGAATTACTGATTATGCTTTTTGTCTATTTTTTAATTTATCTGTAATTCCAATAATATCTCCAGCTTCTTTAACATAATATTCTAGATCTTCATTAGTACATTTATTAGTCAATTGTGCTAATCTAACTCTAGGAAAAGATAGATAAGTTTAAATTACTTTTCAGATGCAAATTCTTCATCTAAATCAAATAATTCAAGTGGAGGTGGAGGTAATTCTCTTGGAATAGGAGGAAAGACAGCAGGTTATAATCCTAATAAAGGAGTTTCAAATTATGGAACAATAAGAGTAAGTGGTTCATGTTTGACCTCTAGAATATAAATGAGAAAATTACAGAGAGTTTCATATAATTTGACTGCATCTGGAATGAGATCAAGATCAAATTTAAATAAAGTAGAATCAAATAAGGTTGTAACATCTTTGGGTAATTCTTCACTTTCTTATAAACAACTTTTAAGTTTATCAGATAATTCTGCAATATCTGGAGCATTTTTGCAATCATTCTCAATAAATGGAGTTTTTTTATCGAATTCAACTTCTTTTGTGAAAAAGAATTTTAAAAGAAAGTCAAAAATCTTTTGATTATCATCTTTTTCAAAATATTCATCATTAAAAATATCAGTAGAGCCTATGACTACAAGTTTACCCTTTTCTTAATTAATGGCCATAATAGGTTTTTCACATGGATAAGACATAGGACCAGTAGATAGAATAGGAAATGCTTTATCTTTAACAATAAGAGTAGCTCCATTAGGATAAACAAAATCTAGACCTCCTTAATTATTAATTTCAGTATCTTCCATTTCTATTACTCCTTAAAGGTATGGTGTGGATGCTTTGTTTTTTCTAGCTTCTCTTTATTCACCATTTATCACACGAACTATCTTTATACAATAAAAATATTTTAAACTTCTTAATTAATAACTCCTTATTGGATATATGCTTCTTTAGGATGAAAGTATTTAAAATAACATGTTCTCACAACACAATCATTGTTTACATAGATTCCAAATTTCTCAATGAACGCATTTAAGTTGCTAGTAGACTTACTCTCCCCTCCATCAGAGAATAAGATTAATAAATTGCCTCCACTTATTAGATAGTCTTCAAGACATTTAATTTCTATGAATCAAAATTTTAAAATACCTTTCTCTGTAAAGGGAGCTCTAGATCCACCAAAAATTAACAAATTGGCATTTCTGATTTTATCTATAACTAAGTCATCTTTATTTAAACCAAACTAATTAATTCAAATATCTATAACTTACTTTATATTAACCCTTATACTTTTTAACAATCTTCTTGTAATTCTGACTAGGATTGCCTTATTCATTTTTGCCTACATTGAATATAACCTAATTAATTTATTATATACTTATGGCTCAGACATCTTTTATTTTTTTAAATTAAAATAAATGAATAAATTAATATTGGATGCCAATGCATTTATTAAAGAAATCAATTTTCAACATCTTTCAGAACATTATACATTCATAACACATGAAGCTATACTTACAGAAGTAAGAGATGAAAGAGCTAGATAAAAATTATAAAATTTTACCTACCCACTTACTTTCTTAACACCATCAGAAAAAATGATTAAAATTGTTAAACAATTTGCTACTTAAACATCAGATGTAGCATCATTATCACCTATTGATATTGAATTAATTGCTTTAGCTTGTACTTTAATTGAAGAGAATGGTTAAAAAGATAAATTGAAGTTAGAACCACTCAAACCATTAGAGTTTAATAAAATTAAAAATGTATATGGTTCTAAACATCTATAATAATAAGAAGAAGAAGAAATAGAAGAAGAAGAAGAAGTTTAAAATGAAAATAATTAATAAATTGAAAATAAATAAGAAGAAGAATAGACTCAAAAAAATACAGAAGAACTAGAAAAATAAGAGAATTCTTAAAAAAATTAAGATGATGATGATTCTGATGGTTGGGAAGAAGTTGTACCAAAAAGAAAACATTACAATAATTATTCAAAATCTAATTCATCATAATAAACTAAACTAGTAGAAAAATAAATTGATAATGAAAATGATTAAGATTCATCTGAAGATGAAAATGAAGAAGAATGGATTAATAATGCAAATATTCATGAAAAATTAAATGAAATTTAAATCAATCCATAGGAAAATTAAATCAATAATTTTGGAATTGCTCTTTTAACTACTGATTTTGCTATGCAAGTAAATTTAATATTATATTATAGAATGTTCTATTATAAATGGGTATACCTGTTTTATCTACTGAAGGATATATGATTAAAAGTGCTCGAAGATTTATTTTAGAATGTCATATCTGTAAAACCTTAGTCAGAGATTCTACAAGACTGTTTTGTACTAATTGTGGAAATAATTCTTTACTTAAAGTTTCATGTTCTTTAGAATCAGATGGAACCATTATTTTATATAGAAAAAAGAATTTTAAAGTTAATCTTAGAGGAACCTAAGTAATTTTATTTTATATATTTTTAGTATTCAATCCCTTAAAATCTAACAAAAAAAGATGCTCCATTTATCTTTTGTCAAGATCAATTAATGAAAAGTGGAATTCAATAATAATTAGCTAGATAAGTAAATTTTTAATTTATTCCATTTAGAGAAAACAAGAGGAAATCAGATATAAAAAAGTTATGAAAACTTATGAAAATGGAATTGGTTTTGAAGATATTGATTATAAACATCCGTAATAAAAAATCACAGTTGGTTATGGAAAATTAAATCCAAATGATGTAAATGATATGAGAAAAATAAAAAGAAATAAAAAACGTTGAATCATGTATATATAAAAATAATTAAAATATTAAATATCCTTATATTTTTTTATATAAAATAATATAATATATTTCCAATACTATATGATATGATATAAATACATCATTTTTTCTTAGATTATGCTTTTGTTGATGCTTTCTCTTTAGTTTTTTTCTCCTCTCTTTAAATTATGTCTTTTTTTTACTTTATTTGATAAATTTATATTTTATACCTTAAGACTTTTATTTGATATTTTTTGGTTAGCTGGAATTTATTATGCTTCAAATTAATGAGTATCTAAAGTTGATTTTAAAGCATCCATTTTTTTTTAAGATGGTTCAACATCTTCTTTAACTTATGATTATGCTGGATCAAAATCTCTCATATTTTTGACTGAATCAGTCTATTACCATGTTTAATTATTTGGTATCAATCTTTCCTTTGGTTTTTAAACTTTTTATTCCTATTATTTTTAATCTATTTAGAATGAGATAATACCTTATTATATCTCAGACTCTTCTTTTTATTCTGGAATTGCAACTGTTTAAACCTTTATTGGTTACTCACCAAATACACTTGATTATAATTCAGCTTCTTTTCTATTTTTAGCATATGTATCAGGATCAAAATCTTTAACTTAATTATTGCTTTATCCTCCAACAGTACTCCATTTTTAAGTAGAAGCAGTCAATTTTTCTACTTTTTGATTACCTACAACCTTACTGTAAATAGAATTATAAGTTATACATTGGAGAATCTCCAAAAACACTTGATTGATTTTCAATTAATTTTCTATTTGTTGGATTCTATTCTTATTATTATTATTATGTTTATTTTTTTTATTTTTAAGGACTAGAAATTTCTAAATTAACTTCTTTAGTAGGAAGATGTTCACGTGCTATTTCATTTCCATAAAGTTCTTTATTTCTTCTATTTTATGGATCATAATTTAGTTTTGGTTTGAATTCACTCAAAGTTGCTGCTCTTTTGAATGATTTATATTCATCAAAATCTGTAATTGATATAATAATTATTATTACCACTCTTTCCAAATAGAAAGTCTTTACCATGATCAACTTATCGATTATCATTATTTTTTTTTTAAAATCTTTTTACTTCTTGTTAAGAATTTTCAAATGTTTAATTAGAACGAGTCGGTTAAGGTGGAGGTACATTTTAAACAATTTCTTATGAAAATATTTAAGATTAAAAAGTTTAATTTTATCTAACCTAATATGTCTAAAATAGGTCGAATACTTCTGATTATTTTTATTGTGGACATTCATTACTAAAAATATCAGTTTTAGGTCTTGCACTTTATCTTGATATTTATGGAGCAGGTGCGGGGGTATTGATTCCAAATATATCAGATTTATTTTGGATTCTAAATAAGTAAACAATATTTACACTTGTCTTGTTGATGGAGCTTAATCAAATGTTTATTTATTTGGTCTAGCTCCAGCTGCTTATCTTAAAAATATAATATTCTTTACATGTTTGGTGTATCCATTTATAAACAAAATAAATAATATTTTCAGATTATAAAAACCACATCAACAACTCCATTTAAACTTAATAATTTATTATAGTACTTTTTGGTCTTAAATTCTAATTTTTAAGTTTATTTGTTGTCTTATTTGTAATCTTAATAGTTATCTTTATTTTATATTACGTCATTAATAAATATTGCATCTTCACTAGAACATTTAAGGATATTTAATTAAAAAACATTTAAATTGAAATCACTGATCAAAGCATTGATGTGAATTCTTATATTGTATTCTTATTTGAGAACAGTTTTGAAAAAAGAATTTATGATATATACTATATTATTGATCAGATAAGTGTATGAATTAATTTATCAGGAACAACAATTAGTTGGATATTTCTGATATGTCATTTAATTTTACTTCATTACAACTTCGAGAAATGAGTACACTTATATTAAAAAAGGATTGGCCAGATCGAACCGCATATGATATTATGGTATTTGTTTATGTTATATGAATTTAAATATAACAGATCCTTTAATTAGCCACTAAAAATATCAAATATTTTTAAGAAATCTAAGATGAATGTGGTGTCCAAGCCTTATACAAATGTTTATAGAGAATCTAATTAGAAATTTATCCTATGGTATTTCTTTATAAAAAAATTCACTTAGGATACAATTGTATTTGAAAAAGGAGACAAAGGAAAGGATTTCTATATCATTTTGTCAGGATAAGTTGGAATTTATATATTTTCAAATAATATAGAATAGCTTCAACACAATAAGATAAATATTCGTTAGGCAATTAGAGAATAAGTAAATTAACTAATTGCACAAGGTATTGGACCGAATAAGGATTAAACTCCTGAAATTAGAAGGATTCTTCTGAATGAAAAAATTAAAAAGTAAAAAACAAATTTTTTAATTAGTTTATTGAAAGTCAATGAGTTACATGAAGGAGATTCTTTTGGTGAAAGAGCATTGATAAATGAATCTGGTCGATTAGCTACTGTTGTTTGTGAAACAGAATGTTATTTTGCTATATTAAATAAATAAGCTTACAAAGAAATTTTGCAATAGGCTCAAAGTGAAAAAATTTAATAGTAAATTAAAGAACTTTAATCAATTTCAAGTTTTTAAGGGATGTCAAGAAGACTCTTAACAATACTACTTTATGCATTTCAAACATAAGAGTATAAATTTAGAGATCTTATTTATAAAGAAGGTTAACTAAGCAGAGAAGAAATATATCTTATATTAAGTGGAGAATTTATTGTTACAGAAAAACTTAAATTATTTTTAAACTAATAATCTATTCATTAAAATAGAGAAATTGCTAATTTATAAAGAGGATGCATTTTTGGAGATAAAGAAGCCTTTCAACGTTTGTAATTAAGAACACAAACAATTAGATGTAACTCAGATTATGGCAAGGTTCTTTGTATCTAATTAGAAACATTAGTATAAAGATTGCTTGTAAATTATTTCCTTTATTTCTAGGCAAATAATGAATTACATTTAATAAATGAACTTAAAAATTTAAGCAAATTAAAAGAAACTCATAGGCAAAGCAGAATTTAAAAATAAATTGATTCCCCTAAAAGATCTAGAAGTTTCATTAAATCAAATTCTCCTTCTTAGAGAATTGATTAAATTATTAGATAAAAAAAAGAAATCTTCAAATAATTAAATTCAACTAAAATTTAGTTTATTTATGATATTAATGTTCCGGCTTTAAAACATTAGAACAGTAACTCAATAGATATATAATATTCAAAAAAAAAAAAAAGATCGGTAATTGACCGTGTTATGCTAACTACTTTTAATAATAGCAAGTATGGTAAAAGATAATCGTTAGATTAAAATATTTAAACATAATTTTAATAGATAGGGTAAAAAAGATATTCAATAATTTGATTATTTATCATTTTTCATTGTTGCTATAATATTTTATGACTTAATTCTAAAATTTCTAGTTTGATTCACATTGATACAACTTTTAGGATTCAAAAGCTTATTTATTTGTACTAAGATGGATATTGATTTCTATTGATTACAAAGACCAAGAGGTAAATAAATTGATTGAATTGGTCATTATTAAACTAATTTTTCTCTAGATCCTTTTAACTAATCTTAATAGCTGAGTTTGAGTTGATGTGTTTTTTTCTTTACAATTTTTGATTGGTAATTTCTTAAAATTAATGATTTTTTCTTGATCTAATTTTTAGAGTATATATCCTCTTTGATAACTTAATTTCATATATAACTTAGAAGATAGAAGATAAATTTAATTTTTACGTTTTTAAGATTGAGGGAGATATAATTTATAGATTGGAATTAGAGTGAATATGAATTTCATCCACAAAATGGGATATGAAAAAAATTGTTCTCCGAATATTGTTTATTATCTAGAAATGATGTATTTAACTCTTTTTTATAAAAATTCCTCATTATAGACAGAATAAAGGTATAAAACCTTTTAACTATCTAAATAATATTAGTCAGATAATCCGGAAAGTTAATTGCTTTTGGTTCATTAATATAATTGGTTTACTAGGGTTTTATTTCAAACAACATTTAATTCATAAATAAAATGAACAGAAATAAGTTCTTTATGAATGCTTATAAGATGGAAATTACTATTTAAGTAGTTATTATTTAATATTAATTAATTATGAATGAATTGGAGAATGAATTTTTGACTTAATGCAATATAGAGAGTTCAGCATTTTCTCATTCTTATGTATAAATAAATAGTAATCTTAAAGATTGAGTAGATATATAATGAATTGCATTTCAATAATAATTGCAAAAGAGATTAGATTGCTAGATTGAGAAAAGAGAAAATCCAAAATGAAATGAAATAGGAGAATCAACTATTGCATGTTGAAGAGATTGAGAAAGCATTAGAATAAAAATAGTATTTGGAGATAGATTTGGATAGAACTCTCTATTCTATTGTATGGTAATTATAATATAATTAGTTATTGAGATAGAAGTATATTAATGATTTGGAAGAGCAACTAAGATTAATTAATAGCTTTTATTAAGAATTACCTGTAGAATATAGAGAAAGTTTATAGACAAAGAAATTAAGTTACTTAAGTTATAGTAAATATAAATAAAGTTACGATGAATATATAAAGCAATTAGAAAATAAGAAAGTTGAAGTATTAGATAATTTGGAAAAAGCTAAAAGTGAGACTCAATAGACTTAACAAAATTATTATAGTTTATTGTAAAAAATAAAAGTATTTGATAAAATTTTATAAGTAAGCTTAATAAACATTAGCTGAATAAGAAAAAATTATACAACAATTGAACGATTAGAATGAAACCAACATTTTTAAGTTACATGAATAAAGAAAGGTAGTCATAGATTTGCAAGTTTTATAAAAATTAGAAAGGTATAAAATTATGCGATAATTTTAAAAGAATGTATTTAACCTATGAAGAAGTGATAAATGAAGATTTTGTGAGTGAAGATATCAATAAATTAGATTGTAATAAAGAAATATCTGATTTCATGCATACTCATCCATTTGGAGTTTCATTCTTAGTTGAAAATCTAATACAATAATATAGAAAATATTAAGTTCAAATAGATAGTGAATCTTCGATAGGTTTAGGATTGATGGAAGAAAAATAAGAGTTATAGTAAGAACTTAAAGAATTAAAAGAATTATGCGAAAGATTTTATATTTATAATGATGATGAAGAATCTGAATAAAAATTTTAAGATATTTAAAAATTAATGGGATTCTTAACGATGAAGTAATCCCAAAATAACTTTAAATAAAATTTATTGCATAAAGCAGAATCATTTATTATTAAAGTTTTCGGAAATCTTTTCAATGCAATCAAAAGGTTTATATATTCATTTTATTTCAAGGTTTAATGATATCTTTCAGGCTATACATTAAAAGAGAATGGCTATTGATTTAAAATCTTCTTAAATTGATAGCAAAATTAAGAACTTTTGTGCTAACACATATATTGGACATTATTCCCTTTCCTTACATTAGTTCATAAGTAATCCTCTTTCTTCAACCTAACCAGATCTATATCATTAAATTTAAAATGTATTCATATATTTCAACTTAGAGTATCATCTTAAAATTATATGTAAATGAAGATTCTCTAAATCAGTATTTATAAACTGGATCTACTTTTATCAAATTATATTTAAAAGCATCAGACTACTATTCTAATTAAATTCATACAATAATTGAATTAATACATTCGATAACATAAATTCCAAAAAGATCCAAATTCTCGTATAATGATTCACCATTATTGTAACAAAACTACAAAAGTAAATTAAGTATTGAGTTGTCTTAAAAAAAAATCTAATTAAGAACTGATACTGAATCAAGAGCTTAAGTTTAAGTTAATTTTAAAACAAAAATAACCAAACGGAATTCTTTTACAAGTACTATTGGAAGTTCAAGAAGAATTCAATAAGATATTAATGAAGATAACTATTTAGAATCTGAAAGATAAAAAATAATTAATCCAAAAAATAATATATCAAATTTTATTAAAATTCCATCTGAATAACAGAAATATTGTGACATTTTAAGTGAAAGAGGGCATGGATTTGAAAAAAAAGTTATCATCTAAAATTTTAAATCATTAATAAAATTGAGATAAATTAAAGTATCTTTTATTTCAATTAAAATAGAGAAACTTTAAGACTAATCCAATAACTCCAAAAAGTATTATAGGATCATCATTATTATTTAAATCTGCTTATAAATGATTTAATATATATTGTTCCTTTATATTAATCAATTATATTTATTTATTATTGTTGGATATTCTTATTTAAATCTTTCAACATCTCCTAAAGTAAGGGCTGAATTGCTCATATTAAATTTCTTTTTTAATTCATTAAATGATTTATTTGGCTCTTATTTTTCAATATGAAACTCAAAAGCAATCCTAGCTAGACATAATTCTCTTATAAAATCAATTATTATACTCTTAAATGCTATAGTCTAAAGGTAAATAGCTGCTTACAATAATTCTTTTAACTCATTTCCCTCAAATACACTATATTTCATTATTAATTCTCTATTATATTCATTTAAAAAACATGTATTAGGGTCATTAGCTATAATAGTAATCATAAATATAATACATATTGCATCAATGATTTCAGGTTTAAAATTATTGAATTCATAATAATTTTTCAAAGTCTCAAAAGCTCTTAGGGTAACTTAAGTTTCTGACAAAGGTAATTCCTAAAATTTTTTTTAAATTCACTTCATCAGAATTTGGCTGCCAAACTTCTTTCAGAAAATTGCTCACTTAAGCAAATCTTTCGTCTACAGAAATCGATTGGCCTTGGACTTTTAACTTTATTGGCATATTTAATTAGATATTTTAATTTTTGTAAATGATTTTCAAAAATAACTATGATTTATATAATTTTAATTATAATCTAAATTTCTATTAAAACAATATTTTATAAATAATGATTATACATCAATCCTATTCTTCGTTTTATTCTTCTTCCATATTTTATTCTTCATATTCCTTTCCAAGTAGTAATTTGTAGCTTTCCTTAAAACTAATAATTTATCTTTTAATTAAAATAAAATTAAATACCTATTGTTTTATGTACTTTCAGCTTTTTATATAAGTAATTACAATTTTTTAGCTGTTTTTTAAGGAGTCTCCAAAAATATGTATACATAATCAAACATCAATTTATCAAATGCATGAGCTAGATGATTTGGTCCAAAAAACATTTTTTTTGGAGATGATGCCCCATAAGAAATTAATCTTACATTAAATAATCTTTTTCCAATTAAAATAGGCTTTTTTGCATATACTTCACATCGTTTTTAACAACCAATTTACTTTTTATTAAAAATAAAAAACTACTTTCAATTCTTTTATGGCTTCAATAAATTCTCCTTTTTCAAAAGCACACACACATCTAGCCTCCCAGGCCCATGAATAGCAAAATGCTGGTAATTCTTTATGTAAATATTTTAATTCTTGTAAAATTTTTGTCGGTGGAATAAAAATCGGTTCACCATCTTTAGTTTGTTTTATCATAATTAAATATTAATTGTTATATCCCTTAAATTAATGGTATATAATAGCTAAATGTAACCATACATTATTTATTAAAATCAACTTTATTATTTTTTAAAAATTTATTGGGCACAAAGATGATTTAATATCCGATTCACCAACATAATTTTAAAAATTTATAATATTTATATATAAATCCTTTTCATTTAATTTCTTAAATAATCAAATGAGATTCCATAAAAATTATTTATTTTAAAAGAGAGTAACATTTTCTTTTAAAATTTATATAAGAAATATAACCTTTTTTAAACCTTTAGAATTTAATATATTAAGAATTTATTTAAAAATAAATATTGTATTATTATTAGTAATGTAAATCGATTTAATGGAGTAATAAATAGTTAAGAAAAAAAGGTCAAGGTCTTAAAAAACGAATGGAGATTCTATACCTGCATTTTTATTAAAAACATATGAGATAATAGATGTAAAAATAATGAAAAATTATTAGAATCCTAGTAATTAAGATGTGATTAGTTGGAATGAAGAAGGAAATGCATTTATAGTTAAAAAAGTTAATGAATTTTCAGATGTAATTCTGCCAAAATCATTCAAACACAGCAACTTTGCATCATTTGTTCGATAATTAAATATGTATGACTTTCATAAGACCCGACATGATAATAATGAAAATGAATTTAAACATAAGTTATTTTAAAAAGGAAAGAAGTAAAAATTTTAAATAAGTGTAGAAATTTATTGAGTTAAATTAAAAGAAAGACAAATGATTAGAAAGAATAAAATTCTTTGACTCTTATCAAAACAGATATTATGAAAAATGGGAATTAGGAAATTCCAGAAGTACAAATTAATACTTATATGAGATATCAATGTAGATGTCGAGGTTGTAGAATAAATAATCAGAACTTGAAAAGCTCATGAAAATACTAATAAAATAAAATGAGAAAGTTATGAAAGAAAATAAGTATTTGTGGACCGAACTAATGAAGAATAAGTACAAATATATTGATAAAGAGGCATAAGAATGAAAATTCAGATGAATAAATAATGAAATGGGTTTTATAATCATTATAAGGAAGTAAATAAAGTTCAAAACATAAAAACATTTCTAACAACAATCTATTAATGATAAAATAAACTAGTGAAAATGATGAGGAACATTAAAATGAAATTTAACAATAAAAGTTAATTGAAAATGAAAAACCTTAATTTGATTAGCTTCCATCACAAATACTTAATTAAAATTTTGAATAATAAATAGAATAATTATCAAAAACACAAATAATTTAAATTTTAATGAATGCTGTAGCTAATAATTAAAAATAAGAGAAAAAGAATATTTTTAAATATGAAGATGATGAAGTTAGTTTTGATGAAGAATATCCTATAACGAAGAAATTAGATTTAAAATAAGGAAATGATGAAAAAAAATAAGACAATTAATTAATGGTGTATAGTGATCCATTTTCCTTCCATAAATTAGATGATAATTATATAATAGCAGAATCGCCTAATTTAAGTCGAAAGAACTCTTTTTATGATCATGATCCTATTCCTCAATTTTATGAATATTGATTATATTATGAAATTCAAAATTATTATATTTATTATATACATAAGTTTATATAAATTATTAAATTTAAAAAATGTACAATCAAAAAAACTTTATCAGGCCAAAACAACAAAAATGTGAAATTTGCCAAAAAATGACTATTTGTAAACATATTTATTTAATAATAATATTATTATTATATACTAATATAAAAGATGCCAAAGAGTAATATGTATTGATTGTAGAAAGTTTCAAGCGATTGTATAATTATAATTAAAAAATAAGATAGTAATAAAGATTTTATATTGAAAAGTAAAGGCAATAGTTATTTAGTACTCAAGAGGAATATCTTGCTGATTAAAATTACAAGATATTAGATTAAAGTAAAAAAACTTAAAAATTTAAAGAAACTAAAATAAATCCCAGTAATATTAATTAAGTAATCTTTTTTTTTAAAATAATAAAAATAGATTTGAAAAAATTTTGTAAAATATTTTCATAAATTTTGTTAATTTATCACTTTCATTATTTGGTTTCAATATTTAATAATTATTTTATTATCATGAATTAAAATTTAGAGATTATTTTGAATTAGAGAAATTTACAGCTTTGTTTGGCTCTTTATATTTTAAATGAAGTAAAATAAAAAGGTTTAGACGATGACTTCTTTATAAATTAAGTAAATTAAGAATACAAAACAATCAATTTTAAAAGAATATTTAAATAAAGAGGATATAATTAGATTAAATGATAAAAGATAAACTTATTCAAATAGAGAAGATTTATTTCTTTTTTAATACCAACGAAGTTTGTTTAAAAAAATAAACATTAAAAAATCATCATAGATAACTTATATAGTAAGTGAATCAAAAATAATAAAAAATTATAATAGATCTATTATAAATTAAACCTAAAGAATCATAAGAAAGTTCTTTATATCAAAAAATGAATTTGATTCTAATTCTTCTACTCAAATTAAATTTGATAAAAGTGAATTGATAGATTGAAATAAAGCTTTGATAGAGTATTTTATATGATATTAGTTAACATTATTTCTATTTTTTGCTTTAGGAAATAATATATTATTTGTATATTTATATTTATATGTTTATATATATATATCATATATCCGACCCTCCCTCCCTAACTTTTTGAGTTTATAAAACTCATTCCTTAGCAAGAACTTATTGTTCTTACAAAGTTTATGCTTCAACTTTGGTTTATGGTTAAACTTAATTGAACCATTTGATGACAGCATCAGCGTCTCCATTCCAAATGGCCAAAAGTTTCACTGCCTTATGGCGATGAATTCCACTTTATTCAAGTTGTTGAAGCTTCTTTTTGAATTCTTTCTTTTTCTATTTAAATTCTTAGAATTCTTATGATGCTTTATCTTTTTAACATTTTCCTTCTCTTTTCTTACATTATCTATTTTTTCCTTATTTTCCACTCAATAATTTTTCAATAATTTGTTCTAAATTTCCATTGAATTTCAATAATAATCTAACAATTCTCTTTTCATTATCATATCCCATTTCTTTCAATTTTTCATATTAAACTTTAAATCCATGTTATTCAATGATTTATTCAATTGGTTAATCTGTCTCAAGGGCTTTCTTGTTACTTAATTTTTCAATGCTTTTAGCTACATCTCCTTCAGTTCTGAGTAATGCTTTTAAATTTTTTTTAACCTTATCGAACCCTTTTTCAACAAGTTCTTAATGTTTATTAAGCCAACCCATAGTTTCTAAGATCTTAATTGCTTTAGCATTCTATTCTTCCTTTCTTTTTTTATGTTCATTGTAAACGACTACAACTTAATCCAGATTTCCATCATACTCTTTTAAAAGTCTATAATTTAACCAAGGATTAGTGCAACCTTAAGTAATTAGCTGGTTATGCTTCTCGAGTAAGCCAGCTTTTTCAATCTTCTCAATTACTTTTGATTATCTAGAATCCATTAATTTAATTATTATTTGATTATTCATCATATATATGCGGAATTGATAATTAATTCTGATTAGAGTTCTGAACAATACTGATATAGAATATAATATTAAATTAATAATTAATTTTTATATTTTATATTTATTATGAATTATTTCTATATGATTTTTATTTTATTTAATAATATCTTCCCTTAATCTTTAAGAAATCCTATCCATTTAAAAGTTAGCTTAATAAGGATTAACAAAATAATCTACATCGTAAGGTAAATCATAATAGCCCTCGTAAGATTAATCTTTAAAAATCGATCTCTCCATTTATTTTCTCTTTTAATCAGTAAGTATTTTAATAACTATATTTATTATAAATATTCTTTCCATCTTAATTATTCTTTTTATTTTATGTAGAATTCATTATCTCTAAACTTTGTTAATAAAATTTATTTTTTTTTAATTTGCTTCAATCAATTTTTTCTTTGCTTGCTTATATTTTGTTTTATTTTCTTATTATCATACATCAATTCTTCAGGTGGTTTCTTTCAATCAAATTCTCTTTATAATTTATTCAATTTTACATTTTTTCAATTACTTTTTTCTCGCTAACATCAACTTCTTTTGCCCTTTCTTCAATTCTTGCTTAGTTATCTTTTGGAAGATTTAATTCATATAATAAGTCTTTTTAATTCTTCAATTAATTGCTCTTTTTATAATATTTCAATTCTGTAAGGTTCTTCTGCTTCATTTTTTGCAATTTCATCAATAGAAAACCTAGATCATTTTAATTCAATCTCATAGTCATTTATTCGAATTCTATTGATTTCTATTCTAAATCTTATTTTAATTTTCTAATTATGTTTTAACTACTTATTATTTTTCATGTTAATACTAATTAATGTGTTCTTTTTAGGATTTAATAATTGTTTACAAAGTTGATATAATTTCTATTCATATGTTCAAATATATTACACTCTTTTTTCTCAAATTTAAGCTTTCAATTTATCTATTTGAGATTACTTAATGATATTAGATAATTCATAATTTTATAAGAGTAAAAGATTATCTAAATATATTAAAAATCAAAGTTTTCTTTTTTAAATATATATAATCATACCTTATATGTAATCTAAATACTCATTTATTAGACAGATTTTAAATATTATTTATTTAAGTTTATTTAGAATTTTTTATTTTAGTAAAAAAGTTTTTTTTAGATTTTTTGGTTTTAGATTCATAATTAATTAAATTAAAATATGTTGAAAATAAAGAGTTGGGATATAAATTTGAATAAATAAAGAATTTTAAATTTCACGTTATTTTAATCTAATAAAGTTTTTAAGTTTAATGTAATCTTAAGAATAAACAATTTTAAAATGCATTAATTTAAAAATAAATTTAATTTTTTCTTTCTTTAATTAATTTCTATAGTTTTTAAATAATTATTGTATATTTATTGAAAATTAAATTTGATAAAATTATTAAGTTAATTATTTAAAATTAGATTCTCTAAAAGATAATTGATTGATATTTTTTTTAGATTAAGCTAAAGTTTAATTCTTTTTATTACATTTTTAATACTGTAAGATGGATTTGTTTTAATTTTATTCTATTTTAAAAATAGATTTATAAATGTTTTTAATAGAAATATCCAAAATAAAAAATAAAAGTCAAAAATAAAATTTTAAAGTATTCCAAAAAATGATGTTTTATAGTTAATTTGTTTTCATTTTAAACAAGGAATAGAGGTCATATTAAAGAAATGTTTAATAAAATATATATTTTGTTTTTGAATCAAAAAAAAATTCTAATCATTATTTGAGTAATAAGTATCCAAATAATAAATATTATGCATAAGAGATCATCCACTAACCCTATAACTCCAAATATTGCTTCTGGAAATAAATCAATAGGTGAGAACACATATATGCACAATATAAAACATAATACAAGCTATAATTAGATGGATAATTTTAGTAAAACTTTGAATAAATTAAACAGTTAGCCTAAATGTTTATAGATATTAATTATTATCTAAAATGGCTATTATATATTTAATAAGATATACATAAATGATATTATATTTTAAGACTGTGCAGCGAAGTCTGTACTCTAATATAAATGAATTACAATCTTATTAAAATTGATCCTACAATTTTTTAGATTTAGCAAAAGTGCTAATTTTTGCTCTGCAACATGGACATTTTAACTATTTTTTTTGATTATGTTGCCAATAATCATTGATACATCCAATACAAAATGAATGTTTACATTATTCTGATTAAACCCCTTTGATAAGTAGATCTTCATTTAAACAAATGGGACAACTTGAATTATTTTCTATTTAAATTTATGCTATTAACATTGTTAAGATAATTTGTTTAATAATTTACGTTATTTCATCTTTAGCCTTCATGCATAAATATTTCAAAGAGTGTTTTTAAGTAATCAAGTTTTGCCATTTGTTATTATAATTGATTATTTATTCTTGAACATTGTTTATAATATACATATTTTATTTTATTTTTAATGTAATCTAAACTAAATAATCCAGATGATACCTATAACTCAGAACCAACTGCAGCAAATAAAGTATAAATTAGATTAGACAAATTTAATATTCCAATACTTAAGAAAACAAAAGTACATAGAGTTGTTTTTAGAGATGAATGTTAAAAAGGAAAAACAATTGCAGATATTCATATTGTTCAAAATTGGAAAAGATATAATTAGTTAAATGAGGAATCAGCTAAAACATGCTGTTCCATATTCTGAATATTATTACTCTTATCTGTTTGAATAAATGTCTATATTTTAATTGTATATTCTAATCAAATTATTTTAATTCATCTATGTCGTTTTTGTTTCAGTTTTCTCTTTATTTAAATGGGTTCTCATCTATATCCTTGTGCTTGGTTTCCTTAATTCTAACCTTTTGTAAAATAAAGGTTTGAGAGATTTAATAATATTTATCAGATTTTTAAGAGGTGTATTTTAAGTGGATATCTAAATATTTAATCAATAAACATTAAAACAATTTTCTTTTTCATTCAAACTAACAAAACTGAAATATAATACCTTTTAAAAAAAGAGTTCAGATAATGATTTCCGATCAATGCCAATTGGCTCAATCAAGAGGTGTCAGTTATCATCATATAAATATATATATAACTATAATAATATTTAATTTCAGACAGCCAAGGGTTGTAATTCATATTGAAGTCATAGACTCTAGTACTTAATAGTCATCATTATATAATAATAATTGTTTTTAATATCAGATAGGAGCGAAAGATTGAAATCATGATTTTATCATGGACTACAAAATCATCACATATATATATATATAATAATATTCTGAATCAGAGATCTTGGTGGTTGTATCATCATGCTATCTCAAGAGTAGCAAATATTTCTACATCATTTTAATAAATTTTTAATTATAAATCTGTCATGAGCCGTATCATCAGAGTCGTTAAGACTGGGGCGGCATAAATATCTTCATATAATTTAATTTCTATATTTTTCAGACAAATGCCTCAAATAATCATTTATGTAGGAATAATAGATGGATGTCTATCGATTCCTTCATACTCGTCATCGATTCATCATTATATATATATATAATTTTATCTTAGAGAAGTTTTACTATAATAAATTCTTCAATATATAGAGATAGTAATTTTATGTTATATAATTTACTTTAATTATTTTATATTAAAATATGGGTTTGCTTAATTATATTTTATCAGACAGCTCCAATAATTTGTAATCATTTATTGCATCAGCAATAAAAATAATCAAATCATCATTTCAATTTATTTTAAATATCATATCAGATCAGCTCCAATATCTATAATCATAAAATGATCATGTTAGCTTAATATTGTTGAGATCATCATAATTAAAAATTATTTTATTATTAAAAATAATAAATTTTATAAATTCATTAGTATAATTTGTGTAATTATTTCAATATTTCTTAAATAAAGAATTCTTTTTAAACTTACTATCTTATCTATAATTCTCTCTAAAACTCCTCTTAATCAGATTTTTCATCTAATTGAAAATTTTAGATTTTCTATCCATCAAGAGAATTCATTAAAAACATTTAATTTTCTTTTTCATCATACTCTATTTCTAATTCTTCTAAATCATAAATTTATACATCTATAAGTGCTTGGCAATTAACCAACTTTATCTATCCATTATTATATTCTTTCTATTAAAAAATAAATTATATTTAAGCTTTTTAAATGGATTTATTAGCCATCCCTTTTCGAAAATCACATTTAAGAACATTAAAAATCTAATAACTTAAAATGTTTCTGGTTTTTTTTTTAAATTTTCAATGTTATCATTTTCAATACATTATTGAATAATAAAAAAGTATTTATAATAAATAGAGTCTGATGTTAAAAAATGAATTTCCATTTTCTTTAAAATTTTTGATCTTATGAAAGCTATTGTAAATGTTTTCTCATGAATCGAAAGTAATTCCTTTATTATCTAAATAGTTTTCTTACAATTTTCAATTGTATTTATTTCTTTCTCTGATTCATCAATCATAATTTTTATCAAATTTATCAGAAATGCTATTTTTTATTCAAAAGTCATTTCATAAATGTGCCTATTCATTATTAAAACATCCGAGATAATCAACACATATTAATAATGCTTAAAATTTAAAGAGTCAAATTAAGCATAAATGTTGTATATGTTATACTAATTACTATGGTTTAAACTCATTTTGTTAGTCATCTATAAATNGATCATCATAATTAAAAATTATTTTATTATTAAAAATAATAAATTTTATAAATTCATTAGTATAATTTGTGTAATTATTTCAATATTTCTTAAATAAAGAATTCTTTTTAAACTTACTATCTTATCTATAATTCTCTCTAAAACTCCTCTTAATCAGATTTTTCATCTAATTGAAAATTTTAGATTTTCTATCCATCAAGAGAATTCATTAAAAACATTTAATTTTCTTTTTCATCATACTCTATTTCTAATTCTTCTAAATCATAAATTTATACATCTATAAGTGCTTGGCAATTAACCAACTTTATCTATCCATTATTATATTCTTTCTATTAAAAAATAAATTATATTTAAGCTTTTTAAATGGATTTATTAGCCATCCCTTTTCGAAAATCACATTTAAGAACATTAAAAATCTAATAACTTAAAATGTTTCTGGTTTTTTTTTTAAATTTTCAATGTTATCATTTTCAATACATTATTGAATAATAAAAAAGTATTTATAATAAATAGAGTCTGATGTTAAAAAATGAATTTCCATTTTCTTTAAAATTTTTGATCTTATGAAAGCTATTGTAAATGTTTTCTCATGAATCGAAAGTAATTCCTTTATTATCTAAATAGTTTTCTTACAATTTTCAATTGTATTTATTTCTTTCTCTGATTCATCAATCATAATTTTTATCAAATTTATCAGAAATGCTATTTTTTATTCAAAAGTCATTTCATAAATGTGCCTATTCATTATTAAAACATCCGAGATAATCAACACATATTAATAATGCTTAAAATTTAAAGAGTCAAATTAAGCATAAATGTTGTATATGTTATACTAATTACTATGGTTTAAACTCATTTTGTTAGTCATCTATAAATTCGCAATTAAATCATTTTGTAATAAATCTTTAAATTATTATTATTTTGAACTAGTTTTAATAGAATAAAAATTTATTAAATTGTTAATTATCATAAAAGAGTAATGTAATTTATCCAAAAATACAGATTTTGACTATTAAAGAAATTTTTCTTATGAAAGTAAAAAAAATTGAGAGCATATATTTTTTAAATCTGCATCCTAAACAGGAAGGTAATTTGGTTCAAATTGAAATATTTGAATTTATGGTATCTAATGAGAAAAAATAAGTGCTAAAATTCCAACAGTCAATTTTTCACTTAGATAAATTTTATTATATAAGAAATGTANGATCATCATAATTAAAAATTATTTTATTATTAAAAATAATAAATTTTATAAATTCATTAGTATAATTTGTGTAATTATTTCAATATTTCTTAAATAAAGAATTCTTTTTAAACTTACTATCTTATCTATAATTCTCTCTAAAACTCCTCTTAATCAGATTTTTCATCTAATTGAAAATTTTAGATTTTCTATCCATCAAGAGAATTCATTAAAAACATTTAATTTTCTTTTTCATCATACTCTATTTCTAATTCTTCTAAATCATAAATTTATACATCTATAAGTGCTTGGCAATTAACCAACTTTATCTATCCATTATTATATTCTTTCTATTAAAAAATAAATTATATTTAAGCTTTTTAAATGGATTTATTAGCCATCCCTTTTCGAAAATCACATTTAAGAACATTAAAAATCTAATAACTTAAAATGTTTCTGGTTTTTTTTTTAAATTTTCAATGTTATCATTTTCAATACATTATTGAATAATAAAAAAGTATTTATAATAAATAGAGTCTGATGTTAAAAAATGAATTTCCATTTTCTTTAAAATTTTTGATCTTATGAAAGCTATTGTAAATGTTTTCTCATGAATCGAAAGTAATTCCTTTATTATCTAAATAGTTTTCTTACAATTTTCAATTGTATTTATTTCTTTCTCTGATTCATCAATCATAATTTTTATCAAATTTATCAGAAATGCTATTTTTTATTCAAAAGTCATTTCATAAATGTGCCTATTCATTATTAAAACATCCGAGATAATCAACACATATTAATAATGCTTAAAATTTAAAGAGTCAAATTAAGCATAAATGTTGTATATGTTATACTAATTACTATGGTTTAAACTCATTTTGTTAGTCATCTATAAATTCGCAATTAAATCATTTTGTAATAAATCTTTAAATTATTATTATTTTGAACTAGTTTTAATAGAATAAAAATTTATTAAATTGTTAATTATCATAAAAGAGTAATGTAATTTATCCAAAAATACAGATTTTGACTATTAAAGAAATTTTTCTTATGAAAGTAAAAAAAATTGAGAGCATATATTTTTTAAATCTGCATCCTAAACAGGAAGGTAATTTGGTTCAAATTGAAATATTTGAATTTATGGTATCTAATGAGAAAAAATAAGTGCTAAAATTCCAACAGTCAATTTTTCACTTAGATAAATTTTATTATATAAGAAATGTAAAATAATTTAAAAGCAAAAAGTTTTCTAATCATCATCAAAATTTGAAAAAACTTTATAGTATGGGAGAATTATAATTTACAATATCATATTATCTAAAATCTTAAAAATAAGAATACTTTTACTTATTTCAACTCAGGAGCTATTAATGAAAGATCTTTAAAGAAATAATCCATGATTTTTAGCTCTTCATTATCTTTATCATCTTTTTCAAAAGATTTTAAAAGCAAATCCTTCTTAAATTACACATGATTTGTTAAAACTTGTAAAAAAGGATAAGATTATAAATACAAAATTAGGATTTATCTTTATTTTGATTCTAGAGTAATTTTTAAAATTTATAATAATAAATGCCTAGTATATATTCTTGTTAAATTATCTGCTGAATTATAAAAGTTTTAAGAGTAAAGTAATAATGGGAAGCAACAATACTTCTAGTAAGTTTTAAATCAAATACTTACAGAATTGAAAAATAAATTTATATTCTTAGGATTTAGTTTATTCGATAAAATTTTAATAAAATTGATGTAGTAGTCAGAGATTTCTTCTTTTTTCAAATTATAATCGAATATTATGAATTCATTCAACTAGGGTTAAGATAGCAAAACAATTAAGTTCTTTGTAATATTAGTACTAAATTATTCCATATTATTAATATTACAATAACATGGAAACAGATTATAATACAGTAACTACTATTTCTTAATCTTTAGTTTTACTTATAATATAAAGAAATTCATCAAATATTTTTTCCTCTATAAATAAACTAGGAACAACGAAATATATACTCAAAAATATCCTAATTCTATTAATCTCCATATATGGTTAATTCTGTAATCATTTATATTGCCTCCTAAAGATTGATATTCTATTTTAAATTTTGTATCTATTTAATAAAATCCTATTCCATTTTGTTTATAAATTTTATATTATTTAAATAGTAATTTATAACAAAGCTCATTTCATTTTTATTAATTAATATAAATTTTATTAGTAAATAGTTTTTTTTATTTTGCATTTTATTCATTAAGATATGAATCCACTTTATATTATTAATTTATCTTAATAGTTGCTTTCAATCAAGATTTTTATTAAGAAAAAGATTGATTAAGTTATGATATATAAAATAACTTTTGTAGTTATTATTATTTTTTTAGCGTACAAGGTTGATGAACAAAGTAAAAAAAATCAATTAAAATACATTTTCTGAAATTAAAAATTTCTTAATTTCAAGTCTAAAATGTTTTTTAGAGAATTCAATATGAAAATTAAAATAAATTACTTCATAGAAAAAACTAGGGTTTTAAATTCATAGATAATTTTTTTAAAAAAAGACAAACAATAAAAAAAGATATATTTATTTTCTTTTGTTTAAATTTATTGGCTTTGTTAACATGAAATTTGATTTTTCGGTGCTTTGAATGATTTTGCCTTTTAAATATTTAAGACAAAATTATTTACTAAATATAATAAAATTTAGAATAGGCATTAAAAGTCTTTTTCAATAAGATGTATATTTAATAAAAATGAACAACCATAAGATTTTGAAATTGATTGATTATTAAAAATGTTTTAATTAGAGAAAACAAGTTTTCTAGACATGCTTTTGTTTAATTTTTTAGTTAAAATTGCAAAATCAATTTAACCATAATTAGCAGCCCTATTTAAATCATTATTACTAAGAATATCAAAATATCTTTGAATCATGATTATTTCATAGAGGAAGTACGAGTTTAATATCAAGAATAAATAGATTTATGGCTTTTATCCTAAACTTCAGCAAACTAAAGCGTGAATGAATAAAAAAATTTTAATTAAAATTAATTTGATCAGTCTTAGAGATGTTTTATGAATGCCTTAATATTAAATTCTTGATTTAAGAAAATTTTTTGATAGAGAAATTATTAATGTTGATTATTGTAATAATTAAATCGTCAAAATAACTATCTCAATTATATTTAAAAAGCATTCTTAGTTGTAAAATAGCCATATTATTATTTGGATATAAATAATTAAAGTTTTGAAATAATAATTTTAATAGGTTTAGAAATTGGATGTCAGATATGATAAATTCTTATTCAAATAGATTTTAACATGTGTATTGAATTTGAATTCAATTTAGACCTGTAATAAAAAGATCTTTAAAATATAGATCTGATTTTTCTATCCCACAATGTGAAGACAATAGTGATGAGGCTTCATTTGAACCTAATATTAGTTCTGATTAAAAATTAGATTAAAGTATAGTTGAGATAACTAAGTAAAAAAGGGAAATTAAAATTCCATATGATAGAGATTTAGAGAGTAGTAAAGAGCAACTTATGAATGTAAAGAATAAGAAATGGGGTAAAAAAGGACTGAGAATAATGTTCTACATGACTAAGTTCGTAAAATAAATGAAAAATCATTCAACATAAGTAAAATTTAAATCTTTAAATGCGAACATTCTAAAATTGATTTAAGATGCTGCAAGTGATTCAGATGTTTTATTGTAAAAACTGAATAAAATATAAATTCTCAGTTAAAATTTAAAATAGGCATTGAGCCACATTCCAATTATAGATCCAGATTCAAATTTTAAGGTGGTGTGGGATATATTTCTATTGGTATAAATAATTTTGAATATTTTTTATATCCCAATGAAGTTGGGATTTGGTTTTGAAAATGAAGGAATAGTATACTAATTTTTTTTTGAATCGCTACCTTCTTGGACATTCATCATAGACATAATAATAAATTTTTTCACAGCTTATTACAGTAAAGGATAGATCCATAAAAACCATGAGGATATTTTTAGAAATTATGCTAGTTATGAATTGTGGTGGGATTTATTAATAGCAATTCCATTCATCTTATCATCATTTAAAATTCGATATACAGAGTATATTTTAATGTTGAGAGTGGCAAAAGTAAAGACTTTGATAGATTAAGTAGAAGAAGCAATAAATCCTTCAATAACTATGTAAACAGTTTTGGAATTGTTTAAATCAGTATTTTTATTATTATTTGTATCACATTGTTGTGCTTGCCTATGGAATTTGATAGGATAAATGTAATATGATGAAGGGAAATATTCTTGGTTGGATTCAAAAAATATAATTGATGCAGATTGGGTGTCTAGATATATCCATTCACTTTATTTTAGTACCATAACAACATTGACTGTTGGATATGGAGATATAGTACCATAGAGTGATTTAGAGAGGATATTTGTAATATTGATGGCAATGGTGATTTGTGGTTTGTTCGGATATACAATATCTAGCATTGGTAATATATTGAGATAGTTGACAGAAAAGGAATAAATTTACAAATAGAAAATGATGTAGTTAAATAATTATGTAAAAAAGAGGTAATTAAGTAAGTAATTGATACTTTCTGTAAGAAAATACTTTGAATATTATTTAAAAATGTAAGATGAGAATACTGAGTTTGGAGAGAATATGATGAATGCATTAAATAAGAGGTTAAAAGAATAGGTAGCAATTGATCTATATCTTAATATCTTAATGAATTCCAGGCTTATTAAAAAAACATTATCTGAGAAGAGTGTAAAAAAATTATGTTGTTATGTAAGAGAGAAAAGATTGGCTCCTGAAGAGATTGTGGAGGGTCAAAATGATTTGGCTAATAAACTTTTGTTCTTATAGAAAGGACAAATTAATTTAATTTGTGATTAAGCTAATAGAGAAACTCAATTAGCGATTATAAATGCTGGCAAATTTATAGGTGAAAAAGAATTCATCATGTAGTCTAGATATGATTATTCTATTAGAACAACCAAGTTTTGTTAAATTGCTTACATTGAATATGATGACTTTTTTAAGATAATTAAGGAAGATCCAATAGAAGAAGAGAACTATCAAATGTTAAAAGATGAAATGCAATTCAATGACGCAAAATAAAACTATGGAGAAGTTTGTTATATATGTAGATGGACACACTAGTTCATGAAATGCCCATTCGTTTTTTATCATGTGAACCTTGACAGAATAAGAATGAAGTTTATGAGAAATGAAGATAATTAAAGATTTAAATATAAAAGAATTATTAACTAAAAAATTAGATTTGACAAACAAATTCTACAAGAAGCAGCTCTTCAATAAATAGTAGATAATAATATCATACCTTTAGAAGATTTAACTGATGAATATCTCGATACTCTAGGTTATATAAATAATAATCAAAATAGTAATATGATAAAAACCTTATTAAGTATGAAAACAGGAAATACACCTAGTAGTAATAACGATTCAGATGAAGAGGAATATTAAGTTCCAATCAAAAATTCGAGAAAGAATGCTAATCTTGATAAAAAAGTCCAATTTCTTTAAATCTCACCTGATTCTGATCAAAAAGACTCCAACAAACAAAATCCAAAAATAAAACATATTAGAGCTAGTAGAAAAACTTTTGTTAAATTATCATAAATCCAAACTCGTCGGGGAAGCACAATATCAGCTCTATCTCAAGATTTATCTAATTTAAATTAAACCTTTGCTGCTACTTAATTATAACCTTCCTAAATATCTTAACCTACTACTTAACTTTAAATGCATCGTGCCAGTGTTTCATCTAAGTCTAGGTAATTGAGAAAAGGAAATTCTTCATCTTACTAAAATATTGACCAATAAATGGCATAAATGATTATGTAATAATCTAGGACAGAATAAAGAACATATTCATTATCCAAAATTTAGGAAGAAAGCTTAAGCAAAATCGAAGAGATAGCTTATCAATCTAGATAAAGAATAGATTTTGATATAGATTAATGCTTCAATACTTAACATTATTTTACCTAATTCAATTTGGATGTTGTTTTGATGAAAGTTAAGAAACCCAAAAAGTCCTAAAGACATGCTGCCTAGCTTTTTAGTGTCATTGAAAAATCAAAAATTAGACAATAATAACGCTTATGAAATTTAAATCGTAATTCAAATATTGTTTTCAAGATTTTATTTCTTAATTTTACAAATTAAAGTAATTTCTCGTTTAAAAATTCTGCTCTATCTTTATTTAATATTTATTAAGAAGAATTAAATGAAAAATTACTAATTTTTAGCCTAAAATATTATGCTATATTTATTATATATAAAATAATTAATTATAAAAATGGGAAGAAATAAAATTGACATTCAGTATATAAAAGATGATCGTATTAGAAATGTAATTTTATTTAATTAAATGCTCATTCTACTATTTTTAGAAGCATTATATAATTTATAAACTTATAATTATATTTTAGATCACTTTTAACAAAAGAAAAAATGGATTGTTGAAAAAGGCTTGTGAATTAGCAGTGTTGTGCAACATTAAAATGCTTTTGTGTTTTACAGATTTAAGTAAAAATATAATAGAAATTATATTTAGGTGGAACAGTCTACTAATTTATGTCAAATGAGAATAGTGAAATGGAGTTAATATCATCAATTCACAAAAAGATTTTCACAAAACTGGATGTAAATATAAATTGATAAATATAAGTATCCTGGATTCTAAAAAAAAAAGGATAATGAATCATAATCTGAGGCAGAAAGTGAATAGAGTTTAGAAAAGAAGAAGACAAGAGCATAAGAACATTTAAATTAATAACATTTATTTATTTAATAATCCTAACTTATTTAGCAAAATTAACAATATCTCTAGGGTTAATAATAAATGAAATTGAGAAATAAAGTTATAGAAAACAATGAAAAACAATAACAATAAGAATGCAGAAAAATTGTTAAATTGGAGGCTAAATAAGAAGATTGTGAACAATAAAAAAGTAAAATGTAAGTGAAAAGCAAAAAAAATAATGATGAAATAGCTTTTAATGACATTATTGATCATCAATAAGCTAGAAATTTTGATGATCTCTATTAATGTGGTAATTAATTGGATGATTAATCAAATTCTCAGTAAGATCATCAAGATTATAAATAATAAATATCTATGTTTACATCATCAAATCCAATAAAATTGATGAAAATGGATAGTTTACTTAATGGTAATAATAATAGTAAACCTCATAATTTTCTTAGTGATTAATACAATAAGTTTTTTAACAAAGATAGAGTAAGATTTAATTGTATATTTAGATTGATTCATTAAATAATAGTAAGATATTGCAACCGAGTGTATAATTCATAGTACCTCCCTAAGTTTATTTTAACATACCTCCATCTCCGATAAATTAAGCTATGAATAAGGTTTATGTTGGAGTTGATGAACCAATGGATTTCAATTTAGGTTAATCTTAATACACAGATGGATTTAAAAAATATACTAAATGAAAACAATTAATCATTTAATATAAAAATAATAAATATTAATTGAGATATATTGATAAATTTGTCTTTGTTATTATTTTTGATTTTTAGAGTTTTAAAAATCAATTGAAAATATGATTTATATAATTCTGAATCACAGCTGAGTCTAAAATAAATAGAAGATTTAGTTGTATAGCAATCAAAATGGATTGAATTAACCTGAATGAATAAAATAAATATAAATATTTTATATACAAATATTAAAACGGATTACATTAATATATTAAATAGCCTATGCAAAAACTCTTAGCATTGATTTTGTCTTTATCAATAGTCTATTCAATCGACCCTAGTATGGTACAATTGAGTACAGAAAAAATAGATGAGTTATCACAAAGCAATTTAGGTAAATTTATAATAGAAATGGCTTAAACACATGCTGAGATGAGAGGACCTTTGGGTATCAATATATAATAAAATTTAGATGATTTGGTAACAGCTATAGGGGATTTGGAAATTGAATTGACAAATGAATTACAATAGTTGGAAGATGATTTCACAAGATCAACTAATTAACATTAAGTGACTTAAGAAAACCTAGATATTAATATTGGTTAAACAGAAATCAATATTTTCAATTAAAAAGACTTTATCGAAGCTATTCTATTACCTAGCATTGATTAAACAAATTAAAAGATTGAGAGATTGAATGGTTTCATGAATGATAATAGAGATGCTTTGTCAAGAGAAACACTTGCCAGATAAAATTAACATTAAGCTTATCTAGATAGAGGTAATATAAATAACAACTTTTAGTAAGTGAACATTAAGGAGCAATCAGTGCTGTTGATGAAGCCTTATAATTGATAAATTCTTTGATAAATGGCAACATCGCTTTCTCAGAAAAGGCTACTATTCATTAGGCTGTCAAAAGAGTTAGTAACAAGATTCAAAAGACTAATACTGTTCATCCTCTTGTTGAAGCTTTACTTTAATTGACATAAAATTTTTCTGATTAAGGATAAGCTAAAAAAATAAGAGATTTATTACAAGATACAAGAAATTAATTGGTTTCTAGTCTTAATTAGGTATCATATCAATATCGAAAAATAGGAAAATACTGATGAATAATAGATCTAAACAACTTGGGAGGCAAGATAAAAAACTTTGAATAATGAATATTAAGAATTTAAGCGTTCTGTTTTAGAAGCTACTTATGTCTTGGCTGCTTATCAAAGTATGTTTATGTTTAAATAGTATTTAGATAAATTGAAATCAACTCAAGAAGCCTTGGCATTAAATGAACTAGACTTATAAAATTATAAAGATTCTTTATGTAAAAGTTATGTACAACCTATTTAGAATAAGATAAAGATGCTTAAGCCTAAGAAACCTAAATTTATAATGAATTGAAAGCCTAATATCAGATCTAACTACAAACTACTAGAAATGCCAAAGAGTTTGTGAATTCTGCTGAATTTAGTACAGTCATTAGAAACAAATTAAATTCAGGTGGATTAGTTTGATAAATGAGATATTCATCTATAAATGCATAAAATTTAAACATTATCATAGAGAAACTAAAGTAGCATACAAAAAATAAAATTAATTTTAAAAATAAATTTTTATATATAAAATGATAAAAAACCTAAATAGGACTGTTATTATCAGGACTTCGCATAGTCGTAAGCAATCTACTTCATCTGTTGATTCTGATAGCACTTCAACAAAATCAGAAATAAAATTTAAATCACCAATATTTATTTAACAGCCTCTTTAACCCTTGAAAGAGGTCAGCGAACCTAATACTCCAGATGCTGTGAAAATTCCACAAACATCAAAAGCTTCTACAAGAAAGTCAAGATTTTAAAAACCTGCTCCTGAGACTAAAAAAGAAAGTAGTTAATCTTCAGATTCAAGTTCGGATGCATCAGAACATGATATTTGGAATGATGATGAAATACTATTGAAGGGAGTTCATTTGGGGGAATTTCAAAACTTATCACCAACTGATGAATTGCAAATGCTATATAAAATAAGATTTGAAACTTATCCTCATAAAAAGGAATAAATTTCAGAAGAATAGTTAGCACTTGAGGTATAGAGACTAATAAATAAATTGAAATTTCATTATTTGAAATATAAAAAGATCTTACCTCTAGAGAATCTTAAAGATTATACATAGCAATACAATATTAATGATGATATAAATTATATGAGATTTTGGGATTATTTTAGAGTAAGAACAAATCATAGAAAGCATAAATAATTAATCATGCCAACAAAAAACACTAAAGAAAATCGAAGTTAATAGCCCTTAAATCCAACAATTCGAAATAATTAGCGAATCAAAACTGAATATCGAATTAAAAGCTTGAATGCAAGAAGATTATGAAAAATTGAATATATATATATACTTATAAAATTTGAGTTTTTCATTTTGATTATTGAAATTTTATATTCTTAATTAATTAGTTTTTTTAAAAAAGGAAGAAATATAATGATATAAAACATAATTTGCATTCAATTAGATTAAAAATGAGAAAGAAAAAGAGAATTTTGATTTGTTTATGATGATATTAAATAAATCTCAATATCTTTCAACATATAAAATATAATTAATATTTTTAATATTATAATCATTAGATAATAAGCTAAAGAAAATGGATAAAGGATGGGAAGTAAGTGAAGAGCACTACTTGGAACATTTAATATAGAATCCTTTATATTTAAAACGGCAAGGATCATAATTGATAGAAAAACCAACTATCATATAAGCATAGGAATCACCAAAAACAAAAATGAGATTTAGAACAACATCGATGCCAAAGTTAGATGATGGAAATAAAGCAAATTCTCCGATAAAAAAATAAATAATTGAACCTTAACATAAAGCAGAATAACAATAAGTGAAATAGCAAGGATCTCCTTTAATTATAAAAACTCCTATTAGATAATAGAAATTTTAATTATATCCATAGCGAATATCTTTAAGAGCAACTCTTTATCAAACTCCGGTGGAAGACAGTAGTCCAATAAAATTGGGAAGAACTCTTTAACCAAAGCAATTTAATCCAATTTTATAGAATACAAATGATACTCATTATAATGGTATGAAAGGATAAACAAGATCAGTGAAGAGTGCATCAATGAGTAATCTATTGAACAATGATGAGAGATTGTTATACAAAAAAAAAATTGAAGATTTAGTCTTCAAATTGAGACCATAAAGAAATGCTAGTATTTTATATGTCAATTCATTAAGTTCCGTATAAACTACTGCAGATGATATTGTACTAAGAAAAATCTAAAAATGAATGAATTTTATTTATATGGGATGACTTTTTAAATTATTAAGTACTTGATCTTATGTAGCATAATAAAATGAGTATAAATAAGAATAATATATTAAAAAGTTAAGATATGATTGATCAGATTGTAAGGAAGCAATATTTTAAGAGAATACAATAGAAATAGATGAGAAATAAAACAATGGATTTGATTAGGAATATAAAAGCAAATTGAATACTAGTGATTTATTAATTATATACTTATGAATCAAATAGTTTCTGGGATACAATTTAATGTAGGGGCTCGATATGATGTAAAGAAGTTATTAGGTGCTGGTGCTTATGGACATGTTGCATTAGCTATTGATAAGAAATAGACTGACCCTGATTATTAAAAAGTGGCTATTAAGAAGCTACACCTGGTGAGAGATGAAATAGATGCTAAAAGAGTTTTAAGAGAAATAAGAATATTACGAACAATGAAGCATGAAAATATTCTTCGTTTAGAGCATCTGATTTATGATGACTCTAATAAAGAATTAGAATTTGGAGAAATTTATTTGGTAACTAATTATATGGAAGTGGATTTGTATAAAATAATAAAGAGTGGATAGAATTTGACTGATCAACACTTCTAATATATTATGTAATTTTGTATTTAACATAGGTATCAATTGATTAAAGCATTAAAATATTTACATTCAGCCAACATTGTACATAGAGATATCAAACCAAGTAATATATTAGCAACAGAAAATTGTGAGATTTGCTTTTGTGATTTCGGATTGGCTAGACAAATTGAAGAATTAGAGGCTGAAGATAATCGATGTTAAAATATGCTTACAGAATATGTTGTTACAAGTATTCTTAATTATTATATTAAAAAAGGATATTATCGAGCTCCTGAAGTTATGTTATCTTCACATGAATATTCTACTGCAATTGACATGTGGTCTTTAGGTTGTACCTTCGCAGAATTAATCACTAGATAAATTTTATTTAAAGGAACTAATTATATTCAAATGATTAAATTAATCTTTGATACACTAGGAAAACCTGATGAAGAAGATTTAACATTTATTACAAATGCAAATGCTAAAAAATATGTAAGTAGCTTATAAACAAAATAAAAAGCATCTATTGGCTCGGTTATTAAATATTCTAACCCTTAAGCCATAGATTTATTAGATTAATTGCTAGAAATCAATCCCAAAAAAAGGATTACAAGTGCTGAAGTATTTTGATACTAATCAATCTTAGGCTCTTAATCATCCTTATTTAGAACCTATTAGAGATGCTGATGATGAACCATCTTTTGAAGGCAATCTAGATTGTTAATTTGAAAATGATAGCACCATTTAATTGAAAGATTTGAAAGCCCTAATTTTGAATGAAGTCAATATTATGCGATAAAAAAACTCAGAACCTATTATTAATGTTCAATTAGAAATAGAAAAAAGAGAACAAATAACTAAAATAAATTAATAAAAAAAATAATAATTGAAACAATAATAAAAACAATAGCAATAATGAATTATAATTTTATTATGTAATATTTCATAATGATCTTATTTTTTGTCTAGCATCCAAGAAATCTTATTCTTGTAATTGCTGTCTCATATGTTCTGTTTCTTACAAACATTACTAGATAGATCCATCTTATTATGTCAATTTTGATTAAAGTTCTGCCAATTCTAAAATCTTATGCTTCCAATTAAATGCTTCCTAAAAATATTAAAAAAACAAATCTCATACATTCGATGAAATTTCATTCTACATACTAACTTTAGTTAATTCATCGAAAAGGAACTTCATTCGTTTATTCCATTTAGACTTATCATCAGTAAGCACCTTATATTTATAATTTAATCTCTCAACTTCACTTGATAACATAGCAATTTTGTTTTCCATTTGATACTACAATAATATATATATTACATTACCTTCATTTCCTCAAATTTCTCGATTGTTTTTTATTATTCATCTACCTTATTTTTCCATAAAGCAGTTTCATTTTCTTTTTATTGAATAATTCCTTAGAGTTTTGTTTTTTCATTTTCAAGAGTTTGGATCAATATTTACAATTCATTTATATTTACTAATTATGATTACATTTCGGCTAATTCTCCTAATTTGACTTTATATTGATTAGTTTATCTTTCTATTTCTTAACTTAAAAATGCTAATTTAGTTTCATATTCAAACATCTTTTATTCCTAATTTTTGAGTTATGAAATATTTTATTCTTTATCTTGAATAACATTTTCTAATTATTTGATTTATTTATTTTTAATTTCTTAATTTTATTAAGATGATTATAATTCAGATTGAATCAGTTATAATTCTTATTCCAATTAGCTTTTAATTTATTGTAGATCATTTCTTTCATTTTTGGTTTATTATAATAATTCAACTTAATCATTATATTTTTGATCTAACTTCTCACATTCCTAATTGAGTTTAATATTATCATTTTCAACTTAGCTTAAATGACTTATTTATTATTATAAATCTAAAACTTATTTCTTCAAATCATCTGTTTCATTTTATTTATTATTTAATTTATATTTATATCTTTCTATTTCTGTAGAGAGCATAGCAATCTTATTTTCTAATTGATCTCTCATTTATTAAGCTTCATTTAATTCTTTGGTTTATTATTTAAATTTATCTAATTAAGTTTCTAATTGTTAAGTCAATTCTTCTAATGATTATGATGTATTTTAAAAATCTCCATTCATTTATTAGAAATCATTCTTTAAACTATCAAAATCCTTAGATTAAGCCTATAATTTCTTTAATTCTTCATCTTTTGAATTAGTTCTGTATTTCAATCTTTCAACTTCACTAGAAAGCATAGCAACTTTATTTTCTAAATCATAAACTTTAGATTCTAATTTAATAGCTTCTTCTAATTCTGCTTAACATTTAATATATAATTATCTTAATTATTCTAATTGATCAATAAGATCTTGATTTTATGTTTCTAAAGATTAGTATCTAGATTATAATTCTCTGAGTTCATTTAAGATTTCATCTCTATCACTTTTATTAATAGTTTCTTGACTTTAAATTAATTATTCTCTAATAGATGTAAACTATTCAGTTTATAATTGATACTTTGATTACCAAGCCTTAATTTATTCTTCAAGTGAACTAAGTTTGTTAAGATCTTATTCCATTAAATGAATAGTAGATTCTGCTTCATTTAATTGATTGGATCTCTATTCTAAATCTCTTTTAAGTTGATCTAATTCTTATAGTAAAGCTTGTAATTAAGTTTTCAATTGATAATTTTCTTATTCAATTTAAGTATACTTATTTTAGATTTACTCTAAATTTTAATACTTTTCTTGCCATAATTTAATCATGTTTTCAGCTTCAGCTAAAGGTATAGATAGATCAGGTCTTTCTTTTAATTCATCAATCAATTATTGTTATTCATTAATTTATCTATTTAAATCATTAATCTTAGCATCTCTTTAATCAAGTTAAAATTTCTTTCTTTCAATTTCAGTTGCTAACATAGCACATTTATTTTCCAAAACTTATTTTTCTGCTTCTATAGTTTTATAATCATCTATAGCTTTATTTAATTAATCAATTTATTATTTCAATCTATCGAGTTATTCATTCTTAGAAGCAATCATTTATTTCAATCTTTCAATTTCTGAAGATAACATAGCTACTTTATTTTCTAATTCCATTAATTTACCAAGATCATGTTCTAATTATTATATGACCAATTTATATTAATTAGCTTCATTACGTAATGTATCAATCTCATTAACCAAATTTTAATTTTTAGTTTCTAATTCTTAAATAATTTAATCCAATCTTCTGATTTCTTACAAATCATCTTCTAATTATTTAATTTTAGCTTCAGCTTCATTTAATTTAGAATCTCTTTCTTTTACGAAACCAACCTCAATATCCAATTATTAATTCTATTCTATAATACGAGCATTCAATAAATCAATTTCAGATTTTAATTTATTATTTTCTGACTATTCCAATTATAAAAGATTCTAAAATTCTTTAGCTTCTCCTTTCAATTATTCAATCTAAGCCTATAATAATTTAACCTTATTCAAAAGATCATTATTCCCCTTTTAAATTTCAACCTCTAAAAATTCTTTATTTTTTTAATTGATATTTTCACTTTCATACTTTAATTATGTAATATAATTATCTTTGTCTTATTGAATAGCTACATATTTTTATTTCCATTAATCAATTTCTTAGACTAATTATTCATTTTTTCTATGTTCGTTTCTTAATAAATCTTCTAATTTCGGAATTTGTAATAATCTCTCATTTGCATCTTTGAGTTACTTCTATAAGTCAGAAATAATATTCTATTTAATTTGAATAGCTTCTTCAAATTTTTTAGTTTCAATATGAGTTAATGAATATGAGATAAGAGCTGAATCTAATTTACTATATTCAATTCTAAGTTTCTCAAATTCATTAGATTTTTCTCTATATTTAACTTCCACACTCTTATATTCTTATTATAATGCTGCCAATCTAGCTTCAAGACTTGCCATCTATTAAAAATATAAAATGATATAAATTACTTCTTATAATTATGTTGTAAATTTGTTAAGTTACTACTCACTTAAAAAACATTATCTTTTCCATTACTCAACCTCTTGAGTAAGTTTTTCAATTCTTAATTCATATTATTCCGTCTATTCATCTTTACGTGTTTCTAAAATCACCTACTTTACTACTTATCCTTAAAGAACAGGATTACTAGCCTATTAATTAGTAGTAACATTCTATATAATTATAGAAAATCAATAAATTACTTAGATTGCTCTGTACTAAGAACTTCTGATAATATCACTCATTGAATTGGATATTTATTAAATAATAATAAATAGATATTTTGAGAAATTAAATAATTTATCATCATAATTAGAATCCTCTCACTGCTATCAATGATACCTTTCCACCTATTGGTCGATAACGTTAACTAACTTTCTATTATTTATTAATTGCACTCTATGGTCTCAATCCTTAAGGTTTAGTCTTTACAATCACAGGACTTTTTGTATAAGTTTATCCATTTATCAACTTCATTATATCAGTAAGATTATCATAAATTTATAAACTAGAATGTTTGAATCCCTTTTATTATGGCATACTTCTTCCCTTTATCTATGCACCTTCTGTCATTTATTCAATATCTCTATCATTTATTTAATTCCTTTCTTAACTCTATATTGGTTAAAATGATCTGTTCTTTACTATCTATTTATCTATCATATTCTAATTCTTCGTTTCTTCTTCTTCTTCAATATTCAAATTCTCACTTTCACCTACTAAAGATTCCTTCTTTAAAGTAGAATCATTACGAATAACATTTTAATTTGCTATTTAATAACTTATTTAAATGACTTACTTTTATCGAATTTCTTTGTATTTCTCCAATACTTAGTCTCAGAATGATATGGTACTGATATCATCGCTGCATTTTCATCAATCCTCATCATATGTTTCACTTGCACCTTTAATCCTGGTGCTGTTATTGGCCTTTATCGAAATGAATAACCATAACTTGGTGATATTAATGCACTCATTGGTCTCTAATACTTTTAACCTCTTATCTCCACATTACCCAAATCATCTCCACTTCTCCCTTTATATGATTACTTACAAAACCCTTCTTTATCTATCAAAATACCATTATTATCTACATCCTCTTAATAACTCTATCTCATGTAATCTAAATCACGATTTACCTTTGAACTATATGCCCCACTATTAAAATACTCCTCTATTTACTTTTCTTTCCACATCTACTCTTATTAACTTAATTACTTATATTTTTATTAATCATTATTAATTCTTAAATTAGCTCTTTAACTTCTACATACAATCATCTTATATAATACAATTTTTATAGGAAAGATTTCATAATTAAAATTATTTAATAATAATATAATTATCATGTTCTCTCTCTTTATTTCAATCTTCTCAAATTTATTCTCAAAAAATCTCCAAAACCACTTCACTTCCAAAAAACTCGCTTATTTCTTTATTATTCATTTTATAAATATATTAATTATTTATAACAACTAAATTTAGTTAAATTAATATAAAAAACTAATCTTCCATTCTATTAATCTATCATACTTATTTAAAATTATCAATAAAAATTATATATAATCCTTTTAATTCAAGAAATTATCATTTTACATTTAATGACAATATTTTTTGTAACTAACTCATTTTTTTAATACATATAGAGTATATTCGAAATTTGATTTAAATAGGATTAAATTATCTATCCAAATATGTATAAATAGTAAAATAATTTTTTTTTATTTAGAATTATTTTCTACAAATGCAAGTATAATCATGTATTCTATCGTATTTGTTCTATAAATAAATTTTCTCAAATATTCAAACTTTGTTATTTCCTATTAATCATTTAATAAAAGTAATTATGCTAAAATTTATTTTTATTTTAAAAACTTATAATCTATAAATTAATTAATTTTCATCAACAAAAAATTTCGGTATAATTTTTTTTCAATTTGAAAAATTTTGTTTTTTTAGACTGAATAATTAAGAAATTAGTTTAAAAAATTTATGTTTTCAATCAAAAAAAAAAAAATTTAGTTTTTGAAAAATTTTTTTTAAGTGTTTTATGAAGGTCTTAAGTTTTGTAAATTTATGATCGGAATGTAATAAATAAAAAACATATTTATATTCAAACTTTAAAATTTTTATTTGTTATCCATTTATCTTTTTATATAACTCTAAAATGTGGTTATGAAGCAGTTTTTGGTATTCTAGGAGTAGAAATTTGCTTTTGCTCTGTTAAGAAAGGAGTCGATTAACCTTCTTCTACTGTTCCTGTAGTATTCTACCTTTAATTTAGTGAACTTTTTTGTAACCGACTTTGAGACAAATAGCCAGGAACCCAAAGTGGTTTTGCTTCAGGAAAAATGGTTTTATCTATAGTTGGATGAAGTAATTAAATTATTTCTGCACCTGTTTTATTGAACATAAAAGGTTATTCTTCAGTATTATGTTGTTGTTATGGTTGCGTACTATAAACACTTGGTTAACGATCTTAATCATTTAAGAAAGGTTAATTTTAGAGGGAAGAATTCTAAAGTGAAAATAAAATTTGATATTGTACTTAATCAAGTAATCTTTCTAAATCTTTAGGATTTAATTTTTAAATTGTTTATTTAAATTTTCTTTTTCCAATAGCATTATTAACAACAACATCTAATTGATTAGATTTTTTAGCTGCAAATCCTGCATGATGAAATTCTGTAATAACATTAAATTTAATAGTTTTTTAGTTATGATATTTACTGCGAGTTAATTATTCTAAATAAATATCCATAGCATTATCATTTTATTTAATTGAAGCAATTTCAATAGGAATAGTTTAAGCCTTTCCAGAACATAATTTGGCTAAATAAAATATAAAAATACTTAATTGATAACCCATAAAGTTACGCATAATTTGAACAGTTTCTTTATATTTAGAGCGTATAGAGAATTGAGTAGCAACAATATTGTCAGTAACAGAAATGACAAGTGGTCCTATAGAAATATGAATAATAAGAAAAACCTTTTTCACAATCAGCCATAGTTTAAAAAGTTTTTTTTGGATTAACAAAATTGAAAGGATGAACATCCCAAGAATTCTTGAAGGGAACAACAAATTCAAAAGGTAATCCATTAAAAAGATAATTATGCATGGAATTTTTTCTAAGAGAGCATACAATTTCATTTTCTTTAGAAACATATAGTTAATCGATTTCTTTCATTCTTGATACTTTATATTATGGAGCTTTGACAATATACTTGCCAATAGTTTTAAATTCTTCAGCTGCTCTTCTACTATGTAAACCAGCATTTCCTTTGCTTACCCATTCTCCAGTATCATAATTGAAACTGTATAAATCACCAGTTACATTATCAAGAAAGAAATCATTCATTCTAATATCATTAAGTGATTTCTTAATTTTAGATAGATCTCCTAATTATCCACCATTAAGTCCATTAATGACTGTAAATTACTAAAGTATGGGTAAGTTTGTACACATTCAACATTAGATGCAATCAAATAGACTAAGCCTTACATGGCAAATGATGAAGCAAATAGAATCTTATTACTTCTCATACACATTCTTAATAAGATTAAGAATTTATAGGCATTAGGAGACCAAGGTCTAAGATTTGCATCTCCTTCAAAGAAGATTAAATCAATTGAATCAAACATTTTACCACATTCAACTCTTACAAAAGAACTGTCTATTTCATAAAGAAAGTCATCAATAGAATCTCTATCTGCAAAGAAGAATTCTAATTCTGTATCGATCATTTCTTTTTTGCCTGTCAAAACCTAGAATAAAAATTCAATAACCCTTATACTTCTTTAATAATTTGTTTGTAATGTTCTGAACTTCTAAATCCTTTCATACATTTACCATACCCATTAACTATTAAAATTTTCATTAATTATATAAGTTATTTCATAACATAAATTTAGTAAAATTACTTTATTTTATAACATTTCAATTTTATGGCAAGTATTCTCCTTCTCCAATCATATAATCATTTTTCCATTATCCAAAACATTTATCTCCATTTTTCCAACAGTATATTCCTTTGCCAGATCTAATTCCATCTTAAAAGAAGCCTTCATAATAATCTCCATTAGCATATTCATATTTTCCCTTACCATTTCTTCTTCCATTCAACCATTCACCAATATATATATCATTATTAATCATTTGCAACCTTCCTATTCCATTTCTTTCATCATTCCTATATTCTCCTTCATATTTATCTCCACAACTATATATATAAACTCCTTTTCCACAACGTTCTCCATCTATAAATTATCCTTCATATCTATCACCATTAATGTAATGAAATATTCCATATCCATATTAATGATCATTCCTCCATTCTCCTTCATACTTTGATCCATCAAAATAATAATATATTCCTTGTCCTTATTTTAAACCTCCTATCCAATCTCCTTCATATTTATCTCCATTTTAATATTCCATTATTCCATACCCATTAGCTTTATCATCTTAAAATTCTCCTTCAAATCTTGATCCATTTAAATACTCAAAAATACCCTATCCTGATTTTGTTCCATCTCTCCAATCTCCATAATATTTATCACCACTTGTATATATGTACATACCTTTTCCATGTTTCTCCCCTTCCAACCATTATCCTTCAAATTTCTCATTATTTATAAAGTATGAATATGTTCCATTACCATTTTTTTTATCATTTGCCCACTCTCCTTCATATGTATTACCATTCTCATATAAATATATTCCACGACCATGCTTTGTGCTATCTCTCAAATCTCCCTCATATCTCTCTCCATTTACAAATAAATAAACTCCTTTCCCATGAAACCTACAATGTGCTTTCTCTTATACCTATCGTCTCTCCATTCTCCAATATAAATGTCCCCATTACTATAATGATATATGCCTTTGCCACATCTTTTATCATTAACCAATTCACCTTCGTATTTGCCTAAATCAACATAATTCTTTATTTTTATTCCCTTCTTATATCTAATAGGATCTATTGATTCTTTTATCCACTATTACTCAAATGCCTAAACTATTTCCTTTCTCTCTTTCAACAATTTAGATCTATCAAACTCTTAAGATTTTTTTGGATGAATTTTGAATTTTATATCTGACATATCAAAATTAAAATTATTAACTATATATTAACTAACTCATTTCTTTGATTGACTCTATTTTATTAACAAAAACATTAATTCCTCCTCACTATAAACACATTCTTATTTACAGTACCATTCTCCATATGAATTAATTGCATCATATTTAGGTTTCACTCTTCCACATCTCTTACAATTTATCTTATTTTAATTTAGACTTCCTTACTTATATCTCTTTCAAATACATTTATTTACATTTTTCAGAACACATTTTCTTCCCATAACAATCTATGCTTTCAAATATCAATTAAAAACATATCCAACAACATTCTTTCTAATCATTTTATAATCTCTATTCTATTTTCTAAATCGGAGATATTTTATTTCCTGCTTCCTTAGACATCTTCTCAATCGCTTTCTCAATTTTAATCAAGTCTTTATACCTATAATTTAATTTGATATCCAAATGGTAAGTCCTTAATATCTTTCGTTGATCTGATTTATTTAATTCATTTATTTACTTCATTTCAATCAGTTACTATAAACTACCCTCACAATGCTACGCTATCTTTCCATAATATTATTGTAAATTTATTTATGACAAAAAATCGAAAAGTTCTTTATTTATTTTTTATTCACACCATCTATTATTTTATCTCTATTACTATAATTAACTCTTTAAATTGTTAATTGATTATGTCTAATATCAAATTACTTTTTTACTATATTCTATGTCATCTTCTACTAACTATTTGGTCTTCTTTATTAAGACATCTTCTCAAATTTGATTTTTATATATATATTATTGAATTCAAAAAATATTATCATTTATCAATAACTTTTATTGATTAAATCCTACAAACAACATCAATTTTTCATTTTTCGAAATCTAGAACACTTACATTCTATCCCAAACTTAAACTTATTTTGTTATTTTTCAAATATAAATCCAATAACACTTTTCAATTAGATATTTTTCCTATTTTAATCATTTATATTAAACTACCTTTTTTATAAGGTTCCTTGTCATACATGTATTTTTTCATTATACAACATGATTTTATGATTAAATTTATGTAAAATTATTAGTTTGAATTTTATTTTAAAATAAATACTTCTAAATCTATAAATAAAATCAGAAATAAGTATTAGTGAAAAACATGAAATATAAAAGTATCAAATTATTTGACAGATACAGGGAGATTCTTAATTTGCCACGTCCGTATTATATTATTTCCAATTTTCAACTATTCTATAATTCAATTTTAATACCTAAGAATATTTCATTTTTTTCTCTGAACTATATTTTATGTTTCTTATTTCCATTTGAAATTACATTCCCATAACTATCTTTTCTAACCATAATATCATCTGATGCTGACCTAGCCACTTTTAAAATAGGAGTCAATTATTTTATTGGCTCACTATTGAAAACAGATTGGTTAATTCCAAACTTCTAGTAGTAATCAGAATCAGAATCAGACATTTTATTTATAATATTAAATGATTTGCCCATAATTAATGAATCTAAATAATTTGTCAATATTATGTTTCTATTATTTTAATTATACATAATAAAGTATTAAAAATAAACACTACTTATAAAACAGATTTTTTCAACAGATTATAGGATTGTCAGGCTAACTAATTATATGATTCATTTTTTAAATTAATAGAGCTATTGATAGCCGAAACAATTTATCAATAAACCTATATAATTACTTGATATTTAGTAAAATATTATAAAAAAATATGATACAATTTGTTTATGAACTAGGATAACAAAATTCTTACAATAGTTTTTCAAAAAATACAATTTTTAATTAAGATTCAATTATTTTTGTGTGATAAAAATTTTAAATAGATAGATATATTTGGACATTCAATTACAATAAAAAATAAAAATTAATCAAAGAGACTTTACCTAAGTAAAATTTCTTAAAGTCAGTAAAAATAATATAATTAAAAAAAAGTATTATTATAGTATTTAAAAAAATTGGATATAAGATTTGTATAAAATAACAATCCTAATAACTTAATCTACTTTAACTATTCATTATTTATATTTCAATCGCAACCTAATAATTAATAAAAAGGATAAAGTAAGAATATACTGATACAAAATTTAAGAATAGTATTAAATGAAATGAAATATAAAGTTAAGCATAGATTCTTAAGAAAAAATTTATAGTTCTAATTCTTGATACAAAACTGTTTACAAATAATGAAATTTATTGGAAAATTGGATCCAATTAAAAAAGAAATATTGATAATTTAAAAAATAGACGGATCTCAAATATTTGAGATTATAATATGACTTTTTGAGTTAGTAGTTAAACAAAATATGAAATTAGAGTAGACTTTGTTCATCAACATTGAACATCAAAGTGTTGAATATGAGATGAGAAAGTAAACTTAAAAATCATTAAATATAAAGATAGAGATTGTAATATGGAGTGATATCAAAATAATTAGCAGCTTTTGGATTGACAGCAGCCTACTTTCTCTTTTTTTTCATCTACAATATTATATTTTTTCCAATTTTCCACTTCAATAATATCATACAATTTCGCTTTGTCTGTAACTTCATCTCTAAATGTTATCTAATATTTTTTTTTCTAATTTTTATGGATCAAATTTCCCAGTTTGTCAAATCGTTATGATCTTGGAGACATAATGTAAGTATTTTTCTAACATTCAAAACTTTGAATATCTGGATCTGTTATCTTGCTTATAGATTTATGTAATGGCTCCAAGTTCTATAATTCTAGACAAGGACCATGCTTCTTACTATCTTAAAACATAAAAATATTAATTTTTTATAAATTTAGAGAAACAACATACATTGTATTTATTAAATCAAAAAAAAATATTCATTTTTAATTTCACAACAGATTTGTTGTTATATAAAGATATTAAACTGAAAAACTTCATAAAAATAATAAAAAAAGTTATTTAAAAAATTACAAATGAAATGAGTTAAGCTTAAATTAAATTTGAACTGAATGCCTCATTTTCTTATACTGTTATTTTAAGTTAAATATAAAATAAACTTGTATTTGCATATATTTTAAGTTTGATGAATTAAATAAATTGTTTGNAAAAAAAGTATAAGATTTGTATAAAATAACAATCCTAATAACTTAATCTACTTTAACTATTCATTATTTATATTTCAATCGCAACCTAATAATTAATAAAAAGGATAAAGTAAGAATATACTGATACAAAATTTAAGAATAGTATTAAATGAAATGAAATATAAAGTTAAGCATAGATTCTTAAGAAAAAATTTATAGTTCTAATTCTTGATACAAAACTGTTTACAAATAATGAAATTTATTGGAAAATTGGATCCAATTAAAAAAGAAATATTGATAATTTAAAAAATAGACGGATCTCAAATATTTGAGATTATAATATGACTTTTTGAGTTAGTAGTTAAACAAAATATGAAATTAGAGTAGACTTTGTTCATCAACATTGAACATCAAAGTGTTGAATATGAGATGAGAAAGTAAACTTAAAAATCATTAAATATAAAGATAGAGATTGTAATATGGAGTGATATCAAAATAATTAGCAGCTTTTGGATTGACAGCAGCCTACTTTCTCTTTTTTTTCATCTACAATATTATATTTTTTCCAATTTTCCACTTCAATAATATCATACAATTTCGCTTTGTCTGTAACTTCATCTCTAAATGTTATCTAATATTTTTTTTTCTAATTTTTATGGATCAAATTTCCCAGTTTGTCAAATCGTTATGATCTTGGAGACATAATGTAAGTATTTTTCTAACATTCAAAACTTTGAATATCTGGATCTGTTATCTTGCTTATAGATTTATGTAATGGCTCCAAGTTCTATAATTCTAGACAAGGACCATGCTTCTTACTATCTTAAAACATAAAAATATTAATTTTTTATAAATTTAGAGAAACAACATACATTGTATTTATTAAATCAAAAAAAAATATTCATTTTTAATTTCACAACAGATTTGTTGTTATATAAAGATATTAAACTGAAAAACTTCATAAAAATAATAAAAAAAGTTATTTAAAAAATTACAAATGAAATGAGTTAAGCTTAAATTAAATTTGAACTGAATGCCTCATTTTCTTATACTGTTATTTTAAGTTAAATATAAAATAAACTTGTATTTGCATATATTTTAAGTTTGATGAATTAAATAAATTGTTTGTTTAATGTTGGAATTTAAATTAGTAATTTTAGTTCTAAAAAAAAAATAAGAATTTAATGAGTGTTTTTCTAAGAAGTTAAAGCAAATTAAATTTCTTCATGTATATATAGTAATCATTTGGAAATAGTTGTATTGTATCTAAATTGAGGAACATCAAGTATATTTTTAGTCTTAACATCTATTTATAGAGGCTATTTTAATATAGATAATAATGCTCCTTTTTTTTTAGCAACTAATGCAAAATTTTTACAATGAATTTCTTAAAGTGTTTAGTCTGTTTAAAATTTATTTGATAATGGATTTCCTTGAGGATCGGCAGAATGTATATCGTAATTGTCAATTTTTTGATTAATTTCTTAATCATAATAAATTTGAACAAAATAATCAATGGCTGTTTCTACCGCTTCTATGATTAGAGATTCAGAAGGGATTTCTATTTGTACATGTAACATTTTAGAGCCTACCTTCATGCTGAAAATATAATGGTTTAGTGGTACTTCACTAAAACGCATTGATTCAGCTAAAGTGGATTAAGTTGTTTTAACATCTTATTTCGACATGACTTATTTAATTAAAAAAAATAAAATCATAAATCAATCATGCCCATCAGAGTTTGAAATAAAACTTAAATCATGATCAAACATTTGTCTTTTATTTTGTTTCAAATCTATTTTAGAGACATCAATATTAAAGACATCATTAACTTTATGTTAGACTTATTTCTACTTTTTACTTTATAGTTCAGTTAACAAAATCTAAATTTCATTTTTTGCCTAAGATAGATAATTAAAATACTAGAGCAATGACGGATTATTTTGGGGGTTAATTGAAAGTAATTGCTTAAACATTTGAAAAATAGAGAAAAGGATTACTATAAGATCTTTTAATGGATTTTTTATGTAGATTGGTGTTTTACATTTATTTCATCAATTATTGTTTTTTTACATTATTTAACTAAGAGAGACATAAAGAAATAGTTTACATCAAATTTTTGAAAATAATCATTAAACATTGACATTAAGAAATCAATACACTCTGATTTAGTCATATCATAATATTAAATTATTTATCCTTTTTATTATGAAGTTAATTGAGTTAGTTTTTATTTATCTCCTCTGGCAGTTTAACAAATATATTTATCCTATTCAATAGATTAACTATCATTTAAAATTTATATTTCTTGAATCTATTTTTTAACAGAAATGTTTTAAACTGGATTATTTTATTGAGTTTTGACAATTTTATTTTAATTTGTTTAATTTAAGCATCTAGCAGAGTTTTTAATATCTAAATCATCTGGAACAGTTTATTGTACTTTTGAGTAAGGTGATTAAGATTGATTATTAAGTTATCTCTACTATTGATATCTTGGACTAAATATTCCAACTGCAATATCTTATTCTTGATTTAAAGGTATAGAATTAAATGTTTTTCTATTTCTTAATTATTCCATTAAACTTTAACTTTATTTTTTATAGAATGATAATTCAATTTGTTATTTTTCATTTCTTTCATCTTTTAAATTATTTGATTTAATAATTAATTCATTTGTATCTAATATGTATTCATACTTAGCAAGTAAATCATTGTATAATTTTCTAACATGTAAATTAGCATTTTTTTCTTTTTCAAATAATTCTTTGAATCCTTTAACCATCATTTCCATTTTATGTAATTTTTCTTGATAAATCATTCTTTCATTTTTACTCAAATATTTTAATTATTATGGTTCTGGAGAGAAACCATAACCTAAATTAGAAGTTCCATATAATTCTTAATGCATTTGTTCTAGTTTACCTCTTTGATTTTAAACTTCTCTATTGATTTGAAGATTTTCATCATTTTTATCTAGATATTCATTATATACAAAATCTATTATAAATTTAATGGTTTTACCTTTCATACTCTAAAAATTAATTTAACTTCTCAAAACAATTCTCAATTTAAATATTTCTCTTTTTAAATTCTAAATATGGATAAAAAATACTTACATAATTTACTTCTTTTAAGGCACTATTTGTTTCACTTATGGTTTATGCCTCCATAGTGATTTTATTTAAGAGATTTCTAACATTTTCAAGTTCTTCATGCAACTTTAGATTTGATTCTGAAGGAGTAACAACTTCAACTATTTTAACCAATTAGCCTTCTTTCTCTTGTATAGGTTTCATTCTTTCTAATTCTTAGATAGCATATTCCTTATCATGAATACTTCGTTTCAATTCTATTAGTTTGTACTCTAGATCTCCTATTAAATCTTTATAATAATTTTATTGTTCCTCAGAGATCTATTCTAACAATAATATTTTAGTTTATAATTATTGAGAGATTCTTTATTAATTGGACAATCCTTAAATTAGTTTTTGATTCTCTTCATTTAATAATTTTATGACTCCTTCTAATTAGGAATTCTGATAATTATTATACCCTGTTGACATTGTGCTACTATCTGATATCAACTATATAATAATCCAAAATACTTATGGTCTTTTATTCAACCCTTCTAATGTTAGTGCCATTGCTTATTTATTCAATTTCAAAGCTCTTTCAAGGTCTTGGATATATTCTTACAAGGATTTATTCTCTTCAGAAAGATAATGAATTTTAGATTATTAGCGATTAGAAACAAATTCGTTTACTTCTGTTCCAAGAATCATTAAATTTACAAATAATAATTATAAATCTCACCCGAATTTGTAATCATTAATGAAAAAGAAATCTCAAACTAAATTTGAATTTAATAACATATTTAAATTATGTTGAATATATATATATTTATATATAAATTTTATCTAATCTCATTTGAAAGCATAAAAAATCATTCTTATACTTATACCTAATTAATCATTGATATAGTGTGACTTGATATTATTTTTATATGAGATCCCTCATCAAATAACCACATTACATGAATGATTTTTCTCATAATGAAGATATCTCTAATAATCTATCTGAGTCTCCTTCACTTGAAAATCATCAAAAAGTGAATGATAATGTTTCGAGATCTATACTTAAATCCTTAGAATAAGGTACATCATTTCAACCAATCAAGAAGAAAACAGTTGAGAAACCTTCCCTATTGATATAAGAAGATTAACTTTCACAAAGAAAACTTAATAAACATATTTAATTATGGAAAATTAACTTTGATGAACTTTCAGAATAAGAAGATCTAGGACAAGACATAAAAAAAGATTCATAGTACATTTCAGAATCTATTTTACTTTAGAATGAGCGAAGTCCCTCTATTGAAGAACCCTAAAATACTGAATAATATTTAGAAGATTAAGAAATCCTTGAAGATGTTAAAATAATTAAACAATAATTTAAGGTGGAGAAACATTAAGAGATATAGAAATTAAATCTTAGAAAACAATCTGAAAATTAATTAAGAACTCAACAAAAATCTATCGATATCGAAACACCAATCAATAGAATTTTCCATTAAGAAATTTAAATAAACAAACCGAAATAAATTATCATATGGAAATTTTAAAATCCCAAAAACTCTTAAATTAATTTTAGGTTATAAGATCAAGAAGACATAAATAAGAACAATGAATTTATGCTTGATTAATAACCTAAATCTTAAGAAGTTGAAGACTTAGATTGCATTAATAATAAATTACTTATTGGTTCATAAAATACTAAAGAAAAAAAATAAATTTCATAATAAGTTTAAAATAGTGAAAATTAAGAAAATAAGCAAATTGTAAATTTCCATTAAGATTCTTAGTATGTTGGAGAAAAAAAACAATAAGAAAATTTCCAATAAATATAATTATTACAAGAATAAGAATAAAAAGAATCTACTTACGAATAATAATTATTATAGGATGCTGTAGAAGTAAAAAAAATGATATAAGAACAATTGTAAGAGGATGAAATAAGAAATTATGAGGAATATGAGAAAGTTTATAAAATTCTTTCAAAAAAATTGATAAATTAAGGTAAGCCATTATATAGATGTTTGTTAATATAAAAATAGAGGGATGTTATTAAATGGTTGAGATTTTCGGAAATTGCATTAATAAATGAAGGTGAAAAAGAGATTTATAGATTTGAAAAAAAAGTATCAGATCAAATGTTTCTTTAAATTTTAAAAAAGAATATCAAATAAGTTACTATTACTAAATAATTTATGTTTGATCCTGTAAAAGTTCCTTATATATAAGTGAAAGAAATTCAAGAAGAGAAATTAAAAATGGAAAAAGAAATAAGTTCTATTTAATAATAGAAAGAAGAAATTAAGAGAAAGATTAATGCAGCTTAAATAAAAAGTGAGTATTAAAAGCCAACAGTAAAGAAATAGTCAAGCCAAAAATAATCTAAAAGAAGACATTCATCAGATTATTTAAAGAAAGAAGATAAAGGAAGAGATAAAGAAATCATTCTGAAAAAGAAAAATGGAATTTAATCAAATAGTGATGATGAAGATTTTGATTTATTAGATGCAGATAGAGTTTAGATTTTAAAGATTGCTATGGATAAATCAAAAAGATATGAAAGGCAAAATAAAATAAAATAATATCATACAAAATTGTATAGAGAAGATCAAAAATAACAAGATGATGGAGTATTAGTTAAATAAATGATAGATTTATATAATGAACAATTTTCTGAAGATGAAAAATCTTAGTTCATTTAGTAAAAAATAAAATAGAAATATGTAGATAAATATATAACAAAAGATAATTTAGATTTATCTATGAAAAATGAGTAGAAAATAGATCACTTATAAAAACGATTTTAAAAAAAGATTGAAAATCCATACAACAGATTAGAAACATACGATGAAATGAAAAAAATATCAAAAATATAATAAAAAAGAAAAGAGAAATAGAATTTAGGTTTTTAATAATAAATAAATGGAATCGATATTGAACAAAAATAACAATATTTTTATAAGAAATAGATTTTAGGGAAAAAGTAAAATCTCAAATAATAATAAAATTTTGATTAACAATTAAGTTATGTAATTAATTAATAAAGTGAAAAATTGTAGAATAAATAAAAATAAGAAACTAGGGAATCTTTAAAATAATTATTTATTAAGAATGAATAATAAAAGAAAATAGAATAGTAAAAATTTGACAGAAAGAATAGTGGAGGAAAAGCGAGTTAAGTTTAATAAAGTGATAATTCATCATTTTCCAGATCATCATCGAATGGAATTATATCATCAAGAAGAGTTTAGGAAATAAATAAATTTAGAAGATTAATGAGAAATTATAAACATTAAGACGAGAGTCCCTAAATAGTTTTTGGAAGGAATAGAAGCAATCAAAAAAGATTAAAGAAATGATATTAATATTAANAAAGAATATCAAATAAGTTACTATTACTAAATAATTTATGTTTGATCCTGTAAAAGTTCCTTATATATAAGTGAAAGAAATTCAAGAAGAGAAATTAAAAATGGAAAAAGAAATAAGTTCTATTTAATAATAGAAAGAAGAAATTAAGAGAAAGATTAATGCAGCTTAAATAAAAAGTGAGTATTAAAAGCCAACAGTAAAGAAATAGTCAAGCCAAAAATAATCTAAAAGAAGACATTCATCAGATTATTTAAAGAAAGAAGATAAAGGAAGAGATAAAGAAATCATTCTGAAAAAGAAAAATGGAATTTAATCAAATAGTGATGATGAAGATTTTGATTTATTAGATGCAGATAGAGTTTAGATTTTAAAGATTGCTATGGATAAATCAAAAAGATATGAAAGGCAAAATAAAATAAAATAATATCATACAAAATTGTATAGAGAAGATCAAAAATAACAAGATGATGGAGTATTAGTTAAATAAATGATAGATTTATATAATGAACAATTTTCTGAAGATGAAAAATCTTAGTTCATTTAGTAAAAAATAAAATAGAAATATGTAGATAAATATATAACAAAAGATAATTTAGATTTATCTATGAAAAATGAGTAGAAAATAGATCACTTATAAAAACGATTTTAAAAAAAGATTGAAAATCCATACAACAGATTAGAAACATACGATGAAATGAAAAAAATATCAAAAATATAATAAAAAAGAAAAGAGAAATAGAATTTAGGTTTTTAATAATAAATAAATGGAATCGATATTGAACAAAAATAACAATATTTTTATAAGAAATAGATTTTAGGGAAAAAGTAAAATCTCAAATAATAATAAAATTTTGATTAACAATTAAGTTATGTAATTAATTAATAAAGTGAAAAATTGTAGAATAAATAAAAATAAGAAACTAGGGAATCTTTAAAATAATTATTTATTAAGAATGAATAATAAAAGAAAATAGAATAGTAAAAATTTGACAGAAAGAATAGTGGAGGAAAAGCGAGTTAAGTTTAATAAAGTGATAATTCATCATTTTCCAGATCATCATCGAATGGAATTATATCATCAAGAAGAGTTTAGGAAATAAATAAATTTAGAAGATTAATGAGAAATTATAAACATTAAGACGAGAGTCCCTAAATAGTTTTTGGAAGGAATAGAAGCAATCAAAAAAGATTAAAGAAATGATATTAATATTAAACAATTCTTTTTAAGTTATAAATTGTATAGCTATTGTAATGTATAAAGTTATTATCAAATAGCTCTACATATGAAGTATTTGGTATTTTTTTCAAAGTCTATAGAAATAAATCTAGATACTGGTTTGAATACTTTTGAAAAAGAGTATTATATATTGAATTAGATGTTGTAGTGTGTTATATATCCGTTTTTATTATTATTTTTTTAATATGTTAAAATTTGTTAGCATATTGCTGCTGACATTGGTGTTAGTGAAATCAACAGAAATTCATGGAACCATCAATGTGAAAGTTATATTACCGAATTAAATTTACACATAAGCATCGAGTGGCGAACTTGATAATGAATATAGATAAAATGAATTACTACAAAATTAAGTAATGAAAGATGTTGCTATGTATAAATGCATTCTATTCAGCTTAGAAGTTTTCTTGAAACAGGTAGGTCTGTAGAAGTGAACGAAGTTAAGGATAAATCCATTGAAATTTGGTCACAAAAATCTTTAGAAATCGAATAACAACCACTTATCAAATCAGAAGAATCAAATGAATAAGCATAAACTACTTAAGTCTAATCTAATTTACAAAATTAAGAATCAGATGGCTAATTAAAAAAAATATCAATTAAAGTAGAGAAAAAGGATAATAAATCGATTGAAGAATCCCTTAATACTCATATTACAAATCCAAATAATGATATATAAGCAAATGACAATACAAATAACTCAGATTAATAACAACAACCTTCAATATCCTAAAAAAAATTTTCAGTTTCTGTAAGTAAAATTCATAAATCAGATGACTAAAATCAATAAAATGAATAATAAAATGCATAGAAAGAATAAATCTAAGACAATAATTCAATTAATTAAAAACAAGAAGTATAAAATAATTAATAAGCCAATAAAGATGTGTAAGATGATACTGAAAATCAAGCTGAAATAAAACAGAACATTTAAGAATAAACTCAATCAACTTCTAATTAAGATGTTGTGGAAAATTAAAAAGAGAATTTAAATAATTTAAATTCAGATGCGACAAAATAAGTTTAAGAATAAGAAACTTCAGTAGAAAATAGTCTTAATACTGAGGAATAAAAAGTAGAAGAAAAAGTATAAGAAAAAATAGAAGATAATAAAGTTGAAAATTCAATTAAGACCCAAAATGAAAATTCAGTTTAGAATTAAAATGAATAATCAATAGAGACTAAAACCGAAAACACTACTACTGAGACTTAGATCGAAAATTTAAATGTAGATTAAAACTAAAATAATTTATAAGTTGAACCTATCTAAGAATAAAAAGATAAAGTCTCTACATTATCTGATAATTAATAAATATAATAAGATTAAAAAAAAGAAAATGAAATATAAAAAGAATCTGTTTAATAAAATAATCAAGAACAATAATAATAATAAGAATTAAATCCATTGAATGATAAAAATCTAAATAAAATATCTGTTGAAAATAGTAAAGATGAATCTGAATAAAATAACTCTGAAAGTTCTTAAAATGAAATTGTGATTTAAGATATTAAAATAGAAGCTTAACCAATTGAATTAGAGAGCATTAAATAATAAAATATTGTTAAAGTTGATGATTCAGAAATTGTAATAAAATCAGATGAAGAAGTAAAGGTTGCTCCTAAGACATAAGATATATAAAATTCAGATTAAGTTACTGATTAAGGAGAAGAAGATGTGACACCAACTGATTAAGGAGATTAGTAGAGTGACTCAGAAACTCAATAAAATTAAAATGATAAAAATTAAGAAACTGACAATAAGGTTGATTAATAGGATTAAACTAATCAAGAAAATACTTAATGTGATGGTGAAGAATTAGACACTATTCATGGATAAGGGGTTTAAAATGATAATTAACTTGTTACTGATTAAGATAACACAGATGCTTAAAATTAAGTTGAAGAATAATAATAATAGCAAGTTTAAGAATAATAAGTAGTTGAATAATAATAAGAAGAAGAAGAAGAAGAAGAAGTTTAATAATAATAATAAGAAAAAGAAGAAGTTTAATAATAATAAGTTGCTTAATAATAATAATAATAAGTTGAATAGAAATAAGAAGTTTAATAAAATGAAGGAAAATAAACCAAAAAAATTGAAGAAGAGGAAAATAAGTAAAAAGTTTAAGAAAGTACAAATAAAGGTGAAAAATAAAAGTAAGCTTAGGCACCAGATTTTATGATAAAAAAGAATTAATTGACTAAGAAGATGAAAGAGGTTATAAATGAAATGAAAGAATCAGATAAGGGTCAATAAAATAAATTATACAGTTTGAATGTTTCTAATTTGGATCCAGATGATGTAATAGTAATAAAGGATACTTCATATTTTGATAGTGATGCAGAATTAGCAGTATAAGATGTAGAAGTTAAGAATTCAGATTAATAATTAATTGGAGAAGTAGTGAAAGTATAAGCTGAAGTTGAGAAGGTTGATTTAAGTATTTTTGCAGATGATAGTTCTGATTTGATTCCAATAATTGTTGAAGATAATGATAATTAAATTTAATCTGAAATAATTACTGATGCAATTAAAGATGTAACAGAAAAAGAAATTGGAATAATAGGAAATTAAGATTTGGGAGAAGCAGATGTTGATATTTAATCTTTGATTTCTGATTAAGTAGAGATTAATGCTAATCATATTACTAAAAAAAATATAGTTTAAGATGATTATTCATTAGATTATGACTAATTGGAAACAGATGTTATTATAAATAACAGTTTTAATACTGATGGTGTAACATTTGATTAATTCTAATCATAATTAGATTAATTGGATGAATTGGCTAAATAGCTTGATAATTTAAGTTTGGAATAGCCAACCGTAGAAGAAGATACTAAAGTTATAGACTCCCAATCAACTCAAATTTCTAAAGATGATCAATAATATTTAACAATTGTAACTAATAATGATTCTTCAGTTATAAATGCTTCTGCTGAAGATGATTATTATTTGGATGATTTAGATAATGAGCTTGATTAAATAATTGAATAATAATCAGAGACAAAAGTCTAATCTGAATCTGTCGTATAGCAATAAGAAATTCAATAGAATGATAATATTAAATAAAATGATGAAATTGAATAATAAGTTCAATTCAAAGAAGAGTATTCAAATGATGATAATTTAGAAACAGATTAGAACTATGATAATAATAATGATGATTATTATTAAATTGATAATGAAAACATTGAATAAGATTTATAATAAGATTTAGAATAAGAATAAGATTTATAATAAGATTAAGAATAAGATTTATAATAAGATTCAGAATAAGATTTATAATAAGATATAGAATAAGATTTATAATAAGATATAGAATAAGAACAAAATAAATAAACTGAAATATAATAAGATGATTTAGAATTAGATAATGATGATATTTTTGAAAGCTAAGTTTAATCTAATGATGAAGCTGTTGTAAGTGATGGCGTAATGGTGGATACTGGAGATTCTTATGGTAATTATGATTAAGAATCAGATATTAATAAAGACTATGATCTCTAATTTGATGATGCAAGCTAAAAAGAGGAAACAATTATAGAATAAAAATAAGATTAATAATCCCCAAATGTTGAAGTTGATTAATAATTGAAAAGTGAAGAAAATATAACTACAATAAATAAAAATGAGATAATAAATTAAGAAGGGAATAAAGAGATCACTTAAAATTAAGAAGTTGTTTAATAAGAAAATAAAGTGATTGAAGAGAAATAAGAAAGTTTAGTAATTGATAAATAAGAAAGTTAAGTTAGTGAATAATAAGAGGATTAAGCAATTGTTGATTAATAAACTTCTTAGGATACAGAATCATAAATTAAAATTTAAGATGAAATTATTCCTAAACAAGAAAATGAAGTTTAATCAAATACCATTTCTTAATAATCCGAATAGTAAGTTTAATAAGAAATTTAAGAGTAACTTGATGAATAGGATAATGAAATAACATTAGAAAATGCAACTGGAACAGAAGAGACAGAAATTGAAGATTTACCTTAATTAGAAATAAAGAAAAAATAATTGGTAAAAAAAGAAATTTCAGTAAAAGAGAAATCAGAGTCTGAATCAGAATTAGAATCTGATAATGTTATTACAAATGAAGATATAAATGGTGAAGGCACAGTTCAAGAAGATAATATTGAAGTGTTTTATAACAATTCTTAAATTAAAGAAAGATAAGAAGATGATAATTTATCTGTTTAATCTGAACCAGAAGTTATTGAAAATCTTGAAGATTTATAAGATTGTATTGAAAATGATGAAGATGAGCATACAGTTGAAAATAAGGATGGAAATTCATAGTAATAAGATGAAAAGAAAGAAAAGCATCATTCTATTAAAGTAAGTAAGGAAGAGAAAAAATAGAGTAAATAATAATAAGATAAATCATTGAAGATTGAATAAAATGATAAATAATCTAAATTTGAAGAATAATTACATTAATAGATTATCAATAAAAAGTAAAAAGAGAAATAACAAATGAGTCATGAAGAATAATTTGATTAGATTGTTAATGAATTAGTTCATGAATTAGAGACCTCTTCTAATAAGTAAGGTGAATCTAGAGAATAAGAATAATAAATTTATTAAGACATTAAAAAAAATGTAGAAGAATTAAGATAAATTCATAATAGTGATGATGTAATTGTTAAGAAGAGAATTGATATACCATCATAAGTTGAATAAAATACTGATGTAGATGATAGAATTAAAGATAAAGAATTTTAATAAAAAATTGAAGAACTTTTGAGAACTTAAAAATCTTAAACTTCATCAACAAATAAGATTAATGATGGTGAAAGATATTATTTAGATAAACCTGTTAATTAAGCTGTAAGTGATTATGAGAAGGAATTAAATTAAAGAAAGTAAGAAGTTATGGAAAAAATTAAAAATGATTTATAAATCAAAAAAGGTAGATTCTCATAGGATAATTAAAAATCTGATAATTTAACTCCATATGAATTTGAAAGAATATATTTAGATTGGACTCAAAATAAAAATGATATAATTTCTAGTATGCTTTCTCATGCATCAGGCTCAGAAGTATCATAGGAATCATATATTTCAGAAGAACCAATTGCTAAAGTTGAAAGAGTATCTAAAAAATAAGAAGTTGAATAAGAAATCAAAGAACTATTCTCAAGTTATAAACCAGTTAAAAAATAATCAAAGAAAACAGGAGGTATTTTTTATTATCTTATCATTTTTAGATTCATACTTAGATTAATAGGAAACTAGTTTTTTGGCAATCAATCAATAAGTCAAGAAATCTAAGAATTTGCGAGGAAATAAATAATGATGTTGAAAAAAAAGAATTTATTACATAAATAATAAGTATTTCATTAAAGCTATCTCTGTTCTCTTACCATATACTATTTATAAATTATATATAAAGTTAATAAATAAATTTGCAAAATGATTTAATTTAATCTATAAAATATTATACAACAGTGTATTGATCCCATTAAATATAACATTTTGTTTAATCAAGATATAGGACATAATTCCTACTGCAATATTTACAAAATGATTTAGACCTTTGTTTTGTTGAATATTTCCTAAGTAACATTTTATGCAACAAATACATTAATCTATATCTCTTGAGTCTTTTCAGCTTGTTTTAAGTTAAGACTGTATCACATTACAGAGTAATATATAATATACAAAATTTTAATTAACCCTAAAAAATATTATCTCCTTCTTTATCATAAGGGTATTCTATAAAGATTACCAAAAACACAGACGTGGCATTCAATTATAAAAAAAATTCCAAGAATATATTTTTTTTGAATACATCATTAACAAAATCTATAATTCTTACTAAAATAAAAATATCTTCTAATGAGCTTGTTAGAATCAGAAATCTTTGATGATTAAAATGAACTAAGTAAAAAGATATATAAGGACTTGGAATCAATTTTAGGATGTGCCTTAGAAATTGATTGCTTAATTGAATACTTTCAAGGATCACAACCATAACTTGTTAATATGGGATTAAATAAATTGTATAATCTCTTTAACCATTCAAACTTAATGCATCTAGAAATTAAATAACAATTGGAAAGTTAAATTGGGAACAAACAAGCAGTTTTGGGAGTTAAAAATGAATCCATTTAAATCACTCTTGAAGTTTAGAAGTAAATAATTGATAAACAAATCCAATAAACTTTAAACTTTCACATTGATAAGAACTTAGCATAATTCAATATACCTTTTTAATTAGAATTGATTAAGCTAGAATAATTTAATTAATATTCAAAGGAGTCACTTAAAGACTTATTTCATTCTGATGAATAAACCTATCACTAATTTATACAAAGAAAGTCCAGTCTAAAAGAATCATCTTTTTTGAGAAGATCACTTAGTCTTAAAGTTACAACATCAATTAAATCAGTAATTCTAGAAAAAATTGAGTAAATATTTACCGTTATTCAATTTTTAGGTATAGAAAATAAACAATGATAAATAAGCTTGAGCATAGATTTCCTAAATTGGCTAGTTTTGAACCTATTATTCCATATATTCTTGGACTCTTTATCAATATTGAAAGTGAAGGTTTATTTGGGGATTTCTAGTCAGCAAAAGATTAATTAAAATCTGTGCATCACACAGTTTTTACATTATGTTTTAACAATTTCTAGCAGATCCTTTCAACTGAATATGTGAAGTTACTGGTGAAACTAGATTTTTAATAGTTTGTCTTGGGTAATTTTAAAACATCATTTCAAATTGAATTTGATAAAATAATAACATAATCTAAATGGGTTGAATCAGATAAATCAATGATTTAATAACTATTGTTTAGTTCGAAACTTAATGGATCATTTTAAATCGAAAATCAAAAACTTGATTAATTAGGATAGTTGATATAAACCTTTAATTAAAAAATCATTCTTATTTTTTAATAAATTATTCCTCATGAACAAGGAAATTTTGATAATAATTCATAAATTGTAGATTAATTATTATAAGAACTTGAATAGGAAAAAAATTATATCATTAAATCTTAAACAATCAATTAAGAGATTATTTTGGCATTTAAGAAAATCCTTTAATAGATTATAAAATTATTAAATAAATTTTAAGTAAGTCTTCATTCCAAATTTGGAATAAAAGCATTATATTAATTAAAGTTAATTTTACAGGATTCTAATAAAAAATTAATAAAACAAAAACCAACTAATGAATACTATTACAAATGTGTGAGTGAATTAGAAAATAAAATCTTGAGACTTTTTAAGAAAAATATAATTTTTGCATCTTCTGAATTAATTTCTTTAATAATTCAATCAGTTGATAAGCATAAAGAATTAGAAAATGTTTTATGTGATTTGAAATATGGGAATGCAACATAATAAGCTATTTGTGAAATTTCACAAATTTAAGATTTTATCTCAAATGAATAAATTAAATAGTTTTTATAAAATGTTGTTGATTATTTGTAAGATAAAATAAAAAAGAAGGATATCAATTTCAATCTTGGTGATTTATAATTAACATTAGAGGAAGAAATGATTTTAAAATGCATAAATAATTAGCATTTGATAGAATATGTAAAAGAAAACAGAAAATTTTTTAAAATAATTTCAAATTATATATTGGCTAACGATCCTTTTACCAGTTTGACTTTAAGATAATACCAATCTTTATAATCAGCAATAGAAATATCAATTTTGGCAATTAAATTTTGCAAAGAATCAAGTTTAAATGAATTTCTAAGGCTTTTTTTCGATTTTCAAATTAATCGAGATTCACAATAACTTAAATTATAATCTTAATTAAATTAATCTGAATTATAAGAATGGAAAAACATCTTATAATTATTCGAATGATTTAACATATGATATAAAGATTTGAATAATATTTTAAAATAAATTTTTCATAGTAATTATATTTTTTTATTAATAAATTATAAACTTTCATATTACATTTTTGAATCTTTCAAATGAATCATAATCAAAATGTACACATTCAATATAAAAATAATATATTAATTTATATTCAATTAATTTGGATTCAAGTATATTTTCTTAAAAATACAGAAGATGTTATTAAATTGTTATACTACAATGAAATCATTGTTAAATTAATCAATGATGGTGAAATTGGTGATATTAACATATGATTTACATAATTAAGATATTCCAATTAATTAAACAATCAAGATAGTTATAATTATTACTTAATAATCAATTCATTAAATATATTTAGTAAATCCACTTTGCGAATTTAAGGTTTAAGACGCTAGATCATGTGAATTAGAATCTGATAATCTTATGCACTAAATATCCCGAAATCCATAATAATTTATTGAATTTGTATCAAAATTTCATCAAAGTTGTTATTTAATTCCATAACGACTTATTCAATTTCATTCCATTATCTAATGATGTTTAAGAATTTTTACATGAGATCATGATTTTTATTTATTTTAATTTCGTTAGCTTTAATTTTATAGAGCGTTCCTAATTAAATAGTACTAAAAGGAAAGATCTTTTGAGGAGATTTGATATTCTTTTACCTTCTAAGTAATGGTTCTTGAAAAAGTAATTGTGTTTCATCTTGAATGTGTTTTGGACTCAATGATGTAAAACTTTCAGAAACTGTTTTCCTTCTAAATAAATAAGTTGGACATAGTAAATAATCTTGTTTTCTATTCATTCTCTTGCAATTTAAAGTTTCTATACTTTGTTTAGGTGAATTAGGAATTTTGCGTGGAGATATTAGAAGTTAAGGAATTTGTTATGATATTTCTTTAAGCTATTATAAATGATTCCATATTTATTATGATATTAAGTTCCTACCACCTAAATTACGCGCATCTGGTGTAAATGGAGGCATTTACTTTCAAAAAGTTGTTAAAAATTATTATTATATAAATTCATCTTATAATCAAATCTCTAGCACTTTTTTAAGGAATATTTACAATAATGTCTTTATTAGGTTGAGTTTCCACTTATTCTGTGTCTATCATTAATGGAATATCAGAGGATTGTGTATTTTCACTCCTTGTTTTCATTCTTTAAACGAAAGGGTTGGCTCTGCTAGTTTCTCTTAAACTTATATCATTATTTAAACTAATCCAAGGTTTATTTTTTATTTCTTGATCTTAAAATTCTTTTCGACATAAAGGACAACATTTTTGTGTCTGTAACCATTTAAATAAGCAGTGCTAATGAAATAGATGATAACATGGAGTTAATGAACAATGATCTATATGATCTCTTTCTGTCAATTTTCCTTATTGTGGAGGAGCCATTGATTCTAAACATACTACACATTCAACAAATTCACTTAATTGAGGATATTTATCTATAAGATCTAAATAATAAAATTAAGGAAAATATGTTTAGATAAAGTCTAATTTAAATCCTTTTAAAATATCATCACTTTATTATTGCAATATTCTTCTTCTCCTTCTATTTCCTCTATGTTCTCTTTAAACTAACCTCACCTATTATCTTTATTATTTTTATCTTATTTTTCTAAAAATTAAATAAGTAATCAAAATAAAACAAGTGAAGAATATAGATTACAATATAATTTACAAATGATATGGATCATTATCTTTTTATAATTACTTTTCATACAATTCAAAATAAAATAGGATAGGATAAGAATGCTAATTGTAAAATCCAATATTTAAAAATGTGCAATTCATACACATTGATTGATAATAGATTAAATCACCTTTCAACTAATAAATTTGTTATTCAATTTTCTTTGGTATCAAATAAGCATCATAATGGATATTAGGAATTTCATGATTTTCTATTCCTTACATTCCTAATCCCATCAACATTTCAGATGATTAATCACGAATTTTTAATTTCAGAGTCTCATTTGAATTTAATAATTTAGTTTCAAAACCAATATAAACCCATTAAAGAGGTTTAATAATTATATCGTATTATATTTGCAACACTGCTATTTTTCTTGAAAGTTAACAAAACTATCCAAAATAACCAGACTTACACAAACACTACTTATTTATTGAATTACATGTGTTACCTTGTTGAATACAAAAGGAAGAGCATTCTCCAGATTAATTTTTTATTAGTAATGAGAAATTAGAGTATTGATTGAATGATTAATTTAAGTACCCTGCATATAGAAACAAATCAATACTAGGTTCAGTAAATATTACATGAATATCATTATTTGTAATGAATGACTCATGATCATAATTCAAAGACTGTATTTTATCTTATCCTTCTACATAAAATATATTTTCAAATTTTTTATTAGATGATGCTAAAATAAAAGGTTGGTTAATGTGTGAGTAAAGTGTTACTTAAATTTCGAGTGCAGATTAGTTAAAAAGGTAGAGAAAATTAGTTTAGTTTTGTTATGCTTATGTCAATAGGATTTATAAAATAATAAATAACATTAATAATTCAAAGAAATAGTTTTTAAGTTTATAAATTTTCTAAAAATTGTTTAAATTCTTGCATATTTTTATTTGCTCCTTCTAAAGTCTCTTTGATTTGATCCCATTTTTAAGATTTTTGACTATTATGAAATTTATTGCTTTTATAAGTAGAAGGTTCAGTTTTTAATTTTGGAGTCAAATTTCTATTCAAAATCATTCCTAAAGGTTTTCTTGGAGACTGGGGTTACTGAACCTATTTCAGTTTTTACCAAACATGTTAAGGCTTATTATTAGATCAAAATTGAATTACAACATCAAACTTATCTAATCTAGGTAATGGTCCATCTGGAGGTACACCTCTAAAAGGTTTATCTAATTATTGTTCTAATGTCATTTCAAGTAAAACTCTAGCATATAACAAAGAATTCTATTTCCAAATAAAATTATGTGTTGGTGTTCTCACTTTATCCAACCATTACAATATTCTTATTTTCAGATGTTTATCATTGACCTTCTAGCAACCACTATAGATCTTGTTGATAGTGTCACTTAATTCCAAATCCAAAGTTTCTGCTCTTGGAGAATTCATTAATTTAACGGATAATATTAATAATTTATCAATCCTCTACGATCCAATTCCTCCACAATATGGTTATTTATAATCTCTACTTTTGGTATTTCTAGTGGTAATGGTCTCAACAACAATGCTAAACCTTTCTTCTGACTTTCATGATATACTTTTCGAAAAGCTTCAAAATCTTAATTCCATTTCTGTAACACATTAGTAAATAATTTCTTATATATAAACATTATAAATTATCTATTAAAATGATAATAATAAATTCTATACTAATCATGAATTAAGTAATGTAGTGGATCTCTTTTATTTTTATTCTTTTCCTACTGTTATTATTGTTACAAAGGCAATTACTAAAATGTCTACTATTTCATCTTCAGAATCTCTCCATAGATTTATTTACATTAATGCAATATGGCGATTTTCATCTATTACATAAACTCCAATCTTTTATTCTTATGTCGAACTAACATATTTATACATTTTTTGACTATATTAAATTAAATATTAGATACTTAGATTAACTGTATGTAAGCCTTTTTTAACTGTATAATAGCTTCTGATATTCTATCTTAAAATTTCAATGATAATATTGCTACTCTTTGCTTTAACTTTATCTTTTTAACTATGAATGCAAATTTGCATACTAAATTTACAGAGTAACAAGGTTCTTAATTTTAATTTTGGTCCTTAATTTTATATGTTATTTTTAATTTTTTTGATGAATTACATTGTCAATATTTATTTTCTCATATTTTTTTCAGAAATACGTTTCTGTACTTTAATGTAGCTACTAATTGATGGTACAATGTAATTGATTAAAATGATTACTTAAATCCATTTCTTACAAATCCACTCTTTATGCATTTATCTAATAGTAGTTAAAAAACTTTACTTAAATTGTATGTTCATTTATTTTTATTTTATTTCTTTTGCAACATCGTGTAAAGCAATTTAGGCAATTCTTTTTAAACTTTATTCTTTCTATATGATTGTCTATTTAAATTTAATTTCTTTTAATCTTTCAGTATTGCATGGAGATTCAATTCTTTGTTTTCGAAGTAAGGATCTATTAAGATTAATGAAATTTAGAGATTTTTATCTCAACTTTCTTTTTCTCATGATTTATTCAACTAATTCTTCTAATTCCGGATTTGATTCATCTTTTTTTTTAATTTAAGGTATTTTTCTGGGGAATGGAGGTTTAGCAAATTCATTTTTAATTGTAATAACAACATCATTGTGAGCTAAGAGGGCAACGTACAATGTAGGATCGAAAAAAGTTGGGCCTTCTCTAGAGTGATATTTTAGGACACGACCATAGGTTTCGATTTCTGCATTGAAACGATTAGGTTATTGAAATTTGACTGAACAAAATAATCGCATTTTGGTATTTGGATCACCTTTTTTTACGTAGATGAATAAGACTACAGGTGAATATTTTTCATGTATATCTAGAGATGTGTATAAAAATTAATTCCGAAGAAGAGTCAAAGTTGTTTCACCCCAAACATCTAATTTACTATTGTATATGATATGTTTTTTTCTGCTTGGTAACTCTCTTTGAGTCAAATTATATTCTTTGATATCAAAGGCTCGATGGCTAAATTGATCAAGCAAAGCAAACTTGCTATTGAGATTGAGTTTTTCTTCACTCAATATTCGAGAATCCAAAATAATGGAGTCTGCTGCACTTGGAGGTTCAGTTGTAAAAATTGAAGGAACAACTGATTTTAAGTGTTTAGGTTTATAATATAACATATAATTATCAATCTATTTTATTTTCTCTTTCTTCTTGTCTGCTTAATTCTATAAATTTATCTTCTACTCTTTTATAAAGTTCGTTGTACTCTTTGAAAATGACTTTACAAATTCTGTATGCTTTTCTATAGTACCCAGTGTTTCCGACTTTAAGTTTGATGTCTGTAATTTTGTCTTAGTTCAATTATGCTTCTCTTTTAGCTCCCTATCTGATTTACATTTAGGTGTCAAAATCAAGAACAAAAGTTTATTTTCTGGACAATTTCTATTATTTCATTGAGGTCCGTTCTTATTATTTTTTATCAGTAAATTTTTGTAGTTTTTACAACAAATACACTTCAAAACCATTGTTTTTGTAATCATCAAAATATTTACCTAATTATTCATTACGTAAGTATATTTAGACAGCAATTTTATATCTCTGTTCATAAGTCAAGGAGTTAAAAAGACTATGACTAGGACATTCTAAGATAATTTTAATGTTATCTTCTTAAACTCTTTCTAAATTTTCACAAAGCAAAGCATAACCTTCATAGATCATAACACCATAAGGATGTTCTAATGTTGGACATAACTAAAGAATAAATATTATAGATACTTTTTCAAGATTGATTAATGCTCTATCTAACATTATTTATGCTTGATATAGTCTACTAGCAATAAAGGCAATTCTATATTGTAGTATATCACAATAGACAATACTAAAATGTTCAGTAACATTTACAGAATTGAAATAATCTTTATAGAATCTATAACATTGGTCTAACAAGTCAAAAACCCATTATGAGATAAGTGTTTCACTTAATCTCTCTTCAATATCATCAGGAGTATAAAATTTGTAAGGGAGATGTGATTTATAAACATATGGTTCAAAGAATTCAGCTTCTCTTCTTGTAAAGAAATATTGACTTTTAAATGCCATCTTAAATGTTTAGAATCCATTATAACCTCTTTCTCTATGTAGAAGTATAAATTCAGAGTAAACCATCAGTGCATCAACATAGAGTACACTCTTTCTTCCCATAGTCTTACGAATTTTTTCTAAAATTCTTATTATTGATTAAAATAGTCGATGAAGATCGGTATCTTTTTCATACATTCTACTATAATATTTATAGATTCTGCATCTAGATCTTAAAGTAAAATAATGATTAAATTGATTCAATAAATCTATCATGAGACTATCATTAGTAAATTTATCACGAAATTATCCTGTTACATTTATTATAGGCAATTTTAAATCTTCATAAAATATTTATTATCCTAAATATCTTCTAGCAGCTCTTTCAAAGAAAAGAGAAGCACGATGTGTTTATCTGATAAGTAAAAAGTAAGTACCGATTGCATATTCAAAATATGTTCGAGCATAATCTTCTTAACTACCTAATTTCACATAATGATTATATAACATTTAAAATTGATTATGAGCTTCCTTATACATTCCAACTAAAGCATAATATTCTAATAGTTTCCACTCACATTAATAATATATTAATTTATATTTTTAGAAGGCTTCTAATTATTTTGGTTTAGCATAATTCAATATATTTAAAGCATGATCATCCCATATTATTTTTGTAGTTGGAAATTCATTCATTTTTAATTTTGCTTATTCTGCTGTAATTGTCACTATATCAATACACGACATCATAGCTGCCTTTCTTGTTTTTAACAGTTATGCACCACATGTAAAGATATTCAAAAATAGTTTCATTATTGCTATTTTACATTTGGCTCCCAATAAATTTGGATCATCATTCTCCATTTTTTATGAAAATACCTACTAAACTTACCTACTATATCTCTCATCATATAAAATCAATGCATATTATACATCTAAACATTTTAATGCTGCTATTGGATCTCCACTCTCTTCTAATAGTTAAGATTGTACCACAAAAAGATCATTCAAACAAATACTTTTCTTCTCCATCTATCTTTTATCAACTGGTATTGATATATCTTTATAATCAATCAATTCTTTCTATTTTATTTTATCCTCTATATCACAAATTTCAGAAAGAAGACTTAATGATAAGTCTTATAGATATTAATTCAAAGTACTCAAAATAAAGAACTTTATTTCAAAATTCTTATCTATATAATCATTATTCTCCTTATCCTTATATTCCTCTAATAATAGTTTTACAAAAAAAATCTTGAATTATTAAAATAGCTATCTACAATCATGTTTTTAAGATGCTATCTCTATCAATTTAAATGCCAATTTGCATACCAATTATCCATACAAATTATTTAAATCAAATACAAATGTTATAAATAAATTCTTCCATGACAAATCATTCAATTAAAACTTTACCTCATGTTATAATTCAATCATTTTATTATTCTTCATTATCCATGCATCTATTAATCTTTCCATATTACATTTTGTATTATCAAAAACAGATTTTGCTTATGAATATTTCTGCTTTGAAAATAGTTATTTTGCTATGATGAAATGATATCTATTATTAAGCATTTATTCTTCTATTTCCAAATATAAATCATAATCCATATCCATTTATAGATTGCATTCTAATTCAAAATACAATTAACTTAAATAATCATTCTATCTTGAAAATGATTTTGGTAAATGCTAATAAGATTTTTGTAAAAGTCTTTGTTCTCCTTCTTCTGAATTTTTATCAAATTATGTTATTATCCCATAGTTAACCACTCCTAATTACAAATTAATAATTTAGAGCAACTTAAATTACAAATAATCTATGAGAAATAGATTTTTGTCATTGTATTAATATAAAATTTAAAGATAATCTTCAACCAAATGAGTATTATAGTTATAATATAATAGATTAACACAACACTCTAAATTTTACAATCCAATCAAAGCTAATTCATTATGTTTACTTTATGTTTATTTATACTTTTGAATCCAATAATTAAGATAATCATAATTATTTTAATAATGATCTAAGCACCATTAGACTTAAGATTAGAGTGTCAAAGTTTCTTAATAAACTAACTATTCAAATAAACATTAATCATCTGAAGGTTTAATAATGAGACATTTCTTCAAAGCCTCATTAAATTACTCATTTTCTAGGTGTAATTTTATTAATAAATTGCATATTTTAAAACTGTAATAATCAACTTGACAATCCAACTTACTAAGATATTGAATGGATTAATATCTGTCTTTTTATATTTTTCCAATATTAATATGTATGATCAATTATCTTAAGGGACTTTTACAGAATTTCAAAGCTTTATTAAATAATTCATTAGCATAAGATGAATTCTATTTAAACATTTCTCCATAGGCTTATAAAAATAAAAACTTTAATCTAATTTATTCTAATTTAATGTGTAATGCATCATAATTATCCTTCTACACTCTCAAACGCTTTCTGATTAATAATTTATCACTTTATTAATCATAATCATCAAGAATGCTTGGAGAGGAGTATCTCTCAATTTTATTAAGGAATTGATAGATATCACTTAAATTTGGTTAATAGGTGATGGAATATATGCCTTATAAAGTAAGATTGTGAAAAAAGGAGTGAAGCTATTTGTAAAATTCAATTGAAATGAAGTCCAACATTATTTTTTAATGATGTGCTTTATCACAATAGAAAGAAAAGTTTTTAGCTATATGATTCATATAATAATCATTATTATAAATGATTGCAGCAATATTATTTGAAATAGCTAGTTCTTATTAGAATTACTTAAATAATTTGAGTTTATACAACATATCCATTTTAAATAATTATTAAGATAAAACTTGGTGTAGCTTTTAAGTTTCTAATTGATTAGATAATTCATTTTAATCATACAACTTTAAATCTTAATAATTGATATCACTGATTTTAGAATCCTCTATTAATTACTAGGATAAACGTTCATTTTCTAGAAACAATTCTTCATTTTCACATTCAGTTTTACATAATTATTTAAAGTAAGAATATGGTTTTCTTTGATTTTGAGATAATAACATATCTTATATAATAGTGAAAACTATGGGATATTTATCCATTAATTTAGCTTAATGTTCAATAAGATAATCTTTATTTGTTTCTATCTATCCTAATGTCATCATATAAACTACAATCATGGCTGCATTATAAACCATTTTAGATAGATTGTTATTTGATTCTTCATTAGGAACGAACAATTTTTCTATATCTGTGTCTCTATTTCCAGACATCATCCAATGGAAAGTATATCCAATTTAATTTTTATTTCTATTAGCATAAATAGATTTAGGAGTGATTACTCTTTTTTCCTTCCAATTTTAAATTGAGTTCAATAAATTAAGTAAGAACAATAATAATTCTCTTTTTTTATAAGTCATATTGACTGATTTTCTAAACTTTATTGTATCGAATAAAGTCCATCCATTTAATAATTCATATCTTGAATCTAGAATTTTAGCAACGATTCCTTTAGTTGTTGGAAAGTAAAATTAATCAAACATTGTGAATTCTTATAATATAAGATCTTCAAATAAGACATTCTTATGTTGTAAATCAATTTCAATGACTTCAAGTATTTTTAATTAATATTATTAAAGAATCAACCAAACTTCTTTTTATTTATCTTTTTCAATTAATTTAATCATCTAGAAATCTAATGTTCGCATTTCTGCCTTTTGATTTTAGATAAAGAGACATTTCAATTCTTCTTAGTCTAAATTTAAGTAATTTGGAACTTCTTAATGATATAATTAACTTTATATTTATTCAATCTTTCTTGTTTTCATTGAATACAATTCCTCAATACTTCTAACTAATTCTGATTTGTATGGACTAACCTATACATATTAATCTCTAGATTGAATTAATAATTTGAGAATCTCTTAGGAACTACTTTTGGTAATATCAAGACAAGATATCTCTTCAAATATTCTAGGTCTTTCTTTAATAAGTTTATCTTTAGATATTTTTATCATTGATATTGGAATAAGTCTTTGATTCATTTTCAATTTACTAAGTTTCTAATCTAATCTTTTAAGATGTTCAATCATATCCTTTGCTCTTAAAATTGGAACCTATCTTCTAAATTAACCAAACCAAACTCCTTTACTTTTCAAAATTACCACGTTTTTTACTTATTAAATTGCTTTCTTTTTTGCTAACTAATTAATTCTTGCAGTTTTCTATTCTCTATCATTATTATCTTCCAATAAACCAGCTTCTCTCTTATCTTCTTATAATCGCTTGTATCTATTGAACAATTATCTATAACTCTCTATGAACACTTTTAGTTTTCTAATGTTCAAATATTTATACAAAATGTATCTCCTTCTCTAATGTATTCTTCTATACAATAATCTCTATTCACACCATTTAAGTGTATAATGCTTTTCAAAAAATCTTAACAATCTCCTTAATCTAGTTATTTTATCATCAAACTCTTTCTAAGCATGTGCAATCTCAAACTTTTTATATGGAAAATCAAAATTGTGAATATTCTTTCTCAATATTGTTTACTTTCTCTTAACTAAAAGAATTTCTGGCATTACTGCATCTCTTTATGAATCATCTTATTTCTATTTTTATACTATTTCAGCCTAAGATTCATCATCATCCTCCTCTTCTTCCTCTTATATTTATATTCTCTGTTTCTTCTCAGCTTTTAAAATTGTTCCATAAGGTTTAAAAAGCACATATCTAGATAAATTATTTCGATCTGATCTAAGTCTTTTCATCTTACTAGTCTTCTTCTTAAAATGTTCTATAGTCGATTTCAATAAATAACTTTGCCTCTTCATTATAGAAATGAATTCATAAGTTGCCTCTGGTATTAATCCTTCTAATATGAATCTAAGTGCAAAAGCTATTAATATAATTATCAAAAACATTGTCACATCCTTAATAAATGGAGGAGTTGGACCATTTCTGTCAGGATGCAACTTTCCCATAAGAAATACAACTCCTGTGTTAAAGATAATGCTGAAATTTGCTAAGAATTCTAGTAATAAACTCCAGATACCAATACTTTATTCATCCAAAGGTACTGGTCTTTGAGAATATTTAATTAATTTAATTTTATCAGTTTGCATTTCTAAAGCATTCCAAACAAATCCTATAAACATAGAAGCAGGGAATAAGGGTGCAAATAATCCTAATAATCCAGATTGAATAATAATTTCCATGTAATCATCAACTGTTCCATATCTATCAACTGATTTGAAATAACTTTCTTTTTAGGCTTCCTTTTCAATATAATAATTGATGATTCCATAATCTTCACTTGATTATGGATCCTCACTTAGTCGATTAAATAGTTTATTAATCACTGGTGCTAAAACTTCCTTAATGTTGAAAATAAACAATATAATGAATAAACTAGTAAAATAATATTTAGCATTAAGATTGCAATCACCATAAGCACAATCAATACCAAGTTCTTCATTTAGAAAGGCTATCATAAATATTGGAGTAAAATAGGAGAGCAACATAAGTGTAAACTTTTTAATAATGAAATTAGCTTCGAAATCAGCAACTGTCTAATGATTTTCTTAATCTGTCATACTCTCTGCTAAAACTTCATAAATATATTCGAATATATTCAATATAATAACATTGATAATACAAGGGATACTGACTTCTAATTTAAGAAAGTTTAATCTCTCTAAACTAGTAAATATATCATATTCATAAAAGAATTTAGTCATATAGAATAGGCCTATAACACTGGCTATATAAACACTGAATACTATTCCTAAGATTAATCCATTTTTCATCATATGAATAAGTAACTTAGATAATGGATAATATAATGTATTAGCTTCATCATTACAAGGATCTCTTCTATATTCTCCTAAAAATGCTGGTCTTTATTCTTATTATTAATTTCCTTATTTAATATTTTATGCAAATTGTGCCACTATTTATTTTTCTTTTAATTTCCAAGAACCTAACATTAATGTTAAAAATGATGAATGTAATATTCCAAACATCATAGCAATTACTATCGATACTCTTGGTTCAGTTAAATTTTAGATTATTGTACAAATTAATCCAACTATTCCTGGAACAAGAAGACTTTTCGTATAATGTCCTAAAAATGTAAAATATAAAGCAATCTTTTCTCCATAATACTCTCTTACTTCATCTGATGGAACATACCATATCTCTCCTAATCTAACTTTCCAAACTTCTTCTAAATTATGTAATTTTGGCTTTACAAATAGACTCTCTGCTATCATAAACTTTTCCTATAATAATCTTATATATTCCAATGCATCTGAAGAACTTAACGTCAAAGAAAATGCTTTAGGATCATTCTAAAAAAATCTTTTATTACTCAATCCATTCAATTCATATTAATCATTTAAACCAAATATCTATTTCAAATATTGCTTATTAAATATATAAGGAATATTAATTGCTTAATTAACTAAGTAATTAGCTAATTTTATTCTCTCCATTATTGAAAATAATGATATTCTTCCACTCTCACTTACTTAATACTTCTTCCATATTGTATTTATTCTACTCTTCTTTTTATATGAAAACCTTCTTCCTGACATAGTAAATTCACTTGAAATTGCTATATTATACAATTCTCCAAATGAAAAATCCCAAATACATTTTAATTAATTTCCTTTCGCATTATTTATTATTTACATTCCATCTCTCATTGCTGTTCCATAAGCCTATGCTAAAAGTCCTCTCTGTCTTTCTTTTAAAAACTTAGTACATATTTAATTCCATTTCAAATTAAATACTTTTTTCATATTTAAAAATTGATCCTTCTCTTCCTATATTTATTCTTTCCAAACATCTTCCTCTTTTTCCATGTAAAATAAAAATAAACATTCAATCAATTATTATTTCATTTACTCATAATAAACAGGATTCTTGTCTCTTGTTAATGTAAATTATTTTTACTCTACCTTTTCTGGTATTTCTTTCATCTATATACATAATTAATCTATTAATTTATTTTCTGCTGAATCTTCATTCTAATCTACAAGTTTCCTCAAAAAAGTTTCAGCATCTTCTTCATTATCAAAATAATGCTGTATTTGTTTCAAATAAGTTTCAACATTAGTTTCATTTTCATTGATATCTAAATTTAATTAATTCCTAACTAAATTTTGTAGGATTTTAAGTAGAAGAGAATTAAAATCTTTATGATAAGTTTCACAAATTATTAAAGGATTTTCATTATATTATTTAAGATTTTAATATTTCTTAGTAGTTTTTGGAATAAACTTTTTTCTTTAATAGGAGAAATATCTTTTAATCTATTATTCTTATTTAATAGTCCTATTTTAATCATTCAAATCAATTAATTGATTAATATCAATCTTACTCTTATCGTTCTTTTTTGTGACTCTTCTTAATTAGGCTTTAGTAATAATCTTAGCTTCAGCTTTTTTTTCTTTTTTTTTGGCAATAGAAGGATTCATTAAGACAGCAAAATCTAATTTAAAATAAAACTTTTCTCTTGCTTCAGTGACTCTTTATTCTAAATAAACCAAATATTCATAATAAGCTTCCCATAATTCATCTGAGGGACCTTCCTCATCTCCTATTAGATCTCTTTACCCATAATCAAACATTTAATCATTAAGATTTTATATATGTAATTCTTTAGCCATTTTCTTAAAATTAATTTTTTTAAGTAAATTAATTATCTTAGGTTTAACATATTAAAAGTAACTACTTTAATTCACATCTAAATCATTTCTCCAAAGACGATTATTTAATCTTAAAGGACGATAATTTTAATCAATTGGTTCTAAAGATAATAAGTCAGTAAATTCAAGATTAAGAAATTTTTTCATTTTGATTTATTAAGCTACAAGAGAAATGTTTGCTTCAGCACAATATAATATTGCAAAGATTGATTAATGGTCTGATGAAACAAAAGTTCTCATTTTAAATCCTTTTTGACTTAATCTTAAAAGAATCAAATTACGAACCAAAGTATAAAAATCTTTTACTTTATGATGAGTACGTTATATTCCTCCAAGTGTCTTAATAAGGAATTTGCCTCTTGTTAAGATCTTTTTCTTAAGAATTGTAGAAAAACCCTTTCTTTTTTCTCTATTCTTATTGACTTTAAAGTTTTTATTTAAACTATTCATAACTTTATTTCTAACCATCTCAACAAATTCTTCATGTTCTCCTTGAATAACCAATTAGTCATCTTCTTTGAAGAATAATTTGATTGCAGCTATTAGATTTTGAGTAGAAAATTGATTTGAATAAGCAATTTTTTGAGGACTTAAATCATCTTATTTTGAATCCGCTAATTATGAATAAGCATATTAAAAAGCCATTGAAAGTATTTCATAATCTAATTATTCTGTTTTGAATTCAATTGAACATCGAGTTCCGATTCCTTGTTACAGAAACTCTGAAGCTTCAGCATATGAAATTGTTGCATAGGGCATTTCATCAGGATTTGGAAATTACAAAACTACATCACCCATACAATAATCTTTTTCTGTTAAATATTGACTTGGATCATTCATTACCATTTTGATATAATCTTATTCAGGCATTTTGTAATGTTCTGATTGATTACCATGAATTTTATAAATGTTAAATTTGCTATACTCTAAAAATTACTTATGCTCATCTTCATTTACTTCATCTCCCAGTAGATACTTTATATAAATGCTCATTATATTGAAGATGTTATTAAATTTTCTTTGACGTCTTTCATCTCGACTTAATTTATCTTCCTCTTTAATCATTTATATATTATAAAATTATAGTTTTTTTATGAGTAAAATACTCTTCATATTTTTTAAATAATATACGATTTTAACTTAAGAAATTTGATTTATTAATTTTATGTTAAGTCTCTAGAAAGGTTTTTATTATGATAAGGATTTCTAATTTAAAGCAATTCTAAATAATTTTGAATAATATATACTAAACTTATTGCTCGAGACAAACTCAAATGGTTCAAATGTTTAAAATGCAAAAATTCTATTGACAAAACATACAGAAATTAAGGATACAATCTCAATCAATTATTTGTAAAATTCTTTTAAAAAAAATAAGAATAAAGGAAAGAGAGTAAGAGAATGAGAAAGAAAATTATATTGATTGGAACTATTCTAGATTAATTAAAGATTTGATATCTGAGTAGGCTTCATACTATTAGAATTAAAATTAATAAGCTATTATCAATCAAAATTAGATTCAATTAATTTGTTTCTTAATCTAATGCTTCTAATTAAGATATTAATTCTCCAATATACAAATTAGCTTAAACTATGTTCATTTTTTAAGCTTAATGTTAAAAAAATCTTCTATTAGTTTGTGACTAAAACAATAAAATTGTATAATATTAATAGTAATCTTAAGGAAAAAAATGAATTAATTATATAAGAATAAATCAATATGAAAAATGAACCAAAAATAATATAAATAGTGTATTATAGAATAGAAATAATCAATTTTATCTGGTGCTCTTTAATTAGGAAGATCTCCAAAAAATAGAAAAGATATCCATATTCCATTAGTATGTCAAGTGTTGATGATATAAAAATACATCTATTGAACTTATAAAATAGAGAAATCCACTAATAATCTAAGATTTCAATAACAATATGATGGATAATATTAGTAATCCTTTGATTATCCATTTATTATGTTCAATATTTGAGGTTAAGAAGGAATAATAAAAAATAATCAATAAAATATTGAAAATTATAGCACAAGTAAAAAGCAGGATAGATCAGAAAACTTTGAAATTAAAAAGAGACAACTATTATACATTCAAATTTTCATTACACTCTGTAGTTACAGATTATGTCAATCCATTATAATAATTTAAAAAATAAATGTATTTATTAAAACATATGAATAAATGAATGTGTATTCATTGTTCAATCAATTATGTTTTTCTTGTACAAGTTGTGAAATCCTTTCTCATTTCTGGGAAGGTGACATTTGGATAAGCAAAAGGAACATCAGCACCTTTAAGATTGGAGAATGATTGTTGCCATTCTCGATTCAAAACTTTGAGGAATTAATTGTAATTTCCTTCAGAATTCAATTTCTTGGCTGTATAATCAAAGATGCCTCCTGCCATTCCTAGAACTGTGGTCATTTTACTATCCCAAGTAACGAAGGGTGCTACTGAAGTTCCATCAACAACCACTCCTTCTGTACTTCCAAAGACATTCTATCCAGCTGGTCCTGATATCATGTTATGATACCATGAGACAGCAACTTCTTAATTAGCCAAAAACATAGTCATTGTCGAATAGGGTGTCACTAAATGTCTATAGGCAACAGGAATAAAAGAGACTTCAGCAATTCCACATGCACTATAATAATCAACAGGATCTTCATTTCTTGTAATATTACTGGTGATGGAAGCAAACATACCAGGCTTACCATTGTTTCTAGCATCCCATGTTCTAACTTTTTCAGCATTTATTAATAAATTCAATTATATTTGATCATGAGTATAAGGTAAGAATAGATACTTCCATTATTCATGTGCTGAAAACCACCATCCTCTTTGAACAGAGATGTATTTATTTAATCCAGCTACTTTATAATCGACAACTTATAACTTAGCTCTTTTTGCAACCCAAATTTTCTCTCTTTCTGTTTAATCTTACCATGGAGCATAAAAATACATCATCCATGCAAATAATTCTCCTTCGTAAGGATCATCTAAGTAACAAGGACTTCTAAAATTAGTACAATCTGTTTATCTATTTGTATATTAATTATTTTCAACACTTGCCTTAATATCTTATATTCTAGTAACAGCTCTTATTAATCCATTTCCCTCATAAAATATTGTTATAGAATTAGTAGCCATCTTTTAATAAAATCTTGTATATCTTTCAATCAAATCATCTTGATCAGAATACCAAGTTTCTAAAACAGATACAACTGCATATGCAGCCCAAAATAATTAACCATTATCTAATGAAGGTACTCCATCAGTCCAATCCCAAGTTGGAGTAACTATTCCATCATTCACTGCCACCCATGGTAAGAATCCTCCATAACCTGGATATTCTTTATCAAATTATTCATATGTATTAATCTTTCTATTCAATAAGTCTAATGCTTCCTCTTCTGTGTAAATCTAACTAGCATATGCATTATTTGATAAAGCTAATCCAAGTAATGCCAAATGAATTGATTCCTTAGAGGAAGCTGTAAATTGATGGGCTGCACCATAAGGCATACCACTATTTACATCCAATTGTTATCCATCTAATGTTAAACCTGATTTTTTATCAATTCCCAAATTCTTTGCAAAATTTGATTCCCATTTCATCACTTTTTAAAGAAACTCTTATATTTTCTTTGGATCAGATTATAATTCTTTTTAAGTGTACTCAAATGCAAATCTACAGTTCTCTTATGAGGCTATCAAATATATCAATAAAGAAATCACAAATATAGATTTCATTATTAAAATTAATGACGTAAATTGCTGCGTTTGAAATTGTTATGACTTAAAGTAAATAACTCAATTTTATATAAAAATAATATCCAAATTGAAAAATAGATATTTTTGTAATAATAATTATATAAATTATTATGGATTAAAACCACTGGAATTAGAAGTCATCTGTTTAAGAATTTGGAATTGATAAAAATGTATAATAACAAATACCACCACCTCAAGCACAATTAATTAGAAGAGTCTCTAAACGTAATATTGCTATCAAACCAACGCAGGAAAGTGGTTTAGCACAAATTTTTGAAACCTTCCATCCTGAACAAAAAAATCAAACGTTAGATAACATCAAATTCATCATTAAATGTTTTTAAGGTCATTTTGTATTTAGCTCAATGACTGAAACATAATTGTAAATGTTTATATACTAACTAAAGGACTCAATTAGCACATAGCATGTTTTACTGTAAATTAGCAGTCGGTCAAACTATCATTCGATAAGGAGATGGTGCCAGTTCATTTTTCATTTTGGAAAAAGGAAAAATAAATGTTTTGGTAGATAATGTACCACGTAAAGAGATACATGCAGGATAAGGATTTGGTGAATTAGCATTATTGTACAATGCACCAAGATCTGCTACTTGTATGGCTGTTGAAGAATGCTACTTATGGGGAATTGACAGACATACATTTAGAAAAAGTGTTGAAACTATTATGAGAAGCGAGTAGGAAAAGAATCGTAAATATTTGGAAAGTGTTAAATTCTTTAGTAATTATCAACATAAATATAATTATAGATTAATTAACACAAGAATAGAAAGATGCAGTAGCTGGAGTATTGATATCTTAAAAATTTAATGCCGGTGAAGTTATTGTAAATGAAGGTGATTAAGCTAGCTCTTTTTACATAATTGTAGAAGGACAATGTGGAGTTTTTAATAAGGATGGATAATAAATATCAGTTTTGAATCCTAGTGATTCATTTGGTGAGTCAGCTCTTAAGCACGAGAATTAGGTGAGAATGATGACAATAAAAGCAGTTTAAAAGGATACAAAAGTGTTAGCTTTGGGAAAAGATATGATTTAATAGATTTTGGGAGATTAGGTGTAATCAATAATATATAAAAACATTTGTAAATGGGCTATAAATTCATCGAAATTATTTAGCAAGAGTCCATAGAGTTATTAAGATAAATTATTGGAAGGAATGCAAGTGAGAAAATTATCAGGAAATTAAAAAATAATATAGAAGGGAGATAAAGTTGGTTAATTAGTAATATTGCTTGATAGTGATGCAATTGATGAAAACAAAGTAAAGTTTGTGAAGGGATCAATTTTATTTGAAGATTCTTTGTAAGATAAATTAAGTGGTACTACTCACATAAAGACAGTTTAAATAGAAGCAGAAGGACATGTAGCAATAATTGATTATGAATTATTCAGAAAGTAATAAGGAAGTGTGGAAAAAATATAATAAGGAAAAGCATAACAATAAGAAAAATCTAATGCTCACGAAGAATAAATAAAGAGTTAAGGATTTAAGAATTTAATATATTTAAATAAATTGGGTTCAGGTTAATTTGGATCTGTTTATTTGTGTAAGTTTAAGGAGATAGAGACTTTATTTGCATTGAAATATGTAACAAGAGCACATGTATAATAATTTGGGATTTAGAAACATATTTAATAAGAGAAGGCTGTATTGGAGTTGATGGATAATCCATTTATTCTTAAATTTTATAGATCTTATAAGGATAATGAGAATATATATTTTTTAACAGAGTATATCGCAGGGATGGAACTATTTGATGCAATAAGAGTGATAGGTAAATGAATATTGTATATAATAGGATTATTGAGTAAATACGATGCTTAATTTTATGCATCTCAAATGATACTATAAATGGAATATTTACATACTTAACATAGTATAGTGTATAGAGATATAAAGCCAGAAAATGTAATGGTTGATGATAAAGGATATTTGAAATTAATAGATATGGGAACAGCCAAGTCATTTAAAAACTAATGTATGAATGAATATAATTGTAGAATCTTCAAAGACATTTACAATAATAGGTACTCCACATTATATGGCACCAGAAGTGATATCAGGAAAAGGTTATGGCTATTTTGCTGATTTATGGAGTGTTGGAGTTTGTGTATATGAATTTATATGTGGTGGTTTACCATTTGGAGAAGAAGCAGAAGATCCATTTGAAATATATAAAGAGATTATAAAGAAACCAATAAGTTATCCTCATTTTATGTCTGATAAATCTGCAAAACCTTTTATTGAATAATTAATGAATAAGATACCAGAAGTTAGATTAGGTGGATCATATACAACTTTAAAATCTCATACTTGGTTTAAAGACTTTGATTGGGTAATATCAATTAACAATATTATTCTAGGAGAAATTAATGACTAAGAGTTTAAAAGCACCATTGTTACCAGGAAAAGATAAAGTCATGACTCCTGCATAAATATAGAGTGCCTAATCAAGAGCTGTCACTGTTCATGATTAAATACAGAAAGACACTTAAGGATAGAAGAAAGTATTTGCAACTGCTAAAGATGCTGAATGGGATAGTGCCTTTTGAATAAGTTGATAATAATAGATATCATGGTTTTATAAGTACATATTCCATATTCTTATATTTTTTTATACATATTCTTTATATATTTATTATATTTCTAAATTTTCAATTTATAAAGAATACTTAAATAATATTAATAATACTATATAATCAATAAAATATAATAAATTATATAAAATTCAAATATTAGATTGTTTAATCTTTTGATATAGAAGTATAATTCATCAGATGCAGTAAATACTTATTTATTTATTAATTAAATAATTCATTTGTTGTAAACTAAATTTAATATTGAAAAAGCTTAAAGTGAAATCTATGGATCTTGTACTTATATTCAAAGAATCAATTCCTCACAATCTTAAATTTACTAAAATACTATTTATTATTCAAATTGTAGAAATTGGTTTCAATCTCAATAAAAAGAAAGAGTTAGATTAACATGTTGAAATCTTCTTAAAAGGATAAAATAAATGTATAAAATTTTTTAATAAACAAATTAGAATGGAGTTATGTTATGATGTCAATTATATAGGAAGAACTGATAATTTTAAAATTAATAATAAATTAGAAATAACCATTAGGTAATACAGCTAGCTACTGCTTTAAAATTACTTTTAGAGAAAAAATGAACTTCTTAAAGGGTATTGAGATTCGATATTTAAGTGAACAAATCATTTAAAACTTTTTAGAAGGTATCACATTTTAATTTATAAAAATTTATTGAAGCAAAGAATGAAAAAGACATAAAAATTATTAAAGTGTGATTATTCAAATTTCTCTTTATAGTGAAGGGTTTTTTAAAAGGTCGATATCTAAGAAAATTGTCTCTGAAAAAGAAATATAAATTATCAATTATAATATGTAGAAGACAGTAGAATGAATTTCATATCTATAAATTTATAGTTTGTCTCTTTTATGTGTCATTATCTAATTTTATGAACAATATAGTTTAAGATAGAATAGACAATATTAATGAAACAATAATTGAATATGATTTACTGACATGTTAGAATAATTGATAATAATGTTGAAATATTTTTTTAATTTTATATTTTTGTATAAAATATATAAATGAGCAATAATTTATTATCAAAGATAGAGCTTTAACAAAGTTTGGCTTACAAGTATTCATAATAAGACACTTACTATTATACTAAGTCTTTGAATGAATACATAGAAAATGCTAGATTACCACATGTGATAAATTTTCATTATGAAATTAATTGTAACGAAAACAACGAATATTTAAGAAGAACATATGATATTCGTATTTAATTTGTGATTATTTTAGATGATATAGCTACTAAACTTAAACTATTAAGTGAATATTATAAGTTCCATAATGAGATTCCAAGATGCTTTTTGTTTAAATTAGCAGATATAATGAGCAGGTAAAGTTAAGAGTTAAATAATTTTAGTTATCATGATAAAAGAAGGAGGATAGAATATTTTAGAATAAAGAGAATGATTGAAAAAGAGAATAAATCAAACCCTAATTAACCAAAAAAGAAAATTGTAGGAGAAGAACCTGATGAAAGTGCTACTTAAAAATCTGGAAGACAATATAGTAATGTTTTAAATGATATTACTGATGTATCAAGAACTATTGATAAAATAAAAACAAAACTTAATTCCATTAAATTAAATGTTGGAGATCTTTAATTATTACCTTCTAATCGAGAATAAGATTAATTAGATAGGTTTCTTAAGTATCTTACTGAAAAATAATAAAAAAAACAGATTAACATTATATAAACGCCTAACTCAGTATAGCTTAAATTACCTATTGGATTATCATAGAAGACTATTAAATAGGTATTATCAAGAAAAATGATCACTTAATCATCTACTCAAATTACTTATCAAACTATTAATTCAAGTAAGACAACCAAATAATAATCACTATATTAATAACCTTCTTTAATTTAATCTTCACCAAGAATTAATATTAAGTAACTACCAAAATAAATAGGGTCGTCTACTTAAAGAACTGTTAAAGATAATGCTTTATCAAAATTATTATCTCCTTTATAAGTTTAGATCTTTAGTACTAATAGGTATTATTACTATTTTTTAACTTAGTTAACATACAAATAAATGCAAAACCAGTATTTCAATATCTAAATAGTTTAAAATTACTGATTCTGTCAAATCTTCTATAAGATTACATCAGCACACTAAATCAGACTTTAAATTCTTCAAAAAAATATGATCCAAAAATGAATTCAATTTGTTTATGTATTCAAAACTGAATGCAAAATTTTAATTATAAATTCACATTTTTTAAAATATAACATTAAAACTTTTTTTATCCCAATTACAATTATTCGTATTAAAATATTCACCTGGTCCCAAACTTTGCGTATCTTTCATTATTTATTGAAATCTATTTTCCTAAATTTTAACAATATAATTATTACCCTAACATTAAATGCTACTTCACAATTTTTTGTTTTTTTAAATAAAGCTGATGTAATATGTAATTTTTCAAGTTCTTCATTTTTATAATCTGATGATTCTCCAAAAATCTGTTTTTTTTAATTTTAGAATCTAGGTATAGATGATCCAAAAGCTGGTTTGTATTATTTCTATTCTTCATTTTCTTCTTCATTTTTTTTTATTTCATATTCTATAGTTTTATTTTTAAAATTGTAGTATCCTGGTGCTGGATTATTATTTAACATCTATTTATGAGGAATTTTTCTTTCAGTATTTGATTTAAAAATAGAATTAATTCCTTTTCCTTCCTTAATATTTTAATCATAAGTTCCTGGTCCTGGTATAAAATTATAATCTTATTTAAAACGAATTTCATTTATTCCAAAATTTCCTATAGGAGTTCTTTCTAATTTTTTTATTAGTTTCTCTTATAGCTATATTGAAAAATAGAAATAAATACAGAAATTTTAGGATCATAAGATTATGGACCTGGTATTCGATCTTATAATCTTTATTCAAATCTTGTATTTGATGATAAAAATGGAGGTTAAATAAAATGCTATTTTTAATTTAGATTTTGTGTTTATAATTAATATTCTCCAGGCCCTATTTAATAATTAATTTTTTATTCTTAAAATCTTTTTGATCTAGATCCAAAACAATCTTTACCAAATTTTATTGATTATTTTTAAGAATTTGATGACGATGATGATAAAGTTGAAATGTTACCAAAATAATGACCAGGACCTGGTGTTGTATCCTAAATTTATTAAAATTAAATAACATCGAGAAATTAAAATTCTTCATCTTCTAAATCTTAAAATCCAGGATTTCTCATTAATTTTTCCTTTTATTTATCAAAATAGTTTTTCATAAATTATTTTTGTTTATCACCTTTAGAATTATCGAATGTTCTAGTTGATTTAGATTAAAAATTGCCTGATGGATTTAATTTATAAAGTGGTAATATAGATCCATTGTAATCATAAGTACCAGGACCTATACTCTTATTTTTATCTTATAGTGTTGGTGCTAATCTAGGAGTTTTTGATTTATGCCAACAAGTTCCTTTATTTTTATTATATTCAAATGTATCTTTAATTTAATACTTTCCAGGCCCAACAGTATCTAATTTTATACCTGAATAAGTAAGTTAAGGATTTTTATTAGATTCTAAATCATGTGCTATAATATTAATAATTTCTCATACCTCCTGTTTCTGAATATCCATATACCTAATTATCAGATGGGATTGAAGGAATTGATTAATATCTATTTAAACTCTACATAATTTCCATATAATTTTAAGATGTATACTTCTACTGAATTGGTTTCGTTTCAACTTTATCTATTTCATAAGATCCAGGTCTTGTAAATTAATTTTTATTTAAACTACCCTGGAGTCATCATTGTGATAGGTTCCTCAAAGCGTCTAGATTACGATGCAAATATTGACGATTATTATATTTTATTCTTTATTTTCATTAAAATTGGTGAAGCTTATTATACATCATAATTGTTGCTTAAATCTATTCTAATACATTACTAATCATATTAATCATCTTTATAATAGCTTCCTGGCCCTGGAATATTGATATTTTAAATTCTTTCCTTCCTACTAACTGAAGAATTAAAAGGAGCATTTACTTACTTTACCTTATAATATTCATGTGTTATATAGCTACCAGGTCCAATCTACAGCTTTTCAATTTCATTATACATCTTAAGAAACACTATTAAAAGATGGCATCTCTCCTTTTTCAGCTTGAAATACAAAAGCCATATAACAATTATAATCACAATATAATATAAAGTTAATTTTATTAGAAAGTTTAATTATTTTACAATAAAAATAATTAATAATTTCTTATTATAAAGAAATTATTATCTTAAATTTCAATTGGAACATTTCTTATTATAGTTCCTATTATGCCTTAGTAATATTTTAAAATATGTAAGAATTACAATTTTTATATGAATTAATACTCTAATTAAGGATCTTTATAAAAACAAAAAATTTTCGGTTTCTTCAACTTCAAAATTGAAGTTATAAAATATTATGATGATGAATTAAGTCCATTTCAAAAGAATCTTAATATTGTAGTACTTTTAGTGTAAATAAATAAATAGTTAATTCGTTTATTGAATCAATTAAAAGATTAGTTTAGTTTCTAGTTGATTATTAAAGCTAATTTATTAGTTTTAAGTTAATAAAAAAAAACTTAAATCTGAATATTCAGCAAACTTATAATTCTAGTATATATTTTTTGAAAATTATCAATATGTCATTCGTATAGTAAATATCATCTAAGAAAAATTAGATTATTTCGAAACGAAGTGTGTGATAATGGAGAAAGCTTTTTATCAAAAATAAAACAAAAAAAAATCAGGATAGAAATCTTAAATTATTTACAATGAAATAAAAAATCATCGCTTCTCAATTAATAAAGCAAATTTATAATATTAGACTTAAAGAATAATTTAAAATCTCTTAATTTTATTTGAGTTATTAGAGTAAATTTAACTCCATAGTACATTAAATATTAAATATTAAAATTTTGCATTTTTTTAGTAAAAAATTGTGATAGAAATATCAATCAAAGATAAAAATTTCAATTAATTAAATTATGTTGAATAAAGACTCTTCTTAAGAACAATAAATTAGAAAAGAAGAAATTCATGATTACAAGAGTTGTGATTTTTAGATATAATTCACCAAAAATCAACGAGAAAAAAATAAAAATCACATGGATGTATTAAAATAATCAACATCCTCATAGAAAAAAGAAAAAAACTATAAAAATCTTCCAAAATGAATTGGAGATAGAAAAATTAAGTATATTAATTAGAATTAATCAAAGAAAATTAAAATTAATCAAATATTACAATTCCTTAATTGAAAAAGGTTTGCATTAAAGCATATAAATCTTAATAGATATTATAAAGGTAGATTGAATTTTAGGATAAATAAATAATGATTAAAATATGAATATATCAATATTCATGGTTTACATGAAAAATAATTATTTTTAGATTAAGTATTTAGTCAAAAAATAAAATGATCTACTTTATTATTTAGATGGATTGAATTATTATTATTCTTGTGTTAAAATACTTAAAAGAGGATAGATAGATATCTAAACATGAAATCAAAAGATAAAAAATGGTATTTTGTATTAATAGGAAAATAAAAATTAATGAAATTAAATATGAATTTATTCTATTAATCAATACCCTTATACCTTTTAAGATTAAGAAAACTAATTTTACTTTTAATTGTATATAAAAAAGAAACGAAAAGTTATATTATAATTAGTAAGAATTGAACAGAAATTGTTAATCTAATAGAATAAAGATTTCGTAATTCTAATACATTTTTCTAATTAATCTAATAGAATAAAGCCTATTCATAATTCTACTAAATTTTTACTAAATTACATTAATAAAAAGTTAAAAAAAATGGATCATGAAAGTAATTCTGAGATTTTCTATTCAAATTTTGAATAAAAACCAGAAATTCCCTTTGATCAATTTATAGAATTTTAACCAAGTGATAATAATAATTAAAAAAATAATTCTGGAGCATCTGAAATAGAAACTTAGAAAATAAACAAAAAAAAAAGTGAGAATAACTATAAAAATTTTCCTAAACTGATAGGAAATAATTTTGTAAAATGGATAAAAAAATAAAAAAAATGTTAAGGTGTGATTGGCATATAAAAATTAATAAAATAAAGAAAAGAATCTAAATAGGCAAATTTTAAAATAAAAGATCTTTAAGAATTATGTAGTGATGAAGCTTCAAAATAAGTTTTTTAAGAATTTGTTTTGGATGAGTTATTCTTAAATTTAATAAATAGCAATAAAATTGAAGATTCATTTTCATATGTTGCAGGAATAAGTAATTATTATTCTGCAGCTTAAGAACCTGAAAAAATGAAAAGCAATTACTTAACCAGATAACTTTTTACAGATCTCTTAAATAATACTCATTGATTTATTTTTATATATTTTATAACAATAATTAATCAATACAAATAATTCTAAAATAATTGTTTATGAGTAATTTTAAGGTATTGGTTTGAAAAATACTTAATGATGTAAAATTGGAAAGATCAATAAAGAAAGTAGATTAATTTTGTTCAATAGTTTAATATTATTATTTAATTTATTTTTAATGAAACCAGCAACCTATTTAAAAAAAGTTGGGCCATATAGTCTTATAAGAGAGATTGGTTAAGGTATTATTTAAAGAGTAAATAGGTTCATTTGCAAGAGTGTTTAGAGGAAAGATGGACGGAAGATAAGAAGATGTGGCTATAAAAATGATATCAAAGTAAAATGTAAGAAATGAGAGTATGTCAATGATTGAAAAAGAGATAGAGATTTTAAGATAATTGGATCATCCTAATATTATAAAATTAATAGACTTTAAAAGAACTTAGAATCATTACTATTTAGTATTTGAATATTGTGAAAATGGGGATTTAGATGCATATATTAGGTAATTTAGTGATAGTTAAGAATTAGAAAGTACTCTCCAAATGGTAAATTACCAGAAGAAGAGGTTAGAAGAATAGTTTAGTAATTAGCATAAGCATTGTAATAGATGTATAAGTTGAGAATTGTACATAGAGATTTAAAATTAGCTAATATATTAGTTTCTAAGAATTTTCAAGTATTGAAAAGAATTACGCATAGATTAAATTAGCTGATTTTGGATTTGCCAAATATATGGAAGAAGATTAATAATATTTAACTTCTTATTGTGGAACTCCATTAACGATGGCACCAGAAATATTATAAAGAAAACAATATAATGAAAAATGTGATGTATGGTCAGTAGGTGTGATAATTTATTAAATGATTTATGGCAGATCTCCATTTATACCACCAAAAGGAGGAAATATAAATGATTTAATTGCCATAATAACTAAAGGTGATTTATAGTTTCCAGATAATTCTTAAATTACAATTAAATTAAAAGAATTATTAATCCAAATGCTTTAATAAGATTTTAAGAAAAGAATTACTTTCAGAGATTTCTTTGAACATAGTTGGTTATAAGGAGAAGTGATAGCTGATTATATTTAAAGTATTAAACAAGATTTACAAGAAAATCCATCAGAAATTATGCCAATTATACATCATAAACAAAGTGAAGATATTTAAGAGGAAGAAATATTTAATAATGAAAGAGATGATAGTACAAATGAAGTTTTGAAAGAATAATAATTAAAATATATTGGATATTAAATATAAAAATAAGCTGTTGCTTATGTGGATTTAATGTTTGAAGAAATATATAAAGTCAAATAATTATCTGATAAAATATCAAATACTAAAATGTCTTTTTAATTTCTCTAAAATAAATTACTTAGTCTATCATTGGCAATTAGAATTTATGAAGCATTTTTGTTAAAATAAGTTAATGAGTTTATGAAAGAATAGATTGTTGTTTTACATACATCTGCAAGCAATAGTTCATTAATTAGTTTATAAATGAGAAAACCTTTCTCTACTCATTTTATTATGTTATAAAAAGAAATTATAGAATTGAAAAATTATTTTAAAGAAAATTAAATGATTATAAATTAATTTGAGTAATGTGGTTATTGCATTGCAGATAATATTTTTGATGAAATTTTAGAATTATTGATGAATCTAATAGAACATTAATAATGGATAGATAAAAATATTTTAACACAATTACTTTTATTGTTATACTCATTTATTTAATCTCCACCTCAATTATTATAAGTAGAATTATATATGAAATTATAAACTGGAAATGATATGAATTATTATTGGCATTTGTTTAAATTGGTAAGAGTGAATCAAAAATACATTGCAGATTCAATTGAAAATCAAATTGTTTGTGAAAATTATGAATTTGACAAGAAACTCCAGTTTGAATGGAAATTAGTAAAAGATGATAGCGAAGAAACCTAGGTCTCTTTTACAAAAGAAGAAATTGATAAATTATAAGACTTACTAAAAGAAGAATATACCAAAAGGGATATACGTTAATAAATATAATGATATTTAAAATTAAATGGAGTACTTAACTAATGAAAAACTCCTTAAATAATAACAATCTGCTCTATTTTCCATCAACAATTCTCGATCTAATAGTGTTTCACGATTTCCTATTCCCAGTTAAAGAGCTGCTCATGATCCAATCTAACCTCTAAGATCTGCAGATTTATTTAATAAATTGGAGGACATATTGAAATAAAAGTAATTAAATACAACAACCAGAAAGAGATAAAAATAAATTTCATGTATTTTAAATACATAAGTTTGTAATGATGAAAAAAAATACAATATAGAAACTAGTTTAAATAAATCACCTATTAAATTACCTTCAAATGATTACTTTGATGTAATATCTGTAATTTTTATTATAGAATAATATTGAAGTCAGAAATAGAAGATAAATTTAGCCTATTGGATCTCCTCCAGTTCACTAATAAAATTAAAGTAGCAAAAAGAAAAATACTATTTAAAATCATTTTTAAGAAAGTTAAAATTAAAAAAAAAAGGAAAGTCTTAAAAGGTTTTAAGATGAATTTAAAAATATGCAAGAAAAAATTAAATATAGGAATAATTTAGATAATATTTATTACTCAAATCAGTCAATATTATAAGAGGATAACAATAAAAATTATATTAAAGAAAAAAAAATTGATCTAAACATTAGTACAGGAAAGGAAAACAACACTACATTGAATAAGTTAAATAATTAATTATAGATTCAAAATAATCATTTATAAGAATAGTTACTCTTTGAATAAAATTAAAATAATAAATTAAACATTCTAGTAAATAACTTAAATGATCAAATAAGTGCTTTGAATAGGTAATTTTTATTATATTATATAAAAGGTAAATTCATTAATAATAAAAATCAATCAAAGATGATTTCTTAATAAAGGAAAATATAATAATATAATTAAATTCAAAAATAGATTAGTTATAAGTTGAAATCTAATAAAAAGATTAAGAGATTTAAAATTCTAAGGAATAGATTTTAGAATTCAAGAATCTTTATAAAGAAATATAAGACTTAGAAAATCTTTGTTCTTCCATGTCTTTCATAGGTTAATAAAGTCTTGAACATAATCATTTAATTCTTGAGATAAAAGACTTATTATAAGTATAGAACAATATAATAGAAAAAGTAACAAACAACATAGATTTTCCAATAGAATAACTAATAATTTAGAAGAAATAGAAAAAATTGAATTTACAAGAAGTGTAAGTAGATTATTAAGAATTATGCCAAGAAACTACTAGAATCTTAGAGAATTTAATTAAATAAATAAAATATTCTGTTGAACAATTAACTGAGAGATTTATTCATGACTTACTTATTTGATTAGTTATAAAAAAATATTTGGTTTTTGTCATAATAATAATTTAAAAAATGAATATTGCTCAATAGTAATATAGAACCATAATTGATGATCTTTTAAAGGTGATTTAAGAGTAACATAATCCATTTTTAGAAATTAAAATAAAAAAAATAAAGGAAAGACTACATCTCTTAGAATTATAGACAAGACAAAATAGATTCATTGATTCACAAACTAAATAAATGTCAAGATTATAATCAATTCCTCTTAAACCTAAATTAGTTTAAAATCAAAAATAAAGGGCTCAATCAACAGCTTACCATTAAAGATTTATATCGTTGCATACTTGATTATTAAAAATTATGTAATAAATATATAACCCAGATGAAAGGCTGAATGTTGAATTATTTTTAGCAGCTAGAGAACTTCCAAATCTTGAATTCTTATCTAAAAGTGATCCTTATTTAGAATTGTATTACTCTTTATAAGGAGAACCAGAAATATGTTTAGGCAAAACTGAGACAGCTCAATGCAACTTAGATCCTAATTGGGAAAAATCATTCAAGATTGAATATCTTCCAAATTTGATTCAAATACTTAGATTTCAAATATTTGATGAAAATCGATTGGGAAGAGAATTTATGGGAGAAGCATAAATCACAATAAAAGATATAACATAATCAAAAAATTCATTAATATCATTACCAATAAAAAGATTTGATAAAAATGCAGGATAATTATTATGTAAAGCAGTATTAATGAAATAATCAAATCATTTTGTATCATGGCAATTTTGTGGTTTAAACATAAAAAATATGGATGGAATTTTTGGTAAATCTGACCCATTTCTAAAATTTTATTTAAATTCAGATAATGTATGGTGTTAAATTCATTAAACAGAATATATAAAGAATAATCTTAATCCAACATGGTAAGAATTTGAAATCTCTTTATAAAGATTATGTTTTAATGATGAAAATAAAAAATTTAAAATAGAATGTCTAGATCGACATGAAAAAGGAAAAAATAATTAATTAATAGGTGCATTTGAAACAACAATAGATGAAATATTTAATAAAAATAAAGCAGAATTTTCTTTAGTTTAACCAAAAGGAGGTTAAGTTGGTACTATAAAAATTCTTAATAAAAAAAGAATTTTTAGGGCCAATTTTGATGATTATATAAAGTAAGGTACAACTTTTAATCTAATTATTGGTATTGACTATTCTACTCATAATGGTGTTCCATCCTTTCCAGATTCCTTACATTCTTATATAGAATCTAATAATAAATATGGAAAGGCAGTAAAAGATGTAGCACAAATTTTAGAAAAATACAATATGAAAAAGTTGTTTGCTCTTTATGGAATTGGAGCTGAACCACATTTAACTAATTATACATTAAATACTTATTAAACCTTATTCCCTTTGACTGGAGATTTCTAAAAACCTTAAGTAGAAGGATATCAAGAAGTTGCTAATTTATATAAAAATACTTTGAAGCAGATAGTTGTAAAAGGGGATTTTCAAATTGAAGATTACATTAAATATATACAAACGATAGCTGAACATAATGCAGGTAAACTAATTTACACAATATGTGTAATATTAACTTAAGGAAAGATTACAGATATAAAAATATTTTATGATTTGCTAATAAAGGGTATTTTTAGATATTAATTTAGGTTGTAAATTACCATATTCATTAATTTTGATAGGAATGGGAAAAAATGATTTTACAGAAGTGAAAAATATGATAAATATATTGTAAAATTAGAATCCTCCAATAAGAAATAATATAACATTTTATGAATATAAGGAGTAACCAATAGAAATGTTATAAAAGCATTTATTGAATGATATACCATAACATTTGGTTAGTTATAAATAATGATGATGAATTCATATATAATTTAATTATAAAATGGGTAATTGTGAATCTGAATAACCGATTACAAGTTAATAGCCTATATTAGTAGAGCTTAATTAGAGTAATAATAAAGTGATATTAGATGATAAGGATGTGAATTAAGGAGAATTTGCATTTCAAAAAGTTCAAGAACCATAAGAAGTAAATGGAGAAATAGGAAATGTAATTGATATAAATAAATAATAAAAGGAATTAGAGAAATTGGATCTTCAACCTGCGACAATAAATTTACCTCCTTTTAATTTTAGTGAGATAAAATAAGTAAATGCAGAAAGCAGACCAGAATTTAAATTAATTGATGGATCAAAATATTTTGGAGAATGGATTGGAGATTAAATGACAGGAAATGGTGTTTTGGAAGGAAAAAATGGAAAATATGAAGGATAATTTGAAAATGGGTTAAAATAAGGAAGGGGTAGATTTACATTTCCAAATGGAGAAGTATATGAAGGTGAATGGAAAGATAATTAATAGGATGGAATAGGAACATATTATTATTCTTAAGGTACTGTTTATCATGGTTAATGGGTTTAAAATTAAAAACATGGATAAGGTAGAGAAGTATTTCCTAATGGATCTAATTATTAAGGAGTATTTGAAAATGGTGTTAAAAATGGTCATGGAGTATTTATATGGAAAGATGGAACTAAATATGAGGGTAGATTTATTGATAATTAAATATGTGGTTAAGGTAAAATGTATTATCCTAATGGAAAATTTTATGAAGGAGAGTTTTTTAATGGTAAAATGCATGGAATAGGGAAATTTAGTGTAAATATAATTGATTAATCTAATAAAGTGGCCTGATGGTAGAATTTATGATGGAGAATATTAATATGATAAAAAACATGGTTTTGGTATCTTAACTGGATAAAATTATAGATATGAAGGAGAATGGAAAGAAGGTAAAATGGAAGGAAATGGATCATTAACTAAAAATGGAGAAATTATGGTTGGTATTTGGAAGGATAATAAATTTATAGGTGATAAACATATATGATTAAACTTTTTATTATTTTAATACAATTAATAATAATTAAGATTTCATATTACTATTTTAAATCAAGAATTTTAATTTTGTTTCCATTTATTTTAAACTCATAATATAATTTTGGAGATTACTAAAATTGAATCAAATTTCTTTTGAAAATCGTTTTTCAATAAATAACATAGTAATTGAATTAAATTATATTAGAAGTTAGAAAATTTGATATTGAATTATTTTAACAAAAATATATGTTTATGTAAAGAATTAAAATTTATCTCAGTGAAATATGAAGAATAAATAAAGATTATCTGATTAATTAATTCAATATTGAAATTGATAGTTTTATAAATAACTTATCATCTAAATATAGAATATATAAGGAAAAGTAAAGTTTTAACTAAAAAATATTTTAAATAAAAATTAAACTATGAGAAGTCAGTTCTAAAGTTAAAGAGTAAGACTCTCAGGGTTCAAGATTAATTTTCTAGTTTTAGTTATAATAAGCTCGTCAATAAAACTTGCAGATTCGCTTGAATACTAGTCAGGAATCTTAAAAGAAATTCTTCATCCTGCAACACCTCTACATATTTTAGCAGACACCCATGTTGAAGATGCTTCGATAACTTTAACTTAATCATTGACTGGTTTTGTAAATGAACCTTAAATAATATACTCGGTGTATAGAATGAACTTTGAAAATGCAGTTTCTGGAGGATATACATTTTCTATAACATCATAATCAACAACATGTATACTTGTTAATTAAGTTTTAGAATTTTCAATTTCAGTAGTGGCTCCAACTATTTAAAAAGTTTATAATGTTTGGATAAAATGGTTAGCTTTTGTGGATAGGAATAAATAAGTTATAACTGAAGAGATATTAACACCCTAAACATCGGAGACATTCACTGAAACACATTTTAATAAAAATTTCATATTGGCTGTTCCAATAATAAATTATTTATCTTATACAAGTACATTTACTTTTAGATTTGATGTATTATATAAATAATATCTATAGATGCCCTAAGTTGATACAACCAATGTATAAATAGTATTTACAAGCACTGGTGTTACATAAATAGGATTTCAATTACTAGTGTCTATAAAAAGTCCAGTTTATTTATATGGTGAATAGTAATGGGCACCAGCTTCTAGTACTTTAGATTTGGCTCCATTTGATGTTACTGGTGTATCAATACCTCATCTTTAATAATCTGATAATATTAACTTTCCTATATTTTTAGGACTTACATCAACTGCTTCAAATGATATCAATATTGAGGAATTGAGTTCATCAATTAATCCTCAATTATCTTTTACAATAGGATCTTGTAATTATTATAATTTATATTAGCTACTACATGTTCTATAACAAGTGGATGGTTTAACTTTATGGTTATATCTCCTTAGTTTTAAATCCCTCCTCTTATTTTATCAAGCTTTTCATAATAAGAGTATTATGTTAGTACTGGAACTTAACCTATTAGTGTAGAACTACCATTATTTAAAACTACTTATACAACAACTACTGGATGGATGGAAATCGATAATACATATTTAGGAATGTAAATGGTAATTACTACTGAATGTCTATTCAGATATAAACATGAATATTGGTTCTTAGGATCTGTTAGTGATAATGAAAAATATATAGAAGATTACTTTTATTGCTCTGATGGATAAAATAGAATGAAATATATAATCAATTTTACTGATGGTGACAGACTTGAATATAAAACAATCAAATTTATATTTACATCAAATAGTGTAGAAATGTTTTAATAACTTGATAATATTAATTTTGATGAAGAATATAGAACTTTAAAAATTGTTATTAGTCAAGTTAGATGATTATTAATTTATTATATTGATAATAGTTTATTCGATAATAATTAACAATATATATTTTCTATAAAAGCTTCATTCTAATTCACAACATCCAGAAAAGAATTTTTTCAATATTTTCTAACCAAATGGAATGAAACTCAACACATACCTATATTGTAAATTATTATAAATTACCAAACATATGCACAAAATTATACTAATGTCATTAGTAGAGTTAAGAATTTTTAATCAGTTGCCAAAGCTAATACAAGTGTTACTATCAATGTTGAAAAGAATATTATTGTAGCAATTAATCTACTTTTATCAGCCATCCTTTTACATTGTTCTTTTGGACCTGATAAAAACAATGTACTATACTATTCAAAATGCTAATTCATACCTTGTTATTGCAACTAAATTTCCTATTGAAAATATTATCGCAAATTCTTTGATATTTCCTTAAAAAAATGAAATAAATGCACAAAATTCTAAAAACCAACCTATATTTTATATAATCAAATATATTGTTACCTATTCCACTACATATTAAGAATCCATATAATCTTTATTGATATGATAATTTTGGACATACTGCATCTAAAGGATCATCCTTTTTATCTGAAAAAAAATTATAATCTCCTTTCATTTTATATTTAAGTCAAATAAATATCTTTTTTTATTAATTATTTTTATTTAATAATGGCAAGAAGAGGTCAATAATAACCACCATAACAATAATAAGCTCCTCCTCAAGTTCAAAAAAATTAAGCTGGTAAATTTAATCCTGCAGAATTTGTTAAACCTGGATTGACTGAAGAAGAAGTATTAGAAATTAAAGAAGCATTTGATTTATTTGATACAGATGGGTATATAATATATCATTATTTACAATTAGCACTTAAACTATTGATCCTAAAGAATTGAAAGCTGCTATGACCTCATTAGGATTTGAAGCTAAAAATCAAACTATTTATTAAATGATTAGCGATTTAGATACTGATGGAAGTGGTCAAATTGATTTTGCTGAATTTCTCAAATTAATGACAGCTAGAATCAGTGAAAGAGATTCAAAAGCTGATATTTAAGTATAATAACATATTACTTACATTAATAGAAAGTTTTCAATCTTTTTGATTCAGAAAGAGCTGGAGTTATCACTTTGAAGGATCTAAGAAAAGTAGCAAAAGAATTAGGAGAAACTATGGATGATTCTGAATTATAAGAAATGATTGATAGAGCTGATTCAGATGGAGATGCTTAAGTAACCTTTGAAGATTTCTACAATATAATGACCAAAAAGACATTTGCATGAGTTGAAATCATTAATAATAAATAAAATAAATAACAATTTTTCTTCGTTCATTTAAGATCTCTTTTTTTTATTTTTCTAGCTTACTTAAATATATTATTTTGTAATATTTTATAATTTTATGAATTTATTCTTTTACATTAACAATTATAAAAATAAAATATTATTTACATTTTAGAATTATTTGTATTGATTAATTATTGTTATAAAATATATAAAAATAAATCAATGAGTATTATTTAAGAGATCTGTAAAAAGTTATCTGGTTAAGTAATTGCTTTTCATTTTTTCAGGTTCTTAAGCTGCAGAATAATAATTACTTATTCCTGCAACATATGAAAATGAATCTTCAATTTTATTGCTATGTATTAATTTTAAGAAAAACTCATCCAAAATAAATTCTTAAAAAACTTATTTTGAAGCTTCATCACTACATAATTCTTAAAGATCTTTTATTTTAAAATTTGCCTATTTAGATTCTTTTCTTTATTTTATTAATTTTTATATGCCAATCGCACCTTAAATTTCTTTTTATTTGTTTATCCATTTTACAAAACTATTTCCTATCAGTTTAGGAAAATTTTTATAGATATCAATTCGTTAAAATTTATTAAATTGTTAAAAGGGAATTTTTGAGTTTTATTCAAAAATTAGAGGAAAAAGTTCTTACACATCAGAATTACTTTCATATTCCATTTTTTTAACTTTTTATTAATGTAATTTAGTAAAAATTTAGTAGTATTAAGAACAGGCTTTTTTCTATTAGATTAATAAGTAAAATTTATGAGCATTTAGAAATCTTTATTCTATTAGATTAACAATTTCTGTTCAATTCTTATTAATTATAATATAACTTTTAGTTTCTTTTTTATATACAATTAAAAGTAAAATTAGTTTTCTTAATCTTAAAAGGTATAAGGGTATTGATTAATAGAATAAATTCATATTTAATTTCATTAATTTTTGTTTTCCTATTAATATAAAATAGCTTCTTTTATCTTTTGATTTCATGTTTAGATATCTATCTATCATCTTTTAAGTATTTTAAACACAATAATAATAATAATTCAATCCATCTAAATAATAATGTAGATCATTTTATTTTTTGACTAAATACTTAATCTAAAAATAATTATTTTTCATATAAACCATGAATATCTATTAAGATTTATATGCTTTAATGCAAACCTTTTTCAATTAAGGAATTGTAATATTTGATTAATTTTAATTTTTTTTGATTAATTCTAATTAATATACTTAATTTTTCTATCTCCAATTCATTTTGGAAGATTTTTATAGTTTTTTTCTTTTTTCTATGAGGATGTTGATTATTTTAATACATCCATGTGGTTTTTATTTTTTTCTTGTTGATTTTTGGTGAATTATATCTAAAAATCACAACTCTTGTAATCATGAACTTCTTCTTTTCTAATTTATTGTTCTTAAGAAGAGTCTTTATTCAACATAATTTAATTAATTGAAATTTTTTATCTTTGATTAATAATTCAACAGATTAAAAGAAAAATATATTCATGTCAAATAAAAATTATTCTTAATAAACAAATACCATTTTTAATTAAGATCAAAGTTCATAAGAATCTTTAGAATTTTCATCTAAAAATTAAATATTTTTAATCAAAAAAAAATAAATGAAAGCCAACAAAAAAATAAAGAAACAAAATATTAATCTTTTATATTTAATAATTCTTTTATTAAAATTTTAATTTCTAAATGTAGAGCTAGTTTATTGATGTTTATATTTATTAATGATAATTTTAATCAAAACTGATTTACGAATTAAAGATTGAACAAGGTAAAATTAAAAATAAATAAAAAAAAAAATTTGATAAATATCCAGATTCTAACTGAAAAAGTAAATTCATAGTTTCGAAAACTTCAATTACCTTTAGCCATTGAGCCATTGAATTCTTAATTCTAAAACAAATTGATTATAGAGATAAAGGAAAAAGATTATTGAATTTATCTTCAATAATAATCATAAATTTAATACCAATAGGAANAGTAAAATTAGTTTTCTTAATCTTAAAAGGTATAAGGGTATTGATTAATAGAATAAATTCATATTTAATTTCATTAATTTTTGTTTTCCTATTAATATAAAATAGCTTCTTTTATCTTTTGATTTCATGTTTAGATATCTATCTATCATCTTTTAAGTATTTTAAACACAATAATAATAATAATTCAATCCATCTAAATAATAATGTAGATCATTTTATTTTTTGACTAAATACTTAATCTAAAAATAATTATTTTTCATATAAACCATGAATATCTATTAAGATTTATATGCTTTAATGCAAACCTTTTTCAATTAAGGAATTGTAATATTTGATTAATTTTAATTTTTTTTGATTAATTCTAATTAATATACTTAATTTTTCTATCTCCAATTCATTTTGGAAGATTTTTATAGTTTTTTTCTTTTTTCTATGAGGATGTTGATTATTTTAATACATCCATGTGGTTTTTATTTTTTTCTTGTTGATTTTTGGTGAATTATATCTAAAAATCACAACTCTTGTAATCATGAACTTCTTCTTTTCTAATTTATTGTTCTTAAGAAGAGTCTTTATTCAACATAATTTAATTAATTGAAATTTTTTATCTTTGATTAATAATTCAACAGATTAAAAGAAAAATATATTCATGTCAAATAAAAATTATTCTTAATAAACAAATACCATTTTTAATTAAGATCAAAGTTCATAAGAATCTTTAGAATTTTCATCTAAAAATTAAATATTTTTAATCAAAAAAAAATAAATGAAAGCCAACAAAAAAATAAAGAAACAAAATATTAATCTTTTATATTTAATAATTCTTTTATTAAAATTTTAATTTCTAAATGTAGAGCTAGTTTATTGATGTTTATATTTATTAATGATAATTTTAATCAAAACTGATTTACGAATTAAAGATTGAACAAGGTAAAATTAAAAATAAATAAAAAAAAAAATTTGATAAATATCCAGATTCTAACTGAAAAAGTAAATTCATAGTTTCGAAAACTTCAATTACCTTTAGCCATTGAGCCATTGAATTCTTAATTCTAAAACAAATTGATTATAGAGATAAAGGAAAAAGATTATTGAATTTATCTTCAATAATAATCATAAATTTAATACCAATAGGAATATGTATTATTAATATAATTCTCATATTTTTTATTATATTAATTTGTATTAAATAATTTATATTTTAATTCAAGTCAAGTTTTAATATATCTTTTTGAATTCATCTAAACATATGAAAATATCTATTGATATCATTCACCTAATTAGGAGATTTCATTAATTAATAAGATTTTGAGATTTTATCCTTTCAACAAAGTAATTACTTATTATAGAGTAATCTAAATTAAGATAGAGAGAGTAAAATGTGTTCTGATATGAATAAGTGTTATTAAATAAAAAAAATAAAGTAATTAATTGAATATATAATTATAAAAAATGAAAGCAAGTAATATAAAGAGTGAAGCTTAGTATGGAAGGGCTAATTACTATTATTCAGATGGAACAGGTAGAGATGATTGAGTATAATATAAATATTAGGTCGTGATTCTTATATATAATTTGATAATGGTGGATTAACAATGCATGCATAGAGATGTCATTAACCAGTAATAGGAAGTTTTTAACCAAAACGAAATGGTCCAATGTTTAGACCTTAATCAAGCAATAAAACTTTACATTATGTTAGTGATGGAAGTGGAAGGGATAAATATGTATTGTAAATTGTATTGAATATAAATGTGAAATAGAGATAATCATGGTGGTTTAATGAATACAAATGGAGATAGACATTGGTTAGTTTCATTTAAATAAGGATTAAGAACACCTGAAAGAGAAAGGTAATAATAATTTGTAAAATTATAGACCTCGTTCTAGTTTTTAGACTCCAAAATATTCTTATTAGTAAAGAATTTGCAAACGTCTTTCTGTTCCAAAACATACTAGGATTCCATTTTTAAAACAATTAAAAAGTGATGAGATGATATGAATAATACAAAATATATTATTTTAACCGAATTTATTAATGAGTTTCTAAGATGTCTCTAAGCAAATAGAGGAGATGACTAATTTCCTTGTATGATTTTTTAATATCTTTATAGTTAGAATAGAGTGATGATAATCTAGTAAATACATCTCCTACTAATAGAGAATAAATAAATCTCATCATACATGATCAAAAAGTTAAATAGAGAATTAATGCAATGTTGAAATAAAAAGTATTTATTTAAATGTTAAAAATAGAGTAGACAATATCCTCATTCATATTTAACTGTTGAAATATCGAGTGAAGATAATTATGAGATTGAATTAGATTAAGAAGATATTAAATAAGTAACGAAATTTTTAATAATTCAAATTATAGGTTTGTGAAAATTTTGGAGAAGTCAAATAAGTCTATACTAAACTAAATGGATCTATAATAATTAAGTTTAATACACTTTTTGATGCTTTTATTGTTTATAAATTATTAAACAAACATCAAATTAAAGAGTTAGATGTGATTATCAAAATTGAATTTACATCTTAATAAGATCTTTTAGAGATCATGGAAATACAAGATGCTAATTAATAAAAATTTACATGTAGATATGATGTTTAAATTGATAATGATAAAGACTTTTAAGTTGCTCGTAAAATCATAGGTAATTTATTTAAAAAATCCATTTAGGAGCTAAAGGTTGTAATATGAAGAAAATTATTGATTAATGTTTAATAGATTGTGATACAAAAGAATAAGATCTCGTTAAACTCAGATTAAGAGGAAGAGGATCAGGATATAAAGAAGGTCCAGAAAAAAGAGAATCTTAAGAACCATTACATTTATGTGTTTCATCAAAACATAATCATCTATTTTTGAGAGTAAAATGATATTTCTAATTTTTATAGGCTTGTTAATTGGTTGAGTCATTATTATTAAAAATTTATGAAGAATATAAATTATTTGGATTCAATAAAGGAAGAAAATAATCTAATTACAATATTAAAAGAATATAATAATCAATTAAATCTCAAATCAAACCAAATTTTATGCCTGAATTGCCAAACTTTAATTTTTCAAATGTATTTTCATGTTTTTATTTTTATAGAATTAATTTGTTGATTTTAACAATGAAAATGTAATGGCATATTCAAACATACCTAATTAATTAATATGATGAATATATATATCATATATATAATTAATAATTTGCAATTTGTAATTTTGTAAAATAATAACTCATTTTTATAATCTATACCCTCTTATTTTTAAATATCCTGGTATACCATCTTATTATTCTAATGATACTAATTTGGGTGAATTAAGATCTTTAATATCTACATTAAATTAACCTAAAAAAATAAAAATAATTTTAATTAATTACCATTTCCAAATAATTAAGCATAACCATCAATATTAACTGAATGTAATTCTGCTTATCCACCTAATATAACAGTTGAATTTGATGAAATTTAAACTTCTAAAAAATAATGAATTAATAAATATATTTACTTCCTTTAATTCTAGATTTGATTTCAGAGAGTGTAACACCAAAAGATGGATGTAATACAATTTTAGGTCCAAATTTGAATTCTAATCCATTATAGTTAACTTCATCTGAAATTGAATCTGGAATAGTTACACCAGCCATTCTTAATAACTCTGCATTTAACCAATAGAAATCATTTTCAGATGATGCTGCACATTCTAATGGTAAATTAGTTTTTTATTTAGCTAAAGCAGTATTAAGATCATTTTTGCAAGCTGAGAAACAGAATCTTCTATTTAAAGCAGTAAATCCAACTTTATTTTATGGTCCAAGTAATTTAGGATAATCTTACATCATACATTCTAATCTAGATGATGATTTGAATTTAGTTTTAGTAGCATCTGCATATTTAGGATTAATGAATTCAGCAATTAATCCTTTAGTTTCTTAAAGTACAGTTTCATATTCATTTAATGAAAATAATAGACAATTAATATTACCTGGATATTTAGAATATCCTTATTCATCTACAGGTTCACCTCCTTAAGCTTTGACTAATGGATCTAATTAATTATATTCAACATTTAATGTTAAACCCTTATTATTTTTATCAACTAAATAACAAATAGCACCTACAGCTTCTCCTGGTTTACGACTTACAACAACAGAATTTAATTCAAATTAATTTTCTTTACTTACACCTAATACTACTGGTAATGCTCTAAATGCTTGTGCATTTGTATCTTAAAATATAAATAACCATTTTCTTCCTTCATTCTTCCATTTTTAAGCTAATCCAGACATATATAATAATGTATGAATATCACCATGACCATGTGGTTTAGTATCTATTAATAACTTTCCTGGTATTTATGCAAAATGAGCTAAATTATCTAACATTGCTGGTACTTTCTCTTATTTAATTAAATTAACTTGTTCTTTTTATAATCCAAAATATAAATTATTCTCTAATAATTATAATGTTAATTTATGAGTATCATCAGATGTCATTATTGCAAATGGTAATTACTTATTTCCATGTTTTCTTTATAAATTCAATATAAATTAACAATAATATTCTAAATAAGTAGTATTTGTAACCAAATCTATTGGTAAACCTACTTTTATTCCATCATAACCTAATCTTTCACCTAAACCACCTGCTACCAATACAAAACATGTGTCTTTTATTTCCTCTACTCCTAATTATTCTAATCTTAAATATTCATCTGAATATATATCAACATTCTATCCTTATGGTACATGAGCTGTATATTCAGCAAATGGATTTACATCTTCGGATGCATCAAGTAATAACTTTAATATAATTTATTTCAATTCATACTTTTCTTGCTCTATTTGCATACTCTTTTATTCCTCCTGGATAATTCTTGTTAAGTTAATTTATTTGATCTATGAATTCTGTTACCTGTTGTTGAGTATAGTTGTTTATATACGTAATTAAATGTTATTGATCTATTTAACTTAAGTACTCTATCAATTATTCCTATGTCTAAATATCTTAATTCATATTATATTTATTTATATTTTATTTTAATCAATCTTCACTTTTTAAACATCTACAAAATCACTCTACTTAAACAACTATATATCTTTATCTATACTAATATCATTCTACATTTATATCCCATAAATCGAAATTATTTTGCCTCAAACATTTTCAAGTTCAAATATCAAAAACTTATTTACTTATTAAGAACAATAATAACATAAACTATTTTTATATGTTCTATTAATTATAAAGAATTATCGCTTTATCCATAGTTATTGTTATATTCATTCCATTAAACATTATCTTCTATGATTATAATCAAAAACTAAATATAACTGAGAACATTTTATTTTCGAAGAAATAGTTTATATTTTGGCCAATTGACTAAACGAATATTTTTAAAGATTAATAGTTAACTCTTTAATAATTCTATAGAACCCCTTAATTGTGCATCCTATCTGTTTCTTTAACCCTTTTACAAACTCATTAGATAAAATTTTTAAATTAAAGGTTCTCATTCAGACGTAGATATATAAAAATGAAACAATGATTTACAGCAAAAGAATAGAATTTAAAAACTACTTCATAAGTATAAGAGATTTTTTTAAGATTTCTTTGTTTCTTTTTTCATTTATTCTTATTGTTTCAAAAATAATATAAAAAAGCTACTAAACTAAGATCATAAAGTAAAACTAATTAGTTAGAATAATAAACCATAAGACAGGCTAATAAACAAAAATTGAAATATTATATTTAAATATTTTTTATCTTCAAAGTTAATATTGAAATATAATTCATCTCCTCTGAATTTAAATTCATATATATTTTGATATATTAATTTTAATATTGTTCATATATATTTTCTTAAATCCGATTTATTAGATTCTGGAAATTAAATTTAGTTGTTCTTAAATCCTAGATTTTGTATTTGCTATCATTACTATTAGTGTATTTCTGAATGATTTTTAAAATTATTAAAGAAGTATTTTTTGATGTTCTTAAAAGAAAAATGATGTTGATTCTTATAAAAATGATTAGATTGATTTCATTTTGTAAATTCCATTAAATATTACAATAGCAATTAAGAAATAATTTTAATAAATTTATAATTAATTTACTAAAACAAAATAATAATATTGCTCAAGCATTCAAATATATTAATCCGAACTTGTATTTCTATTTAGAATAAATTCAGAGTTAATCTTAATTCTAAAAATGAAATCTAGTCTATTAGCCCAGAAAAATTAAATAGGAGGATACTAATCTCATTACTACTTATCCTATGTAGTAAACTTCGATATTCGTTGATTTCAATAAAATAATAAATAAAATTTCAAGATCAATATTGGTGTTATTTCTATTTAAATAAAGCTTATCATTTTGTTAATATTTTTTCTTTAAGAATCTCACTTTATAGATTAATATAAAAGATTTGAATTTGCAAAATAATGTTGATGAATTTAATAGTTAAGTATTTAGAAATTAACTTATCAAAATATTTAATGACGAATTGATCCATATGAATAATATTTTCTTAATAAAATGAGAAATAAATAAATAATGTTAGAAATAAATAAAATGATAATCAGAGGAAACTCTTTAAGTGAATTTATTTCTTATAATAATGTATAAGAAATAAATATTTTTAAATAAAATAATATAAGAATGAGGGGTAAATATAGAATAGATTTATATTAAAAGTAAAAAGAAAAAAATAGCTTTTAAGACATGTTTTAATATAAGAAATAAGAGTAGTGTAATAAAAAATAGAAAATTAATGAATAGTATATAATATATATATTTAATTGTGATATAAAAGCACAAATTTGTTCCAAAATTTCAAAAAAGATTTATTTTTTTCATATAAATGAGTGATTTCTTGAGGGATTTTATGATAGGTGGTGTTTCAGCTGCTGTTTCAAAGACTGCTGTAGCTCCAATTGAAAGAGTCAAATTGTTACTCTAAACCTAAGATGCTAATAAAAAAATCTAAGAAGGTGGTGCCAAGAAATACAATGGTATTGTTGATTGCTTCATCAGAGTTCCAAGAGAAGAGGTACATTATATAATTAATAATTAAAGGGTTTATCTGCCTTATGGAGAGGCAATTTAGCCAATGTCATCAGATATTTCCCAACATAAGCATTGAACTTCGCTTTCAAGGATGCCTACAAGAAGCTACTCTGCCCATTTGGTATTAAATGATTTATATTTTTAAGACCCAAAGAAAGAGAGATTCATGTTCTTTTTAGGAAATATGGCTTCAGGTGGTGCAGCTGGTGCAACATCTTTGATGGTTGTTTATCCACTTGATTTTGCAAGAACAAGATTGGCTGCTGATATTGGTAAGAAAGCTGACAGACAATTCGCTGGTTTAACAGATTGCTTAAGCAAAGTTTATAAAACTGATGGTTTTGGAGGATTATATAGAGGATTTGGTGTTTCAGTTTTGGGTATTATAGTATACAGAGGTGTTTATTTTGGTACATATGACACAGCCAAAGGAACAATCTTTAAACATCCAATGATGGGTAACATTGTTGCTAAATTCATTGTTGCTTAATTCATCACTGGAACAGCTGGTGTTATTTCATATCCATTAGATACAATTAGAAGAAGAATGATGATGTAATCTGGTATTTATAAATCATTTATATTATTTCTTAGGAAGAGCTGATGTTCTTTATAAAAATACATTTGATTGTGCTGTTAAAATTCTTAAGAATGAAGGAACTAAAGCATTTTTCAAAGGAGCCCTATCAAATTTCTTCAGAGGAATCGGTGCATCACTTGTTTTGGTCCTTTATGATGAAATCTAATAATTCATTGCTCCAGGATCTAAATCTTCAGGAGGTGAATGATACATTATTATTTTTACATTCAAAATCAAAAATACAATTATACAACACACATCTTATATATAAGAATACATTTTGTAAATTATTTTTTAGTTTATGTTCTTCTTTATTAACATGAAATCCTAGTTTTTAAAAACCACTCTAATTNTTTTATGATAGGTGGTGTTTCAGCTGCTGTTTCAAAGACTGCTGTAGCTCCAATTGAAAGAGTCAAATTGTTACTCTAAACCTAAGATGCTAATAAAAAAATCTAAGAAGGTGGTGCCAAGAAATACAATGGTATTGTTGATTGCTTCATCAGAGTTCCAAGAGAAGAGGTACATTATATAATTAATAATTAAAGGGTTTATCTGCCTTATGGAGAGGCAATTTAGCCAATGTCATCAGATATTTCCCAACATAAGCATTGAACTTCGCTTTCAAGGATGCCTACAAGAAGCTACTCTGCCCATTTGGTATTAAATGATTTATATTTTTAAGACCCAAAGAAAGAGAGATTCATGTTCTTTTTAGGAAATATGGCTTCAGGTGGTGCAGCTGGTGCAACATCTTTGATGGTTGTTTATCCACTTGATTTTGCAAGAACAAGATTGGCTGCTGATATTGGTAAGAAAGCTGACAGACAATTCGCTGGTTTAACAGATTGCTTAAGCAAAGTTTATAAAACTGATGGTTTTGGAGGATTATATAGAGGATTTGGTGTTTCAGTTTTGGGTATTATAGTATACAGAGGTGTTTATTTTGGTACATATGACACAGCCAAAGGAACAATCTTTAAACATCCAATGATGGGTAACATTGTTGCTAAATTCATTGTTGCTTAATTCATCACTGGAACAGCTGGTGTTATTTCATATCCATTAGATACAATTAGAAGAAGAATGATGATGTAATCTGGTATTTATAAATCATTTATATTATTTCTTAGGAAGAGCTGATGTTCTTTATAAAAATACATTTGATTGTGCTGTTAAAATTCTTAAGAATGAAGGAACTAAAGCATTTTTCAAAGGAGCCCTATCAAATTTCTTCAGAGGAATCGGTGCATCACTTGTTTTGGTCCTTTATGATGAAATCTAATAATTCATTGCTCCAGGATCTAAATCTTCAGGAGGTGAATGATACATTATTATTTTTACATTCAAAATCAAAAATACAATTATACAACACACATCTTATATATAAGAATACATTTTGTAAATTATTTTTTAGTTTATGTTCTTCTTTATTAACATGAAATCCTAGTTTTTAAAAACCACTCTAATTAATTAATTAGACTACCAATTTATTCAATACAAATTATACATGAATTGAATAAATTAGACTTTAAATATTATAAATATAATGAAAGTGATGAATTAATTAAGTAAAAATGATATAGAATATGATCATTCTACTTTTGGTTAATCATTATTTTTTTCATTATTTTTTTTAACAGCAGAAACAATTTCTTTGGATATTGGTACAGTAAATGGGACAGAAATGGGTTATTGAAAAGAAAAAGTATTGGTCTTATTATTAGTATTTTTATGTATTTATGGAGTATTAGATTGATATTATTCTTAATATTTAGTTTATGGTGGAGATTAAACAATTAATGGGAAACTAGAAGGTACAGAGCGTTATGGTGAATTTAATGGTTATCTTTTCGAATCAGAATATGTATCAGAGAGTTGAATAGATGTTCTTTATTTGGAAGGTGTATTATTAGGTGATACTGCCTGTAATTATTATTGTATTTAGAAATAGGGAGTGATAGATTCAGTTAAGAGTGAAGTAATTCTACCATATAAATTTAATTCATATAAGAGTAATTACTTAATGAATCCAGGATTAGGTGATACAATGGGTCTTTAATATTTAACATATATTAATGCTTATTCTAAATTAAGATTTCTTTTTTTCATTAAATAAGAGATAACAATGGCAGATGATCTTGATTTACCAGCATGACAATGAACTAAAACATTAGTAAATTATCTGGATGTTTCTAAAAATGAATGAGCTTAATCAAATAATTGTGTCATTTCTTAGAGTGGTGTATCATGACAATCAAGTATAAGATTGTTAATTTCTGGACCATATTAAATTTCTGAAATATAATGATGGTTTACTAAATTCTGAACAGACAGATAAAACAGATGTAATATTATATTAGATTAGTGCATTCATGTTAGTAGCAGTAATTATGGAACCTTAATATAATCCACCTCTCTTTTCAACTGGTTCTATTATGCATGAAATATCATAATTATTAATCATTATAATTAATTATATAATCAAACATTTTATTAGAAATGTCTAGATAAAGCAGTTTAATGTCTAAATTCTAATCTCTTTCTTTCATCATAATAGAACACAATTAATCCAATAATAGTAGGTAATAATGCTAATATTAATTATAATAATAATAATATTTACCTATCACAAAAACTATTATACTTATAGGTATAACAATTATTCCTGATAAAAATGCAAGTGTTAATAAACAACTTTTAATATAACAATTTTGATCTCTATAAAATCTTGTTTAAATTAATTTAGTTATAAATAATATTGGAGCTATTACTATTACTATTATAGGAGTCAATAATATTAATAATATAAAACAAATAAATCTCCATATTATTAGTTTTAAATATGACCAATCTTTTTATCTTATCCATCCTGGCATTAATGCAGGACAACCAAAAGGATTGAATATTGCATAATGAATTGATGTATAATCACTACCACAAATCCAACACCATTCATGTTAACACAATTAACAAGTCATATGATTACAACCATTTATTTTCTCAACTATTATTTTACATCTAGGACATTATTGAGTGTCTCTATTTTCTTACCATTCATTTAAGACTTATTATAAATTATCTTCACAACTTTATTAAGGATGTGCTCTTTATTTACATTCTTTACATACCTCTACTTTACAATAATTACAACTTTAAATCTTTTAATCTTATTTAAATTCTATCACATTATTGCAATTTAATGTTGGACACCATGCCTTATTTTTATTTATAGCTATCTCCAAATTTTAATGACATTTTATATATTTTCTATAAAGTTCTTCTGATTATTCTAATATATCTATGTCTCTTATTGCTAAATCACAATGTGGACATTTTAAATTACTTACTCTACTCTCCTCTATTTATTATCTTAAGTAATTATAAAAACAATTCTAACAAATCTAGTGTTTCTTTTTATTTATATTCACAAAATCTTTGTCTAAATACAACATGTAACAAACACAACATTATTAATTTTCATATAAATTATTTATAATACCCTTTATTTTTTTAAATTATTTCTCACTATTCTCATCAAATCTATTATGAAATTACCTTCCTTTATTACAAATTACACATTCATTCTTCCCTTAATCTATATACCCATGAATTTCATCAAACTATAAATATATTTAAGCATCCTATATTGTTCTATATCTTTTTAAGTGAACTACATATACACATTAAAATATTGTGAATCCATACACTTAATTCAAATCTATTATTAATTACAATTCTTCCAAATCTATTTGTGATGAAATCTATTCCATTCTTATTCCATTCCCATCCTCTTTATCATCCTCAAATTTTACATAATTCATTTATTTTATATTTAAATACTCATTTTTAATATTTCATTATATTTTATTACAATCATTTAAATCTTATAATCATGCTTAAAAGAAAATCTTCCAGTTCTTATGTCATTCTAAAGGAAATTCTAATCTACAATTGTGAATTTCTGATATAACAAAGTACTTAGAAAATTTTTTAAATGTTAATTCTTAAATAGAATTATTATAAATCTTATTATTAGTGAGTTTTTGACAAAATTTTATTTAATCATCAATCTAATACATGAATTTGAATTAAGAAGATAATATATATGATCTATATTATTTGATTCTGAATGAGTTGAGTTGAACCTGTAAAAAGAAATTATTTAATTTCAAATTATGATTAAAAATTCAAATTTTGATTTAATTTCTTTAATTATACTTGAAAATAAGTTAAATCCATTTATATATTATGATGGTTGAAAAAAAGCAATTCGTTTCAGAATCTAAAACCAATACAAGTATTTGGTAACTATTTCCAACCTCTTTCCTCCAAAAATTCAGAATTAAATGTAAATGCATTAAAAGACATTTTTTGCTTTTAGTTATGGAGAAACTTGTATCCTGCAATTAATTGTTTGCTGTATTATTTTTAGCAAGTATTGATTTAAACCTATAGATTTCAAAATAATATTTTCTCTCAATTCTTCTGCTACATCCATAATATAATTATTTCTTAACAAAAATGTTTATATTTTTAGTGTTGCATTAAACTTTCTAAAAAGACTAACAACATAAAATTTTGTATCAAATTTTAAAAAAGTAATCTAATTGATTTTTATTGAAATATCTAAGGTATGTAATATAAATTAGAGCTGTTAATTGTTTTATTAAATTCTTTAAATTGCTAATTATTTATATACAGTTGATTCTTATAATCTAAAATTCTATTTTACTACTAAATTAAATATTAGAATCTCATTTAATAAAATGTACCAATAATCATTTGATGATCAATGTGATTTTCCTCAATGAATGAAACACAATTTAATATTTTTGTTTAATGAAACTAATCTAAGAATTCAGAGATATTTATTTTGTAAATATCTTTATATTAGTTTGTTAGTTCTAAAATCATTTCCAATCAAAAATATAATTGATTTGAGTATATATAATAATAATTTAAAAAATGGAAATCGACATTCTAAATGAATTGCTAACTGAATCAGTTGCTAAATTATTCAATCCGAGAGCTGTTTATAATTTTAAGAAGCCTTCTCCAGTTTATGATAATTACTAGAAGAATTCAAATAACACATCTTCAACATCTATATCATCAATGCAATCTGATTAACCAAAATTTGAATAAAATTAATAGAAATTATCAAATCCACCAACAATTGAATAATGGGTTAGTGTGATTGGTCCATAAAAATTATAGGAATCATTAAATAAGTAAAATAATAAATACTTTTTAAAGATTGAATATAGATTTAGCTAAATTAACAAAAAGAGATTTAGAAATGATGAGTATGGATTAACTTTAAAATGAAAAAAAGAGAGTTAAAAATGAACTTAAATTTTATGATGCTAATTTTTAATCAATTTTCAATAGATTTCCATTAAGGAATGAAAAAGAACCAATGAGACCATTATACATTTATTATAAAAAATTGAAGTAATAAATAGATAAGGTTGCTTTAAATCCAGGAATATAAATACCAACATATAAACAATAAACAAATAATACACAAGGAGATATTTAAAAAAGAATAGAAGATTTAAAGAAAACAAGAGCAGAATTAAGAGAAAAATTAAATAATTTTTAGAATGAATTTACATCTACTCATAATAGAAGAATTAGATTTCATAAAGATATTGCTCCTGTTGAGAAAGAGTATAAATTATATAAAGAAATAAAAAATGAAATTCAAAAATTAGAGAATATTTTATAAAAGAAATGAATAATATAAAATTTATAATAATTTTCATACATATTTTCATTACATTCCAACATAAGGATTTTAAATTTAGTTATGTTATTGTATTAATTAAATTTATTATTATTGTAAATAGATATTCTTTTTCTTCTTATATTTGCAACCTCCAATAATTAATCCAACTAATGCTAAAACAGATATAATAATAGGAGCCAAAATATGGATCAATAAAGATCCAGTTGGTGAATACAGATTTCGATAAACTGATATTGTTTGCATTGGAATTGTTTATTGAATCCCTCCAAAATTAATTATTGCAGTTGTTCGAATATTATAATTACCTTATAAGTAACTTGGAAAATCAGCTACTATTTCATTATTTGAATATTTCTAGTATTTTAAACTGTATTTATTCATATAATATGAATTATATTATCTCCATATATCACTATCACCATAACCACATATTAATTCTTTTTATTCTGAATTTTAAAATCCAACCGTTATTCTGTATTCCACTTCTTCATTATTATATACTTAAAAGTTTGGAAATGATATAAATATTTTATCCCCTTTCACAGTAGCTGATGGCTTTAAGTAGTAATTAATTGTATATGAGTTTATATCATTTATCTTCTCTATCTAAACTCTTTAATACTAATGATATTTATTAATTATTACTTTTATAAACACATCAGGACTATCATAAGAAGATTATGTCAATCTGTAATTAAATGTTCCATTACTTGTATTAAATACATCATAAAAATAAGTATTATTATTTATTCCACTCAAATTTCTATATAATCCATTTATATCAAATTGTTTTATATCAATTTGACTTTCAGAATTCGGACATTTCAATATCTCAACATAAACTGTTGAAGGAAATGATATTTTTAAACTGAAATCATTTTTTACATAATAAAGTCCTTAAGTGATAGCCTTATTTACTGTCAAAGCAGTATTTTAATAATTTTATGTATCACTTATGAAATCAAAACTTTAAATCTTTTTAGAGCTATTGTAGTCTTCAACTATTATGGTTGCATAATCATCTTAAAAATCATTTGATAGAGTTATTGTGAAGTTTTTATCAGAACACTTATAAAATTATCTCTAACTAGGTGTAACTATCAAATTGCTATAATTATTTGATAACCACAAATCATTATTATGATTCTAAGAATATTCAATTACTATTTACATCACATCTTAGACCTATTTAATAAACTGGGTGATTTGCAGAGAATTCTAAGCTTGTTCTACTTATATCTCCTGAATTTAGTAAAAAAGTAAACTTATTATTACTTTTCACTACACTTATCAGAAATATGAGTATATATACAATTTTCATTATTTAATATTTTCATATTATTCATACAATACATACAAATTTTGAAACAACTACAATATGTGCAATATGGATTATTTTAATTAAAAAATATATTCAATCTCAATTTATATCACTAATAAAAAAGTAATTTATTTATTAACATTATCATAATCTAAATTTGTTTATTGCAATATTATTTATTTATCTTTTTTAAAATTTATTAATTAGCTTTCTTTATTTAAAATGTAATCAGGTTTCAATTAGAATATAATATAATTTGATTATAACAAGTTTATTATCAAAAATAAACAATTTACTTAAAGTAAAGTGTTTCAAAAGTGATATACAAATAATTTATATTTCCAACTTTAGAATATAAATTGATTTAATTTTATTATTATTGTGATTTCTAATTACATTACATAATCATCAATAAAAATAAGAAATAATTTTACATTTTATATATGAGTTTTGAAGATAAGAATAGAATAAAAACTGCATTGTTGATTAATTAGAGTTAAATACCTTGGAAATTTATGGAGAGTCAATATTAGATTAATTTAACTATTAATGGATATATTTAATATATAAGAGATGGATAAATTCAAAAGATGTATTAAAATAAAGTAATAATTTAAGAGAAATGAAAAATGATTCATCTATTATAGAGATGAGAAATTTTGAATAAATAAAGAATTTAAGATGGGATGGATAAATTGGAAATAAAAATAAGAGAATAGGAAGATGGAGAGTATTTTGGGGAGGGGAAAGATTAAACATAGGTGGATATTATAATGAGATGGGTAACAAATAAGGCATATGGATTGATTTATTTGAAAATTTTTGGGAGTAAGGTTAATTATATAAATAGTAAATGTGAAGTTATTTATGAAGGAGAATATAAAAATGATATTAAAAGAGGATATTGGAAAACAATTTATAAGGTTTAATAGATGTAAGTTGAATATATATTGAAAAAAGAGGAGGTGGTTATTATAATTAAAATGAATTGAAGCATGGGAAATGGATAGATTTAGATGAGAATTTCAATGAGTACAATTTGAAAATTTAAAAATAGTATTTATTAAATGAGTTATGAAGGAGAATATAATGATGGTAAAAAAGTAGGGCTATGGTATGTAAATAATGGAGGAAAGATATTTGGAATAGGAATTTACAATTAAAATGGTAATAAGAATGGAAAATGGAGTAAATTATAATTTTAGAATTTGGAATTTGGTTAAAGTATTGAAAGTGGATAATATAGAAATGGTTTAAAGATTGGAAATTGGAATATAATTTAAAATAATACAAAAATGTATTGAGTATAATAATAATATAGTGATGGTGGTTAATATGATGAAAATGGTATAAAGTAGGGTATGTGGATAGAATTAGAAAAAAAGTAAAATGATATATATATGTTATAAAAATAAGTGAATAAAATGTTGGAGAATATTTTGATGGTAAGAAGGTTGGAATGTGGGATATTATATTTAGAAATAGCATAACGTATTAATAGAGTAATTAATTGATAGTGGTGGAGGTTATTATAATGAATAAGGATAAAAATAAGGGAAATGGATGGAATTATATGAGAATTATAATAGGTAATATTAGAAATATGAATATATATAATTTAGTTATTGTTAAGTTATTTATATAGGTGATTATGAAAATGGTATTAGGAATAGAAAATGGAAAACAATTTTTGATAAGAAATTGATGTAATTAATAATAAATATAATTAAATAGAGGTGAAGGATGTTATAATAATTAAGGAATGAAATGCGGATTATGGGTAGATTTACATGAGAATTTTGATTAGTATACAAATAGAATTATGAAGTTTAGTTTTTGTTAAATTGTTAATGTTGGTAAATACGAAAATGATTAGAAATATGGAGAATGGAAGAGTATTTAATGTAATATTAATGCAATGATGTATTTATTTATATTATAAGAAGTGGAGGAGGAATATATGATGAGAATGGAATGAAAAATGGTTATTGGATTGATTTATATGAAAATTATTAAGAGTAGATAATATGCATATAAAAGTGAGTGTTAAATTGTATTTGTTGGAGAATATAAAAATGGATTTAAATTTGGTAAGTGGAAGACAAAATACAAGAATCAAAATAAAAATGAAGAAATGTAATTAAAATATAGTAATTAAATTTAGAGGAGGAGGATCTTATGAGAATCATGGAATTAAAGAAGGTTAATGGATTGATATCCATAATAACTTTAATAGGTATAAAAATAATATCATATAGCTATTTTTAAATAATCTATGTAGGACAATATAATAAAGGAATTAAATAAGGAAAGTGGGTAATTAAATATAAATAATCTGATGGATACTTTTTTAAAACTATGTAAACTTATAATATATAATTTAGTGGTGGTGGATTATATGATCATTAAGGATTTAAATAAGGAAATTGGATTGAATTTTAATCAACATTTTAAGAGTGATAATTTATATAATATACTAGTGATAATATTCTCATCCATTCTTGTGAATATTTAAATGGAAAATTTATATGATTAATTCTATGTATATATATAAAACATATTTTTAAAGAATCATTTTATAACATATTTTCTAATTTATATTTACTTTGAGTCTCCATCCCATGTAATAAGGTATTCTCCATCATAAGTTATTGTTCCCCAGATATCATGACTCTAAAATTCTATATTAAATTTCATTTCTAGTTTTCCATCTTTCTCTACCTTTATGAAATTTATACAAGATCCATTTTTATTTACTAAAATACATTTCTCTCTAATAAAACGTTATGGAAACCAATCATTACAATTACGACTCTTTCCATTATCAACTTCCACTAATTATACTTATCTACCATCCAAATCATATATATCTAACATTTCTTAACAATATCTTTAAAACGCAAATGTTTTCTCATCTATAAAACTTAATCTATATCCACTATCATCAACATTTATTTCTTTATTTATTTCCCATTCATCTTATTATTATTAGCAAACAAATATTTATTTTAAATTGTTACAAAATATTAAATGACTCTCTGAATTATTATAAGCAATACTCTTTATAGAACCCTTATTGATTTTCAATGTTTATATGCATTACCATACACTTCTTTACTATCTCCAACGTTTTATTTATGAATTGTAACCACCACATATTATTTCATTCTCATTAACATTTATTGCCAAACAAATTATAGATTATGAGTTTCCATTTAATTATTGTTAAAGTTACCATCTCAAATCATTATTTTATTCCCATATACAAATAGATTCATCAGCACTTCCAGAAACTAATTTATTTGATTTTCTCATAAATTCCAAACAAAAGACACTATTTTCATGATCATGCAATTCTTAAAATAAACTTGTTTACCCATTCTCAAAATTAAATACTTTTATTTTGCTATTACTATAACCAACCATCATTTATGATTACTTATTATTAAAAGTAAAAGAGTAACACTTACTATCTATGAAACTACTTTCTTTCATTATTTCATAACTAAAATTCTTATTATCAACCTCATCTATAATTTACAAACTTTTACTCTCCAAATTAGGAACAAACTCTACAAATATTTCTTTATGATAATTATTCAATTGTTCTATTAAATATGTTGCGTTATTACTCAAAATATTTCTTAATAGTTTTTTTTCCTTGTTATTTCTATATTTTAGAAGATTACATATTATTTTATTCCATTCTTCACCATTCAGATTTTTTATATTCTCCCAATCTATCAATTATTATGATCTTAATCCTTAAATTAAGTTATCAAACTCACTATTTATCTTGTCCTTTACACTTTACAAATAATCAATAATTTCTCTTTAATTATTTTATAAACTAACTAATTCTTAAATCACTTCTTTTATTTTTTTATAACTTTCAGGGTGACCATAATGCATACCATTTTTTTAACATTCAAAACAAAATATTCGAAATTCTTTGCAATTCTCATTTATACAAAATATATCAGCATCATTTTCATGGTTTCTATGATAACATTTCATCATTTTAGTAGAATTTTTATTATATTTAAATCAATTTTTATTTTAGTATTATTTACATTAATTTTCAAATTTATCAACCATATATAATTTATTGACAATGATTGTATTCTATATAACTGAAAAAAATTAAATCTAGGATAATCAGCATACTCATTTAAAACATTTAGAAAATTATCAAATGCAAAAATTAAATAAAAAATTTGAATAATCCATATTAACATAATCTATTTCGGCTTTTTTAAATTAAATTATATAGTTTGAAATAAAAATATTGAGCTAAGTCTGTTAATAAATTTATGATTTTAAGAAGTAATTTAGAATTTTACTTGAAATATCATAGAATTTTACTTGAAATATCATAGAATTTTACAAAAACTTATCACTAAAAAACTCGGCTATGAAATAAGTTTAATAATGCTATAATTTTGTTTTGAACAATTAAATTTATTTATAGTCTTAAATTAAACAAAATTTTTGTTAACTTATTCTTATTTAAAAGAAATTAATCTTCTTGAAATTAACTTTTATATCTAAAAATCTATTATAAATTTTTATTAATAATTTGAATATACAGAAATTTTATAATTTATTATTGCATATCATTAATTTGTATGTTTTTCTAATATTTAAAAGATTCTTTTTCATACCGCTAACTATATTATTCCTAATTCATTCTTTTAAATCATCAATTTGAATAATTTTAGAAATAAAATTAGAAGTAAGGACAAAAAAAAAGTATAGATTAAATTTATATTCTATTTCAGATATTGAATTTTACTTCTAACTTAAAAAATAGATAAAAATCCAATAGATTCAAATGAATTTTTAAAGGTTGAGTATATTTATAAAATTTTGAATTTTTACTCTATCTAAATTAGGATATTAATATTACAATCTATTATTTTTAACTCAAAAATAATTAGATAATATAAATTTGATATTGCAAGAGAATGAAAATAAAAAAATAATAAATTAATAAAATTTTTGTACAATAAAGTCTTTTAAACTTGCAAAAAATGCTTTTTGTTAATAATTAATTGAAAGAATTCAAGAAATGGATATGAAATCAAAGAGTTGAATCAACTCATTAAATTTAATCCATATGAATAAAACAAATCGTCGGTATTTGATTTTGTACATCAATTAAGAAGAAATCAGATCATAATTTAGATAAGCTTTCAAGAATATAGCAAATCCAATTACATCATTTCATATTAATAAACATACTTTTACAGCTTAAAGTGGCTGGATATGTTTTATTTAATATCATCTTAACAATCAAGATTAAAAGAAAGTATTTTGATATATTAAAATTAAATTATCATTTAACAATGATATTAATACACATCCATCGTTGATGATTAAATAATTACTAAATAAATGAATACATAAATAATAAATAGTAATAATACTGATTTTGCGAAATTATGGTAATCTCTATGGAATATGATTTTTTGTATTTTATATAATTTTATTGGAATAAGACCATTTTAAAAATAGCTTAAAGGATTATTATAAAAAGTAAGTTGTTAATATGATTTATCAATTGACTTCAAAACATCTCTTTTGTAATCAAAAGGATCGGTAAATAACATTGTAGAATGCAAACATTTAGTTTATAATTTAATTATAATTAATTTTAACATATTGATATTGTGGCAATAGGAATTTCCGATATTTCTGAAATCGATAAATAGACTAAAAAACTGGATTTACTTTTCTGAAATGTAATGAAACAATAAATATACATTCTAGAGAACAGGGTTATTCAAATTCACTTTTGATTGATTGTAATATACGAAAAGATTAAACAGATTATGATTCAGTGCTAAAAGAAAACTACTTAAACAGAGATATCATATTGTGGTAAGATAGGAGTAATTGTTGATTGAAAAACATTTTGTCATTTGTTTATAATACTCAAAATATTTATTTTAGTCTTAAGAAAAGCCAAATTTTTTACCATTTTATAAAGAAGTAAATATATTTATGAATCTCCAGTATTGCAAGCTAGGATGGAGATAATTATAGAAGATTATTTATACATTGAAATATAATGAACATTGATATGAAAATAATCATAAATTTATAGGTTAAAAATTGCAACCTAAAAAGTCTATAGTAAAAAAGAAGAATAAAAAAATTTATTAATTTACTTTGATTGGTTTCAAATAAATGTCTATTGATGATACATAGCTGTCAATTTTTATGACATCACACTGGAAGAGAAAATAGCATAATTATTAACCCTCAATCAAATCAATAAATTGCCTTCTTTAAAAATTAAATACTTAAATTTGGAATAATGTTGATTGTTTTTATTCAATTTATAATACACAGAAGGTATTAATTGAATTAGTAACTCGATCATATAAATATTTAATAGACTCAAACTTGATTAAATATTTAATCCTTTTGATTGTCATTATAATACTTAAATTACAAAGCCTAGGAAATAGCTACTAGTAGCTGTTTACCTAAAAATACAATTTAAATTAGAATGGCATAACAAAACTTATTATTTACCTAATTTCTTTAAGAGTAGGAATTTTCTTTAGATAAATTTTCCTTTAAAGAGATATTAATCATAAATATTATGATTTAAATTCTTGAATAAAATTAAATATTTTTATATAGAAAAATATTAATTTAATAAATTTTTAATTAAATATTAAAGTTAAACAGCAAGACCGATAAAAAAATTTTAGGGATTGATTGATTTAATAATTTAATAATATGAATGCAAAAATGGAAGGCAAGAAGATTCTTAATGTATTGAGAAAATAAAATGTGAGTGAAAAAATTAATATCGACATTATTAAATGATTGCTAATAAATCATGTATAAATATCAGAGTCTAAAGAATTTGGCCTTTTGATTTAATATTCCAAGAATGTTTGATTAATTATTATCAATCATTATCTCATTGGAATCGTTAAATAGATCTTAATTATAGTATTCTTCTGAGTCATATTTGAACTAACAATTAAAATCTTATTGAAAAATATTTTAAGGTTGTTCTTCTGGCATTTATACTTCATCAAATGGTTTGACTTTAAAATATAGATTAGGTTGATTCATGTATTTTTATTTAATAAACGAATAGAACCTATTTTTGATCATGTTTTCCTAAATTTTATATTATGAATATTATACAGATCTTCCAGGCATTTTTTCTGATATTTTAGTCCATGACGATCCGTACCTTAAATATTCTTAATATATTAATTAATCTTCTTCTTCTGTCATAGGTCCATGATTAAGATTAGGATCAAGAGTATTCATATACCTTCTTCTTACTTATCTATCTGTCTTGCTCTTCATTTATTTGGCTATTGTATTCCATTATGGTCCAACCTCATCGTATATTCTTAATAAAGTTTCATCTTCATTTTATGTCCATCGTTTAGCCTTATTTGTTTATAACCCTTAATCCTTTTTTATTCTTTTCCATCTCTAACAACATTAAGAAGCATTCCTTTCTTCCATTTTCTATGCTATTTTAAGCCAACGAGGACCATACAATTAAACATAAGCCTTTAATTGCTTTATTTCCTCTTGACTCCATTTAGTTCTTTAACTTGTCCGAATATCTTTTTTCTCATAACTTTCATCATCACTTTATGTGTTATGTCTTACAGTTTATTTTCTACTTTTGCTTTTATAACTCATCCGAGATTTTTTAAAAAAGATTTTATTAATTTAACTTATATCTATTATATATTTTTGATATATATACTCAAAAAATACTTTATCATGATATCAAAATTCAGTTGAACCTCAATTATTTAACACAATATCCACATTCCTATTCATAATATATTTTCTTATTTTTTCAACATTTTTATGTATCACTCTATAATTACACCACAAATTCTTTAAAGACGCACTTAACTTATTTTTTTCTTTTAGAATTAGCATCAAACCGCTTAAATTATATTTAATAATTTTTTTAGTATAATTAATTTCTATTCAATAAAATTATTTTTATTTTTATTTATAAATCTAAACTATGAAAAATACTTCAAAGTTATTATGATATGAAATAAATTCTTTGAAATTTTTACAGCAAAACTTACCTACGAATTTCTCTTTGAACAAAACAAGAGATTTTGTGAACTCTAAGAACAATTTTAAGATTATAACAATAAATCTCTGTTATTAATACTAATATATCAATAATGACTTTGTTCTAAACATTAGAATTCTTAAATCAAAATAAATTACAACTAATTCACTTTCAAATAATTTTTGAGACTTAAAAAATAATTATTTTCTAAGCTTCTCATTTCATATTTCTCACATTTTATATCAATTATTTTTATCTTATTTTTGGATTCCATTAAAGGATAATGTTTCTTTTTATAAAAATGAAATATAAATATATATATGCTATAAAACTTAATATGAAATCATATATACAGCCAAAGTAATTCAAGAGATCTTCTAGTAAGGTAAATTAGAAAATTATAGTGTTTCTGTGATATTTACCTATTTTTTACTAATTTTAGTATTTTTCTCTAAAATCCTTTCTTTTTGATAAGGGTATGGCTCAAAATATTTAAAAATTTAAGATCTGCTACAATTTTCAATGAAAAAGTTTATGCCCAATTCAGAGTTATTGCTATAAAAAAATTTCATTTAAGATATAATAAGTTATGAAGATAAGTGATGTTAAATTACTTTAAAAAATCATGAATGTTGATATTAAATATATTTTTTTTTTTAAATAATAGTTTAATATTTTAAAAATATATTATATTTTGCAAAAAAGCCTTTAACATAATTTCAGGCATCTATTTAAATTCTCTATTGAATAGAGTTATCGATTTGTATAAATTTAATTATTTTATTCAAAATTGCTAACCCTTCCTAAATCTTTTTTATTTTTTTCAAAATTATTCCTACTATGAAATTCTCTGTATTTAATCTCTATTTTGGATCTTTTCATACACTTTTACTCTTGTTTTAATTATATATTAAATAAATTTGAAAATATATCAAATAAACCTTTATGTTTATATCCCAAAAATTTTTTGAAAATTCTTGCTGTTTTATAATTATTGAAGTCTGAAAAAATGTATGAGTGTTACAACCACCATCTAATTTATTAATTAATCCATTTGGATCAGAATTATAAAAATCAATAAAATTTAAGGTTATCAAGCTTAAGCAAAGATCTTTTTTATTGATTGATTAACAAAAAGTTCAAAAATTTTTGTACAAATTAGCAATGTTTATTAATAATTCTAATTAGGTTTGATTAATTAAATTAATTTAAATAATAGTTTTTCGTCAAAACTTATTGCTTTATTTAATTCATATAAGAAGATCTATAAAAAATTAAAGTTCATTTAAGTTTTGTCTAATATATATCAATAATTTCAGAATTAAATTATTAGTATAATTAAAAAATTTATTAATATACTGTTATAAATTTATCCTATATATTAATAGTAAGCTAATAAAGTATTAATTCACATTATCTTCCAGTCTCTTTGTATTATTATCAAGTAAAATAGGAAATGATTTGTTTAATGGATTTAATCCAAAAATAGTTATACATTTTTTATTTCATAATTATTAAAGATTAAAATATAACGGAGGTCTTAATAAAGGAATATATATACTAAATGATTGTATTAAATTAAATAAAAATAAAAGATTTTAATTAAAAATAAATGGATTCAAATAATAATCAACAAAATGAGGCAAAAAAACTAGAAATCAAAAATTTCTCATATGAAATAGTAAGTTCATATCCTTCAAAAGGACATTCTTATGCAATGGCATTCAATCATGATTGTTCCTTATTAATAGCTGGATTTGAATCATAAATCCATATCTATGAACATAAAGAAGGAGTTCTAATACAAAAATAAATATTGAGAGAACATTTATACTAAGTCAACACATTAAAGTTTTTTGAAAAATCCAATCTCTTCATTTCTTCTTCTTCAGAAAGTGTCATCATAATTTGGTCCATTGACTCTAATAATTAGTGGATTCCTTAATAAAAACTATTAGGACATACTATTTAGATTAATTGTTTAGAACTTAATCAAAATGAAGATTTAATAGTCTCAGGTGCTTATGATAAAACAATCAAATTTTGGGAAAAATAAAATTAATGGATTTGTTAATAAACTATTTCCAACTAATGTGGTGCTGTTTATTAATTAAGTTTTAATGATTCTTAAAATTAACTTATTTGTTGTTCAGATGATCCATTAATTTTGATTTTGTAAATGTCATAGAATGATTAATAATGGATAGTTTTTTAGAAAATTAAATTAGATTAAATTGGGTATCGTCTTTGTTTTATTGATGATTACCTTTTTACAATTTAACTTACTCAAGGAAAACTATAATTCTTTGAATCTGATTAAGAAATTAAAACATTCAAGTTAAAAACAGAATTGAAATTAAAGTCTGATAGCCCTTAAGACCAAAATATATTTTTTCCATTACAATATATAAAAACTAAAAGATTACTTGTAAGTAAAAATTATTAAAATGTTCATTTAATTCGGATAATGGAAAATTATTAATTTCATCCTGTATAATCTATTTAATATGATGGCACCGCAATATTTGGTTGCTTAAGCAAAGATGGAGAGTATTTGATCACTTTTGATGGAGAAATAGATATGTATAATAACAAATAAGTGGGCTCATATCAACTTAAAATTAGAAAAGTCAAAGACTTATGAAAAATTATAATCACAAAATAAATTTATATTTATTAATCCAATAAATATTTTTTAATTTCTTTGTTTACTGACTATAAATAAATTATATATTTACAGTGTCTTCCATATTGAATTTTATAATTAGTTTATATCTATAGATTGTTGTAGTCCGTAAAATTATTTAATTAAGTTTTTAAATATAAAAATCAACTCAGTGAGATAAATATTTTTTTTTAATTTTATTCCTTCTATCATTTTGTTTGGACCTAACAATCAATTCTTAACTGTGTGTGAAATATATCAAATTGAAAGATCAAGAAAATGAAATAACTAAAAAACTATCAATCTCAATTTCGTGAACAATTAATCAATACCTTAAGAGATTCTTCTACAATTATATTATTGCATTCTAGTTTTCCTTTGCTTCTCTATTCTATAATTTGATACTAGCTAAGATCACTTTTAGTTTGCGCCTTTAAAATTTATAATAAGAATAACATTTTATTAAACTAAAAATAAACTAGCAAAAGGTTTTAACCAATAAGATTTCATCTATATTTAGTTAGATAAATCAAATCTAAATTTTTAATTTAAGATATATAGATATATAGAAAATAACATTTCTAAATTAACTTTATAAAGAAAATTATTATATTTATAAGATTTACGAATAATATTTTAAATTTATACTTAAATTCAATTGATAATAACTTGTTAAAGATATGAATATTTAGTTTATACCACATTTATTCTCTAAATCTCTCAAGATAAAGTTTCCTAAGTTAAAGTTTTAAATATTTCTAAGATAACAGAAAAAATCTAAAAAAGAAACTGTTTAAATAAGTAAATTAATAGAAAATAAGAATCTTTAATTATTTTTTAGCAATTGTAATTTTAGAATTTTCGAATATACTTTTTTTTAGTTAATTAATTAATTTAACTTTTAGACTAATTTTTTTCAAAAATAAAAAGAATTATCAATTTATTATATATTAATAAATTAAAAGGCATTAATATATAGACTCCCTTTTTCTATCAATTAATATGAAGAATTATTTAAAACTTTTATTTTAATATTAAAATTTATTTTATTGTGGGAATAATCGGAAATTTATTGGTTGATGAGAAATCAAAATTTTTTGAAGTCTAAGTATTTAAATATAGATTTTGATACTTATTTATAAATCCAAAACACTGCTATTATTGGTAGACTCCATAAATTCATTTTTTGAAATGATGGCCAAAATTTATGTCAGGTTAAAATGGAATAATCTTAAAGTTAAACCATAAAATATCAACCATTTATAAATTATCATCTAAAAAAACAATTTTCTATTTTTTTTATTCAAATTCTTAAATATTTTCTATTTTTCTTTGAAAATTATTAATACTTCTTTTATTGCGTCCTAATAAGAGTAATAATTTACGTCTTTCTTTTTAAATTTCTAATGTGCTTTCATTTTCATTAGACATAAGCAAATCTTAATGTAACCTATAGAATCTTATAAAATCATGATATTGAAGACACTTAATTAACAAGTAACTTTAAAAATAATTTTCATTATAAGCCAATAATCTTTTTAAGAAACTCTCCAAAATTAGATTGAAAAAGGTAATAAAAAAAAAAAGACTCTAAGAAAAATGTAAGTTTCATCGAAATATTGTTCACTATTAATTTAACCAGGAATAGTCTGTTATTTCAATCTGGAGACTATATAATTACTTGATATTTTAAATAATAACCTTTTTATTATGTTCCTTTATTTTTTTATCTAACACTTGTTAATCTCTTTTGGCCATCAATTTAGTAGCGATTTTTAAGGCACACCCCTACCCTTTTATCTTCTATTCATTTTGCACATAAGCCTGATTTGCTTCCTAATTATAATAATTATTTTATTTTTCTCAGGATAAATTTCAATTTTATTCAACCAAAATTTTCAAACTTATCAAGAGATAATAAATATTTTTAACTTCGACAATCTTAATATTACAATAATTTTATATCAGCTTCTTTCTAATAAGCATATTATTTGAAATCCTTTCTTATCCAGCAGTATCAGAATGTTAGAATTTCAAACCTTTGTTATTTACTTTTAATGTTTTGAATTTAAAATAAACTCCATTTGTTGGTATGTAATTTTCACACAATTTATGCAAATCTTAATAAAAGAGCAGACTTACCAACTTTACTATTGCCAATTATAACTAAATAAATAGAACAAATAAATGTATACTCTGTTATTTATTTTGAACTTATTTTAATATCTTGAATTTGCATTATAATAATAAATCAGAATATCATCAATTTCAATTAGATAATTAATAATATAAATAAATAATGATAATAAAAAAATCAACGTATGAGATGATCAATCATATTTTTGTAAAATTATAAATCATAAGATTTAAGATTATATAATATTAAGATGTATCAATTTCATAAAAGCAAATCTTCTATTTGAATTTTTTATTCTTCAATTAACTTATCAATTTCATTTTTTTCAAACCATTTAATTCTTATTCCATCATTCCATTCACCAACTTTAACTTCTCTATTGAGTAAATAATAGATTCCAATGCCATGTTATCTTCCTAAGGAATATGATAAAAATCCAACCTTAATTCCAGGTTCCTATATACTTTCTCCCATCAGACCATTCAAAGACACCTTTGCCATGTTTTTTATCTTCTTCATATCCCTATTATAATTGAGAATCAATAATTACACCAGCATATTTACGGCCATCTTGATATATAGTTTATCCTTTGCCATTCATTTTACTTTTTTTCCATTATCCTTTATAAACTCTATTATCTGGCCAAATATAAGTTCCTTCTCCATGCAATTCATTTTATAAGAATTCCCCTAAAAAAATAGAATAATAAGTATATACCATCATATCTTGAACCATCAGTATAATTTAATATAGCTCTACCTTGTTTCTCACCTTCAAAATATTAACCTTCATATTTAGCTCCATCTGGCCAAATTTCTACACCTTTACCATGTTATTTATCATTTTCCCACTAAAAATAGAATATAATATTAACTTCTCCTTCATATTTTGCTCCATTTACACTAAAATATGTTCCTTTTCCATTTCCTTTATTTTTTTTCCATTCTCCATCATATACATCACCATCTGCATGATATAATTTACCCTAAAAATATTTGTTTAATTTATACTCTCCCTTAAGATTGATCTTCTACCCATTCTCCTTCATAAATTGAACCATCTGGCCATTTCTATTTACCATATCCATCTCTCATTCCATTTCTCCATTCTCCTTCATATACAGGACCCGATTCTAATTATATAGGAGGTAATTTCTTTCTATCCACACAATTCATTGTACTTTTTATTAAATCATTACCTTCTTAATCACTTGCTACATTCATAATTTCAATATTAATTGAATATTTTCTATTTGGTGTAAAATTTTGAATAAATATCTATGGTACATTATTAAAAAGTTATAGCTATGAATTATAAATTAATATCATCTACATTTTTAAATTAATAATTTTAGAAAAATGATGTTTTTCCTCCTACACCTTTATTATGCATTATTGATATGCTACAGAATAATTATATTGAATAAATGTATTAAAAATAATTCAGAAAATTGATTATCATTGTGGTCTTCGATAAACCAAAGCTTATATTTTCTTTTATCTTAATTTAAATGTTAAAAAAATGATTTGAATTTATAAATATAAAAGAGTGGGTAAATTAAATATTATCATAGAAAATGATGTCTAACATCAGAATCAGTAAGAACGTTGATCTGTTAATTCATTTAATTACATTTAAACTTTAAGATTTACTTAAAGTTCTAAATTGATTTTCTTTTTCTTAAAATGCTTCTTAATTTTTTATTAGAGATTTATATCTTATTGAATTTTGATTTTATATTCATTGAGTATAACTAAGAGATTAATTATATGCCAATTTATTGAAGTTGTAATATATATAATAAACACTTGTTTAGTAATTAATATTATAAAGAAAAAAATATTTTCTTTTCATATTACTATTTAATGGCTGCTTTTAATTCCAAATTAATTAGAATATTTAAATTCTTATATTCCTTCTAAATTAAACATCTCATCATACTTCAAAATGCTTTGTTGTGTTATAAATTAATTTTAATTATATTTTATTTAATAATAAATAAAAATTTGAACAAACTCTCTCTCCTCCTTAAACTTTATAAAAGGTAGTAAATAGAATTATCACAGAATTTAAGATAGCTAATAAAGATATAAGAAAATTAATTAGAGAAATTAATTCTTTGTTCATGATTTCTGTCTTACAGTAAATTATGTTCTAATTGATACAATACTTTTGTTCTATTTAATCCTCCAATAAGTAGAGGATAATCAAGGATAAAATGTTTTTATTTATTATAAATTGAAATTTAATTTTCAATTATCCATTTATTTTTGTAATCTTAGTTCATTCTAAAAATTTTGATAGATTTCTATTAATTAAAATCAGGTTATACATAATCTATTACAATTATTTATTATTTTCAAGCAAATTCTAACGATAAATTCATAATTTTTTTATTTTTAATAGCCAAGACTTCAAAATTATATTATTCATTATTAAATATAAATTCAGCTAACAAACTTTTAATTTTAATTTTTCAATCATTCTTTTTTTTATGATTAAGGGTAAATCTAATTATTCATTTACTAAAATGTATAATATATGAGCACTACTATTTGATTTAAATACAAATTCATCTGATTGTAATTGTAATTCTTTAAATTTTCTGGAAAGACTATTTAATAAAGAATTGCTAAATTACTTAAATAAATCTATTTAATTATATTGATATATTCAATAATTTAAATTTTAAATTATAGGATAATTTAATCTTGAAACTAGATTATATTTAAAATAGGTTTTTGGAGATGGTTATTCATTTCCTTAACTATAATAATTGTAAAAATAAGTAAATACCTTGAAGTAAATTTATGCAGCTGGCTCATCAACTTCTTATTTAATTATTTTTTAAATAATAATACTCTTGCTAATAACGAACCTAATCTAGCCAAGACATTTGGATTATTTGAAGAGAGTCCTTATATAATGTAGCCTTTAATATAAAAACATTAGGTATACAAAAATCGTTTATAGTTTATCTAATTTTTATAAAGATTCAAGAAACATATTCAATTTTCTATTGACATAAATCAAATTATAAGTGCCTTCAACACCAGCTTCTATATATTATTCTTTTGCAATTAAGTATTCATTTTTAACATAAAGAAATTTTCTCTACTAAAGAAAACTTTAAAATTATCTCTATCATACGTAATAGCTATTTCAACATATTTTTCAGCCTATTTATAATGATGTTCTAAAAAATTATAAAAATGAGATATTAATAACAATTCTTGTCTTAATTTATTTATCTTTTTTTAATTCGTTGTAATGTTTAAATAGTTTTTTCAATAGATTTATAATATTCTTTTTATTCAAGAATGCCATAATTTTTCAAATTTTAATTTCTGTTTCAACTTTAAGTCAATTTTGAATTCTCTAATTATCCTAGAATACATTCATATCCTAAAATGATATCATCTTCTATCAGTGAAGTTAATAATGTAGTAGATGCTACTAAATAATATATCTTCTCTTCTTGTATCTTCTTCATTAATTTATCTGTTAGAGTTGTCCCTTAATTTTCCTTCTATCCAGGAATTTCTATTATAAGTAATGGAACAAAATATTTTCATTTTTCATTTAAATTCTTAAGAGCTAAACTGTTGGTAGATATTGGTTCTTTACAATTTTCTTAACTTAATCTCCCTTCAGAATGACCAAATTTTTTATATTTTAAATCTCATTTGTTTGAATCTGCAAGTATTACATCTAATGCCATTATACATTTAAATAAATATTCTTTTATTTTAAATATAATATTTATTTTTCATATTGACTCTTAATCTTCTTACTTAAGTGAGATTAAAGAAATCTCGAAATATACATTACATAAATTACTAAAGATTTAATTTCAATAATAACTGAAGAAGTTACAATTTAGTTAAATAGGCAATTGATAGCATCGACTTAAAATTTAAGGAATAAAATATTTTAATTAGACTTCTTGTTAATTTTCCCATAAGATGCTTTTATTGTTTTAAGCAGTTTTTATTGCTTCTTTCATCATTTATAGCATAATTGCACTAGTATTTCATTAACTAACCCCTTTCTCTAAAAAGCTAAAGTTTTTTATCTCAAAAAATCTATCAGTTACTAAAACAATTTACAAAAATACTTGCTTAATTTATGTAAGAAAAGTATTGCCTTATTTCAGTGATATTCTTTTTCTTTTCCTATTCCTTAAATCAAGTTCTTTATCNGCCTTCAACACCAGCTTCTATATATTATTCTTTTGCAATTAAGTATTCATTTTTAACATAAAGAAATTTTCTCTACTAAAGAAAACTTTAAAATTATCTCTATCATACGTAATAGCTATTTCAACATATTTTTCAGCCTATTTATAATGATGTTCTAAAAAATTATAAAAATGAGATATTAATAACAATTCTTGTCTTAATTTATTTATCTTTTTTTAATTCGTTGTAATGTTTAAATAGTTTTTTCAATAGATTTATAATATTCTTTTTATTCAAGAATGCCATAATTTTTCAAATTTTAATTTCTGTTTCAACTTTAAGTCAATTTTGAATTCTCTAATTATCCTAGAATACATTCATATCCTAAAATGATATCATCTTCTATCAGTGAAGTTAATAATGTAGTAGATGCTACTAAATAATATATCTTCTCTTCTTGTATCTTCTTCATTAATTTATCTGTTAGAGTTGTCCCTTAATTTTCCTTCTATCCAGGAATTTCTATTATAAGTAATGGAACAAAATATTTTCATTTTTCATTTAAATTCTTAAGAGCTAAACTGTTGGTAGATATTGGTTCTTTACAATTTTCTTAACTTAATCTCCCTTCAGAATGACCAAATTTTTTATATTTTAAATCTCATTTGTTTGAATCTGCAAGTATTACATCTAATGCCATTATACATTTAAATAAATATTCTTTTATTTTAAATATAATATTTATTTTTCATATTGACTCTTAATCTTCTTACTTAAGTGAGATTAAAGAAATCTCGAAATATACATTACATAAATTACTAAAGATTTAATTTCAATAATAACTGAAGAAGTTACAATTTAGTTAAATAGGCAATTGATAGCATCGACTTAAAATTTAAGGAATAAAATATTTTAATTAGACTTCTTGTTAATTTTCCCATAAGATGCTTTTATTGTTTTAAGCAGTTTTTATTGCTTCTTTCATCATTTATAGCATAATTGCACTAGTATTTCATTAACTAACCCCTTTCTCTAAAAAGCTAAAGTTTTTTATCTCAAAAAATCTATCAGTTACTAAAACAATTTACAAAAATACTTGCTTAATTTATGTAAGAAAAGTATTGCCTTATTTCAGTGATATTCTTTTTCTTTTCCTATTCCTTAAATCAAGTTCTTTATCTTGTAATTCTTTGAATTTCTTTTAAAACATACCAAGGGAAAATTTATAAATAAATAATAATAACAAAATAATGCTCCAAATGAGATAGCACTAGATTAGACATTCTACAATCCTTTTTATTTGGATTCCATTTGAACAACACACTTTATACCAGAGCCTTTTTTTTGCCTCTAAAACTACAAAGTTTAGATACTCCAAGCCCAATTTTAGTAAATCATGAATAATACTTGAATAGAGTTAGAAGTTTGATAAAGTTTATCAGGTTCTGGTGAGGAGGTTAATTAAATTGGAGGTAATTTCTTTAATTAAATTATAGCTTGTTATAAGTTTTAACACTATTAACAAATAGATAAAATTAACTCTATTTTATTTTATATGTTATTTGATATCTTGATTCACATATTAACTGTTATTCTCTCTTGTAGTAGAATTAGGGTTTCTAATAATACATAATAAATCTGGTGTGGAATTTTCGTGATTTAAAAGAATTATAAATGAAATAACCAAATCAAATATCAAACTTTAAATTCAACCTTATCAGCCAATTAAAGAACATTAAATGGAATATATTGTATTAAAATAGATTAATGAAACTTATATCAATATCTAGAAAAATAAATTTTTACTTTTTTATAATATTTGAATAATTTAAATTCAATTATAATTAACAAATGAGCTCTTAATTTAGTTTTAAAAATATATGCTTAGAGATATAAACTTAGAAGCAAGGCACAAAAGATTATGTTTTAGATTCATGGAATTATTAAAGAGATAAGAAAATAAAAATAACAATTCAAATTACAATTACAGAGGATGACTAAATTATTTATTCTCATGATGGAGTTATTTTGAGGGTGTAAATATTATTTATAAGATACAAAGAGAATCAGTTTATCATGGTATTAAAAATTCGATAATATTTAAAAATATGGAACAGATCCTATATCTAACTTGGTAGAGTTAAAACAAGTTTGATAAAAAGAAAAACGGAAGATGGTTTGCCTCTTGGAATGGGAATACTCTATTAAATGTAGGTGGGTACTATTAGGAAGGCTTAAGACAAGGTCAATGGTATGAACTTATGAAAAATTTTGGAAGGTAAAGAAAATTGATTTTCAGTAATTAATAGTAAAGCTCAAGTTTTTGAAATCGGAGAATATTATAATGATTTAAGAACATATAAATGGATTTATATATACAACACTAAAAGGATGTATATATTTTTTTTTAATTATAGTTCTAGCGGATTCTACAACAATTAAGGTTTAAAGGTAGGTAAATGGGATGAATTGAATGATAAATTTTGGGGGGAAGCTTAAATTATTTATAGTGGTGAATATAATATGAAAGGTAAGAAGATAGGTAAATGGGACATCCTTTATTGCAAGAAGGGAGAGCACTAATACAAATTCATGTAAATATTTTAAATAATTAAAAACATGTTCAGTGGTGGTGGATCATATGATTATTTTAAACATTAGAAGGTTGGTAAATGGGTTGAATTGTGCGAAAAGTTTGAATATTTAAATTAAGTCACTTATATTGGTGAATATGATTAAAAGGGTTTGAAAAGAGGTAGATGGGATACATGGTTTTAAGAGATTATTGGAAAAAAAGACTATAAATTAATGTAAATATTATTTCCGTATAGAATTATATTTAAGTGGCGGTGGATTATATGATAACTTAGAGGGTGAGAAAAAGATTGGAAAATGGATTGAAATGTCTGAAGGGTTTGATTATTATAATTAAGTTACCTATATTGGTGAATATGATTAACAGGGTTTAAAAATAGGTAAATGGGATATATGGTTTTAAGAGGCTTGTGGAAAAAAAGAACATAAATAAATGTAAATATCGTTGAATTATAGAATAATATTTAAGTGGTGGTGGATCATATGAATATGAAGAGGGTGAGAAAAAGATTGGAATGTGGGTTGAATAGGGGAATGGTTTTTGGAATGAAGCTTAGGTGATTTATTCTGGGAAATATGATAAGAAAGGTAAAAAGGTAGGTAGATGGGATATTTTGTATAAAGGGGAATACGATTTAGCATATTAGCAAATGTAAATATTATATCAGGATAGCAATATTTAGTGGTGGTGGATTATACCAAAAAGGCTAGTTAAAGATTAAGAGGTGGATTGAATTGTGGGATGGTTTTTGGAATGAAGCTAAAATCACATATAATGGTGAATATGATTTAGAAGGGATAAAGATAGGTAAATGGAAGATTATGTATTGCGAGAAGGGAAAAAAGTAATATCAATAAATGTAAAATTATTATTTATAAAACAATATTCAGAGGTGGTGGATCATATGATTCAAATAATTTGAAGATCGGGAAATGGGCTGAAGTTTTTGAAGGGTTTTATTATAGGAAATAGGTTCTTAATATTGGCGAATATGATTAGAAAGGTATCAAGGTTGGTATATGGGATATAATGTTTTAAGAGATTTGTGGGAAAAAAGGATTTAAATAAATGTAAATATTATTGAAGTATAGAATAATAAATTAGTGGGGGTGGATTTTATAAAAAGGGTTAGAAGATCGGAATGTGGGTTGAGTTAGATGACAGATTTGATTATTATAATTAAGTCATTTATAAAGGTGAATATAATTAAAAAAGTATAAAGATAGATAGATGGAATATTTACTTTAAAAGCGAATATTAAGAGGAATATAAATAAATGTATTTACTATAAAATAACTTAGTGGTGGTGGATTATATGAAGAGGGCCAGAAGGTAGGGGACTGGGAAGAAATAAGTGAAAAGTTTTACATGAAAAAATAAATCATCTACAAAGGTGCATATGATAGTAAAGGTATGAAAATTGGTATTTGGGTGGTGAAGAATTGAGACTCGAAAAACAAAAAATGACTCAAAATTATTAAATTGATAAATCAATAATAAGATTTATAAAAATAATTACATAATATAAAGAAAATAGTTATTATATAATATATTGAGTTTATGTCGAGAATATTTTTAATTAAGATTGGATAAAATATTTTAGGTTTTTTAAATTTGAGTTTGAATAATTTTTTTACTTTTTGCTCATTATTTTGGTGTTTTTTTTTGATAATTATACATTTTGTATTTAGGGTTTTGATTGTTTTTCTAATATTTATTCTGCTGAATTTTTTTAGATATTTCAAGAGATAACAAAAGGATAGCAATAATAAACTGTTAAATAGAAATTTCATAAAAGATAAAATGATGACTTTGCTATTTAAACAAAGCTATTTGAGTCATAAAAAAGTTAAAATTTACAGGCAAAACAGACTGAAAGATAATCCAGTAATAATATAATAGTCGCTTTCATTCTGTCTGGAAAAACAAAGTTCATTAGATTCCATATCAAAATTTTAAACTTACAAATAAAACTTTCAGAAAAAATATTAATGTATCTAAAAATTTTTAGTCTTATTTCAATCAAAAATTTCTCAAATAAATTAAATAACTTCTATCTTCAAATAGTTAGTTGTTACTAGCAACCGAATACATTTATACATCATTAATTACAATTTTAGGATTATTTAAAATACAAAGAAAAATATAATTAATTACAAAAATTAGAATTTGTATCTAATATTGATCATTTAAATTGCTAATACTTTTAAATCAGAGCCCTGTTTGTAAATTGCCATGCACAATGATTCTACCAATTTAAAGGTAAATGACAATAAAGATGTTGAATTTTTTAATTAGGCTCCTTAATTATTTGTCTCAAAAATAATTTAAAAGTTACTCGAAGATCAGGGCTATAAAATTAAAACCTTAACTCAAATCTATTTTAAAAGATTTGTTAATATCTTTAACATTTGATATTGTAAAACAAATTGAATTATCATTTTAATGAAAGATGAATAATGCAAACATAATAATAATTAGAGGAAGAGATACAAAGCCTATTTATATAAATTTTACTGAATTTTATAATAAGGATTTAAGGCTCACAAAGGATTTTAAATAGTTTATAGTTCGAAAAATTCTGCATATGCACATGTATAAAAAGCCTTTAAATGGGAAATTTAAATCAACACACAAATAGAAAACATAATGGTTTATCTCTAAGATAAGAAATCTTATTTTTTAAGCAAGATTAGATAGTTGCCAAGATTTTTTTACATTTAAAAGAGAATTTCAATATTTGTAACATCATTTCAAAACCGATAACATTGAATTTATAATCTAAAAATAAATAGATTAAAAATCATATACAATAAATTATTTAGGAAGCCTTATATATGGTGTTTGAAGTATTTAAACAAATTATTATAAATATTTTTAGTTTCGACAGGAAATTTCCTTTTTTTTCTAGATTAACTTAGAGTGTTTGAAGTTTAATGATCCAATGATATAATATACTAAAT